TCTTAAAGTCATGTGCTCTAACAACTGAGCTATGAAGGTGCTTATATACACAAACGCAGAAAACATATTGGCTTCGGCGACACACTTTGACACCAATACAATCGGACCCACATGGTCAATGAAAAAGGTTGAACAGTGCATACGCCAATGAAATCTGGTGTTTGGAGCAGGAGTTGAACCAGCGACCTTTGGACCACAGGGTTTCTTGAACTTATTAAAGTCATGTGCTCTACCGACTGAGCTATGAAGGTGCTTATAGAAACAAACGCAGAAAACATAGTGGCTTCGGCGACACACTTTGCCAACACAACAATCAAGCCACCTGGTCAATGAAAAAGGTTGAACAGTGCATATACCAATGAAATCTAGTGTTTGGAGCAGGAGTTGAACCAGCGACCTTTGGACCACAGCTCGTCTTGAACTTCTTAAAGTCATGTGCTCTACCAACTGAGCTATGAAGGTGCTTATATACACAAACGCAGAAAACATAGTGGCTTCGGCGACACAATTTGACACCAATACAATTGGACCCACATGGTCAATGAAAAAGGTTGAACAGTGCATACGCCAATGAAATCTGGTGTTTGGAGCAGGAGTTGAACCAGCAACCTTTGGACCACAGCGTTTCAGGAACTTCTTACAGTCCTCTGCTCTACCAACTGAGCTATGAAGGTGCTTATATACACAAACGCAGAAAACATAGTGGCTTCGGCGACACACTTTGACACCAATACAATTGGACCCACATGGTCAATGAAAAAGGTTGAACAGTGCATATGCCAATGAAATATGGTGTTTGGAGCAGGAGTTGAACCAGCGACCTTTGGACCACAGCTTTTCTTGAACTTCTTAAAGTCATGTGCTCTACCAACTGAGCTATGAAGGTGCTTATATACACAAACGCAGAAAACATAGTGGCTTCGGCGACACACTTTGCCAACACAACAATCAAGCCACATGGTCAATGAAAAAGGTTGAACAGTGCATACAGGAATGAAATCTGGTGTTTGGAGATGGAGTTGAACCAGCGACCTTTGGACCACAGCGTTTCTTGAACTTCTTAAAGTCATGTGCTCTACCAACTGATCTATGAAGGTGCTTATATACACAAACGCAGAAAACATAGTGGCTTCGGCGACACACTTTGCCAACATAACTATTGGACCCACATGGTCGATGAAAAAGGTTGAACAGTGCATATACCAATGAAATCTGGTGTTTGGAGCTGGAGTTGAACCAGCGACCTTTGGACCACAGCATTTCAGGAACTTCTTAAAGTCATGTGCTCTACCAACTGAGCTATGAAGGTGCTTATAGACACAACCGCAGAAAACATAGTGGCTGAGACGACACACTTTGCCAACATAACTATTGGACCCACATGGTCAATGAAAAAGGTTGAACAGTGCATACAGGAATGAAATCTGGTGTTTGGAGCTTAGTTGAACCAGCGACCTTTGGACCACAGCGTTTCAATACCTTCTAACAGTCCTCTGCTCTACCAACTGAGCTATGAAGGTGCTTATAGAGACAACCCGCAGAAAACATAGTGGCTGAGACGACACACTTTGCCAACATAACTATTGGACCCACATGGTCAATGAAAAAGGTTGAACAGTGCATACACCAATGAAATCTGGTGTTTGGAGCTGGAGTTGAACCAGCGACCTTTGGACCACAGCGTTTCAATACCTTCTTACAGTCCTCTGCTCTACCAACTGAGCTATGAAGGTGCTTATAGACACAACCGCAGAAAACATAGTGGCTGAGACGACACACTTTGCCAACATAACTACCTTACATAACTAAAGGTAACATAACTACCTTTCTGCACTTGGAGTCGACAGCACTTTGATAGCTCAGTTGGTAGAGCAGAGTACTGTAGGCAGTTCCTCATATGATGTGCTGTCATTCCAAGGTCGCTGGTTCAACTCCCGCTCAAAGCAAGCCTAGTCTTCATCTTTCAGCTCCTCCAAAATTTAAAAACACAAACAAGAGAACTCCTACTTTATTTTCCAACCATCAATTTTTTATTCACCCAGCCTAAAAGTCCTGATTATCAGTTCTGGGTCCCTGGCAATGACTGTTGGGCACAAACTGAGAAGCTGTGCTCTGAAGGTAGGGCTGGGCTTTTCACTGACCATGTAGGTGGATTAGTTGTGTGGGCAAAGTGTGTCACCCTAGCCACTATGTTTTCTGCACTTGGAGTAGACAGCACCTTGATAGCTCAGTTGGTAGAGCAGAGTACTCTAGGCAGTTCCTCATATGAAGTGCTGTCATTCCAAGGTTGCTGGTTCAACTCCTGCTCAAAGCAAGCCTTGTCTTCATCTGTCAGCTCCTCCAAAATTAAAAAAAACACAAACAAGATTACTCCTACTTTATTTTGCAACCATCAATTTTTTATTCACCCAGCCTAAAAGTCCTGATTATCAGTTCTGGGTCCCTGGCAATGACTGTTGGGTTCAAACTGAGAAGCTGTGCTCTGAAGGTAGGGCTGGGCTTTTCACTGACCATGTAGGTGGATTAGTTGTGTGGGCAAAGTGTGTCAACCTAGCCACTATGTTTTCTGCACTTGGAGTAGACAGCACCTTGATAGCTCAGTTGGTAGAGCAGAGGACTGTAGGCAGTTCCTCATATGATGTGTTGTCATTCTAACGTTGCTGGTTCAACTCCTACTCCAAGCACCTACATTTCGTTTGTGTGAGGAATGTTCTCGGTCTAATTTCATTGAACTAATGCCAAGTCTTGTCTTCATCTGTCAACCCCCCCCCCAAAAATGTCAAAACACAAACAAGAGAACTCCTACTTTATTTTCCAACCATCAATTTTTTATTCACCCAGCATTAAAGTCCTGATTATCAGTTCTGGGTCCCTGGCAATGACTGTTGGGTACAAACTGAGAAGCTGTGCTCTGAAGGTAGGGCTGGGCTTTTCACTGACCATGTAGGTGGATTAGTTGTGTGGGCAAAGTGTGTCACCCTAGCCACTATGTTTTCTGCACTTGTGAGTAGTCGGCATCTTGACAGCTCAGTTGGTCGAGCAGAGGACTGTAGGAAGTTCCTCATATGAAGTTCTGTGATGCTAAGGTCGCTCGTTCAACTCCACCTCGAAGCACCTCCAGCGCACAAAGAAGCGCAAATGTTTGGCTGATGAAAGTGCAGAGCCAGGTCTTGAATTTAGTCGAAAAGAAAATTTTGGGATTGAAACGTTCAATGTTCTATTAGATGAACTTGTGTCCTGTCTTAACCATCCGTTAACTGCATACACACACTTGACCAATCTTTTTCATGTTCTTTTCATGCCTGATAATATGTCCAACAGTGAGCTCACTTTAAGGGCAGAATCTCTTGCTGCAGCATATCTCACTGATCTGACCATGAGCTCAGCAGATGAACTTGTTCAGTACAAATCATTGATTTCAGAAGAACAAAAATGCTTTCCCAAATGTTTACATAGCACTTAGACTCTTTTTGACCCTGCCAATAACAAACTGTGAAGGGGAACGGTCATTCTCCAGACTGGCTTGAATAAAAAATGAGCTCAGAAAATGTGCCAAAATCGGTTGAATTCACTCTCCCTTCTTGCAATAGAATCAGAGCTTGTTCAACAGCTCAACTTTGATGAGTTAGTGGACGACTTTGCAAGAAGGAAGAGCAGAAAGAAACTTTTATGGAATCCTTAGGTACAGTAGGTTGGTGGTTGGGGGGGGGGGGGGGGTTGCAAACCCAGACCCCCCATAATCTGGTCCTGTCTATATCTACCATTATTTGTGTGTTTTATTTTGTCATTAAGAAGGATTAATAGCGTTGTTGAAAGTTAGTCTAAATCTCACTGACAGTGTTCCACAAAATCTTTATCATAAATGGCTTAAAGAAGAAAAGTGCACACTCTGACACAAAACAAAAGACAAAGGTAAAAAAAAAAATCCTCTCAGGTGAGCACAGATGTGAAGTTTCAGAGCTTTCTCTGGGCCCGGGGAATATAATAATGAGTGATGAAAGTTTGTCCACTGGAGGGCAGCAGAGGAGAGAAAATATCTGATCCTCAAGAAAGAGGCGTGAGAAACAACAGGAGGAGTCACTCTTGGAGGGAAAAAAAAACCACCACAGAGGTTTTACTGAACTCTTAATCTTAACCATGTAAACGTTTGTGGTTTTAATTCTTTGTTTGATCGATTTTTCATTTTTTAAAAACATCACTAAGAGCAAGTTTGAAGGGTATGAAGAAGACTTGAAGCTTCAGACTGAGACTCATTTGGAAATGAGGGAGTAACACAAGTTACTATTATCTCATTAGGGCCCGAGCGTAGCTGCTAAGCAGCTGCGAGAGCCCTATTATTCCCCAAGTGGTTTTTAGGGCCCGAGCGTAGCTGCTAAGCAGCTGCGAGAGCCCTCTTGTTCCTGTAGTTTCCTTCTTTTTAGGGCCCGAGCCAGCTGCAGAGCAGCCGGGCGTAGGCCCTATTATTCCCCAAGTGGTTTTTCTTTGTTTCTTTCTTTCTTTTTTCTTTTTCCTCCCCTTTGAACTGGAAAATGGCCCACTTCCCACTGGCGAAAACTCATGAAATTTGGCAGGACGACCGGGCCTGGTGAAAAATTTGATATTCCGAAGTCGCCCAAACAAGAAAATGCAAAATGGCTCCATAGCGCCCCCTAAGGTGAAAATTCACACTATTGACTGTCACGCCTGTACGCTTTGTCAAAATGACACAAAAATTGACACACACATGTATCTCAATAAGATCTACAAAAAAGTCAGTGCGGGCGTATCTGTCAAATGTACGGTTAAAGGGTTATTTCGCATTTTTTGCCGATCCGCACACATTGGAATTTCGCTAACTCCTCCGAAGGCTTTCGTTCCACCGGCACCACATTTGCTCAGGCCAATCTACACCCCGTGGCCATTAAAAGTTATCAAAATCATGACGCTGCACCCCACGGTTTAGGTTCTAGGGGGCGCCAAAGATAACCCTAAAATCCACATATTTAAAAGTCTTATAACTTTTTATTTTTGCCCTCACTGGCCTCCAAGTTTTCTAGGATGATGCAATGTCCAGCCATCAACACATTTGTGAAGGAATTTTTACTCCCCAAAAGAGCGCCCCCCCATGGCAGGAGAAAAAAGTCCATTTTTTCTTGTCCCCTAAGGTGAAAATTCACACTATTGACTGTCACGCCTGTACGCTTTGTCAAAATGACACAAAAATTGACACACACATGTATCTCAATAAGATCTACAAAAAAGTCCATGCGCGCGTATCTGTCTAATGTATGGTTAAAGGGTTATTTCGCATTTTTTGCCGATTCGCACACATTGGAATTTCGCTAACTCCTCCTAAGGCTTTCGTCCCACTGACACCAAATTTGCTCAGGCCAATCTACACTCCATGGCCATTCAAAGTTGTAAAAATCATGACGCTGCACCCCACGGTTTACGTTTTAGGGGGCGCCAAAGATGACCCAAATATACATTACAGTAGACAAAGTAGTTTTGCCCACTGAGTGGCGCCAAAGGGACTTGTCTGTGGAGTCTGTGAGTCACTATTGGCCGTTTTTGACTACTTTAGATTTTACCTTTATATTTCCTCTTACAAAATTTTTACCTTGCCTTGCCTGGTATCATTTTTTTCAGCACAACCTCACCTGTGTCAATTTACAGTTATTTTATCATTTTGACATACTATATTTACACATTGGACCCAAATTCACACACAAAACATAAAATCCGAGTGGAAAAAAGTAACGTTTTTACTGTGAAAACCACAAATATGTGTGATGAACTGTTTTTAAAACTTAAACTTCAAATAAAAATTGTAAACTTCAAAACATATGCAAATTTTTAACAAAGAACATAGTAATTTACCTCTATTGACGTCAAAATGCAGGCAATGGCCCAGGTGTTCTTTGTAAAATTATTTACAAAACACTGTATAGTCTCACAAATGTCACTTTTTATTTATGCCACTACAAAAAAACATGATGTAAATGATGCATGATGTAAAACATGATGTAAAAAACTTGTGTAGATCCTCCTCTATGTCAGTCCATGTGTAATTTTTCCATAATTCTTTGTTTTTTGCAGCATTTTTGTTAGTGTAACTGCAGATTGTGCTGACAGTGTCTATGGCACAAAAAAAAAAATTTAAAATGCCTCAACATGAACCCCTGGTGGTCTCTGAGGGTGAAACCTGCTAACTGCTGCAGCTCTGTCAGCTTCAGTCTCCCATGCAGAGCTCGGAGCGCATGTGTGGCTCTGCACCCTTAGCAGCGTTGCTAACTCCTCAGTAAGGAAAGCCTGCTTCATGTCAGAGTCTCTAAACTCCAGAAGAAGTCGATAAAAGTCCCTTTCTTTCTAAAAAAAGTCGTTAGGGGGTCTGAAAAGTCATTGAATCTAACAACAAAGTCGCTAGGTTTGCAACTACGTGTCCCAGACTGCATCCCTGCTGAGAGTCCCTCCCTCCCTTCTCATATTGCAGGAAGAACGTAAGCACCCGCCCCTTGTCAATCAGTCACCATATAATTTTGGATTGGTTGTTGTGGTGAAGTTTTCCACCAAAAGGAGAGATGTTGTGGTGTGTTTTTTTTTTCCTTTGGCAAGCCTTTTCCGCCTGTAAGACCTGTCGCTAATGTCTGCATGCTATGTTTTCCTGTCTCATACAGCGCGATCGAGCGCCGAACGTGATCAAAATAAGCAGAAAACAAGTATCGCGGACATAATTTATCATAACTCTGGTTTTATTTGGCCTATCAACACAATTTAAAAACTGGTATATAGGTTGAGGTCCTCACTTTTGAGATAAGTTGAAACGGAGAGTCAACGAGGCTCCGTCTTGCAGCTACATCCGGTTAAATATGTCATGTGACTTGAACGCACACACAGACACACACACACGCACACACACACACACACACACACACACACACACACACACACACACACACTCAGAGTCTGGTTTTTAGCACCTGCAAAAACATGCTATTTACATATTTGACAAGAATGCAGAGGCTCCTTTTGCCCCTGAAAAAAATCAAATTTCAAACACAACTTGACTGGTCATTTCTCCAAAAGACAACCATGAAGCTCCATCCAAACCTGAAGCAGGCAGTTGGTGCATGTGTACAGTAACCTGAGGGGAGTGAGGTGAGTGCTTCTGAGGAGAACATGAGCAGTGAAGATTCACCTTGGAGCTAGAACAGAGACATGCACATGATTATACAGGGGCAGGGGCTCAAGTTTTTTCCAGTCGTTTATACAATATGGAAATTAATGTGAAATTAAAACACAAAGTATTAATAGAAAGGTAATGACTGTCCTGTGTAGGTGACAGTGATATCCAATAGGCTAGGCACTCACGAGGCTGGCTGTGGCAAGTGTAAGTGAAAGCAACACGCACTGGCAGGAAGAACAGCAAACGCCGATGAAGGAAAAGGGTCTTTGCAGTGATGGGCGTTACCAGAGAGGGCGATGGCCAAAAGGACACAAATGGGACGGGGAGGCAGCACGTTGGGGGGGGGGGGGGGGGGACACGACACGGCTCGGGCCCGCCAGTGCCCCAACGGGGTCCTAGTGTTATTATTAGGGCCCGAGCGTAGCTGCTAAGCAGCTGCGAGAGCCCTATTATTCCCCAAGGGGTTTTTCTTTGTTTCTTTTTTCTTTTTCCTCCCCTTTGAACTGGAAAATGGCCCACTTCCCACTGGCGAAAACTCATGAAATTTGGCAGGACGACCGGGCCTGGTGAAAAATTTGATATTCCGAAGTCGCCCAAACAAGAAAATGCAAAATGGCTCCATAGCGCCCCCTAAGGTGAAAATTCACACTATTGAGTGTCACGCCTGTACGCTTTGTCAAAATGACACAAAATTTGACACACACATGTATCTCAATAAGATCTACAAAAAAGTCAGTGCGGGCGTATCTGTCAAATGTACGGTTAAAGGGTTATTTCGCATTTTTTGCCGATCCGCACACATTGGAATTTCGCTAACTCCTCCGAAGGCTTTCGTTCCACCGGCACCACATTTGCTCAGGCCAATCTACACCCCATGGCCATTAAAAGTTATTCAAATCATGACGCTGCACCCCACGGTTTAGGTTCTAGGGGGCGCCAAAGATAACCCTAAAATCCACATATTTAAAAGTCTTATAACTTTTTATTTTTGCCCTCACTGGCCTCCAAGTTTTCTAGGATGATGCAATGTCCAGCCATCAACACATTTGTGAAGGAATTTTTACTCCCCAAAAGAGCGCCCCCCCATGGCAGGAGAAAAAAGTCCATTTTTTCTTGTCCCCTAAGGTGAAAATACACATTGTTGAGTGTCACGCCTGTACGCTTTGTCAAAATGACACAAAAATTGACACACACATGTATCTCAATAAGATCTACAAAAAAAGTCCATGCGCGCGTATCTGTCAAATGTACGGTTAAAGGGTTATTCCGCATTTTTTGCCGATTCGCACACATTGGAATTTCGCTAACTCCTCCGAAGGCTTTCGTTCCACCGGCACCACATTTGCTCAGGCCAATCTACACCCCATGGCCATTAAAAGTTATTCAAATCATGACGCTGCACCCCACGGTTTACGTTCTAGGGGGCGCCAAAGTTAACCCAAAAATCCACATTTTTAAAAGTCTTATAACTTTTTATTTTTGTCCTCACTGGCCTCCAAGTTTTCTAGGATGATGCAATGTCCAGCCATCAACACATTTGTGAAGGAATTTTTACTCCCTAAAAGAGCGCCCCCCCATGGCAGGAGAAAAAAGTCCATTTTTTCTTGTCCCCTAAGGTGAAAATACACATTGTTGACTGTCACGCCTGTACGCTTTGGCAAAATGACACAAAAATTGACAATCATGTGTATCTCAATAAGATCTACGAAAAAGTCAAAGAGCGCGTATCTGTATAATGTACGGTAAAAGGGCTATTTTGCATTTTTTGCCGATTCGCACACATTGGAATTTCGCTAACTCCTCCTAAGGCTTTCGTCCCACTGACACCAAATTTGCTCAGGCCAATCTACACTCCATGGCCATTCAAAGTTGTAAAAATCATGACGCTGCACCCCACGGTTTACGTTTTAGGGGGCGCCAAAGATGACCCAAATATACATTACAGTAGACAAAGTAGTTTTGCCCACTGAGTGGCGCCAAAGGGACTTGTCTGTGGAGTCTGTGAGTCACTATTGGCCGTTTTTGACTACTTTAGATTTTACCTTTATATTTCCTCTTACAAAATTTTTACCTTGCCTTGCCTGGTATCATTTTTTTCAGCACAACCTCACCTGTGTCAATTTACAGTTATTTTATCATTTTGACATACTATATTTACACATTGGACCCAAATTCACACACAAAACATAAAATCCGAGTGGAAAAAAGTAACGTTTTTACTGTGGAAACCACAAATATGTGTGATGAACTGTTTTTAAAACTTAAACTTCAAATAAAAATTGTAAACTTCAAAACATATGCAAATTTTTAACAAAGAACATAGTAATTTACCTCTATTTACATCAAAATGCAGGCAATGGCCCAGGTGTTCTTTGTAAAATTATTTACAAAACACTGTATAGTCTCACAAATGTCACTTTTTATTTATGCCACTACAAAAAAACATGATGTAAATGATGCATGATGTAAAACATGATGTAAAAAACTTGTGTATATCCTCCTCTATGTTAGTCCATGTGTAATTTTTCCATAATTCTTTGTTTTTTGCAGCATTTTTGTTAGTGTAACTGCAGATTGTGCTGACAGTGTCTATGGCAAAAAAAAAAAAAAAAAACTGAAAATGCCTCAACATGAACCCCTGGTGGTCTCTGAGGGTGAAACCTGCTAACTGCTGCAGCTCTGTCAGCTTCAGTCTCCCATGCAGAGCTCTGAGCGCATGTGTGGCTCTGCACCCTTAGCAGCGTTGCTAACTCCTCAGTAAGGAAAGCCTGCTTCATGTCAGAGTCTCTAAACTCCAGAAGAAGTCGATAAAAGTCCCTTTCTTTCTAAAAAAAAGTCGTTAGGGGGTCTGAAAAGTCATTGAATCTAACAACAAAGTCGCTAGGTTTGCAACTACGTGTCCCAGACTGCATCCCTGCTGAGAGTCCCTCCCTCCCTTCTCATATTGCAGGAAGAACGTAAGCGCCCGCCCCTTGTCAATCAGTCACCATATAATTTTGGATTGGTTGCTGTGGTGAAGTTTTCCACCAATAGGAGAGATGTTGTGGTGTGTTTTTTTTTTCCTTTGGCAAGCCTTTTCCGCCTGTAAGACCTGTCGCTAATGTCTGCATGCTATGTTTTCCTGTCTCATACAGCGCGATCGAGCGCCGAACGTGATCAAAATAAGCAGAAAACAAGTATCGCGGACATAATTTATCATAACTCTGGTTTTATTTGGCCTATCAACACAATTTAAAAACTGGTATATAGGTTGAGGTCCTCACTTTTGAGATAAGTTGAAACGGAGAGTCAACGAGGCTCCGTCTTGCAGCTACATCCGGTTAAATATGTCATGTGACTTGAACGCACACACACACACACACACACACACACACAGACACACACACACACGCACACACACACACTCAGAGTCTGGTTTTTAGCACCTGAAAAAACATGCTATTTACATATTTGACAAGAATGCAGAGGCTCCTATTGCCCCTGAAAAAAATCAAATTTCAAACACAACTTGACTGGTCATTTCTCCAAAAGACAACCATGAAGCTCCATCCAAACCTGAAGCAGGCAGTTGGTGCATGTGTACAGTAACCTGAGGGGAGTGAGGTGACTGCTTCTGAGGAGAACATGAGCAGTGAAGATTCACCTTAGAGCTAGAACAGAGACGTGCACATGATTATACAGGGGCAGGGGCTCAAGTTTTTTCCAGTTGTTTATACAATATGGAAATTAATGTGAAATTAAAAAACAAAGTATTAATAGAAAGGTAATGACTGTCCTGTGTAGGTGACAGTGATATCCAATAGGCTAGGCACTCACGAGGCTGGCTGTGGCAAGTGTAAGTGAAAGCAACACGCACTGGCAGGAAGAACAGCAAACGCCGATGAAGGAAAAGGGTCTTTGCAGTGATGGGCGTTACCAGAGAGGGCGATGGCCAGAGGACACAAATGGGACGGGGAGGCAGCGCGTTGGGGGGGACGCGACACAGCTCGGGCCCGCCAGTGCCCCAACGGGGTCCTAGTTATTATTATTATTTTTCCTCCCCTTTGAACTGGAAAATGGCCCACTTCCCACTGGCGAAAACTCATGAAATTTGGCAGGACGACCGGGCCTGGTGAAAAATTTGATATTCCGAAGTCGCCCAAACAAGAAAATGCAAAATGGCTCCATAGCGCCCCCTAAGGTGAAAATTCACACTATTCACTGTCACGCCGGTACGCTTTGTCAAAATGACACAAAAATTGACACACACATGTATCTCAATAAGATCTACAAAAAAGTCAGTGCGGGCGTATCTGTCAAATGTACGGTTAAAGGGTTATTTCGCATTTTTTGCCGATCCGCACACATTGGAATTTCGCTAACTCCTCCGAAGGCTTTCGTTCCACCGGCACCACATTTGCTCAGGCCAATCTACACCCCATGGCCATTAAAAGTTATTCAAATCATGACGCTGCACCCCACGGTTTAGGTTCTAGGGGGCGCCAAAGATAACCCTAAGATCCACATATTTAAAAGTCTTATAACTTTTTATTTTTGCCCTCACTGGCCTCCAAGTTTTCTAGGATGATGCAATGTCCAGCCATCAACACATTTGTGAAGGAATTTTTACTCCCCAAAAGAGCGCCCCCCCATGGCAGGAGAAAAAAGTCCATTTTTTCTTGTCCCCTAAGGTGAAAATACACATTGTTGAGTGTAACACCTGTACGCTTTGGCAAAATGACACAAAAATTGACACACACATGTATCTCAATAAGATCTACGAAAAAGTCAATGCGCGCGTATCTGTCAAATGTACGGTTAAAGGGTTATTCCGCATTTTTTGCCGATCCGCACACATTGGAATTTCGCTAACTCCTCCGAAGGCTTTCGTTCCACCGGCACCACATTTGCTCAGGCCAATCTACACCCCATGGCCATTAAAAGTTATTCAAATCATGACGCTGCACCCCATGGTTTAGGTTCTAGGGGGAGCCAAAGATAACCCTAAAATCTACATATTTAAAAGTCTTATAACTTTTTATTTTTGTCCCCACTGGCCTCCAAGTTTTCTAGGATGATGCAATGTCCAGCCATCAACACATTTGTGAAGGAATTTTTACTCGGCAAAAGAGCGCCCCCCCATGGCAGGAGAAAAAAGTCAATTTTTTCTTGTCCACTAAGGTGAAAATACACATTGTTGAGTGCTACGCCTGTATGTTTTGTCGTATTGACACAAAATTTTACATACACGTGTATTTACATAAGATCTTCGAAAAAGTCAATGGCCACGTATCTGTAAAATGTACGGTTAAAGGGTTATTTCGCATTTTTTGCAGATTCGCACACATTGGAATTTCGCTAATTCCTCCGAAGGCTTTCGTTCCACCGGCACCACATTTGCTCAGGCCAATCTACACCCCATGGCCATTAAAAGTTATTCAAATCATGACGCTGCACCCCACGGTTTAGGTTCTAGGGGGCGCCAAATATAACCCTAAAATCCACATATTTAAAAGTCTTATAACTTTTTATTTTTGTCCTCACTGGCCTCCATGTTTTCTAGGATGATGCAATGTCCAGCCATCAACACATTTGTGAAGGAGTTTTTTCTCTTTAAAAGAGCGCCCCCCCATGGCAGGAGAATAAAGTCAAGTTTTTCCTGTTCATCATTCAATGGCTCAAACGCACTGCTCTCTCGGCAAAAGCGAAAGGAGGAGCAACTTGCCATTTGGATATATCTTAGCTGTGTTTGTGCCCTCACTCATGGTCCAGACTTTTTTCAAATAGGACATGGAGTTTTTCTGCAGCGAGCGTTTTGGTAGAAACTGCGCCTCCCGTTCATTATAATGGTAAATGACCACAAACAAGTGCGCACACCATCTTTGGACCTTGAGTGTGACGCGATCGGGTGGGGGAGGCGGTCGCGCTGGGGGCGGCGTGACACGGCTCGGGCCCGCCAGTGCCCCAACGGGGCCCTAGTTCTTTGTTTCTTTTTTCTTTTTCCTCCCCTTTGAACTGGAAAATGGCCCACTTCCCACTGGCGAAAACTCATGAAATTTGGCAGGACGACCGGGCCTGGTGAAAAATTTGATATTCTGAAGTCGCCCAAACAATACAATGCAAAATGGCTCCATAGCGCCCCCTAAGGTGAAAAATTCACCTGACGCCTGTACGCTTTGTCAAAATGACACAAAAATTGACACACACATGTATCTCAATAAGATCTACAAAAAAGTCAGTGCGGGCGTATCTGTCAAATGTACGGTTAAAGGGTTATTGCGCATTTTTTGCCGATCCGCACACATTGGAATTTCGCTAACTCCTCCGAAGGCTTTTGTTCCACCGGCACCACATTTGCTCAGGCCAATCTACACCCCATGGCCATTAAAAGTTATTCAAATCATTATGCTGCACCCCACGGTTTAGGTTCTAGGGGGCGCCAAAGATAACCCTAAAATCCACATATTTCAAAGTCTTATAACTTTTTATTTTTGCCCTCACTGGCCTCCAAGTTTTCTAGGATGATGCAATGTCCAGCCATCAACACATTTGTGAAGGAATTTTTACTCCCCAAAAGAGCGCCCCCCCATGGCAGGAGAAAAAAGTCAATTTTTTCTTGTCCCGTAAGGTGAAAATTCACATTGTTGAGTGTGACACCTGTACGCTTTGTCATATTGACACAAAATTTGACTATCACGTGTATCTCAATAAGATCTACGAAAAAGTCAATGTGCGCGTATCTGTCAAATGTACGGTTAAAGGGTTATTCCGCATTTTTTGCCGATCCGCACACATTGGAATTTCGCTAACTCCTCCGAAGGCTTTCGTTCCACCGGCACCACATTTGCTCAGGCCAAATTACACCCCATGGCCATTAAAAGTTATTCAAATCATGACGCTGCACCCCACGGTTTACGTTCTAGGGGGCGCCAAAGATAACCCAAAAATCCACATTTTTAAAAGTCTTATAACTTTTTATTTTTGTCCTCACTGGCCTCCAAGTTTTCTAGGATGATGCAATGTCCAGCCATCAACACATTTGTGAAGGAATTTTTACTCCCTAAAAGAGCGCCCCCCCATGGCAGGAGAAAAAAGTCCATTTTTTCTTGTCCCCTAAGGTGAAAATACACATTGTTGACTGTCACGCCTGTACGCTTTATCATATTGACACAAAAACTGACACACATATGTATCTCAATAAGATCTGTGTGCATGTGTGGCTCTGCACCCTTAGCAGCGTTGCTAACTCCTCAGTAAGGAAAGCCTGCTTCATGTCAGAGTCTCTAAACTCCAGAAGAAGTCGATAAAAGTCACTTTCTTTCTAAAAAAAAAGTCGTTAGGGGGTCTGAAAAGTCATTGAATCTAACAACAAAGTCGCTAGGTTTGCAACTACGTGTCCCAGACTGCATCCCTGCTGAGAGTCCCTCCCTCCCTCCCTTCTCATATTGCAGGAAGAACGTAAGCGCCCGCCCCTTGTCAATCAGTCACCATATAATTTTGGATTGGTTGTTGTGGTGAAGTTTTCCACCAATAGGAGAGATGTTGTGGTGTGTTTTTTTTTTTCCTTTGGCAAGCCTTTTCCGCCTGTAAGACCTGTCGCTAATGTCTGCATGCTATGTTTTCCTGTCTCATACAGCGCGATCGAGCGCCGAACGTGATCAAAATAAGCAGAAAACAAGTATCGCGGACATAATTTATCATAACTCTGGTTTTATTTGGCCTATCAACACAATTTAAAAACTGGTATATAGGTTGAGGTCCTCACTTTTGAGATAAATTGAAACGGAGAGTCAACGAGGCTCCGTCTTGCAGCTACATCCGGTTAAATATGTCATGTGACTTGAACGCACACACACACACACACACACACACACACACACACACACACACACACACACACACACACACACACACACACACACACACACACACACTCAGAGTCTGGTTTTTAGCACCTGCAAAAACATGCTATTTACATATTTGACAAGAATGCAGAGGCTCCTTTTGCCCCTGAAAAAAATCAAATTTCAAACACAACTTGACTGGTCATTTCTCCAAAAGACAACCATGAAGCTCCATCCAAACCTGAAGCAGGCAGTTGGTGCATGTGTACAGTAACCTGAGGGGAGTGAGGTGAGTGCTTCTGAGGAGAACATGAGCAGTGAAGATTCACCTTGGAGCTAGAACAGAGACATGCACATGATTATACAGGGGCAGGGGCTCAAGTTTTTTCCAGTCGTTTATACAATATGGAAATTAATGTGAAATTAAAACACAAAGTATTAATAGAAAGGTAATGACTGTCCTGTGTAGGTGACAGTGATATCCAATAGGCTAGGCACTCACGAGGCTGGCTGTGGCAAGTGTAAGTGAAAGCAACACGCACTGGCAGGAAGAACAGCAAACGCCGATGAAGGAAAAGGGTCTTTGCAGTGATGGGCGTTACCAGAGAGGGCGATGTCCAGAGGACACAAATGGGACGGGGAGGCAGCGCGTTGGGGGGGGGACACGACACAGCTCGGGCCCGCCAGTGCCCCAACGGGGTCCTAGTTCATTTTAATACTGTAAATAGAAAAATGCAGGTTTTATCATACTCTTATTCTTTTTTGTATTTCCCACAGACTAAAGGTTAAAATGTCCCTATATACTGTTTATATGAGTATGCCTTTAAAAACAGCATTCAATGAGTAAAAGTTTATACAAAAATGCTCTTCATCTCTGTAGTTTTTTTTTTTTTACGTAAAATTTTCAAATATTGTGTGAGACATTGTCCAATTTGTAGAAGGTGCTAAACCTTCTATAATTTCTGTAATGACTTTTGTCACTTAATGTCATGTGACTCTGGAAAACAGCACAGAAACGTCGCTTTTTCCAACTTTATATCTGCCACGGTCGTACAGAAGACGGACTTGTTGAACAGAAACCCCGCCTTTATCACAGTGAGACCTGTGATGCATTCAAGGCTACAAAAAATAAATAAATAAATAAATAACAGTGAAACTGAAAACTGTACTAATGAATATGAATGAATGTTAATGCTAATGAACGTTAACTTGGCAGGGTTTAATTACCTAAAGAGGCCAGCTTTAGTCAAATTTATGAAGTAAAATACTTTGAGTCTGCACTCATACACTGAGAATTTGTAAGTTTTACTAACCTGGTGATTTTAATGACTATGTCTGATGAAATGTTTGTGTGTTTAGTGAATATTTTATTATTATTATTATTATTATTATTATTATTATTATTATTATTATTATTGTTGTTGTTGTTCACAGCCAAAAACAAACAAATAAAAAGACTTCCAGTTCAGAAAAAAAAGATTTTCAAAAAAACTCCAAATAACCACCGATTTTTAAGACTTAATAACGAAGACTGATAACTAAGTTAGACTTCTATATTCTGTGATTCTTAATTGAGGCTGAGTATAGAACCAGCACAACATAAACATGCACATGTTAACATTTCTTTTAACAGCGTCAAAAGTATTGACCTAAATTATTCAGAGCAACTTTTGATGAAAAATAAATCCACCTTTTACCATGTTCTCCTATGTGACTTGAACGCACCGCCGCTGTGAAGTGGGAGTTCTTCTGAGGGCGTGTCTCTCTGAGAAAAGCAGTCAGTTTCTAATTCTACCAGCTTTTTCTCTCTCCCACCGCCTCCGGTTTCAGTCTGCATTCCGTCCCTTCTCCAGAGTTCAGTTCGCTTGAGGTTTTATTCTCAGAGGAGTTGAGGGGATCCTACAGGTTTACACAGATCACCTCAGTCACAAACTAGTGGAGTCAATTGGGAAGAGTTAAGTTTCATCCACCATGGGGGACGTGATTTCCAGTCACCTGGATGAAGCCAAGCGGGGAATGATCACAGGTGAGGAGCGTTTGGTAACTGTGAGTTGCTTTGGCACATGTGCGTTTTTCTTCTTTAACGCAGCGGTTTCTTACTGCCGTGTGAGAGATCCAACCACTGATAAATCAGAATGCGTTAACTTTATCAAGCTTCTCAGTGTGACTGTGACACTTCTGACCAATCACTGTTTCTTAGAGATAGCATGTGGTGTCAGTGCTGAGCCACAGCTGGAGTTAACTCAATGTACCGAGGTTTGGCGTGTGTGGTACAGCTCTGATGTTTTTTTAAACTGTCTTAATCCGACCAAACTCCCAATTTTGCTTATAATTAGGAGTAGAAAACACCAAATGAACTCTCACTTTTTAATCTGGATATTTGTGTGTTTTCAGCATTTATCTGTCTGTGACACAATTGTAAACTTTTGTCCCCATTTCTTGCCCCAGAGTTTCCCTCTTTGTGTTTGTTCAATAGTTTTTTTTTCTTCTTTTTTCCACATAGTGTTTCCTTCTGTCAGAAACATTTCTATCAGGGAAATCTGATCTAGTTTTCCTGGTGTAAAAATGCTCAAATGTGTTTGGTATCCAATAGCCGTAGCATGTATCTTTAAAATCTCTAACAGTTTGTTGTAAAATGACATAAACTTCTGATCCTGATCCAATTTTATCTGCCATTAACCATCCTGATACTGGTTACCGAGAGAAAAGAACTGCACACTTTCTTTGCTTTGAAAGTGTGTGGGTTGATCCAGTTTGCAGTGATACTTCGCAAATGTTTGTTGTAAAAATAATAGCAGTCTCATAATAAAATCACTGCAGTGTCTGAAATGTGACATTGAGGCAGCAGGACAAAGATCAAAAAGGCAACAAAACCCAGCATCCTCTCGAAGGAGATGGGCTGTTTGTCTTGAGCGATCATTTTTTATACTCTCTTTGGAATATTTATCCTTTTAAAAGTCCAGAGTTTGTGGTTTCGGTGCAGTATTCTCTTCCTCTGTTGCTTTAGATAATGCACAGTATTCTGTTGTACGTTTAGTTTTTAGATGTCATATCATATTTGTTACGTTGAACTCTGCTTTAGTGCATTGTGAAATGATCTTATTGCATATATTTCAAGTGGCTGTTGGACGGTTTTCACTTTCTGGCTTTAAACATTTACACACTGCTGTTTTCAGCCAAGGGTTTTTAATGCTTTACCTATGCACTTATGTTCAGCTGCAAATCGTGTCCAGTTTACCACAGCTGGAGTAAGTTACTGAGGTGTGATGACTGGGAAAAATGTCCAGATTTGCTCTGATGGAAAGAGGTTGAGGTCAGACTCAATAATAAAGATCAGGTCACCCTAATATTAAATGTAATTTGGCCTCTTTCTGTGTGCTCTAAATAATTAAAGGATCCAAATCAAATCTTCAGATTCCATGAAAAAAAAGCATTATCTTAACAGCAGCAGCATAATCAGTGAAGCTCCAATATGCACCATCTCACACCCATCTGGGTAGAGCTGCACCCACCAGCCCCACCCTGTCTATTGGCTTTATCACAGTTTATGAACTCAGGTTAGCTGTACTTTTAATCTTCATTGGTTTTCCGTCTTTCTCAGACCTTCAAACTTTTTATCTTTTATTCAGAAATGTTTACACAGGGTGATTCATACTTGTTTCTTCTCTCATCAAACTTAGATAATCAAAAAGCTCCATGGTGACAAAAGCTTCACCCTTATCAGCTGCTGCTCTCATGCAGGAGCATGTGGCCTTGTCATTGGGCCTGCTGGAACATGTTCAGTGTTAAATGAAGTCAGTACAGTGTGGGAATATGAAGCAATAATCCTCAGGGAGTATCCTCAAAGGCAGCGGTTTGTGTGAACATCTTTGTTATTCTGTGTCAGGATCCGATCAAAGAAAGAGATTGTCCAACACGTCTAGTTTTAAGTGATGAAAATCAAACTCGCTGCATGCCTGTAAAATTGATCGTTACTCCCACAGGCCGTCATACAATAGCTAATTATAACGTTTCAGTTCTGCTTGCTAACGGTACAGAGATTGTGCTTGTGCTGACTGTTATACCTTTTAAATATTGTATATTTCTGTTCAATTAAAATATAAAACCCAACATATGAAGTAGATTAGGAATCAATGGAAAATTTTATATCAGGGTATTGTAGGTAAAACTACCTGGAACGTGATTCTTTGGACATTTTTTTGGTGATTTGTATCAAAAGACATCTATGGTGTATTTGTTGACACCAAATTAAAATAAAGATTTTTATGCAACGCAATTTCACAAGTTCCACTTAAAAGTCAATGACACTAATACATTAGTCAAATCATTTTAGTTTGACAAAAGATTAAGTTTTAGAGTCTACTGAGAAATTGGTTTTGTAGTGTCAGCATTTCCTGACTTCAACAGAATGCAGCACAAATGGTCTAACCAAACCCCATTCAAAAAAACAAGCATTTTAAGAAGTCAACAGGCACATCCCTAATCAAAATACTGAGAGATCAGCTATCATCTGTGCAGGTTTGGGCAGAAGAGCAGGGAGGACGCCTGTTAGAACTGGGTACTATTCAGAACATCATAATTCAATTCAATTTTGATTTTAATTCTTTTGATTGTAATCCAATACAATATCTATTTGATTGGACTTTGATTCAATATTGATTTTGATTCAATTCTATATTGAGTTGTATGCTTAGATGTCGATTCAGTAAGAAGTACACAAATAGAGTACCTGTTGACAATTTTTAAATATTTATTTTCATGCCCATGTGAACATATGTGGCATGTTACCTCACACGTTGACCAATAAAACAAATAAAAATAATAATTTGCACGATAATAACTTATTTGTGCATATTGAAGTACAAAAGTAAAAAACATGACAGTTCTGTAAAAATACTGAAAAAGTAAAGTACATATAAACATTGATATTTCTTTCCTGTGATAAAAAAAAGTTGCAATTTGACAATAACAAAAACAACTTATTGAAGGCAAGGCCCTGAGCTGTGGGTTCAGAGCTGAGGCGATGAAGAATTCATCCTTCAGGCCACAGTACCTTGAATAAATTGTTTCAAATTACAGTAAATCTTTTTTGTCTCATGCTAATGACATTCTTATGAAAAGATTTGGCAGCGTGTAGTTAAAAAAAAAGGATAACAATGAATACCTTTTCTGGAGATCCTGGCACACAGCAGACTTTATCTCCTTCATCATCATAGAGTCATTGGGAGCTGGTTACATGTCATCCATAAGTCTTGCTCTCAGGGCTGCAGTGACAGACAGAGTTGGGGTACCTTCCTGGTTGCTGCTCCAAAAATCTTTCCAGCATGTCTAATGTGCCGTTCCAAAGCATTGGTACATCACTCACTAGTTTGTGCTGTAAATTCTGTTTCCTTTTGAGTGCATGACAGGCTAAGATGCTTTGGTGATAAAAAATTAGAGATGCGCCTCACTCTGCCAAGAAGCTGCGTGACTGCAGGGTTTTTAAGTGCGGCCTGTGAAGCCAAATTGAGTACCAGGGCAAAGCAGCCAACATGCAGTGACTCAGTGAGACTGACAGCAAGAAGCATGCTTGTGGCATTATCTGTGACAACAGCCGGTACTTTCCCTGTTAAACCCCATTCATTTATTGCCTCTGTCAACAAGTTGGCTATATTGCTCTCTGTGTGGCTGCTATGCAGGGCTCTGGTCTGTAGAACTTTTGATTCTAATTCCGACTTGTTGGAGATGAAATGATGTCATTTTTCAAAGAGATCAACCTCATACTAATATCAAACATGATGTGCAATTGTCGGGATATGTTTGAATTTTGCAACATTATTGGTGATAGCTTTTTTTTAAGCCTTTGTCAAGGAGCCTGGCATAAAATAAAACCATTTGTAGGAGTGCTGTTCATTGATAGTGCCTCCACTTCACGTGGGTGGCAAGCCATCAGGTGAGCCTGCAGATATGAGTAAGTAAGCTATTGTGCAGCATTGATGCCTCTTAGATGTTCTGATGTCGTGATTTTTTTCATTCTGCTTGACCATATCCTCCATGTTTATAGAATAACATACTTGTATTAGTTTACTGAGGTCAAGAGTGCATCGATTGACCAGCTTACAGTAAAAGCGCGCTGTGCTGGATCATACTGCAAACTACTTTAGGCAGCCTGATGCAGTGGTATACTATCTCATGAGTTTAAATGGCTATTTAGCTATTGAACTTTTATCCTAGAGTTAAATGAAGGTTCAAATTTCAGACTGATTCAGAGTTTAGACTCGTGTTTAGTAAAGCATGGAAGAAAATGTGCTTTACTTTATTGAAGCTTCAACACTTAACCAGCTCCATGGATTGATGAAAAACTACACCAAAATGGCGATTGCCCTTTTACCCACAATCATCAGGGGCCTCACAGGCAATGAGTTGACTGTGTGGTAATTTAGATATTGGTGTAATAAATTATAAATATTACAAAGCTGCCAAGTGTGCATTGTGCTTGACGGGAGTACAAATACCATGAGTGCACAGAGAATGGGAGGAACTGGCTGCTCAACAGAGGAACAGTTTAGGATTGTTTCCAAGTGGGTTGACCGCCCTTCCCCACAGTTTATGACTTTATGTACAGATTTTGTTTTCCAAAGTTGGGCCAAAACACTTTGATTGTCTGTAGACTGTCACATACCCTTTACTTGTCAGTTTGTGTTTCACAGTTTCAAGTTTTAGATTATATCCAGCTCAGCACATCACAGGAAGTAAAGAGAGACTAAAAATCACGGTAGAGGCCAAGCATCATCTTTCTTTTTAATGCCCTGAGTGGTTAATACAGAGCAGAGTGCACACATACACCTATCAGATGTGGAATCTGAGGAATGCCTGAATAAGTGTGTGTGTGTGTGTGTGTGTGTATGTGTGTGTGTGGCTGCATGGAAACCTCCTCCAGGCCTTGAGCTGCAGAGCCAGCGCCACACAGTCTCTTCAGCCAAGACCAGCTGAGGACCTGGCTAGCTTCAAGGGAAGTGGCTGAAGGGGCTGAACGATTAATTGCATTTGCAATAATATCATGATATGATAAAATGAGATTTTCTAACCGTAAAGGCCGTGATTTGACGTTCATTTGAGGACAAGAACAACACAAACAAGGACCTAGACTAGAGGAAAACAGAAGAGTACCAAAGAGGGGCAGCACTTCAGTTGCATGGATTTATTTTGACTATAAAAAAGAAGATGCTGCGCAGCGTCAGGTATCGTGCAGAACCTGCCTTGCTACTGTTGCTACCATATGAGATAACACTATGAACCTTTTATCAACATAAAAAACCCACCACAAAACCATGTATGATAGTCGCATGGCTTAAAGGGATATTTATTAAGGGATACCAACTTTAGTAATGACCGCATCAACAGTACATATAGGCCACACTAGCCACCAAACATCTTTTTAGCTTTGCCTAATTTCTTTAGCAAAGAGACTAAATACAACTCACCCACTCTCTTCCAGCAGCCGCTTGTTTGTTGCGAGACCTCAGGCCAGTCCATTACAGACCACAGCGAGGTGACGCAGCTCAAGGTAGAACATTAATGAAGTTAGGTGCTGTTCTGAGCATTATTTGTGGCGTTTTGATTGAGGTTTGTTTATGGCTCCTCAGACCGCCATGTGTTGCTATCGTGCGGTCGTTACTAAAGTTAGTAAAACTACAGAAGCAAGCGTTCTGCAACATTAATCTCTGGAGGGGGTGTCTAACTTGGTGTTACGGTGTGTTTGACCCTAGATTAATTTTACACCTGAATATCCCTTTAAATGCCAGCGACCAGCACTTCAACTTCGAGTAAGCAAAGTACCAGCTGACAGAAATCACTGACCAAACTGTTTGAAAGTATTTCTCCTTCTGAGCATATTTCGCAATTGCAGTATTTAGGGAAAAAATGCTAAGTAGATTATTTTCCAAAATCGTTCAGCCTTAGTACCTGGTTTTGTCGTTAAAGCCTTCCACACTCATATTACAAACCCACAAACTTCAGCTCACTGTATTCATTCCTGCTACTCTGAGAAAGTCGTCAGCTTGTGTGTCAGAGATCAGACTGTGGTTATCTTGCCCTTAGATATCGTCATCAATCAGCGTTATTGTTCTCTGTGGATGATTTATGAGTGGCTGATGAACGGGCCGCTCCTCTTCTGCTGTGATCTCACTGTGGGCAGAGCTGATAACTGTAACTGTGGGAGTCTGTGAGCTGACTCATATGTAACCAGGCAGCGTGTTCGACTTCCCCTCTAACCTCCAGCATGAGGTCAGCTCAGGAGGGAGGCTAGAAATGACCCAGATCACATGACTAACCCTCATTTCCTCTTTGGAAAGTTAGTCGAGTGCACATGTGTTTGCTGAAGTCAGGCTTGTACACGGAATATGCACATGGAGAATGTATTTACGAAAATTATCAGTGAAAAATCAACCAGTCAGGGCACTTCCCTCTATAAACAAAGAGGACAAATTATTTCACTGTAATATTGCTTTGCTATTGAAACATGTTAATTTTATGGTTTCAAAACTGTTTTTAGGTTTTTGAATATTTTTTATTAATACCAGTGTCTAAAGTTAAGTAGGCTGTCACATCACAAGTTTGTTTAAGGGGAAGAGGAGGGCCGTAGTGAGTGACCATATGTTCACGTCAGTCCTAAGATATTTATCATTACTCTAAGTGTTAAATGCCAAATCAGTTGTTAACAAAGACTGTATACAGAATGGACGCTGTCTGCCTCCTCGCTAGGTAAGACCACCCGAGAACAGCACCCTCCGGTGACAGGCTGCTATATAGGTCATAAATCCCGCCTCCTCCAGAAAACTCTTTGGAGCTGTGGACAAACTTTAGAAATTAATTACACAGAATATACATTTTTCTCCCCCCTGCTTGCGATGTTGACATGTAGTTACTGTAAGACTGGTTTTGGCTCAAGTTATCAGGGGGTTAATGTTTTCTATGATTGACACTTCATACAGCCTATGGGTCATCACAGCGACTCTCCCGCTGAATGTGTACAACGCTACTGCGCAATGTTGATTTCAGGAAGTGGAGAAAAAAATGCGGAAATACCGATATTTTTTCCGCTTCAAATCTGTATACTGGTGGAACCAAGTTGTCCATAGTATATACAGTCTATGGTTGTTAATGGGTTGATATCTGTCAAGAAGGAGCGGGTGTGCTATATCACAGTTGTTCCCATTTAAAAAAAAAATGCTATAAATTCTGCCATCAATGCAAATAATCTAAAAATTGCACAGTTTAAAAGAGTCAAGTCAACATTTCTTGTCCACAGAATGTAAAAATAACAAAGATTGCTCTTATCCTTTGGGGAGCTGAAAACTTAATTAGATCAGTTCTCCAAAAGGGTTGTTTTTTAAAATCATTTTTCCAACAAAATGGAATAAAAGTATGTTAATGATAAGGGATTAAGTTTAGAAGTATCCCTAGAAAGCAACAAAGTCCTGCGTGTATGTACACAAAACACATTCAGTGGTTCACCTTCACAAAGAGCCCCCTCAGGTCATCACACACACAGCAGTGTTAGTCGCGTCAGTGGGTGAGGGGACAGGAAACAGGAAATCCTAATGCGAAGTGTGTTTCTGTTAGCTCTATTAAATTTTCAGGCTTTGGGAGGGGGGTGGTGGGTGTGGGGTGGTCAGCCTTCTGCTGAAGGTTAGCGTGCCACGCCTCGCCAGACGAAACACACACCCGGCTCAGCACAGAGAGGCTGGTTTTAAACAGGTCCTGATAGTGGAAATACCTGCTGCCAGGACCTCAGAGTTTATGTACAGGCAGTGTCCTCTTTAGGTCCATTTTAGGGACGCACTGAAAATCCATCCATCCAAGAACAATGTTTGTGGGGTTCTCAAGACGGAAATAGTGAAAAACATGGATTGGAATTAAAATATTTTTTATCTGGACTTTTATCGTTTTTGCCAGAATTGCAAAACTTATCGTGATAAATTTTTTAGCCTATATCGCCCATCCCTAGCATGGATCATCCATTTCATAACCCCCTGATAGACCAACGGGTCCATGGTAGATGGTTGACGGCTTCTCTCACTTCGCTGCAGCCATCACACTCTGCAACTTGACTGTAAATAATAAGTGACACAAAACTTGAAAACCAAGACAATCGATTATAAAAATTATAATTCTAATCTTAATAAGCAAGTATATGTATCTGTGCTCACTAGTCACCATATTTACAAAGTGATCAGTTTCCTGTGATCTCACATACAGAGTGAAGACCTTAAATGCTGCCATGATCTGTTGTCTGTTGTTCACCAGATACTAATAATGTAATGCAGTGTTTCCCCTATCATTGTATTAACCCCCACTCTAGTGGTAGCCCCCTACCCCACCCCACCCTCTTAAAGGTCAGGTTAGTTTTGTTTAACTTGTTTTTCTACAAAGCACCAGATCACAACAGGAGTCATTAAAGGACACCTTTCCTATAGAACAGGTCTATAACTTTTCCTTTTAGTAAACAAATGCTCAATTGATTTGAAAACCATCAATATTCATCAACATTTGACACAGCCCCTGGCTTTTTTGAAATGTGTGCACACTGGTCAGGATTGTTGTTGGCCGTCCTCAGGAGAGAAGACAATGGACTATAGTAAAGAAGAGACTTCAGGTTACTCTTGACAAAAGCGTTTGTTCAGAAACCTTGCTCTCATACATTATATTTGCCAAATAAGTGAGTTAATCACGATTACTCACTCTCTTGACTTTTTAAAGTCCAATTATTTTTGCTCAGCTATCACCATATTCACCTTCATTCTGTGGGAAAACCTGTATTTCTGTAGCTCAATAGCCAGCCTTCATTCAAGACTGCATGTCTGTACAACTGTATCCATTAATTATTTTGCAACTCTTCAAAACTTTTCGGCTCTGCCCTCGTGTCTGTGTGTGTGTGCACTTCTGGTTTCATTAAAACCAAAAGCACAATGGACATAACGCCACCCTTCGAGGCGTCCAAAACCACAGGTCACAAATCACGATGCTGTTAACCAGTCATGTCTAATTCTTTAACAGACTGCTGTTTAAGCATTTATGGTGCAACCAGCCTTGTGATGTTGGTAATGATCATATTGTACTTGACGTGTTTGTTTAATTTAGTGTTTTGAGTCTTGCGTAACATACTGATCTGCCCCAGTGGCCTCCCTTTTCACCAGGAAAGCCTGAAAAATTAAGAGTTGGCTAACATGCTCTCCTTACAAAGTTGTCCAGATAAGTGTTTGAACAGAAACTCCTGCCCTGCCTCTAATTACCTCAGTAAACACGTTTAAATCTAAGTAAATCTGTCTTTTTTTAAGTGGCCCAGATCCTTGCACAACCACAGCTGCTGCTCAGATGGGAACACAGTCTAAATTTATGAGTCAGCCTGTGGGTCTATCTCAGAGGAATGTTTTTGTTAAAGCACTGAGGAGTTGGAACGGAGGGGGCGGGGAGGTCCTCCTGTGGCTCTATTAAGTATCAGTCTGGTCTTAACTCGGATCCCTCTGATCAGCATATGCTCAGAGTGTTGAAACAACTCCACGGATAAGACAGGCTGCCATGTAAACTGAACGCAGTGTTAGTTAGATTAGATTACTGCAGCAATGGGTGATAACACAGCAGTCATTATCATTGGAGCCTAAATCTGACCTCAGCACTGCAGAGACTCCCCAGACAATTATTCTTCTGGTAGTTTGCTGCAGCAACACAGAGTCAGTCAAGATCCCAGCAGCTCTTACAGCTACCTCATATGTTCTTGAACATCTAAACCTCAACAAAGAAAAGATTTCTAACTTCAGTGTTTACAGATGTGAATCACGCTGTTCCTGACTTCTCAATGTTTCCAAGTGAAGTTGAAAAGGATAAAATAAGATTTGTTTTCTTCTGGAAAAAAACTGCTGAAGTTGTTTCAATACAAATACCAGTTATGAAAATTCCTCTGATACAGCCAAAGTTATGGTGTTGGATACATTTCCAATACAACTGCTAGCAACATACGGTCATTTTTTGTGAAAGTTTGCCAATTGACTTTTATTCTATGGATTTTAACACAGATTTCAACATGGATTAGGACTTTTGTGCTGCTTTGATAGGAAAAGGAGGATGGCAGCCCTGCAGCACCAGCAGCTGCGGCCAGAGTTGATGGAGTTGTTTCTAGTCTTAGATAAGCTGTGTTACATGGGCACAAATAATCGGAATAAGTGCCCGATTGGAATAAAAATGCATCATGAAAACATGTTGATCGGAAGATTCTGATCCAATTTGGCTCAATTAGATAGAAATTGTATTCCGATCAAGAGGGGTGGTTTGTGCTGATCGTTATTCCAAAACGCATCCATGTAAACACTTATTCCAATTGTGACTCTCTTACCTGACTCGATCTTCACTCTTAAGTCTTTGGCTTATTTGTTGAGGCCAGTACAGAAAGTTACATAACAAGGCGTACATACCATGGATGATGTCACATCTGCACGCACAGTGCAACCTTTGACAGAACAGTAAAATAAGTACACAAGGGCGCCATCTAGTGACAACATTTAACAGGGAGGAAACTCCTGAACTGGATGGAGTGAGCCACTTCTGCGTGTGTTGGTTCGTTGACAGCACAGGTGTAAATACAACTCTTTTTCTGCATTGTTTTAGCAGAATCAGACAACTCTGCGCATGTCCAAATGCTTCTAATCTGAATAAAGCTTGGTGCATGTATACACACATCATGATCAGATTATTTGATTTTGCACCCATATAAACATTGAATTCAGATTATCTGATCCCTCAAATTTTTAATCGGATCAAGAAATTTCGCCCATGTAAACGTGGCTACTGTCAAAGGTACTGCATTTGGCGTAGTGTGATGCTGAATGCTGATGTGCTTGACCGTGGAGGTTGTGTTTTCCCCCTTGCAAGATATAATTACACATTACACAGAATTACATTGTCCTTTTATTTGTGTTGCTACCCTGCAATAAAATGATTAATTCCCACTGTCAATATTTTCCTAATGACTTTATGGTCCCAATCTTTGGTTTCAGGACTTTTAAAACCCAACATCATTTTCATTTAGCAGGTTATGGTTCCCATTAGAGCGACATAGACAATATAGCAGGGCGCATTTTGAAGTAGTCGCTACCTACAACCATGGCAACCAGTCAACCAGGACTAAATAGCCAAGCATATCTACCCTTTTATCCAAGTATGGTCACTTCTAGTACCAAACAACCATGATGGAACAGCCAAAAATACTTTATAAACTTGAACGCTGAGTAGTATGTTGATGTAAAATCCTTATAAGGGAAGCTTGTTTATTGCATGATACACTGAGTGGAAAGGCAAACCAAGATGTTATAGTCTGAATGATTTAAGAAGGACCACTGTGTGTGTGTGTTTTTATTAATGAGGGAGTGAACAAAGCATCTCTTTGTGTTCCTGGGATAGAATAAAGTTTGTCCTTTTGGGGCCTAATTTTACTCATTAGACTAACTACATTACATTCTTGGCGCTGTGGCTGTCAAACATGTGTAAACAGGGGTTTTATACTGAAACAGCTTATTGTTCGGGTTTAATTTGATGATGGCAGCCTGGCACCACTCTGGCACTCTTCTCTCCATGGATATTAACTCTACAGTTTACTGAACAGAACAGAGCAGACGCATGGATCAGGCATAAATACCAAGTAGATGTGTAAACTACCTATGTCACAGGGAATTATGCATCCAAATACCATCAGGGTTGCTAGCTTTTTAACTGTGTGCTGATTACAAACCAGGTGGTCTCTCTCCTCTTAGAAGTAGAGTGCACAGTGTCAGGGATTTCCACAAAGAGTGTCAAATTTTGCCTCTGTCCATCTTGGATGAGCTCAGGCCCAAAGAAGGTGTCTGTGTTTCATGATTACAAAAGGTTTCTTCTTTGCACGGTGCAGCTTTTATCTGAATTTGTGAATTAATGCTGCGTTCCAGTTACCTCAGAAGTCGGCTGTCGGAGCTGGGACTGACATTACGCCCGAGTTGACGGCGTTTTAGTAAACCAGTTGGAAAACCAAGATGGATGCCTACTGTTAGCCATTGTTAGCATTTGTTAAGAATTGTCAGCTATTGTTAGCCATTGTCAGTTGTTGTTAGCCGTTGTCAGCTGTTGTTGGTTGTTGTTACCAGTTGTAAACAACATACAACACAGTATTTTACTCTTACAAACACCATAGCACCGTGTTCACAGTTAGACGTTGGGCAGAAGAACATATACCGCTTATTTAATTTCACAAAAACAAAACAGAGGTAGTAAAAAAATAATACATTATGAGAGCTTTCACTGTTACTCCTTACTGTTGATGCACTGTGCAGCCATCTTGGCTTATAACATTGTCATCAAGTCCGGTTACTGAGGATGGTCTGACTTTCCAAGTCGGTAATCAGACTTCAGGGGGGCATTCCAGATGAATTTCCGACTCCGAGCTTGGAAATACTGACTTCTCAGTACAACTGAAACTTAGCTTAAGTGACAAGCTACATCCACAGGCAGTGGTTTTTCATGCAGTGACTTCCACTACAGAGTAATATCAGATTTTAATGCAGTGCACCTTGCAGAAGGCTTGAAGTTCATGGCCATCCAGTGTTGACTTTTGGCCTTGTACCTTTTGTAAAGAGATGTCTCCAGATTCTCTTTATCTTAGAAAAATAAAATGTACTGCAGATGATAAAACCCTTTCATTCTTTGCAGTTTTATACTGAGAAACACTATTCTGAAGTTGTTGAACTAATCTTAACACAGTCTCTCACAGATTGTTGAACCTCTTCCAATCTTTCCCTCTGAGACTCTCAACCTTTCTGGAGGGCCTTTTTTATAACTAGTCATGTTAACCCGTTGCTAAAAACCACATCTGTTGTCTTCTTTTTTTCTATATTTTACAATGAGCCTCAACTTTTTTTTACAATCAGGGTTATACAGTTTTGTGGGGGTTTTAAAAGCTTGATTCTTTGTTTATAACCCCAACAGGGACAGCGAGCACAGTGTATCATACTTAAAACCACAACCACTGACGGGGAAAACAATCATTCCAAATATGCGAGTAAAAAATGAAAATCTTACCAAAATGACTGTTGCTAATTAGAAGCAGACTTCAGAATGTCAGAAGAATGAACACATTAGTGAGAAATCAGTGATTTCTTACTTATTGATTGTCTTCATTGCAGTAGACTTTGGAATATGCTGTGTTGTTGCAGATGTTGGTGGAACAATGGAGTTGCATCCATTGACTCACTGAAGAGAGTTTGCCTTTTTATCGCATGGAGCCCAATTCTTTTCTAGCAAATGATAACAACAGCAGTGAAAATTTCTATTTTTCACAGTCTGTGTTTTACTCATCATATCATTCATCAGTAAAATCATCCCAGAAATACTCTGCCAAGGCTCCTCCTGATCCAATCTTTTCCCCTCTTTTTACTAGTTTAAATGTTTTTCTCGTGAAACATTTAGAATTTTTTGTGTTCTACAAATGTTGAATCACACTGAGGACCTTTTTCCATATGTGTTGATATAGTCGACAGTAAAGCAGACCTTGAAGCTGTAATGCTTATTGTTTGAAACATATCAGACACTGTTATAAGTATTATCTCCAGTATACAGTAGCTACTGTCAATCATGGTGGAGGCGGTATCATGGTTTTGGGAATGATGATATATGAGTGGTGCTGCTGTTGGTCGTCTCACTGTCTGCGATGCCACGTTGAACTCTGCCAAGTATTGTGGCATTCTTAAAACCCACTTGCTCCCTTCTGCATGTGCACTGTTCCGTTGAGGTCAAAACTAGATGTTTTAACAAGACAATGCTCCTGACCACACATCCAGGGAAAGTACCACTTCACTGCAGGAACACAGTATTCAGGTCCAAGAGCGGCAAGATCAATCCCCTTAAAAATCTGTGGTGGATTATCAAAAAGTCATAAACAGAAGAATTTGGAAGAATTAAAGGAAGTAATTCAAGAAGAAGAATGGGACACGTTACTCCTTAACAGTGAGAGGCTCATGGAGAACATGCCAGACAAAATCAGAACTTTTACTGCATGCCAACAGCAGTACTACTCAATATTAATTTGATGATGTGGTGGTTTATTTATTCTTGTTTTTCCTGTTATTCGTTCACTTTGACACCGACAATGTCGAGAACTAACATGTTGAAACAATCAAGGATTTGACTTTGGTTCATTTCTTCAACCACACCTTGTGAAACACAAAGATTTTTTCTGAGAATATTTCATGATAAAATTTGAGATTGTACATAGAATTTTAAGGGTGTCCAAAATTTTTTTCTACTACTGTATTTACATGCTGTGTATTTGAAACATAAATATAAGTGATTTAAATTTGCAGTTTTAACAGTGCAACTGTTGTCCCTAACAGTGTGTGTCTTGTGTGTGTGTTGCAGCTCAGACTGGGGAGGTGATGGGGGAGTTTGGGCGTCTGTATGAGCAGCAGTATGCAGTGGCTCTCTTTAACAAAGTCCGCTTTGACATTGAGGGAGGAGCCGGCCCACAAACCCAGCTGCTGCACCGCAAGGTAAAACCTCCTCTCCTTAACCACTCTGCAACACTTTTGAGTTCATAATTCGAACTCTGTGTTTAGTCAGCAGTAAAGTATCCAAACAGGCTGCCAACATGCATCTTAACCTTCTAGTTAAATACTCAGCTGTATCAAGCCCAGATGTGTTTTAGAGGAAAAGAGTGAATAAATGTTCTCAATTTACTGTCAGTCCACATGTTAGCCTCTGTGTTTGTCCTATTGGCTTGAACATTCAGTGACATACCGCAGTTATTGATTTATTTATTTCGATAATTCATTTTGGCTCAAACCCAATCCTTATCCTCGTATTTCTCAAGCTGCCTAACCCTGGTGTATTGGTGCAAATGTTACATTTGTCTCTTTAAATGCATAAATAGTTTTGTTCATAATCAATGTTTTGTAACATGAAAAAAAGGACATCAGGGTTACCTCCCTTTGACCCTGCAAAGAATAGATAAGGTTGTTCTTTCTTAAGATCTATTGGATCGTCTAACTAATGAGAATTTGTGAAATTTGAGCTTTGCAATCATACACAACCTCTCTCTGCTATCCTGTAAAAATTAACAATGTTTGTTTGTCTCCCACAGACTCCTCTAGAGAACAAGTCCATCTTCTCTGGCTCACTTTTACAGTACCTGGAGGAGAACAAGAAATGGAGGAACCGTTTCCTCTTCGTCCCAGACTCTTACAACATCAACTACTATGATAACAAAGCAGTGAGCTTAAAAACAGTCTGTGAGGTCTATTTCTCATGATGCTGGTCTGATTCCCTGCCTGTAACATTTACTCTACTGTCTGTCTAAACCAACAGTCCTATGACAGACACCTCAACCCCAAAGGAAGCATCAACTGTGCCGGTTACAAAGTGCTGACATCCATGGATCAATACCTGGATCTGATCAGTAACAGCCTGCCAGGTAAGGTTTCATAAGGAGTCTTATTTCCTCTTATCATGATGCAAAATCTTTTTATCAGTCCATGAGACAACAAACATGGATTACCATGACTAACAGGAATGAAATGTCCTTTAGTTGGGAAGTTTTTTCCAACTAACAGGACAGGACATTTGAAAAGAAACTGAATATGTTGTCGTTTTGGAGACATGTTTAAATATGTCAAGAGTTAAAGAGCTACTTAGTCTGCAGGGCAGAGAGGCCCTCAGATAAGCTGTTCCTCCAGTAAATGTCAGAGTGAATCCTTGAACATGAGCGGACTGGATGTGTGGGAACCTGCCAGAGTCTGCAGCTGCATGGTTAAACTCACTGTGTGGATCATAACCGAAAAACTGAAAACTTTTGACAATGAAAGTTTTATTTACAACTTAGGAAACAACATTGAGATTGAAATTACTCTCACTCGCATTTTGCAAAACTTAAACAAGCAGAAATTATCTTTAGATAGGTAACAACCGGTTTCAAAAATAATGATAAAGTTAAAATTCAACATCTGGGGGTTAGGATTTTCACCTTTTCAAACCCTTATCTATGGTCACGAACTATGAGGAATGACCAAAATATCCAGCTTTTGGTGGTAAGTGCTTGAAATTAGTTTCCTGTTTGGGTTCAGCCTGAGAGGCAGGGTCAAGAGCTCAGACATCCAGAGTGTCGAGAGTGGAGCTGATGCTCTTTCGGTTTATAGGAGCCACACGAAATGCAGTAGTACAAACAGATATGTCCAACAGGGAGGGAAGACCCTGGTAGACCTAGAGCTGTCTGAAGGTGTTATATGTTATGTTATCCTATCTGGTCTGGAAATGCCTCAAGATCCCCCAGAAGAAGCTGGAAAGAGTCCTTTTCTTAGACTTCATGACCTTAGCCTGACTAAATCAGAGCAAAAAAAAAAATCTGTTTGGGCAATAAAGCTGTTATTCTCTGTAGACCTTTTTGATACAATAACAGGAAAGTGATATTTTTGGTCATAATTTTGCAGATTCAAATCTTTTTTAACCCTCTAGGCCTTCCTTTATTTAGCAAATATAGCTGTATTAATTTTTCTAATATCATAGTTTGCTCTGAGTTTGTAAAATACAACAAGCTTTGTAGGACTGCTAAGAACCATCTGCTCCGTAAGAGTTAGTGAAGCAAATAACCAAAAGATACTCGAGGGAAGTCAACTTTGGCCTCTGAGAATTCTGATGGTGAAAAACTTCACAAATTCAAAGTATGTTTGTGAACATAAAGGTAGGCGGTTAAACCCTCCAAAAACAGGAACTGCTTAATAACAGCATAGCTCATGAGAATTGCAGAATTTCACAACAGCTAGAAGAGACAACAGGGTTAACAGAGTCCACATAACTAGCTGTTCGACTGAGTAAGCGACTGCTCATCAGGGTGTGTGATTATTGTCTCTTAAAAAGACAGGAGTTGGGACATGTGCATGAGTTATTGCTCCTTTGTGAAACCTCATTTTATTTCAAGTCTAGTTTTCGTTGCTTTATTAATTTTCATCAATGATAACCATGTTGAAAACTTGATAACCCCTTTATAACTTTGATAACATTGAGAGCTGTATCATCTTGTGTTTTTATCACATGCAGAAAGTTTAATCAAACCCCTGAATGCATTTTGGTCACATTTCTGTTTTTCCAGGTGTTAAAGCAAAGGTGGGGAGTTCGCCTTTCCTAAAGTGCGCAACTGTGTTACCTCTGATCCTGTGGCACCCGTACGCCCGACACTACTACTTTTGTGCCACGACGGAGAAAGAGCAGCAAAAGTGGCATGCTGTTCTGCAGGACTGTGTCAGACACAGCAATGATGGTGAGTCCCGCACACCCGTAACATCTTTGCATGGTGAATTAAAGACATTATGCATGAAATGTTTCAAACAGAGGACAGACACGTGTTAGGAAAGAGCCTCCCAGGATGATTTCGGTCCTTTTGGAATAAGTTTAAACCTGACTCTTCTGGTTCGGTCGACGGTTGTGTGCAGCTATATAGGAGGGGCTCTGAGTACCCCTACAGGTGGTCTCCAGAAGAACCTGAGAGGAAGGATTGAAGCACATTTTGTTGAAATGTGTCTGCACAAAAAAGAAGTTTATTTTGATTTTTACAATTTGTAAAAATGTTCATACATCAGTGATTCACCAAGTCTCCCCCTGTCTTAGATTTTTCTTTTTTCCTGTAATAACTGGCAGAAACATTGAGCAGAACCTAGGGCTGGGCGATATGGCCTCAAATCAATATCACAATATATTGAGCAGTAACGACAAATGGACGATAACTATTCCACAAGCTGCTCACCCTCTCCCACATTAACTTCCTCTACTTCAGCCGCTACAACTTTTGAACCGTCCTCCATCTCCTCACCTGTCTTTTCCTCTTTGTTACGGACTGGATGGGGTGGAGTCACGTCTCCATTTTTTGACATGGGCAAAATGACGTTGGTTATTGTCGTAAATTTTGGGTTTATCGCTCAGCCCTAGAACAACCAGACTCATGTTACACAGTTATCTGTTGTTACTGCGTTGTGAGAGGGGGACACAGATACACCAGATACACAACATAGATGTATGGACAAAGTGCCAAAAACAATGCAACAAATTCATGTACAACTTACAGGAATACTGTGTTAATGTACTAATCTAGGTTTATTTAAAGCCAACAGGTCTATAGTAACAGCATAGCAGCACTACTATTAGTAGTAATGAAGTTAAAGTAAATAATGGGGGTTGGAATCAGAAGGAGTCACAAAGATCTACAGTTAACGTCAGCTTTATAACTATGATAAAAATGGTGAGACTGATGCACGCAGTTGAAGCAGGCAGGTCCACAGCAGCAGGGTGTGATCCAGAGGAACCTACTGCATGATGGAGCACAGGGACTCCCAGAAAGGTCTAGCAGTTTGTGTCTAAGGGAGAGAAAGGTGCTGAGTGTATCAGTTCCTTCAACAGTCTTAAATAACTAGGAACCTGAACCAGCCCCTAAATGTAAGCTTTATCAAAAAGAAACATTTAAAGCCATACGGCAAGCAGTTTTAAGTTTGCTATCCCAGTCAGAATGATCAGGTTAATCCACAGTGAGCAAACAGAGAGATTTGCCTCAACTCCGCTCCTTTTTGACTTTGATTTCTTAGCTATTCTTCTGACTGAAAGTGGAAATTAAAGTAAACACCTGATTGCGTCATGCTTTGAAGTATTTACCTGGTTGCCATGGCGCTCAGCTCTGATAAAAGTGGTCTAAGAGTTTAGAGGAACCTGTTGAGTATGAATGAAGCTTTGTTCCAACTTCACATGAGCTGTTTACTCTAACAGAGGATTTATTAACGGACAGGGGTGAACAGACAGACCTACACTTACATTCTCAGACACACACTCTGTGTTATTACAGGATGTAAAAAAACACAAATGAACTAATAGGTGTTTGGGATTGTGTGTGGTGAGTAAATATGTATGGTAGACCTCTGCAGACTGTGTTTATGAGAAGAAACAAACAGACAGAACCAGCCAAACTGATGGAGCCACATTCTGTTAATATTATGCATCAGAAATTCCAAAAATGTCAACATAGACTCTTCTATTTACCTAAACAGCTTCAATCTAGATGCATCAAACAACATATCACAGTCCTGCCAGGCCATTTTCACACGACAGAGCGTCTGGAGTCACCCAGACTTTCAAACAAGTGGTTACAGGTAACACCACCAGGCCACAACACTGAGAAATTAATGTTTTGATTATCAGTGAACACAGTGCTGTTACAGAGCAAGCCTTTTTGTATCCAGGACAGGACTGTGATATGTTGGGCGATACATACAGATGAAGCAAACTCCTTCTCTCATGTAACGCAGTGATTTTTCTTTCCACTGCCTGTGTCACAGGACTCCTGTCATCTTTTGCATGAATTTACCGACCAGCATGTGGTACAGCTTAATAAACAGAATAACACACGGATCAGTAGTTGTTCCTGAGCCCCAAATTTGTTTATTGTTGTTTCAGTAACATGTACAGATTTCGAAAAGGCCTCTGCTTGGGTTCCCCTCTGCTCGTCCGAGCTGATGCTGTTGATTTAGCCGCTCTATAAACATGAAGTCCTTGTTATTTTATGTCATGAATGAGTGTCCAGTTAACACAAAGGTTCAACAGCTGTTGCAGTGAGTCAAAGCTGCACCTCATGCCACGCAACATGTGACACTTAATGGGTGTTGAAGGGCCTGATGGCCAGGGATAGTGGTTGTTTTGTTTAAAAAGTAGACTAACAACAGCTCATTGTTCACGTGTTTAAGTCTGCTCTCTGTTATTGTCTGTAAATTCCTTCAGTCACACTGTTTCTCTGTGTTTTTGGAGGCTTTTAGGAAACAATGACACAAATACAAACCACCACAAAACCTTTAAATTTGTGCAGTGGGTTTTCACATTTCCTCCCCTCAGGAGCAGATTTTTCAGTGTCAGCTGTACAGATTGTGATTTCTGTGTAAGCTGAAAGAGGAAGTAGCAGTAACGGTTACCATGCCTGAGCTGTGACTCGGTCCAGCTGCATGACGTATGCATGGCTGAGTGACTCCATATGTATACAGAGTGGCACACAGAGTGACTCTCATAGAATTAAAGTCATTCTTTAACAGCTCTGAGTTCAGAATTCATAGTATACACTGAGTGAGCAGTCATGACGCAATATAGGACTGGGTTTACCTGTGGCAAAAATAAACTTTGAGCCTCTCAAATCTCTCTTAATGTTTTTAGACATGATGTTTGTTTTATTCTATAATCCTCCTTAAATTACTTCAAGATAATAAGAAGAAAAGAGGTGTTGATTGACCGAAGTTAAAGCTCATGTGAAGAACTTAAAGGGATATTCCAGCGTAAAATTTATTTAGGGTCAAATACACTGTAACACAGAGTTAGACACCCCCGTCGAGAGATGAATGTTGCTGACTGCTTGCCTCTCTAGTTATACCAACTTTAGAAACGACCGCAGGATAGCAATACACAGCGGTCTGAGGAGCCACACTCAAACCTCAACCAAAACACCACTCTATAGCCACAAATGATGCTCAGAACAGCACCTAACTTCATCAACAGTACATATACGGTCCCAGCCATAGCACTAGCCACCAAACGTCTATTTAGCTTTGCCTGATTTCTTTAGCAAAGAGACTAAACACAACTCACCCACTCTTATCCCGCAGCCGCTTGTTCGTAGCAAGATTACGGACTGCAGCGGGGTGACACAGCTCAAGGAAGAACATTTATGATCATTTCCTCATGGAAATGCAATCAGACAGGCAGAAGAACTACCACATCTGCAATGCAAAATGATTAATATGGTGATTATTACTTCAAGATAATGAAAAAGTAATGATCATAAATGTTCTTCCTTGAGCTGCATCACCCCGCAGCAGTTTGTAATGGACTCGTCTTCCTACAATTCATATTGATGCCTTTTTATGATAAACAAAAGCAAACTAGACCATCTGTGACAAAATCAATCACTTTTATATTGTAGTTTTTATTGCTTGACACCGGTACGAGGCGGTAGGTGTCAGCCAAACAACTAAGGATACAGCCCCATCTTACATTTTCCTCATAAAATAATCACAATGGATGGTCATTTGACTGTCAAAAGATTGGCAAGGTACCATAACTTAATTTTGAGGATCTAAACCTTTTCCTCTCCACCTTCTTGTATTTCAATAATTGATACTTAATTATCTGTTTAACCCCATCCAGTATCCAAGGCTTTGAGGTATTGACACTTTATCATACATTATCAAAATGCAAAAATCTGATTTTTTTTTATCATTGACATCTAAAAACAAACTTAAAAATTCTTTGTCAGGTCTGTCTTGACAGATTTACAACACAATAAACTCAAGTGATGTGTGGTGAGCATGTTTAATATGGAATTAGGAAATGTACCTCTGTGGGCCTAGTCTTCGTCGATCTACAGTGTCCTTTTGACCTAATGTCCTGAGACCTCCTCAACTTTGTAACAAAAAAAAAGTAAAGAAACTTTTGAGGAATGTCAGGAGTGAATAAGAGGCTTTGTTTTGAGCTGCATCAGTTTGAAGCATTAGTTTGAATAAGTTTTAAAAGAAGCCTCAGATAAGTGTTTTTACTGCGATTAAAGGATGAGATTATTTTGTTTTTCATGCTCAAAGAAGAAGGTGAAAATCCTGATATTGTGATGTTAAACCCCTTCATACCATCAGAGGTTGGATCAAAAAAATTTCCCCCACTTCCTGTCTCGGGTCTAGTCAATGCCCTTCATCCCTCCCCCCTCACATGCGCACCCTCACACTAACAGACACACACTTCCTGACTTTGTGAGAGTGGGATTTTCTCACACTCTGTCAGTGGGTCTGAACAGTATTCTGGAGTTTTCTCTATCACAGCACAGAGTTAACAGGCTGCTCTGCATAAAAAAAACAGACTTTTATTTTCTTTGGAGGACAGAAAATATGAGGAATCCAAAAAAGTTCATTTTTTTAGATGACCTTTTTTTCCTCAGACTCCATGTGACTCTCTGAGTACTGCCAGTAAAGATTACACAGCAAAAAACAACTTTTTTGTGTTAAGCTACTAATTAACTGTTTTTTTTTATGTTAAACATTTTTTATAGTACAATATCAGGCAGGTCTATAACAAAACAGAACTTTTACAAATAATTGTAGCTTTGTAGGTTTGTTGCTATAGTAACAGAAAGGGTACAAACAAAGAAACCCAGTCTGTGAGAACAGAGCAGATGATCTTAGTCATCGCTTCACTTCATGAAAACTAATGCTGTGGTTTATTTTAAAGTGGCAGCCACTTACTTTCAGTTTATTCTGTGTGCTAAAATGCTAACAGTTTACAATCTCTTCATGTTTCCAGGTTTGTCAGAGGATAATAAAGTCCAAACCCCTGCCTTTACCGATACTGTACGACTATACCGCCAGGCTCAAGGGCACCACGGCACTTGGGAGATGATGTGTGGCGCTCCTTCGCAGGTAACCACTGTCATAGTTTTCCTCCAGTGGGTCTGCTTTTCCCTTTTTCTCATAGTTGATTAATGATAAATTGATGTCATGTTGTATTTGGTGAAGTTAAAAATCGGACCCTGATACTCTCTCTATAAAGGTGGGTATTTATTTGGTTCAGGTTGTATTAGCAGATGAAAAACATTCACCAGATTCCTGCTTTAACTTGATTCCTCCTCTAATCGTGTTTCTTTCCTGACTCTAAACATGAATAGACAGTTTTTCTGTCTGCAAAGTGTTCCCACTTAAGACCAGTGCAGACTTAGTGTGCCCTGCAGGCTGGTTTAATGTCTGTGTGAAGCCTCTCATCAGCTCTGTGAGACTCAATTACTATAGCTCTGTTGTAAAACAGGTTTTTCTTCACACAGCAAATATGCAAATACATCCTATTATAGAAACATTTTTTTCTGAATAGCAGCAACATATTTTTTGTTTCTAATAGCTGATGCACAACAAAAACAAAAAATGTTATTTTTTTCTTTTACAAGAGCAAATAAAAACCAAGCACTAAGGTGTGAGATATTTAGGATGATTGAGGTGACTGACTATTTCAACCTGTGCTATTTATTCAGAATGTTAAAATGGGTCAGTCTGCATTAACCAATATTTGTTATACCCTTTAATTACAAATTTTGATGCTTGACACCACCAAAACTCAAATCTTTCACAAAAAAAAAGATTTATTTCTTATTTCTTATTGTCTAGGTATGATTTTACATTTCATTCCAAGAAACTAAACAAGTACATTTTACTAGCTGCAGTGGCAGCATTTTTAACAAACTGAAACCAAGTTAGACCGCATGTTTTTGCTCGTGATTTTTTTCAGGCAATATGGAGCCATCATGAACCTTAATCTAGTTGACTAATCATGTTATTATTATTTTGTTATTATGGCTTCTTTCATTCACAGTACAGTTTTGATTTGCACCTGTGGTCGCGGTGTAAATCTTTGTTCACAGACAAAAGTTTTGATCCCATGCAGTAATTTCAACAAGAGTCTTTTTTATATAGTGCTGCCTTACAGCCTGAAGTCCAAGTCTTTTATTGTTCCTTTTGTTTTGTTCCTATTGTCTAAAACTATTTTCAATTAAATATCCACATCACTTGAATTTTAAACTATGTAAATCTGTTTTCTGCCCTGCTGTGCTCATGTTCCTAAATGAAAAACAAAGGTTTGATAATATCAGTTTATCTGTTTTGATTTTCTTTTTTTAATTTTTAATCAAGATCTTGTCTAATCTGGTGATGGAGCGCCTCCTTCCTAAACTGAAGGAGCTCATTACCCCTCGCCTCAAAGGGAAACTCCATGAGAGACAGAGGAACTGGATGCTGGTAAGAAACAGCTTCATACAAAAATATGCTTTATTATTTCAGTTTTTTGTTTTTTTTTACCAGTTTACTTCAGTTTACATGTATGTGTTTTTGTTGCTCTCTGTCTGTGCAGATCAGTGATGCAGTGTACAGTCTGGTGCAGACTCAGTGTCAGGCGCAGTACGAGGCGGTGCTGCAGAAGTGCGAGTCAGCTCGCTCGTCTCTGGAGGCTTCTATACGGACAGACATGGACCAGATCATCACCTCCAAGGAGCACGTCACCAACAAGATCAAAGGTCAGTCTGATAAAGCCAACATATTTAATACCTACCAAAACACTGTGAGTCAAATCCCGCTTCTCTGAGGATGTATGTCATTAAATTGTAAATTTCTGAAACAAAAACATGGATTTTTAGAAGGAGACAAAGCTCCTGCTGCACCTGCTGGAGGGACTTTTCTTTGAAGCAGCTTTACAAAGTTGATCAAGTTTTTGTAGTGTGATTGTATGAGGTCCTCTTCACTAAGTGTGTTACTCCCAAGGGATCCTGGTCAGCTCAGCTTCCTCAAAAATCCAGAAAAGATTTGACTGAGAGTGTTACCTCTCTGTTGTTGTGTTCTTCCTCCTCCACAGGTGTGGTTCTACCCAAAGCGGAGAAACTGTTGAAGGTGAGCATACAGCCGTACATCAGCTCTATTCTGGATGGTTTGATGGAGCCAACCAGCCGAGGATTCGCTGAGGTCAGAGACCTCTTCTTCAGAGAGCTGGTGGACATGAGCAAGAACACGCTGAACCAGGGCACCAAAGAGACCGTGGCACAGGTGAGGGGGTTCAAGAGAGATTCTCCGCTTACACTAAGAGATAATCAGACCTAATAAAGAGTCAAATGAAACCTCAGTGAAAAATATACAACTATAACCCTCCTTCTCCTCTATTCTCTTCTCATCTTGTTCTCCTTCTGTTTTTTCTTTTCCCTCACCTCCACCTTTTTTACTCCCCTCCTCCTCCTCGTCTTCCTTCTCTGTACTCTTCAAACCCTTATTTTTTCTTTCCTCCCCTCTTGTGCTCCTCCTCCACAATTTTTCATACCCTTCCTCCTCCGTCTCTTCCTCCTCTTCTTCATGAATCCCACCCTCTGTTCCCACTCTTGCTCAATTTGCCCCCTCCTCTTCTACCCATTCTTCTAAATTCTTTCTTCCTGTTTCTCCCAATATCTATCCACACCCCCTGCTTTTCCTCCCCAATCTCTTTCCCTGTCTTGTCTTTCTCAACTCTCACTTTCTTCTCCTCCTTCATCTCATGCTCCTCCAACTCATGATCTCTTTGTCATCTTGCCTTCCTACAACTCTTTCTCCTTTTTTTTCTCCTCCTTCTCTGTCTCCTCCCCCTCCTAAATTCTTAAATCTTTCTCACTTTTCCTCCCCCTCATCTCCTCCTTTTTCTCTTTCTCTATCTCGTTCCCCTTTCTATTCTCACTCCTCCTCTTCCTCTATTCGCCTCTTCTTTTACCTCTGCCACCCCCTCCTTCTACTTTTCTCTCTTAAACCCTTTTTCCTCCCCCTCCTCTTCCTGTTTCCTCAGCACATGGAGAAGATCTCAATGCTGGCCTTCCACCCGGTAAAGATGCAGAGTTGTTATGAGAAGGTGGAGTCTCTGAGTCTGGAGGGTCTTCAGCAGAGGTTCGACATCTCCAGCCCGTCAGTGTTTGTTCAGAGGGCTCAGATCCTCATGAGAGAGGTAACAAACTAACTATTGAAGAAAAATAAAAATTGATAGAGCCCTTTTTGAGGATTTATCTGTTTGTGTCAAGTTACATTTTTGAAAGCCATGCTCCTAAAATGAAAGATCCAATTTTGAGGTTTCCTAATAGTTCCTCTCTGAGTGAGTCATCTTTGAGCTGCCAGCTTTTAGTTCTGTTTATTTCTTTGCTGGTTAAAAATACATGATATGTTCCTTATTTATCCTGTTTGTTGGAGCAGAATGTCACAGAGAGCCCATCAACTCATGGAATCCAGAAAATTCTGATGAGTCTCTGTTAATAATCATTGACTCACTGGGTTATCAAACATACAGTGATGCTGCAGAATCTTGATGGAGTTGTCCCTGCTTGAACTCAGCAGTAGTGAGTTCATATTGACCTTGACTGATGTAGTGAACTAAATTTGTTAATGTTAAAGCGGATGATTCATAAAACACATGGAGAAAGAAGTGAAGAAGAGAAAGAAGTCTGATGTGAATGAAGTTTAGAAATATAGAAGTTTCAGTGGAGCTCCCTTTGTTTATGAGGGGATTGCACAGCTGACTCTGAAAGCTGCATGTCAAGCAAAGCAGTGTGAGCGCCCTCTGCTGACGGTCATTCCCATGCTGAAAAACAAATACCTTTTTGCAATATTCCTGGGTGGATTAAGACTTGTTTTATAAATGCATATGTACAGACAAACTTCTTTTTCTTTTGCCTTGGAAGTACCAACATTTTGCCTTCCTTACATCCATATTTTTATTATTTTTTTTATTTTTGAATCTCTTGGGCCCAGGAGTACAGGGGAAATTAATAATGGGACATTTGTTTTCAAGGACATCATTGGGCAGAAACAATATGACAGCATGATTCTTCATGTTTGCGTGCTTTTAATGCACAGAAAATATATTGCTTGCATAAGTTTCATGCTGCTAATTTCTTTAGCATATAAATAAACAACAGGACTGTTTTTGTTTTATTATATCTTAATCATAGCCAACAGGGGTATGACTGCCCTCCTTCTTCGTTCTTGTGGGTTCTCATCAGGGCATAGAGGCTGATTCTTGACCCTATTATAAGAGCAGGGATGATATTAAGCTTTAATTGGGTCATTTTGATGAAGACCTTTCTTAGTCTGCGTTTGTTTTCTGCAGCACGATGGAGGTCATTGTTTTATACAACGGCACCATCGCAGTCGAGCTTTATTCAAGAGGCTCCTTAGATGACCTCTGTGTCCTAGATGCCATCATTTTATAAGGGCTTTTTTTCTCTGTTCTCTGGTGATGTACTTCAAGTGCTGTAAGGCGCCTACTATACATGTAATGGGTTTCAGATGAGTACATGAGGCATGGCATGACCACTGATTAAGAACCAGGATTTTAGTTCTGGAGTGAAGGTTTTCTAGAGACTCTTAAATGTTTTTGAAAAGCCTGACTAGCACAGCCGATCAAGCTGGTGGTGTTTCTCATCATCAATGTCAGTTACACCAAAACATTACACGTATAACTAAACACAGTCTTTATAATTTATGTGTCATTCCACAGCAAATGGATGATGCTGTTTACACGTTTGAGCAGATACTCCACCAGAGTCTGGAGTCTCAGGGTTCAGACGAGCTCTGCAAGATCATACAACGTTGCCAGGACAGAGTTATCAAGGTAACACACACAAACACACACACAGGCAGTAGGCAAATGTATCATCACTGTGGCATGTGGCAGAAAATCAGTGTTAACTTTTTAAAATCCAAACGTATTACCTTCTAATTCCTCTTGTTCTGTTGTGTTTTTATTTTTTTATTTGGTTCAGAAATTTGACTACGACAGCAGCACAGTGAGGAAGCGATTCTTCCGTGAGGCTCTCCTTCAGATCTTCATCCCCTACATGCTGAAGCAGCTCAGCCCAACCTGCTCCCCGGTCAGTCTCACAGCTTTCAGACACTTTAAAAAACTGCCTTCTTGACTTGAAAGGTGCCTCTCTGACTTAAGGGCTTCTGAGCAAAATGTCTGGAAATTAATTTTGGTTTCATATGTTGAAATGTTTGACCATGCTCACTATTGTGAATATCAGGAGCTGCCGCGTTTCAAGGAGCTGATCTTTGAGGACTTTTCCCGTTTCATCCTGGTGGAGAACATCTTTGAGGAGGTGGTGCTGCACTCTGTCATGAAGGACATCATGATGGGTTGGTCTTTAAATTATGTTCTTACTTATAGTATTTATAACGAGAGTGGTTCAGTTTGCTGTTTTTTACTGAAAATCTGAACTTTATTGGATCTGAAGACAACTCCTAGTTTGTCAAAATTGTTTTCCTCAATGGGCAAAAACAAGCCTTATTCCAAGTCCTCGACATAAAAGTTCAACTTAAAAAAAAAAAAAGACATCTGTGAATGGCCACTTTTATATTAACCTTAATAAGACTTCAAGCAGCAGTGCTGGTCTGCTGTTTTTGTTCTCATTTGTCCATTTGTAAAGATTTTCAAGGACAATTTTTTGCCCTATTATTTTATAAACTGGTTAAACAGTGGCAGGTAAAAAACTAGCGAGGGATGACATGCTCCTCATAGCAACACGTAGGACACGGTCTTTCCTTCTGACTAAACTAGCACCCCCTCTCATTTATCTTTCTTATATTCCTGTGCTCTTAAATTTCCTTTCCCCCCCCTTTCTTCCAGCTGTGAAGGAGGCAGCAGTCCAGAGGAGACACAACCTGTACAGAGACAGCATTGTCCTTAGCAACAGTGACCCCAGTCTGCACCTGCTGGGAGAAAATCCCTCAATTGACTGGGTTGGAGAATATGGAGGAGCTCAAGAGGAGGTGGATGGTGCTGGAGAGGAGCCTCAGGACGATGCTGAGGGTGAGGGTGAGGGAGAGGGAGAGAGTGAGGCGGCCCAGAAGAGGAGGAGAATGAAGCAAGTGGTGTCCATGATCCAGGTGGAAAGCCCTGCAGTCCCTTCTGGTGAGTCGTGCATGGAGTTTCCAGGTGTGGATGACATCCCAGAGGAGGACAGAGAGGAGAAGGAGAAGGATGTAGAAGCAGAGGAGAGCTCGGATGGGAAAGCCTCTCCTGAGCAGAACGTATCTGAGAGTCCTGAAGTTTCAGAAAAGTCTGCAGACTTAATAAACAGTGCTGAGTTGAAGGAAGAAAAAGCAGAACCTGAAGGTGAAGAGGTCAAGCAGCAGGCCGAGGAGGAATGTAAAATAGAAGACAGCCAGCCTGCAACAGTGGCGGAGGAACAGCCATTGTGCAACCAGGAGGCATCAGACGAGGTTCTTCCACCGCCACCTCCTTCTGAGGAAACCCCATCTGGAGCTACAGAACCCTCTCCAGAAGCAAGCTCAGACTTCCCCCCACCTCCACACGATGACAGCGGCTTCCAGTCTCCCTGCAGTGAAGGAGCTGAAGCAGATGACCAGGAGGAGGTGACCCCTCAGCCTGCAGAGGAGCAGCAGACGGGTGAACCTGCTGCACCAGAACCAGAAAGCAAACCCAGTGACTCTGAACCCACAGAGCAGTGATAAAACCACCCTTTTTGTTTGAGATAGACTGAAACCTGCCCCTCTGGGTTTGTCATTTTCCATAAGGATCATACAAAGTTTCTGGATCTTTCAATCAGTTTCCACATTGAAGTAACCCCTCCACAGATTCTTCTCACTGAGCAGGACTCAGGTGCTGTCCTCAGTGTTTTATCATCTTTTTCTCTCCTTCAAAACTTTGCAGAAATCCTCAAAAACTCTGCCTTTAATTTCACACACGTTCCACAAATATTTTTTTCTTCACCTGATATGAATGTGAGCACAACATTGAGTTCCTAAAGGTGTTTTGTAAGTGTATGACAGGTTTCAGGAACACCACAGTTAAGTTACAGTTGGTGAAAAAAAATATGCAAACAGATAAAAGTCTTTAATCTGTCCTGTTTTTTTTAATGTACCGCCTTTGATTATCATCTCCATTTAAGCTTTTTTATGTCATCTTTTTGAGTAAATATAATTTCTGCTAATAAACATAAACTTGTTGGTTATTATTGGACCTAATTGATGACAGAAAATACTTTTAATCATAGTTTATTTTTCATTTATTTCTTTATCCTAATGTCTCCAGACTTGACAACTTCTTTAGTGTTGGTGGAAATCTTACCAATTTATCTCGTAACAAAGAAAGCTTGTATATATTTTGTATAAATCTGTTTGTGGACTCTTCAAAACCAAATTTTACATCATTTTATATAATTTCATCAATGTCTCTGCTGAATTTCACTTTCTCTGTTTTATTTATTATTTTGCACCCTGTCTCTTTTTTGAACAATGTTCTTTTAGAAGTATTTTACCTCTGTGTGTGATATGAATAGCTGTTATTGATAATAAATCATTATTGATTAATTATTATTACTTTGTCTTCATGGTCACTGTTGTTTCTTTTTAAGCCACAGAAGTGTGTATCAAGAAAGTTAGATGTTGTGAAAAGGACCAATTTCAGAAATTATTCTCACCATCAGGCAAGCGCACACAAACACGTGGTGAAAGACCAAGACCTTGAAATAAAATATTCAAATATTTTGAACCTTTGTCTTTTACAGTGCATCAGGTCTGACCCACATTACCTGCAGTTTACCTTTGTGCCAGAAGAGAGCACTAAAGCGTTGTGAATGTGTTTGCCCCTACATTTTGTGCTCTCCATTCACAGTTTTCAATGAACGACATTGTATTCACTTTGTCAAGTTCTCATGCTGACTTTATTTTTTTTCAATGAAAATGCCCACTGCAAAGTTTATATTGTCCCAAGAAAAGGGAGAGTTTGTATTCCTGTCTTAAAGGGATATTCCGGCTTAAAATTAATTTAGGGTCAAACACACTGTAACACAGATTTAGACACCCCCTCGAGAGATGAATGTTGCAGACGGCTTGCTTCTCTGGTTATACCAAATTTATTAGCGACCATACAATAGCAATACACAGCACTCCAAGGAGCCATAACCAAATCTCAACCAAAACGCCACACTACAGCCACAAATAATGCTCAGAACAGCACCTAACTTTATCAACAGTACATATAGGGTCCCAGCCACGGCACTAGCCACCAATCTTTTTTACTTTGCCTAATTTCTTTAGCAAAGAGACTAAACACTACTCACCTACTCTCTTCCAGCAGGCGAAATGTTTTTCATAGGATGGTAGAGGAAAGTCCCACCCTCCTTCGCCTCTGATTGACTAAAAGTGCCTGGCTTCAGTTGGTTATCCCTTATGGCTGTGAAACATCATCGTCTGTCGGGTTAGGGTTATGCTTCGTTCGAGTTACCTCGGAAGTCAGATATCAGACCTGAAAATAACATCACACCCGCCTTAAATTCAGACAAGACAAGCACTAAAATAACTTTCGTAGATGTAGCCATCTTGTTTCCGCCTCGGAAGACTTCAGACTTCCGAGGTAACTCGAATGCAGCATTAGGATTTGGAGATTCAGAAGTGCAATAATGTTATGTATTGTTCTGTTTCATGTACAGAGCCGACAGGCCGCGCTCGGCTTGAGCGTGTGATGACGTTTTACAGCCAATCAGAGGCGAAGGAGGCGGGACCTTCTACCATCGTACGAAAAAAAAATATCGCTTCCAGCAGCCGCCTGTTTGTTGCGAGACCTTGGGTCAGTCTACTACAGCGGGGTGACACAGCTCAAGGAAGAACATTTATGATCATTTCTTCATGGTAATGCAATCAGACCGAGACGCTAAGACCTAGACGCTAAGGCCGAAGAACTACCACGTCTGTAGTGCAAAATGATTAACATGGTGATTATTACTTAAAGGATATGATAAAGAAATGGTCATAAATGTTCTTCCTTGAGCTGCGTCACCTCGCAGCAGTCCGTAATGGACTGTCCCGAGGTCTCGCCACAAACAAGCGGCTGCCGGAAGAGAGTAGATGGGTTGTGTTTAATCTCTTTGCTAATGAAATTAGGCAAAGTTAAAACGATATTTGGTGGCTAGTGCTATGGCTAGGACCAGATACTGCTGATGAAGTTAGGTGCTGTTCTGAGCATTATTTGTGGCTATGGAGTGGCGTTTTGGTTGAGGTTTGTTTATGCCTCCTCAGACCGCTGTGTTTGCTATCCTGCGGTCGTTACTAAAAATTGGTATGACTAGAGAAGCAAGCAGTCGACAACATTCATCTCTCGAGGGGTGTCTAACTCAGTGTTACGTGTATTCGACCCTAAATTAACTCTACACCGGAAAACTCCTTTAAGTTCATACTGTCATAGCATCCAGGAATTGCTGCTGCTGCTGCTGCTTCGGTAGGTTGAACCTTACGCGTAAAAGTGTTCAATTTTCGTTTTAGCCAAGCTGTTTTTGTATTTTGAGAAGCCTGTTTTTTTTCCCCAACTGAAACAGAATACACCTTCAAAATATCCATTCGGCACCCGCAGAGTCACCCTGATCCCATCCAATCCAGAGCTGCCAGAGAAAATCCTCAACATGTAGGTGGTCTTCGGGGGTTTACCAAGTATTTATCTGTGGTGCTTCGTAAGGACTGAGTCGTTTTTACTACACAGCCGTGACTCATTTTTGTAATCCGTGGGTGTCTCCTGGCAGCACCTAAAGGCAGCGCGGCGTCCTGACGTCACAGCTTTGCGTGCCTTGCTCCAGCTCAGCAGAAGACGCCACAGCCAGAGATCCAGAGATCGGCGAGCATCCATATTGCAGGTACCCGGCGGAGAGAAGGCACCCTGCGGCGGATACATTAAAGGAGTCCGGCTTATCTTCGCTACTGCTGCTGCTGTTTCCATCTTCTTCTGAACTAACCAGGGGTTTGTCACCTGGTTTATTTCGTTTAATCCTGAGTCCTCTCCTCCTCTTCCTCCTCCTTGGTCACCAGGGGATGGGGGAATGATCTGCACCGACTCCCTCTCGCCTCCTCCTCCTCTTCCTCATCCTGCTGCTCCCTCGGTCGGTGTCTGTGACCAGGATGCGGGGCCCGCTGCTCGGCCAGGCTGCGGTTTTTGCGGCCCTGTGGGCGATGAGCACCTGCCTGACAGGTGAGAGCTGCAGCTGACACACACTGACTTGTGTTTTAAAACCACCATCCTTTGTATAGCTGTAGTGCATGGTGTACTTTAGATCAGCTGTAGCTGTTGGACTGTGTTTGTTGTGGTGTCAGTCGAGATTTAAAGTGACCTTAGATGTTTTCCATCTCTGTTGGCTGATTATTTTTTCTAATCATTATTATTTTTTATCACCTATCATTACTCCAGGGGGTGAATTGTTGTGGAGCCCAGCACTGAATGTACAAAATAACATGCCTGATTGTACATTTTCTTTTGACCACGATGTGCTTTACTGCATTAATTCAGGGTTTCCAGTAGTAATTACATTATCTATAATCAACAGAACATGTGGTGCTATTAGGACTGGGCGATTTGGCCAAAAAAATGATCACAATTCATTTTGTCATATCGTCCAATCTCGATTATTATCACGATTTTTTTTTTAATTGCCAGTTTCAAGCATCTGTACTAAAAAGTGAAGAAACTAGAGATTAGTTCAACATTTTATCAAGATACCAGTGTTGTTTTGAGCCCCTTTTTTTCCACGACGAAGACGTGATGTCGACGAGCTAAACATAAGTCTTAGATGACTAAAATGTGACGAGACGAATGTGCATTTATGTTGACGAGACTAGATGAAAACGTTAGTGGTGGACAATGATCAGAGTTGCAAAATTCATGAGCATTTCATCAGTCAAACGCTAAACTTACTTTGTATGTGGCAGTGTTGTTTTTGTCGACAATGACCTAACATACAAAGTAAAAAACAAAGTAAATTCAATAAGACAAACTTAGAAAAATATAAGAAGAACATTTTAACTCAACAGTACAACAAATGTAGATAAATACTAAATAATTAGGGTGACAATACGCCCTCTTTTGGGGGGCTGTCTAGCTTTGTCCAGGGAAGTTTATAAAATCCTTCAAATGTCCTCAATTTTGTACAAAAGTTTTGATTTTGTGTCACGTGGACTTACTGAGTCAGCGCATAAAAGACACTCGATCTGACCCGAAAAACTCTCAGATTAACCTCGTGTGACTCTGTGACTCCATCCCTGTGTAGTCGTGTCCTCTTTTTGGGAAGTAAGAATATGGTCACCCTAAAATGATACAGGGAACTAGTTTACAATCCGGAGTGTTTTTGCAGGTATGCATTACCCAAAATAAACAAATGGTCCCCTCAGGGATAATGAAGACGCCTTAAAATGTAAACATTGGATGATGTAAACATAGATGAGACGATCTGCCATATTTGATCAAGTAAACAAGCTCACAGCTGATCACCGTGATCGAATTGAAATTTATCACCATCATATAATCGCCCAGTCCTAGGTGCTATATAGAAATTATAACGGGGGTTTTACACTTTTCAAGATAATCTAGAGGACTAAAAATATAATTTTATCACTAAAATAGTGCACCAGAAATTACGTATGCAAGGTTAACTTTCCCAAGAAACAGAATACATTAAAACATCACAATTCACAAATATCTCATCACCCAATTCCACAAAATGGAACTTTAATAAGTAATTAATAAATTGCAGATTTAATGATGATGTAATCAATAGAGGGCAATCAATTGAACAACATCACCAGAATTGATGATTGGTGAAACAAATGATTAATATTTGTACTAATAAACATGACTCTAACTCAGGGCTTGTCTACTGGGCGATACGTGCTTTTGCATCTGTCTGGGCATTAGAAATCACATGAGGCATTGAGCTGATAAAAGTCTCTTAGTCAGAGGGATGAATGGGTGGAAGAGTATGTGTGTCACTTCTGCAGTCGTGTCCTCAGTTATCATGACAGAGGTGTCAGCAGAGGTCTGTTTGTCCTCAAAAACACATTCCTGCTGTCAGAGATGAAGAGTCCTCCATCACTGACGTCACAGTTTGCTCTGAGAAACACAAAAATAGTACAAAAATAGCAGACGGGTGGTGTCACATCCATTTTTAGACAAATTCATTTCCTGCATTGGAAGCAGTAGCATTATATTTTATTCTTAATTTAGTACTTACTCATATTTCCTTATATACTAGCTTTATATAAGGGGACTGCACTGGTCTTACTAAAACAGGGAGAGTAACATTTGTTGATGCACAGACACAGCCTGATTAAGGAGTGACAGCCCTAAATTTGCACAAACAATCAGGGCCAGGACTTGATCCAAAGATAATAACATGATCAAAGTACTTCAATAAATCATAATCATACTTATTAGATGTGTGAAATGGACACTGCTCCATTCAGCTGTTTTTTAAATATTTTGGCCAGAGGTGCAACAAGCTGCAGTTCCTCCGGCATCCACCAAAGCAAGGCTTCACACTAATCTTAAAGAGAGCAAATGTGTGGGCATTACAAACAGCTGACTGTCTGTAGTTTCTTCCTCTTAGACGTCCCGCTTTACTCGACTTTAATTGGTCTTTAAGGCAGAAGTAACATTGACGAGCAGGGTGTTGTTCCAGATGTTGATTTATCTTCAGCTGATAAATCAACAGTAGTAAAGGGTGACATGCTGAAAAAGCTGGGCTGCACTGGTTTTGAATGATAAATGGGAGCTGCCAGCATAACAAGAAAAATAAGCTGTAAGTAGAAACAGAGCCTACTTCATTGATAAAAGATGCTTTATTTCCCCAAAACAGCTGCCCACCACTGCCCACCCCCAACAGTGAAGGTAACTGGATGGTGTATGTTGAATGAACATAATCTGCAGGATGTGTCCACAGCAATGAAACGTAACCAGTGCAACAGCATGGCTCATTGATGTGTTTTAACAAATTTGCACAACTGCAGAGCTCTATGGCAACCATCTCTGCAGAGAAGGTGGTTGTAGAAGGAAGGGCTTATGTAACAGATACACATGTTCATAGGATATTGTGCAAAGATACCTGGCTGCATAACCTTTTATGATAGATTTGAGGCTTGTGATTTTCATCATACTGACCAGGAGGAGAGTATCTAAAGGTAAATCCTTGTACATCAGTCAGGCTTTGTAAATATTCATCTTATTTAGTGAAGCAGGGTTTGTGGGGTGGAGGCTTTGGCCTTATAGTTGGATGCACTTCCCAATGAGCCGATTAGTCTTCCATGCAGGCTGTTAGACCATACACCTGATTAGGATCTGAATGTATGAGAAGAGGGCCAGTGCTGTTGCAGGGTGGTCTCCATGATGCCCCACTGCTACTCTGTTTGCACAACAAGATAAGGATGCTCTTCTCTCCAAAGGTCCCTGTCACAGGACGAGATTTTGATTTTTAGTTATAAGTTATAAGTTCAGATCAAAAGTTATGTAAATGAGAAAGATGTGTATTCAGTTTTGTAGCATTTGTCACCTTGTTTAGTTGTTTGAGTGGGGTTCTTTTTTTTCATTTTGATTTGCACAAGTGCATAAATAGTTAATGTCTCTCTCAGTCTGCATTTTTCTGCTGTAGTTGCATTGATTGTTTGGCTTAGTTCAAATATTTGATATAGCTAATTCACCTGAATCACCCTTACACTGGCACTTACTTGCTGGCATGATATGAATCACTCATAAGTTCAGTCGTGACTTTTACTGGCACTGACCTCTGAAACAGTTGCAGCATATCAGTTTCCCTGTTTAGTTTCTGGTAACATTGAACAGTTGGTATCTAACATGTCTGTAAATGGTCATTTAAGTACAAAAGAGGACTTGGACAAAGCCGTGCTAGCTGTTACCCTCAGCTTCCAATCATTATTGTGTGTTGAATACTAACAACTTAGGGTATCCACTGTCTGACTAATGAGACAGACTTACTTTCTGACTTCTGCTTAGAGCTGTCAGCATTAAGAACTTTGGATTACAGTCTGAAATAAATTTGATGACATTTTAAAACCTGTGCTATTTTACTTCACTCCTGACAGACAGTGTTTATGCCCCATAAATGGCACATTTGATTTACCACCTATGAGCTAAGCACATAAGTGCAGCCACTGGGACTGATGTCAGTGGGGCATTGCATCACAAGAGCCAGCAGGACACTATATCGGAGTGTGAGAATCTCCACAGACGCGGGGATTGGGTCGTTGGGAAGTCCTCAGGTTAGAGCAGGTTAGCATATTAACGTGATTCCGTGAACATTATCTAGCCTTGTCTAATGGGACAGTTTGCAGCCAGACTGAGAACACTACTTTTTTGAGCTTCTGCTGTATGGAAAGTCGGCCACAGGTGGCCCATTGATGCTGAGTTGCATGCATGCTGCTAGTTGGTCTTGTAGCATGTTCCTCAGGTCTGTCTTTACCTACTCATAAAAGCAATTAAAAGTGTGGTGGTGTCATGTAATGTAGAAGCTTTGAGCCTCTGCTACAGTTAATACAGTAATGATGTTAGCTGTAACCTAGGTCATGCTCATGCTCATGCTCATGCAGTATGTTGTTCCTCGAACGTGTTCCAGTTAAGAGTTACTTGGACTGAGGATACACAAGCCTCCTGCTCAGTCGTTAACAAGGAGATTTCGTGAAATTGAGAGAAACTGTAATGTCATCTGAAAAAACATGTAAGGGCAAAAATTTGTATCATTAAAGTTTAATGCTACAGCCACTAACATTGCATTATTAACACTGACATTGCTACAATAGATCCGGATATGAAGTTGAGACTCCAGTGTTGGTTTTTCAAAATTATTTGTAGAGCAGTGTCACATTTCATCAGTACAATTCTACACTTCTATCATGGTCTGTAAATGTACGCGAATAACGACTGTATGTTTATATGAATCCATTCATACAATATGATTTGCATTTGGAAAAAAAACACTAAATAAAGATTATAATTCTTAAGGCATGGCAGCTGATATTTTGGTCCTTTACATGTAGCAGAAACTCTGCTGCCATCATTGTCATCCCTTACAATTCATCGCACATATTTGCAAGGAGCACATAATGATGTGATGTGAACTTTTTTAGCACAGCCCTAGTGCAGTATGAAGCTGGCATGTGGATAAGAATAGTCATCGCACCTCTTAATGAGCAGCGTGTCTCTCTTTCACTCTGCACGTGACTCACCTGTTGCAGGGACAATAATAGAACCATCCATGGCTGTTTGAATCCACATACTCTGTCAATGGCATCAGTGGTTGGATCCTCACACCCACCTAGCATGCACCTGTAAAGCTGTTCCCTGTTGCTCATTTATTAGAGTCAAGGCTGCTTGAAAGCACGATTTCCATCACAGTAAACATAATCTCCAGTTTTGAGCAGTTTACATCTATTTTCTAAGATTACGACAACAAACGTTTACCTTGTGATTTGAAACTTTGCATACATCTAGTATGGACACCGAAGTTCGTAACCTTTTGCAGTTTTTGTCACACATTGAGCACAAATTGTTTATTAAGGTGGACATTGTGCAAAATCTTCAATAAGTCTCCATGAACATTTCTCAGTTCTTTGTGTCTTAAACCTTTCCAAATTGAGTAGACACTTAAAATGTCAGTAATTTCTGGAGTTTTCAGACTCTGTTGTCTGTACAGTATTTTTAGCTCTTCTCTTGTCTTTGAATTAAGTCCTGGAGATGTCTGTGCTGTGGCTGAGGGAAACAGATGAGCCTTTTGTCTCTGTGGATTCTCCTCTCTGTTTTCAGTTGTGAGGCTTTGCATAGATTAGTTAAGCCTCTGCTGCTGTAGTCTCCAAAGTGCTGGCTGCTATTTGTATGAGTGAGTGTACCCTTTTACCCTTTGGTAGCTGCCTCAGAGGTGATATTGATCATGGTTCAAGTAAGGATAATGACAATTTTACCTGCACATACTTATGCAGTACCACTGAAAAGAGAGAAACAGGTGCTGCAGTCAGTGCAAATGTTTTGTTGAAAGCTACAATGTAAAACTAAACTGCTTTTATCTGTTAAAATTTGAACATAATCCACCTACGCACATTCATTTATTCATATATTTTAGTGCTATCAAATGATTAATTGCATTAGTTAAATTAATTAGATACATTTTGATTAATCATGATTAAATATCTTTCTTTTTAATCTATATTAATTGTGTTTTATTCTGCTCTAAAGATGGATTGATTGGGATCATTTTTTATGATAGATCATGATAGATTTTAATTTTGACAGCCCTAATTTAATTATTTATTTTTCCCTTTATTTAGTGATGCAGAACAACAAAAACAATACAAGATACGTGAGAGACACAACACAATGTTTCGAGATAAGGGTTTCCGAGGGGCGGTCCAAGAGTGAGTGTATGTGGGGGTGGGGGTAGGATGTTGTTTATATGTGCTGGAGTGAATGGAAGTATGTGTGGGATGATTCAATGTGCATTGGTCTGTATGAGGAGCAGCGAAGGGGTGATGTTTTAGTGATATCTAAGGACAGAGATGTGTATTTGTACAAATATATAAAGGATGAGATGTGTTTGATTGTGAGATCGATGAGATTTGTCTAAGCTTTAAATGACATGTGAACGTGTATGGATGATGAGTGTTGATACAGAAGAAATGAACAAACCAAAAATTATTTATGGTAATAATGAATGAAAAGGGGAGAGGTCAGAGTAGAGTGGAGAAATAGAAATAAATGAAATGACAAGACACAAGGTAGACAGAAAAGAAAGAAAAAGAGAAGAAAAAAACAAAACAAAAGAGAGCTTCTTTTTTCATATCTATCTTCCACATGTCTGTTTTCCCCCCTTTCTTCCCATCCCCTTTTTATCATTTCCTTTATTTTTCCTTTCTTTTGTGGGGTGGAGGTAAGCATTCATCAGTCGCCACAGACTCTGCAGAGTGAGCTTGCTGATGTGGCCACCTCCTGAGTGTTTCTCATCCCACGCAACCCCCTGACCTACTAGAAAAGAGTCTGTTTAAGAAGGCTGGGATTTATAAGTTTATCTTCTTGATTTTCAATATCTATTGATTTTTTTTACTGTATTAAAAGTAAAAAGAAAAAACAATAATAACACTTCTATTTTTTTCTACAATTTCGCTTGCATGTTTGTCATACAAATTAAACAGTATGTCTGAATTCTGAAGATATTAGATTTTGGGAAATTGTGTTGACACATTATAGCTATAGTCTTAAAAAAGTGCGTTATTACTGCTGAGTAGTATCTCTTGGTATTACTAGTCCCCTCTTGTTTGTTTAGGGTTTGTACTGTGTCTAACATTCACTGCTGGAACACCACAATCATTGGTTCAGGTTTAATCTGCCCGTTTATCTAATGTTAAAAAATACCAGTAAACACTTATGAATAGTAGGAGCTCTAATCTCAACATTAGATACTGTGCTGTGTAGAAAAGTCGCATTCTTCCATATTTCACATCATCTCTGCATGTCTCCGTTTGACATGTCAGCCTGAGACTAACTGTCCACCCTGGACTTCTGCATCTGTGCGGTGACTCACCCCTCTGATGATGTCACACCTCCTCAGTTGCCATGGCAGTTGTCCTGGCAACCAGCGTCTGTGCTCTGTATGGCAGAGACCTGAGTGACTGTGATGGTGAAGCTAAAAGGGTTAATATTGATGGCTGGGAGCTAATTATTTTGTCCTGCAGCATAAGCAGCACTTTCAGAGGCGCTGCAGTATTCATTATTTTCGGCTTGTTTGGTTTTATACTCTGATGTCTTTTGCTTAAATGCGAAAACGCTGTGGAGAAAGACAAGAGCTGCACTGTCACTCCAGGACAACAAGTGCAACAGATACTCCCCGTGGTGAAGCACATGCAGTGGTGCCATGTTTCACAGCAAGAGGAGTGTGGGAGAAAGATGGAGGAAAAACCCAGCCTCTTTGTGTCCGACAAAAAGATCTTTTTAATGTTTTTTGTTACATAAATTATAGCTTTTGAATATTGTCACCAATACAAGAAGACTGTGCTAACTTCTTATGTGACTTCGCTGTTTTATATGAAATGTTACTATTGAAAAACGAAACCTTTTAGTCAACCTTTTAATGTGGGCTTTTTTAAAGCTTCTAACATCAGACCTTGCAAAGAAATATAAGGAAAACTACTTCACTCTGACAGCACATTTGACATGCTTATGGCAGGAGCTGACGATTTCGTTGTATAGGCTTCACTCTCATCACTGTTCACTAGATGTTACATGCAGAAATTAAAGGAGAGATGAGACAACATCATATATTTTGGTGGATAGAGCTGAGATTTCAATCCCAGCACTAGCAATGACAGACTAAAGGGGGGGGCCAGAAAATTTTCACTTGAACTCAGAGGATACATTTGTTTGATTTTGGATAGCGATGCATGTCAAGTCTGAAGTCAGTGTAGCTTGACTCAAGGTATATTTGTGCCTCTAACTTGTTAAACTATACTGATAATTATCAACTGCTTATGCAAGAACGAAGTCATCATTATTACTTCAACTTGCTGAATTTCTTAGTAGGTGTGATCGTGGTGAGTTGTTTTTACTATGTGGGCTATCTTTCTTGATTAAAAAAAATTAAAACAAATCTTAAACTGCCAAAAAATGCTTTCAACAGCATTGTTTCACCTTAACGTCAAACAACAACTACTACACTGAACATTGTGTCCAGGTGTGTGTTTGCAGGCCTGTATAGATCTAAATGATTTTTGGCACACAGTGTGTGTGTGCATGGACACTTAATGCAATAACTGGATTGAATTGTGGTTTTGTAAAATTTACAAAAATGCTAATCAAAATTTTCTTCATCACTTCCTTCACTGCTGTCATTCACAAACCCACCCCTCCTCTCTTGTTCACTTCCTGAAGAGACTAACATACACAACAACAACACGGCTGTTCATGTGAATCAAGAGTTTATTCCCTATGAAATGTGGTTAAAAACTACATTTTCTTGGACAACACGCAGATATTAAAGTTACAAGACTGGCAAACCAGAGGCATGGCTGAGTTGACTGATAGGTAGGCAGCATGTTGCTATGGAGGCGTGCCATTGGTAGGTTGACCAGAAGTGAAGTTGAGTCAGCATTTCCAGTATTGTGACCAGTACCCAAAGGCTATAAAACTCTGCTTCACAAATCATCACCAACACTACATCCATGTATTAAACGGTCTAAGGTTGATGCCCAGTAGCTCCACAGGGTGCTTTCACAACCCACTGACTTTCATTGATTTCTTACATTGAGGGCCAGCCTGAGACTTAGAAGAACATTTTCAACACAGTGTCTTAAGGAGGAGGGGAAATGTGTTTGGAATTATATCCAGAAAAAAAAAAAAAAATTAAAATGTATTTTGTGTTTCATATGTGTCTCTTCAGGCTCTCATCTGTGCCCACGAAGTTTAGACTGTGCCCGAGCAGGACGACATTTCTGTCAGCCGGGCAGCTCACACTGTGGGCCCTGCCTCCACCCTCTGGTGGAAAACTCCCACGGTCACTGTGTGGTGAAGAGGAGGCACACCTCTCACTCTGCTGCTAAGTCTGTTAAAGGTAGGTGCTATGCTAAATAAATGTAAGGTGTAATCATGTGGCAGTAAAACTAAAACATAGAACCAAATAAAGAGTCATCAGAGAGCTTCCAGCCACACATTAGGTTTGACACCGAGTCACCGAATGATCCGTGTTCTTCCTCTCTGTGCTCTTTATCTCCACATGAGTCATGTTCCCCACTAAAGGTCGACTACAGACACTCTCGGTGAGTGTAACACCAGAAACAGCCCCCAGTTAGCGGAGTGTGTCAGAGTTAATGATCCCTGCGACTCTGTTTCATGTCCTACTCCTCCAGGACTTTAAAGACATGAGGATAAGATGGTGATGAATGAGGGAGGAATCGGACGGAGCTGCTTTGTCGGAAAACAGGAAAAAATATTCAGCAACAAATGTCCTTGATTAAATTTATCAGGAAACAATGACGCTGTTTGTAGATGTGACAATTTGTGTACGTCACGTCTTGTTTAGTCTATTTTTAACATAGATTGTATATAGAATGGACGTCATCTGCCTCCTGAACAGCACCCCCTGGTGACTGGTTGCAGTATAGGTCATAAACCCCGCCTCCTTGAGCTAAATTATAAAAATGTAATTGTTCCTGAATTACAGCTGGTATCTAAAAGTAATTGTTATCCTAAACTCTGGAATTTTCTGACAGTGTATCTCAGATTAGCGTAATCTGTATCCTCTTAAAACTTTCTGGATTCTCTACCTGCTATTTGATTTATTGTCGTTTCATTATATTGCTGTTATTTCACATGGTGTTTTAATTATTTTTACCTCTTTCATTTTAATATCTGCCTGGCTCTGAAGGCACTTAATAGATGAAGTTTGTTATTATTGTAATAATAATAATAATAATAATAATAATTATTGTTGTTGTTGTTGTTGTTGTTGTTATTATTATTATATACTTCTATTATTATTACTATTATTATTATTATTAATAAAATATGTTATTAATGAGTTACAAGCCAAGAAAATTTCAAGAGAATAATTCACTTATTTTAGGCAAATTATAGTATCACAGTAACAGAAAAAAGTGGTGCCAGCTTTGAGTGTAATGTTATTAAAGGCCAGTAAAATGTAAGCAGTCAGTGAGCTTTCAAAGCAATCGTGTGTAATATTTTACACTGGTTTCAAGCTGAGTCTTAACATAGGCCCTCACTCTGGCAGATTCTGATATTTCCCGGAACCTGAATGGTTTTTACTGGGTACCACATTCACTGCCCCACAGCCCCAAATCTTCAGCAGAGCATCAAATCTTGATTAATCTAAGTTAGGACTCTTCATTCTGCAGTCTTCCTCTCTCCTTTCACTTACTTCATAGCCGTCCTCAAATCTGAGGCTTCATACAAACCATGTCCAGGTTCTATTTCTCTTCATCCTCCTTCTCCTTCTCTCTGTCTCTCCTTCCTGTTTCCATGGTGACGTCTCAGATTCATGACTCTGAGGAAAACCCATTCCACCAACGACATCCTCCTCCTCCTACTCCTCCTCCTCTTTCTTGCTGTCTTTTGCTGCCATAAGCCTACACTCTGAGCAGCTGGGTTTGACATCAGAGCTCTAAGCCAACCTCCAACACACATGCACGCACACACACACACACACACACACACACACACACACACACACACACACACACACACACACACACACACACACACACAACACACAATGTTGATACACACACAAAGAGTGCACAACCTTTTCCTCGCCCACTCACTGTAAATAGTGTTATATTAATTTTTGGAAACCACACATTTACACCCACATCCATCCCTCACGTTTATCCTTCAGCTCTCCCTCTCACACACTAACACACACACGCACTGCGTCACTGGGACTTCCTTATACTCATCAGCATGATGAACTCTGGGTAGTGTGATGTTGCTCTGCAATGCAGCAGGATCACAGCAGGTGGAGGGATGTGGACAGGCATGAAAAAAATCAGGACTGCAGTTATTTTTCACGCCACAAGAGGAAAGTGTTTTTTTATTTTTCGAAAGACCTGACCTTAGTGGGATGAAAAAGGCATTTAACAGAAGAGCTGCAAAGCATCCCCCTAACCACCCATCCATCCATAATTTAACCTTACTCCAGGGAGCAAGAACCTGTTCCTGGAGGCTTGCACTCGGCCAGAGGTGGAGCCCACTGTGGACATGTTGCCAGCCTTTCTGACATTTAAGAAAAATAGAAATGACCTCTGTTAGACAGAGCTGATGAGAGCTTTACTTCATAACAAAACAGTTGAGTACTTTGCAGAGATGTAACAATTCATTTAACTCGTGATACTCTAAGTATATTAACGTAATGTCAACAAATATCAATTTAATGTGTTCGTCCTGCTAAAACTGGACTTTTAAGATAAATGTAATCATATTCGTCTGACTTAAACTGCACCGAGTTGAATTTCTCTAAGTTAAAAGTTAAAATCACTACCAAAAATACACAGTCCAGGAACAGTTTCATGCATTTGAACAGCATTTCAGGATGGGGTAAATGACAGTGGTGTATCTTGCAGTCAGACAACCGTGGAAGCTCCAAATCTTTTGGCTTCAGTTTATGAATTAAAATGATTTGGAGCTTTTCTTGTCTTATACTTTCAGCTGCATCACTTACTGTTGTGATGGATTCTGTGTGAGGAGTTCTGGTTTTTGTGTCCCTGCAGGGAAGGCGAGCACCTACCCAGAGCTGGACGAGGAGATCGACTTCCTCTCTGCCATCATCAGCGAACAGAGAACTGAATCCAGGCTGCCAGGTAAATAAAAGACCACTTCTATTGACACCCTTGTGAATTAGACACAGCACCCTGCTGACTGAATTGCTTTTCACTCTTATCTTATCTAGCTCCACCTGTTCAGGATGCTCCTAAACCGGAGTCAAAGCAGCCCAGTGAGCCTGGTCCTGTCCAGAACACACCCACGGCAGAAGTGCAACCAGCTGCAACCCAGAGCGACCAGCTCACCAGCGTGCGCACCACCACCGCTACCACCCTTTCAAACTACACCCCTGCTCTGCTCAAAGACCCCATCATTGTCCCCTACCCCTCAAACGACCATGCCTTTATCAGTAAGTCTTTCTGTACATTTGTGACCTCAATTTATGTTCAAGCTTAGGATGGGATTCAAACCAATTTAATATTTTAAATATTAAACTTTAAGATTTAATATTTATTTTTTTTAAGCTGTCCCAAATGCTACAGGAGAGGATTAGGGCCACTGGGAAAAAAAAAAAAAGGTCCAATAAATATTTTTAATTTTTTCTTTTTCTTTTGCGAAAAATGTCAGAATTTAGATTTTTTCTAACTCTCAGAATTCTTCCTTTTTTTCTCATAATAATAGTAAAAAGATATAAATATTGGACCTTTTTTCCAGTGGCCCTAATCCTCTCCCGTAAAATGCAAAAAAGACATGTTTATAAACATCTCAGAGGCTTTGAGAAGCTATTGATGTGAGTTGACTTTGGTGGCCCCTATTGGCAAAGATTAACATCTTATCCTTTTCTGATCTTGTCCTGTACATGCCAAGGTAATATTCTCTGAAAAAGAAATCTCCCTTTGCTTCATTTTATTAATAAATTTTTTTATACTTACTGAGAATATTTTCATGGTGTACTGTCAGTCATCTGGTTTGAGAAGAACACTCCAAGGAGCACACAAAATCAGCATGATAACTATAACAAACTTATGGAGTTGTCTCTTGATTTTGTAACCTCTTGAGTCCAGCTGCTTTGAAATAAGTCTAGATACACTGAGACAGAGCAAAATGTAGAACTGATGGAATACTATGTTATGTTACTGTCTCATTAACGTGTCCTATAGCCTCAGTAAAGTAAAAATAAATAAAAATAATAATGAAAATAATGCATCAGATTTCATGTAGCGCTTTACCAGAGACCCTCAAAGCGCTTTACGTTGGATAACACTTTTGCTGCCTTGCCTCAGTTGTATAATAGAGTCCTTATTCTCTCTACATTTGAGCTCATTCAGTTCCTTTCTCATTGATAGTAATTCAAGAGTGAGAAAACTAAAAGGGTTAAAACGTAAACGTTTATGAATGAATAACGTGCACTGTTGTTTCATCAGTTACCTCAGAAAGGAGGGATTAACCCATGCAACCACTCGGATTCTACCAATACTGTTTTCAGCATGTCTTGTTGTGATTTTGGTATTTTGCTTCGAGGCCAGACCGTGATCAATTGATTTTGTCACCTACGCAGTCACACAAGTACACACATTGTTAGTTACTGGTTCCCACAGGGTGTTTTCCATGAGCTGTAGATTGGGAAAAACCATCCTGGGAAATACCATGATCTCATCTCAAGGCAAAGAAAGACACCTTAACATAAACGTGTCATTTTTAATAAAGGAAATAAGAATCATGGAAGACTTAAATGTTGAAAGGACATTAATGATGTCTAAGTTCAGTTTTATGAAAACTTTTTCTCAAGAGTTGCCACCACATGCTTTGGAAAATCTTGGGACTGGCCTCTGATTCATATCGCTGTTGGACAGAACAGAGCTCAAGCGCATCTGTGGATCAGTTCCGCCATGCTGCATTTCTGCTCTCAATGCTTTTATTTGTTGTCACTGTGGGATGTGACCAAGGAGCAAAACTGACTCCTGGTTATTTTCAGCATCTCCTCTCTCTGCCTCAGACTTAGTCCTGGACTTTCAGTCAAGGATCATGTCTTCGATTGACATCTACAGATCTGTTCAGTATTCTCTCCCGCTAACCATCTGTATGTATTTCTTTTCAGTAATGAGCAGCGTCTTCATCATGGCCGGCTCAATGGCTCTGATCGTTGCTGGGGCATGTTGGCTCAGGTAAGACAGAAATTTCACCCTTTTTAACTTGAATGCATGTTATGTCATCTCCCTCTCTTTCAAGACTCAAAGATGAAGTCTGTAGATTTACGTTTTTTCTTGATAACTAGAGGTATTCAGATAAAATACACAGTTAATATCAGAATCAGTAGTGTTGGCAAGGTATGTGCACAATAAGGAGTAATCTCTGTTTATTGATTCTGCATAAAAACAAGGAATAATTAGTAGGTATGGATCTGAATTTAAATATGAGAAGTCTTAGTCTGAGTATTATAACTCTCAAAAACTACAAATGTAGTAAACTACCCTACAAAAACTCTCATTCGGTTGACTTTTGACAGTCAAATCTATCATTTATTGTGAATATTTTATGTGTGAATTGTTGAAACGATTTACAGCTCGGCTAAAAAATACCCTCCCACACCGGTATAAGGCATTAAAGCTAAAATATAAAAACTGTCAGTCTTGTTCCCAGTGGTCTTGGTTTGCTCTAGTTTATTAAAAAAAGACAATAATATGAATTATAATATGAATTTCAGCCTGTTTTATTAACATCAAGAAACTCCTCACAGGAGCTTTAAGCTATCAGACTCATCATATATACATAGGCTTTATACCAGTAATGATATATGTTTACTTTGTATGAATATAGTTTCAAAGTGAGTCTACTATTCACCAGTGTGAATCATGAATCAGATGTCAAATAATATTTTACAACACTTTTTTTTTTTACATCTAATGAACTTTTTGAAAATTGTTTTATTTGTTTTCCAGATTGCAGAATAGTGTGCGTCTGACTCAGAAGGTGGACTACCCGGTTTACGGACTGATGAGAGCCCAAACCTTTGACAACATGGTAAGTAATGCATCTCTATGTTACAAATTAAACAAAGTCACACGGGGTAAATAAGCAGATGGAGAAGTTCTTTAAGATTTCTTTAATTTTGCTGCAGATTGAACAACACTCTTTGATGTGAGTTATCACATAAGGACAAACTTGGTTCTTAATTTAGCAATATAACCTGTTGTTACTTCTCATGCTCACAAAGACCCCTTTACAGCTTGTTCTGCTGCCCCCAAGTGGTTAAATACATTTATACAGCTTTAGATACGTTGAGTAACTTTTCAGAACGATTTTCATGAGTTATGGCTGGAAAGTGTTAACTTTTTAAAAATTGGAGTAACTTCAATAACATTTAGAAAATAAACCTACTGATTTTTGTTATGTCTGCACATCAATGATCAGACGTTTTTGTGAGAATTTAATAAGAAACTCTTTTAGTTCACTAAAAGATGCTGTTAAAGGTATGCTTTGACGAATCATCATCTTTTTTAATCTTCCACTAAAATTTTTAAAGAAAGAAAGTACAGAAAGAAGACAAAAAAGACTGCGTTGACGAGAGAGGAGGATGAAATAGGAGAAGATAGATGCAACAAAATCTCCAGGCATTGTGAATATTTATGATTTTGTGAAGAGACAGAAAGGTGGTGAAGTAGCTTTTATAAAGTACCAGTTGTCTGTTTTATGTTTTCTACTGTTGTGTTTGTGTTGTTTTTACATGTTATAGTGATATAAACACACAAACAGTCACCATGTCTTAACCCCCCAACTGCTTTATGTACACCCTAAACCTAACAAGACCAAAAGGAAAAATGTAGAAAATTGTAGAAAATGTGTGTTCTTTAAAACATGCTCCTGAATAAAAACCTGGTTTTAATACTAGAAAATAAAGTCACCTGGGTCAACCCCAAAAAGGCAAACGTGGCTGTCCTTTGAGCAGCACGTGCAGAGTGGACACATGCTGTCGGACTGAATGTCGGCTAAACAATGTGACCTGATGTGGATGTTTGCCTCTGAGGTTCTCATACCTCCTCTTCCTCTTGGTCCATTACAGCCCGGGGACAAGAAGCTGGCCCACAGCGCTCAGATGTACCACTACCAGCATCAGAAGCAGCAAATGCTTTCCCTGGAAAAGTGAGTCATCCTCTCACACACTCATCTTTTTTAAGGGGCACGTGTTTGTCCTGTCCCTCATGCCCTCCCTGCCTCCAAATGTCTCGCTGTCCTTTGAATATAAACTGTGTGTGTGTGGCTTCTGCAGACACAGGGACGAGCCCAAAGTTCCTGACTCAGGAGCATCGACAGACGAAGAGAATGACGACGGAGATTTCACAGTGTATGAGTGTCCTGGGTTGGCACCGGTAAGAAAAACCTGTATTGAGAATCACTGAGAATGACTCATTTAAGTGAAGTATGGATGTGGAGTTTAAAGAACCAACTGTGGCTTTAGACATTTCCACAGTTTTTTCGGCAGTGTAAAATGTAAAATCTGTTCTTTAGGTAACAGTATACAAGTGGCCGTACCTGAGAGTCAGAGTCCAAAGCAGACCAAACTAATGGGGTGGTCTTGCCATTTTTTTCTGCTATTGGAGGCGTGTTTTCTGGCTCGACAAAATCAACCCATACATCTACATCCTTTTTTTTCTTTAATATTAATGGATTTAAACATTAACCGATAGACTGTATATAGAATGGACAGCGTCCAGTAATTGGGCCCAGCTCTGGTTAAATGCATAATGTTTTGATGCTGTATTAAGCATATTTCTTATGCTTTGGGTTTTGAATAGACACACAAGTAAACTACAAGCAGAATAAAGCAACCCAAATGGAGATATTGTTTTCCCAATGATAGAGTATGTTCCTTAATGTATTTCTCATCTCTGTTTCTCTGCAGACAGGGGAGATGGAGGTGAAGAACCCACTGTTTGACGACTCCACCCTTTACTTTCAGACATTCCCAAAGTAAACTCACACTGAGATGTTTCCCAATCCAAATGCAGCACCTGTGTGTAACAGCAGTTAAAATTACACACATTATACACTGTACACATTTGATCCTGTGCTCAGTGTCCAGCCTTTAAAATGGATGGGATGAAGAGTGTGAGGTCCATGTTGGGAGGAAGAGGACATTGACGGGCTTGTTTCTGGTTTGAAGAGCGACTGAATCTGGGAACAATGTCCCACTTTTTCAGCCACATCCTCTTCTCTTTAATTTAATCTCTCTTTTTCCCCATTTTTATGACTTAGTTCTTTCTTTTTTTATTTTGACAGGACTTCTGTCTGGTAACACTCTCACTAAGAAACACAGGATATCAAAATCAAATGAATTTTATTAGTTTATTACACTTTATCTTCCGTAAACCTCTCCTAATTTGCTGCAGAAATATAATTTTAAAATCTCCTGACCTCCATGCAGCACCACGCTCTTTATCAGTATGTTATGTAGCCTTTGTGTTTTCTCAATCTCGTTCCTCTATGCATGAATTGATGATGCTGTGCTATGAAGCCTGAGAGTCAATATGCATTTTAAAAGTTTTACAAGTTTCTTGTGCAAACTTGCTATGATTATATATATTTATATATGAATATATATGAGCTAAATGATTTCAAAGGAATTAGAAACCTCTTTACGTAGACCTCTGAAACAGAGTGAGCCCCTCCTGTACATACATGATCTGACTAACATGGCTTGTCCTCATGGTTTGTGATGTGTAAATAGCTGCTGATGTGTTGTACAGGGCAGAGATGTTACCTCTCACTCAGTGTGTTTGTCAGTGAGTGCTGTGTCACATACTCTACTGTTGTTTGTTTCCTTATCGTAAATTATTTATCTGCACATGTGGAAAGGACAGTTAATGTCTGGGATTTTAGAGGTTTTCAAAAGCTTATTTGATATATATTTGTAATTGTGCAGAAGGGGTTTTAATTGAATTTTATAAAGGGAAAAGCAGAGAGTATCTGTGAATCATCCTAATCGTCATAACAAGGTCACCGGCAATGTTTAAACCCTACCAAATTTTTAAAGGTTCCATGTAATGAAAAACATATTTATTGTCTACACACTTAAGTCATCCTCCAGCATAGTAACCCTGAGAGTATGGAAGCAAAGACGCCTCTGCATTGTATCTATAGTACTACTACTGAGAAACATATCTTGTGAGGCCTTAGTTGGACGAGCACTGCCCCAGTAAAAGTGGAAAAGCCATTTCTTTGCATTTTTAAAAACATCATCAGTCTTACTCAAATGTTCTGAAAATATTCTATGTACAAACAGATCTACTAAAACCACTGGGATATGCGTGTCAGGCCAGAAGCTGGAGGCATAACAGACGATTTGACTGGCAGCTTATCAGCGTGTGCAGATATAGCTGTGAATTTACTGTTGTCTGAGTTTACACATTGATAGAAGGGATGAATGTCTGTAAAAGATTAAAGGGTCTGGTTTTTAAGTTTGCATTTAAAGTTTCCCAAAACATAGCTTACATTTAAAGGATCAGTCAAAATAGATTTCCATGTAAACAGTCTCCAAGAGATGATTTGAATTTGCTCCTGTGGTGATGTAACAACAGGAGGGATCTGCAATGGCATGCAGTTAAACAAAAAGGCCAAAAGGTGGAATTGAATTCAATTTTGAATACACTTCTCTGAGATATAATGTTGTAACTGTGACATGATCCAGATCAGACTCTGGATCATGTGTGTCTTGTGTAAACCACCGGTGTTGGTTCTTCTCAAGTGCTTGGCATTTTTATTTTGGTGCTTTTCTGCTACTACATTTGTCAGTACTAGGCTGCCCCCTCTGCGGACAACATTCAGTCAGCCAACCACCGCAGTGCCTCATTATCAGTATTTTTGCCCCCTAAGATCACTGCACAGATTCAGATCCAAGACCCGCGTTATTTAATGTGTTGACGTCAGACGCCTGCTGGCCAAATGACCAATCAATGTAAATCACCGAGACACACATTATTTTAAGTGAACTCGAAACTTTGCTTAAATGAAAACAAAAAAAACTTGACCAAACTGGAAAATATGAGTACAAACTTTATTACATCAAGATGTCCTCAAGGTCAGAACCTCAAAATAATTGAAAGATGTATTTGAAGAAATAAAAGATATTTTGCCATAGAACTATTAAAGAATATATTTATACTACGTCACACTATGGTAACATCAACAACATTGAATCTATGACTGTTAATCATTTTATCATTATTGTGTATTTACATGATAAAACAAAAAGTATTGTGATAAATTTCACAGTCAGATTCAGAGACTGTTTATAAGAAGTAGAAACAGCAGTAACAGACTGGTGCAGGTTGTAAGAAGAAATATAATCATAAACCAGTCTGTGAGAGTTTTCCACTCCCTCTACTGTCCCATCTCTCTCAGTAAAGGAATATTATGCCAAGAAGAAACATGCAAATCTATATTGGGGCATTTTCCTTGAAATATCACAATTTAATCATGAATATATATATTATTGTAGGCCTGAAATGTAGTCAGATGATGTATTTAAGCTGCACCAAAGCCACCCACCAGCTGACGGATGCCATATTTCAGTGAGGAGCAATTTATCAGTATTTTGATCTGGGAAATGGAGATACAATTGTATGTAGGCTGTGTCTAGTTAAACGGACTTTTTACCCCTTGACTGGAGCGATGAGTAACCAGCACAGGCTTGTGGACGTAAACTTGCAAGGAGGACTGAAGGCTGGTGGTTCTAGCTCTGCTAAAATAAGCCACATTCAGTGAAACAATTTAACCCCATTAACCTGTATGGAGTCCAACCATTCTGTGATCCTTTTTACAGTTAAATTGAGCTCAATTTCCATTGTTTTCTGTGAGTTTCTGACCTCTAAACTCACTTAATTAGGGAATTAACACATTTTAGTTGAAATGACGAGGACATTAGTTCCATCTAGTGGCAACAGTCAAAATTTTAAACTTCAGGCCAAAAAAGTAAAGGATGATGACACGGTGCTCTGCTCACTTTTCGTATACAGTTTACCGATCGATTTTGTAATAAAACCATGGTTAAAAGAAAACAATCGTAACTTTTGATAGAATTGCCATGATACAGTTATTTTTCAACCACTGTAAAAATAGAGGTTATATAAAAAGAACCTTTTTGACTTGCCAAAAAGAATAACGCAGTTAAATTGCAAGTCATACCAAAGCAAAAATTATGAATAAAGAAGGTTTATGTTTATTATATATCATAATATTTTAAAGATCCTAATTAAAAGAGTTTATTCTTCCATAAGATACCTATGGCCTGTGTGTAATACAAGAAGTTTATCTATTATGACTTTCACATTAGTCATTTGGTGGCCCTTCTTGGAGACATCAACATAATGAATATTAAAAAAACAAATTCCTAATATTGATGGAATCACCCTCAATGGATATTCTCTGCTTTTCCCTTTACTTGAGCTGCTATCAATAAACAATCTCACCTGGCCAAAATATTCCACACCTGGGCGTCAACAAGCCGTCCTTCTGTCAAATTGCTGTATTGCATAGATATTAAATTACACCCACAGGATGATTCTCAGCTTCAGTGATGGATGTTTGTAACAGGAACCCTAGATGTAACTGTGGCCTCTTGCTGTCGTCTCTCAGGAAAGTCACTGTGTGTGGCTCCTCTCTCTTCAGCCCTCTCCCTCTCTCTCTCTCTATCTCTCTCTGCCTCTCGCTCGCCCACAACGGAGGAGCACATCAAACTCTACTTGACCTGCACACATTACACACAAACACACATGTAAAAAAACAAAAAAAAAAAATCACCAGGGAGTATTAACACTGGAGATGTTGAACTGTGTTGTAAAGACTGTTTGAATTAAACTCGCTGAGCTCAGAGAACAAAAATGGGAGACAAAGAGGGATTTACAGAAAATATAACTCGCATACTGTTTGCCTTTTTTAATGTGACATATCTCTGCTTTCTCTTCACCTGAGCTGAGAGCCGAACACAAACCGAACAGGCTGTCTTGTTGAAGGAACTCTAAAACAACTACCTAGACTAGCTCTCTTTGATACAGACTGTTTTTAGACTACATTATGACTTCTTTATCGCCCTGTTTGCATGCATGAGGATATACCACAGCTGAAATTAAGGAAATAAATATTTATATAATCATCAGCAAACTGTGTTCTAGAGTCTCTCTTCTTTTACAAAATAATCTCTAACCCCATTTTAGAGATCTTGGTAACGCTTTCTTATATGGTACACTTACAACCAGGTAATTAACAGGTAATTACCTAGTAACAACATGAAATTATCTGGTAATTACATGATAACTACTAAGTCAATACTGTCTAGTTTTTCTTTTTTACTTTTTTCTGTGCAGCTCCATTTTCAAAAGCTATTTCGGGTTCTTATTTTCTATGATTGACACTTGATAAGGCCTATGGGCGTGCGAAGATTGTGTAGCGATATGCTGTTTGAGCTGAGCGTTATCACATGAATGCAAGATGTGGCTAAATTGTCTTTACCTTTTAAAGGTGTTACATAAATCTTGAGGCATAAACCAGCCCAGATAAAAAGAGGTAAACAGACATTTAAACACAGAAGTTTACAAACTGTAACAATGATCCTCGTTATATATTCTGTGAGAGCCACACTGGCAGGATTGAGTCAATTAATCATCATTCACTTCCATTACATACGGTTTTCTTTTATGGTGGCCTCCTTGTATGACCTATTGACTCCAATGCAGGAACACAGGCATACACTGAGGTGGAGAGCATGTCTAGTTTACAAATGACTCAGTGCTTTTAAGCAAAAACACCACTTTAAAGACATTGGGAGCGTTGATTATCTAAAAAGGCTCAGGTAGAATAGAGACAACTTGAACAAGAGTGAACCCCCCTTGCACATTTAACCCTAGAACACTACCGCGAAAATTAGTAACACCCCCACTATCGCTATCGAGTGATTTTTACCAGAAATAATATACCCAAGATAAAGTACTTGTCATCAAAATAGGACAATACATGAGAAATTAAAGTAGTTTTCTTTTATTTTTACTGTGCAATGTCCAAAGGGATGAAAAAAAGTGCCAACAAAATAATAGAAATTAGCTATACATGAACAAAAAATCCTAAAAAATATATGTATAGAAACTGTAAACTTAGTTTCTTTTCCTGGGGGCATGTCAGTCTTCCCTGGTGAAGACTCAGGGTCTTTGGCACAATAACAGCATAATAACGGCATATTTTGAGTGAGTGATAGTTATTCATAACCACTGTGCTAACTAAAGATAGCACGCAATTTCCAGGACCACTCTTACTGACCTTATTCGCCTACATGCAGCTATCAAATCCACACAAACCTACTTTACCCTCTATCTCTAAAATCACCCGAACACGTGCCTGTAGGAAAAAGCGGGTTTTAGATCAGGGAAACAAATAAACCTTCAAAGATGTCAAAGGCAATGCTGAAGCTACCCAGAGACCCATGATACTCAGACAAACACAACATAATAAAAATCACGTAAACATGTTTGGTTGGGTGAAAATTACCCAGTGATAGTGTTCTAGGGTTAACAGGCCTTCAGCTGTGAACCCAGTCCTCCAGGTGCTCATAGACCTTATTCGGTTTTAAACTGGGGTACTGGACACAGATTTGGCACAGTCTTTCAATCCAGTGAGTGTAGGTTTTTATTCTGTGAGTTTGGTGCCATTGAAAGAATTTCTCATACTCCTTCATGTCTGCAGCCACATGCTTCAAATAGGCAGCCAGACCTGCTGTGCTCCTGAAATCAGACACATGGATGAAGGACCCAGGAGGGGCCAAGGCCTCGTAGGTGGCCTTTCTGGGGCCGAGGACGACTGGTACGACTCCTGCTTGGAAAGCGTTCCTCCAGAGCTTCTCACTGATGTAGTCTGTGGCTTCAGAGTTCTCAAAGGAAAGGTAAAATAAGCACTTTGAGATGGTGGGCAGCAGTTTCCTCTCTGACAGGGGTCTTTTGTTCCACCTGCCGTACACTTGTATCGGGACATACTTTTTTAAACTCTGGTAAACAGCAGAACGAGCCTGCTTAGGGTGGTATCTGCTAACCACCCAGCTCACCAGGCAGGAGCGGTTTGGAGCAGGTGTAAAGACGTGTCCATCACCCCCTAACAGGGTCTGTCCATAAGGGACAGATATGTCTGCGTCCCGCCTGTAACTCATGGTCCAGTTAAAGAGGCCATTGAGCTGTGAGAGGTTCACATTGTTGATAGGAGGTTCCATAGACATCCACACCCAGTGCTGGGAGGCCGGCCTATCCCGGTGCAGAGGCAACAGAGAATGATCTCCGCTCAGTTCCTGATGATGGAAGACAACCACATCTGCAGCTGGCAAGGTGGAGGTGTTATCAGAGAGCAAACAGCCACTGATGTTATACTTTGACAGACATTTGTCTCCACGAAGCCTAAAAGAGCGCCCGAAAGGCCAGTGCCACAGCAAGATGCTAATGTTTCTCTTAGGGACATGTTGTTGATGTTTAAGTAGAGAGAGTGTCGGCCCTGAGAGATTGAAATAGAGCAGAGACGAGGTGAGGAGGCTGAAGAGGAGGAGGAGGAGGAAAACTCGGGATACAGATGGTGTCATGACTGCCAGGCGTAATCCATGTCGAAGAGGCACAGATCACAGGTGAGTCTCTCCTGAAAAGGAAGGAAAGGGTGGATCATAGATTTATTTCACTCTCTGAGCATTCACTCTGATAACAGGGACATTTTCAGCAGGAACTGACTGAAGATCACTGAAATCATTCCTACACCAAGCCCGTGTTAGAAGTGCTCATGTCCCTACATTCAGGCAGGTATTTTGTGTGTAACACCAGTGCCCTCTGCTGGATCTCTGCAGACACAGGCGAGATAAGCCCCATGGTGTGTTTATAAGCAAAGTTATTGTACAACAAGTTTATTTTTCTTAGTTGAAATGTGCTTTATCCTTACAGTATGCTTGAGGGGGGTCAGAATGTGAAATTCTGATGAGACAGACCACAGGAGAGTTTTCCGCTTGCTTTCAGTCCACCTTAATTGGGCTCAAAGAATTATTCTGTGTAAAAATATGGTTTCTAATATGACTATTTCACTTTTATTTGTTTTGTGTATTTGTGTTTTTATCTCATTTATTTTATTTCATTTTAAATGTTTTTTACCTGCTTTTATTTATTTCATCTTGACGTTTTCTGCGGTGTCTGTTCTTTTAATTTTATTATGCAGCACTTTGGTTAACTTGAATGTTTTTTAAAATGTGCTATTTAAGTAAAGCGGATTGGACTGGATTGGATATGAAAATATTGTTTAAAATCCATGCAGTGATTTCCACTCCAGAGTTATGTCTCTTTGAAATGCCACCTAGGGATCAGAAAATCACAGCCATTTCAGCCTTTTTTTTTCTTTTTAATTTTAACAGATATACCCAGACTATCAGATTTTTAATGATATCGAACTATAGATGATGAATCCTCTGATTCTTTCTCTAGGAAACTTTATTTTTAAATTGTTAAAGTATTTGCTCACACACTTTCACAGCATAATAAACCTCTTCCCATTTTAACTTTCAAGAGACCCCAAACAATCGGCATGAAGATTCCCTGGAGACGTATGTCAACAATAGACCAGCAGAGATTTATCCATGTGTAAAATGGAGAATAAACTCATCGTGACAGTAGGCTATGCAACCACTTAACCCGTGGGACACAACTTGTTTGTGACACAGAGACAGAAATAAAAAAAGGAGCCCAACTGGATGAAAGTGAGTGAGGAGGTCTGATTATCTGGTAAATTGTTTTAACACAACAGGCTCTCACAGTGTATTTAACCTTCTGCTATGTAACATGGAAATGTAGAAACCCCTCTTCCCTTTCTCTCGTCTCTTGCATTCACACATATTTGGGGACTTTGCAGATGTGATACAAGCACGCAAATGGAGTGAGTCATTTGTCAGTGAATGAGTAGGTGATTTTATGGTGTGAACGCGACACAAAGTGCCGTCCAATTGTAGGTCGGAGTTTTATGCACTTGCGAATTCAGTTTCAGGTCACACATTATCGCTGTCATGTGGACAGAGTATTTTAAGACTAAAAACATCCATTTAAAAAACGTTGTTTTGTTGTCCTTGTCCCAACTTTGAAATGCTGGCATCAAAACAAAAAAGTTACATATTTTTACATTGCATAATAAAACATTTGGTTTCGACATTTTTGTTTTTGCACTACGTGAATTTAAACTATGGTTTACATGATTATCAAACCATTCAAATCTTTATAAATACTAAAGTGGCCCAGTCCTGTATTGAGTCAGAGTTGTACTGCAAAGAGTTTCAGAGATCTCATTTGCTTCTGCTGTTATCTCATTAAATAGTATGTTGTAGCTGTTTCCCCTGGAACTTTACACAACCGGAAGGAGAGGGGATACACTCAAGATATTGGTTTGTTCAAACAAGGCAAAATTGTTCCTTTTGTGGGACTTGAAAACTTTGCAGAAACTCTTTTGAAATGTTTCTGTGGTTTGCGTCCTCTCGGTCTTCCAACAGTCTGATGTGTTTTGTTCTTTCTATTTCCACATCAGAATGACTCAATTGCTGTGAACTCACCAATTTTGTGCCTCTGCTTTAACCTGACTGACATATTATTAGTCACTAGTACGACAATAATAGAGAGAGATGGTGTGTGTATTTTTGATATAGTGCCGTGTGTCATATAATCCTTTACGGGGTATATTTAAAACATACTGTACATGTGAAGTAAGTATGAAAAATTCAGCAATTTTTAACACATTTAATGCACCACATCAGATATACTGGCTATCTTAGAAATGATATAAAAAGTTTGTAGTGATTTTTAACATTTAGTTTTGGCTCATTAATCCATAGAGACAACTTAATTTTGAACCAAAGAAATATTTAATTTTTTACATTTGTGTTTGATTTTCAGATGTTATCAAAGGTTTCTATAAACTCTAGAGGGTTTTTATCCTTCAAATTTGTTCTTTTGAAGACATTATTTTCATCTGTTGCAAGGTTTTTGTGTGGGTAGAGTTATATATTGCAAATCTTAACTGATTGCAGACCTTACTTTAGAATATTCATCTCTAAATTCAAAAGACTACAGTAGTTTGCGATAAGCACATTGTGAAATGGTTTCATGGAAATTGAAAATGAGGGGGTTGTGAAATTAAACTGGCAGAGAGAAGTTTTCTAGAGATGACAACACCCTGGCAGCGTGGTATACCACAAAGCCAACATGTCGATCAGAGCACTTTACAGAAGGAAATTTGAATAAATCTCACATTTTAATCTAAAAGAAAAAAGCTTTGCAAAGACACTGGCACTTACCCTTAAGTCTTCATCCTCCTCAAGACATCAGATAAGTAAAGGAAATCCTGCCGCTATCATGCTTTTAACGCACACCCATTTTCTTGTTGGCAGCGAGGGGTGACAGTCTGTAAAAGAGGAAAACAGCAGCAAGAGAAGCTCAAAACTATAAAATATCAAATAAACTGGCTGAAAGAATTCAGATAGTCTTCATCCATCCATCCAGGTCAGTATTGTGAGTTTAAATTGATCTCATTTTAAGGATTTAAAGTACAAAAAAACCCCGCCATCAGCACACACAGACAGAGCAGGCCTCTCAGTGTCACACCCTCTTTTAATTCTGCTTAAAACAGCTGCTTTTTGGGAGAAGTGACTCAACGAGCGGCGATGCAGAGTTTGAAACATCTCTGACAGATTTAACAAAAACCACAAGCTGGTCTTCCTCTTCCTGTTCATGAGTGTGCAGAGGCAACTGGCACAGGGTTAACGAGCTCCTGTAGGCACAAACCACATCATATCATATGTACTCACTGAGTCACTTTCAGAGTTTTACTTTAATGCACAACCATATGCAAAAGTCTGCACTGTCTCTTTATACCCCGATGTTTACTTCTGCACTAATTTCACTCAAGTTTACTCTTTTTGATTTGCTTTTCATGTTAAACAAAAAGATAATATAACTTAACCAAATAGACTCACATCTAATGATTTTTTTGAAACATTAAAGCGCCCACACCAGCGCCGCCCCTCCCTACACACAGAAAATGCACTGTGCGTAGGGCCATCGTTCAGGGCTGAACTGGGACAAATATTAGCCCTGGCATTTTTTGTCCAGACCACTCCACTCACTACATTTTCAGCAGACACCACATAGAAGTCCACAAATCTTAAGGTGTCTTCTTTCATGCATACTACAAAGGAGAGTCATATTTCTTGATAGCAGTTAACTAATAAAGCGTGTAGCTGAACTTAATGACTAAAATTGACAGCTGTAGCAATCAATCAATTAATCAATCTTTATTCATTATAGTTATGTCCCTAGTTATGTCACGACAATAGATGAAACGAGATGAGCAGGAAGAACCTTTAGTTTGATTTGAACTTAGCCCTCAGGGTCATTTTTTCACCACAAAACGTGGAGTTAAAATACTTTAGATTAAATTGTCAAAGTTGGGACTTAGATATATCAACAATACCACTTTATGTCCGCAGCAGTATTCAGCAGGAAGAAAAGGTGGACAGAAGCAGCATTAGAGCTGAAATTTATCTGTAGTAACTTTGACTCAGTCATTATGAAACCAAAAATAGTAGAGAATTGAAAAACAGCTGTGTGAAAAAGACATGAATTACAAATCAGAATAGATATGAGTTGTTTTATACTGTATGTGTATGTGCACAAGTATATATTGTATATATTGCCCTACTTCCTCGTCCACAGCCAGCCAGCTCCACTCCTCACCAAATTCATGACCTGCAAGAAACAGAAAACAGAACTTGTACTCAGTATCCGTGTGTTGGCATGTGTATGTAGCTGAGTGGTCTTTTTGTGATATAGTGACACCTAGTGAACAAATTTATCTGGCATGAAAGGTGACTTAAAAGTCTCAAAAGAGCCCTAAGGCCAACCTGCATAACTGCTAACTAAACTTGATATGCAGATGTTTGAAATTAAAATCATCAATATAAAAATCTTTAACCAGGAAATGATCAAGAGAAAACCTTTGTTTCAATCTGAGATGGAAAAAGTTGCATAATAGACTCATAATAGAATAGAATAGAATAGAATATTCCTTTATTGATGCCCCATGGGGGAAATTTTTTTTTTGTCACAGCAGCATCACAGACAAGACAAAGAGTGCAAAAATGCAGTTATAACAATAAGGGTCCTAATATTAAGAACTTAAATAAATGTAATAATTAAGAAAAAAATTAGAAAAGGGAGAAGAAAAAATAAAGCTTTCTACAATATACACAATTTAAATGCCAGAAAAAAAGTGGTGGAGTAAATCCAGTTTTGTTACTGTTCATTGTAAAGTCTTATTGCAGAGGGGAGGAATGATCTGCGGTAGCGCTCCGTCCTGCAGGGTGGGAGTCTCAGTCTGCTGCTGAAGGAGCTGCCTAAAGCCCCCACAGTCTGGTGCAGTAGGTGAGAGGGATTGTCCATGATGGTTACAAGATACAAGTATAATGTACTTATACTTCATAATAATGATCCTTAATAAATTTACATACCTTTATTACATATACCTTTATTAAATATACATGTATCTACATAATTCAATTAAAATTCCAGTTAGATTAAATGAGGATGGTGGTACCATTTTGTTTTGGCTGTCTCAAACATGCATGTCATTTATATGAATAAAACACAGTCTAATTTGAGTAAAATATGAATGTTTTATCTAAAGGTTTATGTAAGGGTGACAAAAATACAGCTCAAAAAACAGCTCAAAAAGTCATTTCATAGTTCCATTTATTTTCAGAAAGGTGTTACATGTAACAAGAATAAGTCAACTTCATACTTGTAACGTTTAGACTTAATTTGCAGAATATCACAACTTTTTCTCAACAGGATCAGTCATATTCTACAAACTTTATGACTTCTTTCTCTTAGCATTTTTACTTTATTTTGGAACCAAAATAACTGTAATAATACTGACTTTATTCTCCTAACATTATGACCTTGTTGTCTTAACAGAACAGATTCATTTTTGTAACATTGTGACTTAAAGGGATATTCCGGTGTAAAATTAATTAAGGGTCAAACACACCGTAACACCGAGTTAGAAACACCCTTTAGAGATGAATGTTGCTGACCACTTGCTTCTCTAGTTATACCAACTTTAGTAACAACCGCTGACAGCAATACACAGAGCCACGCGCTCAACCAAAACGCCACTCGATAGCCACAAATAATGCTCAGAACAGCACCTAGCCTAATCAGCAGTACATATAGGGTCCCAGCCATAGCACTAGCCACCAAACATCTTTTTAACCTCTGGGTGAGTCCATCGACTGCAGCGGGGTGACACAGCTTAAGGAAGAACATTTATGATCATTTCTTCATGGAAATGCAATCAGACCGAGACGTTAAGGCAGAAGAACTACCACGTCTGCAATGCAAATTGATTAATATGGTGATTATTACTTAAAGGAATGATCATAAATGTTCTTCCTTGAGCTGCGCACCCCCACTGCATTAGATGGACTCGCTCGGAGGTCTCCGTACAAACAAGTGGCTGCAGGAAGAGAAGGTGAGTTGTGTTTGCCAAAGAAATCAGGCAAAGCTAAAAAGATGTGTGGTGGCTAGTCCTATATGTACTGTTGATGAAGTTAGGTGCTGTTCTGAGCATTATTTGTGGCTATAGAGAAGCGTTTTGGTTTAGCGCGTGACTGTGTATTGCTATCATGTGGTCTGACTAAAGTTGGTATAACTAGAGAAGCAAGCGGTCAGCAACATTCACCTCTTGACGGGTTGTCTAACTTGGTGTTACAATGTGTTTTACCCTAACTTAATTTTACGCTGGAATATCCCTTTAAGGCACCTCCTTTACATCCTGTTCTACATTATTGGACAAACGGAATAATCCAGGTGTGACTGATCATTGGAACTAGTAAAACACACCTGGATTAATCAGTTTGTCCAATAAGGTCAGACAGGAAATAAAGGAGCTGCCTTAAGGTCAGGAAGTAGTGGATACTGAACAGTCTATATCCGGTAGGCCTAGAGGTCGCGCTAAAACGGGCTTTTGTTTTGAAGGGCTGGTAGGATCTGCTGGTTGTCGTCCCTCTTGTATCTTCACCAAGTGCTGTTTCCTCTGATTTCCTGCTCCAACTCTGAGCACTGTGGAGCTAAACAGCCGGTGCTCCACCGACACACGGAGGATGACAGTCCTGTTACGACTTTTACCGCCGAACATTGGTCTATTAGTATTCCTCTCTGCACTGCATGAGTGAATAAGCTCAATATTGTCATTTACTTCAAGATAGGGTCGACACATCAGAGCACCGTGACAGGTTCGTACGGGATGCTCGGGAACGGGAGAGATATTCCCCGGTTATTTAGATGCAGTCACAGGCCACCACCACCGCCGGTCTGCTACTACATTTAGGACACAGTGAAGCAGAAGAGGGAGGCAAACATGGGCTTCATGCACCAGCTCCATCTCCTGCTGTGGAAGAACATCTCTCTGAAGAGGAGGGGACCGGTAAGACATTACATTCACACACCTGTCAGGCTGAGGAATTACATAAGGACGAGTACAGGGAAGTCGCGTTTGTGCTTTAGAGCAGACAGGCGTCGGTTCCGCCTGATCCGCAGCCGGTGTTCATGGGCTCCCAGCAGCGGTGTTTGTCTACTAATGTTCCCATCAGACGGTGGAATAAATCCGCAGCGAGCTTAATAAGGAGCAGCAGCAGCAGGAGGAGGAGGAGGTGGTGGTGGTGGATGATGATGATGATGTGGAGGATGTACGCGCAGGTTTACTGATCCAGATCTTTGCATACAGTCAAACAGGTTGTTGTGAAGGATAAACAACTGTTGTGTAATCAGGTTCATGCTGAAAAGGCCTGGTCGGTGTTGTAAGGATGGAAAATGTGCAGTCTGGTGGACAAGGAAGTTTGATTTTATCATAATAACAAGATGCAACTAATGTGTTAGGCCTGGCTGATGTAATCATGACTATACAAAGTAGATAAAACAATGGGATGAAATCATTCCCATGACCTCAAACCAAAAGCACTGGAAGCCCCACCCATGGATAACATTATGGCAGTACAAAACTGTTGCTTTCTGACCAAACCATCTGTTTATTGGTGTACAGCTGATTTTTTAAAAACACATTATGATTATTTAAATAGGTCAAAGTCATAATGAGATTGATAAATAGACAAAAAATAAAGCAAAAGACATGACTTTAGTGGTGTGTGGTATTGACAAAAACAGTATTTATAGTACTTAAAATATATATGTTTGTAAAAGTCTTGTATTAAACTCACTCCAGCGACCGTTAAAGGGATATTCTGGTGTAAAGTTAAGTTAGGGTTAAACACACCGTAACTCTGAGCTAGAGCGAGAGATGAATGTTCCCGACAGCTTGCTTCTCTAGTTATACCAACTTTAGTAACGACCGCACGATAGCAAAACACAGAGCCACGCGCTCAACCAAAACCCCACTCCATAGCCACATATAATGCCCATGAACAGCACCTAACTTCATCAACAGTACATAAAAGGTTCCAGCCATAGTATGCGCCATCAAACACCTTTTTAGCTTTACCTGATTTCTTTAGTAAACACAACTCACCTACTCTCTTCCAGCAGCCACTTGTTTGTAGAGAGACCTCTGGGCGAGTCCATCGACTGCAGCAGGGTGAAGCAGCCTAAGAAGGAACATTTATGATAATTTTTTCATGGAAGACTGAGGCACTAAGGCAGAAGAACCACCGCGTCTGCAGTGCAAAATGATTTATATGGTGATTTTTACTTAAAGGAAATGATGAAGTAATGATCATAAATGTTCTTCCTTGAGCTGCGTCACCCCGCCGTAGTCCTTAATGGACTGGCTCGCGACAAACAAGCGGCTGCTGGAAGAGAGTCGGTGAGTTGTGTTTAGTCTCTTTACTAAAGAAATCAGGCAAAGCTAAAAAGATGTTTGGTGGTTAGTACTATGGCTGGACCCTATATATACTGTTGATGAAGTTAGGTGCTGTTCTGAGCATTATTTGTGGCCATAGAGTGGCGTTTTGGTTGAGGTTTGTGTATGGCTCCTCAGACCTCTGTGTACTGCTATCGTGCGGTCTTACTAAAGTTGGTATAACTAGAGAAGCAAGTGGTTGGCCACATTAATCTCTCGACGGTGTGTTTGACCCTAAATTAATTTTACGCAGGAATATCCCTTTAAAATATATGTGTTTGTAAAAGTGTTGTATTTAACTAGCTCCAGCAACTATTAAACTTTACATCCCCAAACCCACATGTGCACCACCAGCCAGATTACAGTCATAACAATCACTTCACAGCAGCATACGGTAGCTGTCTAGGGACACATGGTTCAAAATCCAAAACACTGTCTCTTTGGGAAAATTTGTCTTAGACTTAAGTGCTGCACATGCTTGTCTGCATCCACAACAGATAGACCTGTTGATATAAGCAAAAACAAAATATTCAAATATTATTTCAGGGTCATCGTGAGCAAAAACTGTTGTCTCAATCACCAAGAGTTGAGCGTGAAAATGCTTATTTATACTAATGAATAAGCATTATAGATGTGCTTGAACTTAACAAACATCTCTGGTGCACAGAGACACAATTTCCTCAGTGCAGTTTGTGATACAATAAACTGGGGATGCATCGAAAATTCAGCCACCAAAAATCTTAGGCTGAAATCGGCCCAGAAGTGCATTTTTGGTTTTCGACCGAAAGACTTTTATCACCGAAACAACATGGCCGAAATGCCAGCATGCACTTGTCTAGATAAGGGCCAACATGTCTTTGGTGTGGATGTATTTCAGTGTATCTGAGAACCACGGATAGCGATTTGCATAGATTGTAATGCTGAAATTTGAAGAGGGGTTGCATCTGCACAGAGTCTCTTTTTTTAGGATGAAACTAACGTGGTGGAACATTGTACTGGTTAAAGATAAAGATGACAAAGAGAGAGGTTGTTTGAATCACCAGCTCCATTTATATTACTTAGTTTGTTTGCATGATGTTAAAAATGTTTTGTTGTGTGAGTTGGACTAAAACTGAACTTTAAAATACATATAAACCTATTAGTCTGACTGAAATCGCACTGTTAAAATGCTTAAACTCGCACTGGAGTACTCAAATAAAACTGGCCAAGGCACCCTGCACACGCTTTACAGTTCTCATGCTTGATTTAGACCCAGGGGTTGGCATACCATCAATGTATGGATTAAAGCTGGGCAGCCTGGAAAATTAATGCATTTCTCATTTATGGTTAAATCAAATGCTGTTTCTGTTGTTCTGTTTGTTTTCAAAACACAAATTTTCACAATAACAGTAATAAGTAAATTCTAGTAAAGGTGAGACTTATCATTATAATAAAAAGAAGGTACATATAGAGTACAGGGCTTGACACTGACTTTTTTCACAAGGAGCACATGTTCTCCTAAGTTAAAAAAGTAAGGAGCACACAAAGAAGTTTAGGGGCACTATGAAAATTGATCAAATAATGTTTGTCTTATGGTTGACTTGATAACTATTATTAGAAATCAATTTTAGGTCAGTTGGTCACATGACATGGAAGCTATTGAAGGGAAATAGCCTTTTCTGAGAACATCAACCGGTAATTTATTGATGGTCCCTTATTCAACACCTGTCGTTGACCGTGAGGGTGCTAAATAGATTTAACTGCGCTGCTGTTGCTATTCCCGGTTGTGGAGAGTGAGAAGACACCTGTGGATCCGCAGTAAATGATCGTGGAATATCCAACCTAACTTCACCGCAGTATTAACATGAAAAACATTTGTTGGTTTGCTGATTTTTTTTCAATGCGCACATGTGCCCCTAAATACATTTTACAATTCGCACACATCTATTTTTAGTCTCAAATGCGAGTGAAACGGTCGCACTGTTGTTGAGTTTGACAATACTGGCATATAGAATATTGCCAAAGACACAATATTGTCATTCGTATTTTTCGACATCTGGTATTTACTTTGACAAGAAAAAGAATATGAATCCTCTGGTTTGAACTGAGCTGAGATCTGATTGTATTAATGTTGCTGGTGGTCACATTTGACTTGTTGACACAATTTTCTTTTGTTTTGTTTTGATGGTTTTGAGCCGATATGCGTCTTGCCCAAGTCTGAGAGTTCACAGGTATTTCTCCACTGGCCATACTCCCCACCCTTCATGGGCTTACATAACAGTGCTTTGGAAATGAAAGTGAAATGGTGAGGCTTAATTTCTACATCAGCAAGGGTGAATCTGTGCGTGTAGTGAACTGTGATGTTATTTTTAAAAAGGACTTCCAAGAGCCAGGAGACCAGCCACTCAGTGATGCTGGGTAAATTGGAAGTTTAACTTGTGCAATGCAAGGGCTGGCTTCCTCAACTTCAGATCGCTGGTGTTGTGTTTCCATAACACAATCTACCATGGATAATCATCGTAGACAGGGATTGACATGACAAGGAGTAAGGTAAGTAGAAGTGAGAACACAGATCTGGGAGTTCTCATGAGTGAGAGCTTGCAGAGTGGTTGTAGCAGGCAGAGTAGACAGACGAAGCAGTTTAAATAGAGCGCCGTTTTGGCATTTGCCAGTTGGATGTGTAGGGTGCAACCAGCTGAGCTCTCAGCTGACTGAGGTTTGGCTTAGGATCAGCTGACTGTCACTTCTAACTTGATTCAATTTGATGGTTGTGTCAGCCTGATATGAAAACATCATTTTCAGATTGAACGCCTCACTCATCCTGATAGAAACATGATGCAAATCGACGATGAGACGTTCCAATGCCACCCTCCAGATGTGCGGTACAATCTCACATGCCGACCTCCTCGTCCTCCACGTCGTGAGGCCTTTAAGCCCTGCTGGGTCTATTAATAGCCATCAGAAACCCTACAGCCTGTCTGCTGCTTTATTTTGGTGATGTTTGTGCCGTTTTTAAAAGCCAAAGTCGTTTCGTCCTCAGGACGCCTGATTTTTTTTTCTCTGCTTGATGCCTTTGCTGCCGTCCTGATAGAGGGGTGTTGTTTGTGTTTTGACACAAAGATAGAGGGGTGCAGCTATTTTTAGCCCTTCTACGTTCCTATATCACAGAAGAGGGAGGCACGTGCGGTGCATCGGGGAGCCTCAGTTATAATAATAGTAACAGCTGCGTCATTTCTGTCTGTAGATTTATTATCAGGTCTCTCTGAAGCTGTTGGGAGGATTGATGATGAGAGCAAAGCGTCCAGTCAGCACTTACAGAGAGCTTTAGTCCCATATGTTTGCCCGCACTCACAGATATAAGGCTCATGCATTAATTAAAAGAACATCCAGGCCTAGATATCAGGATTACATATGGATTTACTCATAAAATACCCAGTATGATCTCTTTTAAGATAAAAATGCGGTGCAGAAGTGCAGAAAGATGGACTGTCCTCTTGTGGTTTGTTGTTCCCCTCAGAAAGGTGCAGTGCATGTGGCAGAGGAGGGGATGACAGTGGTGGTCCAACTGTCTAGCTGTCATTAAAAAGATGCTGTTCAATTCAAATGAAAAGCCCTTTAAAGGTTTTTTAGTTAAAAATGGATTTGGTTTAGGCCAGAATTAACTGCACCCAATTAGTTCTCAAAGCAGTAGTCTTCAAACTGCTCTGACATTTTGTCAAAACAATGTTTGAATCTTTGCTGATAAGCAAAGTTAACAATTAACAGTCTGAACTTTGTTTTAATATGCAAAAAGGAACGTGTGGAAGAGGAAGAGCAGTCCTTATTTGCATCAACAGAGGACAGCTCAGATGACACACACTTTTGTCCTTAGAGAGAAAATCTGCAGCTTCAGAGGACTGAAAACACAGAGGCACCAAACAAATTAACTTCCTCAATTTGAATTATCCTCCACAAAGCCAGAGTAATTTTATTTTTGAAGCACATTTCACAAACAGAGAGGAAAGTAAGAGGAAAGTATTGGAATGCCTTTTTAATTAAAAAATAAGTAGTCATAAAGCTAAAATGGAGTGAATGGAAATGGATTTAAATATTGTAGAAAAGTTAGGAACAAGCAGAAAAAGAAGCTCAGCCTGTTCCTGCTGCTTTTTAAAAGTATTAGTGAGTTGGAATAGCCCTTTTTGGTCAGGAAGGTTTCTAATTCAATGAAACTGAGAAGTGTAAGAGTGTCAGCCATGATCAGGGCTACTCAAATACTCATAACAATACAGAAAAGAGCTCCACTGTGACTTTTAGTCACCTTTAGCACGGGATTCTCTGGGCTAGAGCTTGGCGATTTACCATATTTTAGTTTTGATGACAGTTTTCTGTTCCCCATGATCATAAAAAATAATAAACCACAGTGAACGATGATTATTGTGCCTCCTGTAACGTCCTAATGAGGCACACCCTCACTCTTGTCCTTGTTCTTGTCAACCTGCTGAGTGTAACAGCCATTGTCTTTTCCTAAAAAACATCCCGGTGATGTTCCTGATTGGCCTTGGAAAATAAACAGAAGATGATAAAGACTGACTTAAGGTCCTTGAACACTGGGAGCGATTTCGTGTGATTATTTCAGATGTCAATTTTTTTTACGAACCCATATCCTGTCAATACAAGCGTTCACATCTGCAACATTTTCCCGTCCTGCGATATTGCGGCATTTCTTTTTTCGTGTCACGGTCGAATTTTCTAAAGTTTCGCATACTGTGTGTCCACTTCCGACCAATCAGATTTCGCATTGTTGCAACGACAGATTCACCGAAATATCCAACATGGCCGACTGGCTGATTGTTTATGTGTCGGAGAACAGAGTGCTTTTTGATAAAAGACACAAACATTACAAAGATAATGACCTGAAGGACAACTTGTGAAGATTCATAGCGTTGGATTTCTCATATGACGATGGTTTGTGTGCATTAACAGTTCGCTAAACGTCTTTGTTTTAACTTTCATCTGTGCTAAGTGACTTTAGCTCGTAAGCTAACCTGTTCAGGTACAACATACCATATGTTTTTTCACTGTCTCAAACTCAATTGTGTTGCTGTCACAGCACCGTTACGTCTAGGTTGTTACCTTACGTTTATGGATTATAGTTTCATGTGCTTATCTGGTACTGGCCCCGACTCAGTACATGCTATCATGACAGACAGACATCTCAACACTAGTGTCTAATCAGAACTGAAAAACAGTCAGTCTGGTGTTGTCTCAATCTTCCTGATTCCACCCAGGACGCGTCTCCCCCCCCGCGGAAAGTCGCAAAATCGCATCGCGCTTGATGTGTATTGTCAGGCGCGTCAAAATTCACCTCAAAATTCAAAATTCAAATATTTCGTAATTTCGTGTCGTATATTTGTGCCGTTCCTGGTGTGTAAGGACCTTTTAGGGGGTACGTTTTCAAATGTACTCTAGAACTTGCATTTTCCATTATGTCTTAAAAAGGTAAATATCCGTTTCAAGTTAAAAAACACAAAATGATGTTTCAAATTTTTTCACAGATGATGATCTTAAATATCTAAGCACTGTGCTGGCTGCATTTTGCCATCAATTACTCTTGTTTCACGAATGAATTTGCTGAATTTTTATTTCTTCCTGGTTTCCTATAACTTCCTCATTGCTGGAGGTTTGCACAACCATCCAGCAGTAAATTTGTGTGTAACCAAATGTCTCGTGCCTGATGAATATCTGAATGCAAAACTGAGAAATGAAAACAAACAGAAAAGAGTCTGTTACTGCACACAGTGTCAACTTGTCAACTCTGAAAATTTCCCACCCACATATCTCTACCAGCGTTTAAAAGTCAGGAGGAGAACAGTGTAAATACACATGACAGGTGTAGAGCACTAACACCCAGCAGCTGAAAACCTACAATAAAAGGACACCTGTGGAAAAGAGGAAGGAGGTAGAACATCTATGCAAATAAATCACCATACATAGGAAGCTAAGGTAGCATGAGCAGTTTCAGAAACAATGTGTCGGATGTGTGATTTTATGCCCTGTTAATTTGAACGGTCTATCTTTGAAGTATAAGCATTGTAAAATACTCACTTTTCTGTTTAACCACTTTGTTATCATTAACTGCTCACCCTCTGTACTATATAATCATGTCACTCAATCCCTGATTATAGGGATGGTAAGGGATAGGATTTTATTGACTCATTATTGACTGTACTTATTTGTCCAAGTCTTTATTAATTCCCTTATCAATTTCTGAGTGGAAAAATACATGGACTTCGTCTGTGAATTTTATTGAAGGGGCAGACCAGTTATCTGCCTCGGTCGGTTAGTAGGGATTATCCATATTGCCCTTTTATTTTACTAATGGCTGATAAAGTTGGTGAACTAAAAAGAGCAGTAGTCAAGTTTCACTGCTGATGTGTTTCTTCTCGATCTGTTTTCCAGCAGCTCTTTGTCTCTCTAAAGTCTGGCTCACAGCAGCTAGGTGTCACCTGATGGTGTAATGGAACTGTATTGTTAGTCTAACTGAGGTAACTTTTTACTTTCTTGTGCATATGGATATGGTGTTAAATAGGATGACCATACATGTCTGGCCTTGTATATAAAATCCTTCAAATGTCTGGGGTTTTGTATGGAAGTTTTGAGTTTGTGTCGAGTGGACTTACTGTGATAGAAGCATGTAAAAAACACTCGACTCGACCCGAAAAACTCTCGAGATTTACCGTACACAACTCTGTGACTCCGTCCCGCACAGTTGTGTCCTCTTTTTGGGGATTCAGAATATGGTCACCCGAGTGTTAAATGTTTTGGTTCTTCGTTGAATTTTCTCTAACATAAATCTTTGGTTTGTAAACTTAATATTCCAAATTCTAAATGTTCATAGAAAGTTTTTCATTTTGACTGTCAATGCATATTTGTTACAAATATCAGCAATCAGCAGTCCCCTGATCAGGACTTTAAAGGTAAGGTTATATGGTCGATGATTGGTTGACCAACCAAAACAAAAATGGCGGCCTCTATCGTAGCATAACCAGCCATATACAAAACGAGTACCTTTATTTTTGATGGACTGGATCCAGACTGCCTACGAAAACACACCTTTCCTCTGTGGGATGGAAAAGCCCCTTAATGTTGCAGAAACACACAAAGTTTACTGTTAGAAAACTGCCGCTCTCATGAAGATAGTGAAATCTACAGTTTGTCGGTTTGTCATCCTGTTCTACTTTTAGAGCTGATATTGTAAGCACGACTACACGTCATTTACCACAGCAGTTGGATGGTCATGATTACTTTCTTGTTTCCTTGGTTGTGGTTTTAGTTGCCTCTTGTGAACTTCAGCAGATGGTGCAGATGAGGTATTCGAAATGGAGGATTGGGGCGCTGCTCTTGTTGTCTAGTTTTTCTATTGTTTGGACTGTTTTGTGAAGAATATATCAAGGTGAACTGAAACTGGAACTGTTTTTCGCAACTTTGTGGTTAATCATAATCGCCATCTTACTCGACATCCACAATTGTAGTCATTGTGGGCATTCACATCACCTCATCACACTACAATATACATGGGAGCTCTTTCCAGGTGATGACCCACTGGTTCATCATCTGGAAAATAACCTCATCTACAGAAATAACGAGAGTTTTAAAAATGCTAAAACACGGAAGTAGGTCAGGAGGGGTGGGGTTCGTGTGAGACTACGGCGACAGAAAACGAATCACCTTCCACCGCCAACGATCATGCTGCCAAACGTTCAGTTCCTCTGAAACAGAACTGGTGAGTTTCGGGTTAACTACTCCATTCAGGCAAGTGGAGAAATACCTGTGTGCAGGCCTTGACTGAAACATGGCTTTCCAACAATGACAGTGACAATGACGGCTTAGAGATTGAAAGGTCACGGGTTTTGAGCCAACTGAAAGCAACAGTGACTTCAGAAGAAATCCTAAAGAAGAAGGGTTTGTTTCTTCATGAACAAACGGTGGTGCAATTGCAGTGGTGCAATATTGTCACTGTAAAAGAGACAATACTTAAAGAGAGTCTGGAAGGGTACATAAGTCATGAAAGTCACAAAGAAGCTGTGGGTTGGATGGTTTTAAATCATAAGGATGTAGCAGATAATTTCAGTTATTCTTAGATTTGATAGTTAAGATTGTAAAGACCAAGTTGAACAGATAAAACTCAATACTGGCTACACACCCCAGAATGATTTTGATTTTCGGCAGAACTAAAACTAAGAAGAGCCCTGATCCTGATAACATCTCTAGTCATCTTTTCAAACCGCTGTGCAGACCAGCTGTCTCTTATTTTTCATCTCCTCTTCAAGTGCTCCTGGAACAGTAAAAGGTTCCTGCACTTTGGAAGAAATCAATAATTGTGCCAGTGGCAAAAAAACAGTCTCCAAACTGCATCAGTGATCTCAGACCGGTGACCTCTTCGCTCATTAAGGCATTCGAAACACTGATCAAGTGAGAGTTGGTCAGTGCTGTGGGGGACTCACTGGATAGAGGGGTCCATGATGTTGTTTTAACTTTTTCTAACTTTCCTTTAAAACACTGTAAGTTTTATATGGACTTTTATTTTGCCACTGAGTAATCTCTTTTTTATGAAACTGGAACATCATTAAAATCGCCCTGATTGGACCCTGAATGGCAACAGCGTGTGCAAACTGCGGAGTGAGTTATGTGTACACAGTCATTTGATCCTCATATTAAATATTAACTCATGCAGCTTAGGTGAAGTTAATTATTTTACAGGTAAGGTATCCAAACGCGGGGTCATGCTGGAACGAAACAAATTCTTTTTTTAGGCGTGGACACAAAATTCCTAAATTAATTAAACTAAGAGTAAACGTAGTGTACAGCCGATGGTAACCAAACATGACTGAGTCATACAGTCTGTTTGTCTCCAGCAGCAGCAGCAGCAGTAGTGAAGTGTTTGACCTAGATCTGCTCTGTCTTTGAATGATAGTCTTACAGTAAGCTGGACAGAACACTCTGACTGTGTATCTATGGAGACTGCAGAGAGACGAGCATTCAGAGACACAGATTTAAAATGAAGTGAGAGAGAGAGAGGGGAAAAAAAAGACATCATGCAAAGAGATAGAGAGTATGCACGACAAAGAAAGCGAGGGAGGAAGTGAAAGAAAAGAGAGAGACAGAGTGTGTTAGAGATTAAGGATGAAGGATGAAGCTGCTGACTGATAACAGAGCGTGCAAATTTGTAACACAAGATTAACTGACAGCTAAATGAATTATAAATGCTATCTGTAAAGTCTAATAGAGCAGCAACTGGTCCACAGAGACCAGGCTCTGAGGACAGGAGGGGTCAGATGTAAATCCTGTGAGGTAACTGTGCTGCGGCTCGTCCTCTAGAAGAGCAGCTTTTAATCTCTTAGTTCTTGTGGTTCCTGGTGGTGCAGGGTCTGTGTAGAAAGAGTGAGTCGAAAAGTCGGCTTACCATTTTCATTTTATATTTAGACACATAATCCTCCCCTCAGTCTGTCAAAATAGATGCTGAAGGCTCCACAGATTGGTGAATATGAAACAACATTTATGATATTTAGTAGGGGTGGGCCAAAGCGTTGATTCTTTGATGTATCACGATGGAACAAGAGAAGATCAATTACGTTTAACAAATGTTCAAAAATTGATTATTTCCCATGAAAGTGAAATTACAGAAACATCCAGAAGTTGGCAGCAACGAAAAAAGCTGCTTGGACAGTTTTAAGGGACCGACTCATGACAGACTGTTAGCCAGAATAGCGGCAGCTAACTCGCTGACTACTGTCACTTAGTGTAAGGGTTCACACTTTCGGGTTCGAAATCCAGCGTGCCGAGGCATTTCATGTGAAGGATTTTATTCATTCTGATGTCTCTCTGTTCCCCGCCAATTATTTTTATTTAAAGGCATGGTTGATGATCTGAGAAGCAGTTGAAAAAAACTGAGCCGTTGAGGCGGATTTGAAAAATGCGTCCCGCACCCCACACACAAACTTCTCCCCTCTGTGCTCCACGGTAACTCCCCCCTGAACCTGTATCGCCCTCCCCACGACACACCCCCTCTGGCAGAGCAAGCAGAAGATCCTACGCTAGTTTCAAATGGGATTCACCATGTCGAGTTGCTAGTGACTAGTGGCAGGAAACGCCAGCTCTGCTAGCGAGCACCGTCTGCAGCTGCCTGGACAGCTACCGTTTTGACATTGCAGAGACTAATAAGAGTTATTTATGTAACGTGTCACGATAAAAGGCAGAAATTACCTGTTCAACAGGCAAAACAGGTAATTTGTTTTGCGTCCTTCTCCATCAGAACTCCTGTAGCTAAGCTGCTATGCTACATTTAGCCGCTCAGAGCTCCGAGGAGGGCCGGGAGAGTGGGAGGGGATGAGTCGGAACTATGGGAAAGGGGTGTGTCGAATACAGCGAGGTGATTGGATGGAGAGACAGATTTTTCCCATTCTTTTTTCTCTTCACTTTGTGAAGATCGCACTATAGAAAGAAAATCGCTGTATAAATGATGTTCATAATAATTACCAATCTCTCCAATCGTCAAGCAAAATTTGTTATCGTGACAGGCCTATGGATAGCAAAATGTTGGGATGCTATTGAATACTTTGTTTTAAAGTCTTTATTATTACTGATGTTGAGTTATTATTATGACTTCATGTTAGATCAGATTATAGCTGACTGAACAAGCTAATAGTTTATGTTATAAGAGTGGCTTTTTGTTGCGAAAAAAGTGTTGGATCATTCAGGACCACACTGGTGTAGTAGTGCTGCATTTACTGTATATGAATCTAAAAATGACTAAATAATGGAGTTTTAAAAGTGCTGTCAAAAATTTAATTGTCATATCACATCTCAGACACTGTTTCAGTTTAAAATCTCTTTATAAAGTTTTGAAATTGGATCTGAGCAGGCTTATGTTCACTTTTTCTAGCAGAGGACTGCTTTATCTTCAAATACAGGAGCGTCGAATCAGACATACAGTACCTCACTGTTGGTAGTTTACAACTAAAAATGTGTTTTTACTTCATCTTTTGGTGAGATAAACATGTCTCCTTCATTCAGCCCTCTTTGGTTCCCATGTCCCAGCTTGGGATTTGAAAAAAGTCACCCTTCAAGGCCATAATGTCTTCCTTCTTAAATAAAATATTCATACTTATTCTTAGTCCCTGGCTGCATCATCATCATCACAGAATGTTTGTGTGAAATGAAGGCACTAAAACAGGGACTGCAGCGCTAAAAAGGCCGATGATAAGTTTGTGTTCTCCTTTTTTAATGCATCTCTAAAAGTCTTATGTAAAAAAGCAGGAAGGAAATGGTTTGAAATCAGAAAGTAAAAGTAAAAGAGGAGCATCTCATATTTTCACAGGAGTGTATCCAGTGTTTTCATTGTGTTTAAAATTTCTGCTCTGTCCAGATTAGATGTGACTTTGATTTAAAGCAGAGGGATTTCTCTGTTATAAAACGAATCCAGCTCAGATAACTCACACAGTCACGGTCACACACAGCAATAAGCATTTTTCATTATGGTCCATTGTGGTGCAGAACAACCGTTGGCACAGAGTCGGCCAGTACGCTTGGCTGCCAGTCTGTGCCAACAGCAGGATTCAGCAGTGGCAGCAGCAGAAGTTGGTGCTGGAAAAAGAGCCTCTGACAGCTCATGAATAATTGAGAACTTCCTCCTTTCTCCAGGGAAATGCAGCAGAGACAGTCTTAGATTAAATCCACAGATGAGATGGAGAGAAGAAGAAAAGGCAGAGGAGAGAGAAGGGAATGACTGGTTGTAGGGTTAAATGTGGCGTTGGTTCACAGCTCAGGGAAGGAAAATAGAGGAAGTTTAGGGGCTGTGAGCAGTTTTTTAAACAACTGGCTTCTAAAAATGCTCATGATCCATTAAGTTTGATTACAAATTTAGATGAGTTAAGCCTAAAACCCACATGATGCATGTTGGCGCATTCGTTCCCGTTATAACCAATGCAGCATTGCACGCAGGAAGCGGCTCAGCTCCATCCCAGAAGCATCTCTAGTGCTGCTCTGCCAAAGATACACGCACCCAGCATGCATCAATCTCAACATAGAAGATCGTCCGAGACAGGATGTCAAACACAGAAGAGGCATATGTCTTACGGTGAAGCCCAAAATTAAAAACGACTGTATCAGTTCGTTGTTTTGGTTATGGATTTATCATACAGACACAGAACAACCCAAGATCATTTACCAAATGATTCATATTTTTTTTCCTGTAAGAGCAGCCATACTTAGTCTGTGCTGTTTCTGGTTTGTGCCAGCAGAGCGTGGCACTAGGTCCTCTTCATGTTGGATGACTGTCATGATGCACCGTGTGTTCACCAAGTCATGGTTAAATAAATGTTCGAGTGAAACTTCACAGTGCCCTATTATTTCCACTGATATTCAGGTGATTGATAAGAGTTTCAACCAACTAGTTACAAACCCAATGACCTGTCCCCAATCCGTCTTAAAGGGATATTCCTGCATAAAATTGTCGACCGCTTGCTTCTCTTGTTATACCAACTTTGGTAACGACCGCACACTAGCAATACACAGCAGTCTGTGGAGCCATAAACAAACCTCAACCAAAAAGCTACTCTATAGCCACAAATAACGCTCAGAACAGCACCTAACTTCATCAACAGTAGGGTCGTAAATGTTCTTCCTTGAGCTGTGTCACCCCTCTGTAGTCCGTAATGGACTGGCCCGAGGTCTTGCTACAAACAAGCAGCTGCTGGAAGAGAGTAGGTGAGTTGTGTTTAGTCTCTTTGCTAAAGAAATTAGGCAAAGTTAAAAAGATGTTTGGTGACTAGTGCTATGTCTGGGACCCTATATGTACTGTTGATGAAGTTAGGTGCTGTTCTGAGCATTATTTGTGGCTACAGAGTGGCATTTTGTTTGAGGTTTGTGTATGGGTGCTCAGACTGCTGTGTGTTGCTATCCTGCGGTCGTTACTAAAGTTGGTACAATTAGAGAAGCAAATGGTCAGCAACATTCATCTCTCGAGGGGGTGTCTAACTTGATAGTACGGTGTGTTTGATCCTAAATTAATTTTACGCCAGAATATCCCTTGAACCACAACAGAACTTTTAGCTGCTAACTCTATCAGAAGGTAACCCCACAGCAAATTGGAACATAGTTTACTAAACACGAGTGAACCAGCAAAAAGCACTACAGTCACAAAATAATATACAAATTAGCAGGAAATCGATCACTAAAGACAAAACAACCTGTTGCGAGAATGTTGTTTTCTGTACGCTGAGTTCAGCTGACCGAGGCTGCAATCCGCTGCTTCTACGCTCAAAACATTATTCCTCTGGGGGATGACGCGCGCCGCCTAACTTAGCCTAAACGTGATGCTGACGGATTCTGTGGTTTTCCGGCTTTAGTGCTTCTATCAGTTCAGTTCATTCTGACTCATCATGCAGATGAATCTGACGCTTCAGTTGACAGTAACAGCAACATTTACTCACTGCAGGCTCTGCACAGTCAATAAGGTTTACTGCCGTTGACAAATTAAACAGACTGTAGGAGTGTGCTTATGGAGGAGGAGTTGTTTCCTCCTCACAGTTTTTTAATAAAGAGGGAAGTTTATCTGAACGACAGAGGTAAATGATCCCAGGCCATGAATGCAAGACGGTATTGTCAGAAGATCTGGCTGCCCTGCATTAAAAGATATGAATCCTCTTTGAAAATTTCAGATAATCCAGTGGTTCCCCAACTTTTTCTGCTGGGCCCTTTGGTAGATGAAAATCGTTTCAGGCTCCCCCTACCCCTGACCATACATATCATCATGTAAATGAAAAATATCAGTTTGTGACACCGTCCATCACAAAACTGCAATTGTTTTAAGAATATACTTTAATAAGGCATCAAACTTCTGTAGAAGCTTCTTTTAAATTCTGAATTTCTGAGGGTGCACAATTTCCTGTAAATGAAAACTTAGAGAACATCTTTAAAATGTGTTCTTCCAGCCCAGCAAGAAGTCAGTGGCTGCAGTGAGCTTGTTTTATGCCACAGATCTTCCCCAGTCTTGGGTGCAGCTGTGAGACTGTCACTCTCAGTTAGTTTTCAATGTCCAATGTCTCAATGTTTTGATCTGCACTCGGTCTTGATGGAGGCGACTGTAGAACGTAGGATGTGGCAAAAGGGAGGAGTGAAAAGTCAAGGCTCTCCTGCCCAGCGTTGCGTACTTCGTCTCCAATAGAAAATACTTTTGGAAATGTGTTTTAAGGGCAGAAATGTGATTAATCAGGCACGGTAATACTGTTTTCTGCAGCTTGCTAAACTCAATAAAGGATTTCAAGCTTAAATGAATCTATATTACCTCCTGTAACTCCCTGCTCCCACATCTCCACTTCTCTTATGAATGATGTGATTTTATCTTCCAGCTGTGGGAGGTGTGTCTTGGTGTTATCACATGTCACTTGAAACACACTTTGAAGCTTCATGAAGAAGTTATCTTTACACTTATGGGCAAGCTCATTACACTCCTCCTACAAAAAGCTTATACTATGAAAATTATAATGACTATAATGCAGATCTTTTATCTAAGGACAGACTAGCAAATAAGACTTTATCATAATAAACAAAAGTAAAACAGAAGGCACTGGCAGACAGAGATGCTCTTTAGTATAAAAGTTGACATATTGGATGATTCACAGAAAAGTTGGTGTGTTGCTTTAAGTGGCAGTAAAGCCTGTCAGTGTCCTGCAGAGGAACAAGTAACAAGGACAGCAGCTCCTGTCTGTACTGACACATCCTGTCTCCCTCTGCTCTCTACCTGTCTGCTCAGTACTCTGCACGTCTGTGTGTGTCCATGTCACCCTGGAGAGATGACTTTGTCCTCACACAGCGGAAGTTTGAGACAGCGTAGTGACACAGCAGGAATACGGATGTCACAGTTGGAGGAAATAAGAACCCTCTATACACCCTGATGTTAAATTTTGTAGGTGTTTGTGCAGGTGTGTGTGTGTGTGTTGACTAGTTAAAGATTTAACCCTCTACATTTGCATCGATCATTACTGCCTGTTCTTTCTGCTCTTGAGCTTAAAAGTATTTTGGTATGATATTTTTGGTATGATGATATTTTTGGCTCAGTCACAACAGGACATTCTCTGTTAATGTTCTGCATTGAAACTGTTTAAGAGTTTACTCCAGCTGCTGTTGGTTTATCTTACTCTTATGCTACTCTCAGGTATGAAAAATAATAAGGCTTTGGGAAACCTACCTCTACAAATGGCAGAAAAAAATAAGAAAGATAAAACATTTACTTTAAATTAATTATGCATCATTTCACGAACAGTAAAATAAGCTATAAATTTTAACACCCTCTTAGTAGCAATAAAAAATGACATTATCGACCAGGAAAGATCCTGACAGTCTCCCTTCTTTATCTTGATTTCTTTTCTTTTTCACATTTTTGTAAATGTCTGTGATTGGAACAACAAAAAGGAGGAAAGTGATTATTGAAATTTCAAGTGTAAAGTCATAAGACCACGAGAATTAAGCTGGAAGGAATAAGGTTACTTTTCTCTATTGTATATGAAATTTTGAGATGATAATGGGTGCGTATTATGTGGAATCTTCATGCCAGAGTGGGTGATATCATCGGCTAGAGTGAGAGAAGTTGCATGAAATTGTCAGAAACGTTTCTCTTTCCATGCTCTTCCCAGCCAGATTACATACACTGATTACAACACAATGTGTTTCTCTAAGACTTACAGAACTTAAATACTGAGTCTCTAAGTGCAGTGATGTCTCTCTCTAACCCTCATTGATGCTAATACATAGATTTTCTAAGAGAAGCAGAAGGGAAAGCGTGAAAGCATCCATGGAGTCCTCATGATGACCACAGTCTGCTTTTTTTTTGCAATAGGAACTATCGTTTTGTCAGAATACACCCGGATGTGAGACCAGCAAAGAGGCCAAAAATCCCTCTTTTTCTCATTTTGACTGCCTCAGCCTGCGGTGCGTCTATCGCCACAGGCAATCACCCCAAGTTGCCGTGGCAACCTGTAGGCCTCAGGCCAGGCTCACAGCTGATACCAATTCACTAATTAGGGACTTCTCTGACATCACTGCATTACTGAATTACTTTGAGAGTAAATTGATCAAAGATGAAATTCTGACTCTAAATCAAAAACCTTATCAAGGCAACGGTGGAAATGCACTGAGGCACTAATTTGCCTGGAGGCACTATTGGTATATTGTAGATTTTTTTCTTATTCTTCTACAGGACAAATTTCTATTTGTTGCTAGTCCTACATATCAAAACGTGCGAAAACGGTTCGACTGGGATCAGTTCGACTGGGATCAGTTTTCCATTACTGTTTCCAATATGTTGCGAAAAAACTTTTTTTAAACACTGAAGTCAACGGGACAAGCAAAAAAAAAAGAAAAAAGAAAAGAGCAAATATTCAAGGTTTTCAGAGGCCTGCTGTCGGCTAAGTCTTTTTTTTTTTTAAGTGTTTGTTGTAGGTGTGCTCCTATAATACCACAATGCTACTAGTATTAATTCTTTTAAATCTCTGAAGAATCTCATCATAATGTACACACCCCTGCAGTAGTCCTTGTAGCCCTTTCAAAATTTCCCAGAAGGAATTTTCTAGTTTAACATACGATACATACAAATGAGCAGTGAGAATGTGTTAATAATTCAACAGAGAGAGCGATCCTTTGTGTCACACAGCCTGCTGTATGTGTGAGGGTAGCAGACTATAAAAAGGGACTGAGGTGAGGAGAGAGGTAGAACTAGTTCATACTAATGACTTACATTAGAGTGACCATACGTCCTCTTTTACTGGGACATGTCCTCTTTTTTGGGGGCTGTCCTGTCTCTCTGGCCTTGTCTAGGGGAGTTTATAAAATCCTTTTAATGTCTGTGGTTTTGTATGGAAGTTTTGAGCTAATGTCACATGGATTTACTCAGCTAGAAGCATGTAAAAAACACTCGACTCGACCCGACTCTGTGACTCCGTCCAACGTAGTCATGTCCTATTTTTGGGGGATTCAGGATATGGTTACCCTAACTTAGCAAGGTTCTCTGACGGGTCCTGATTAAAAAGGTATCAAACTAGACTTTCCTCTGCAACACTTACATCTCATCACACACAATTGTACACACACTGTGTAGTGACTCCATAGACCTAAGTGCATTTCCTTTATCAGTCACCTTATCACTGTATTGATCCTTAACATGCCAGGTAGGGTTCCCTGGAAAAATCTTTACCCACTTCCTTTTATCAGTCAGATGTGCCACTTCCTGAAAATCTACATCATGTAAATAAAGGTTAATCTTAATCCATTATCCATTTTAATCCATTATCCTCTTTTCGTCTCAAACTCAGTCTTGAATTTCCTCTTCAACCTGCTGCTAAAAGATCGTTAGTACCTTGTTTTTAGATTCTGAAGGAGTCATCTATGTAAAGTTTGTCATCACAATGACTGAGGTCTGTTGAAAAGTCAACCAACTCCAGAGAACTTCCTGCTGACTCTTTTTGACATTACAGTGTGCAAAACAGCGCCTACAAATGAAATGGCCCTTTTTCTACCCGTTGTGTGTGTGTGTGATTGTGTGTGTGTGTGTGTGTAATGTCCACCCTCACACTCTGACTGTGCCCTCTCTAACATTGGCTCCATTGTGATCCTAAATGTTTTGAATGACATCACTTGAGTGCAGCACAGAGAGGAATAATAAAGACGCCACAATACACAGAGCCTTGTGATAGTCTGTCTGTGTCTGTGTGTCTGTTTTTGTGGTAGAATGGCGTCAAACTGTGAGCGTCATATTAGTGTACATTGTGTTGTTGCTAATGGGGGATGAATCAAATTAACATTTAAAGTGTTTTATGCGTGACTGTGATCACTGACGAGTGAATTTAGAATTTTTTTTTTAAATCATTGTTGTCGCTCTTTGACTTTGACTTCTCTATGTAGTTTGGTGTAATCCCAGACAGTGAGAAGACATTTTTGTTGCATTTGCTGGTGTTTACAAGTGTTTTCTTCTTTTTTTTTTTTTTGGTTGAATTTAAGGTTAGACCGATTAGGGGCCATTTGGCCAATTATCAGGGCCAATTTTTGTCATTGGCCAACTATCCGTATCAAACCTTGTATTTTAGGTCTGTTTTCACTCACCTCTCTGTCTCAGCTAATGTCCCACCCACAGCACTACCTGATTGGGTAGACATCACAGAACCATGAGACTCATTAACTGATAACTATTAAACACTTGTTTGAGTTAAGAGTTTGTTGTAGTATTGTAAATCCTAAATTTTGGTGGAAAGTCTCTTGTTTTTATCGTTAATATTGATTTCAATTACCAGTTCCCAGTATTCTGAAGTTTTTCAAAAAATGTGATATCATCATGATGTTTTATGGCCACAGTCAATGTAAGGCCACAGGCGGAAAGAAGGAAAAAAAAGCGGAAAATCTTGCCACAATCATTGAGTCAAATGTATGCAAATTTCATTGAATATTGTATTTCCCTTCAGTGATCAATAAAGTTTTTATCTCAACAGCTTAGGACAAGAGATGCTTTAACCTTTTGTTTTTACTTTGCGAATCAAAGGATGTTTTTTGTCTCATTCCCACAAATTTAGTTGGTGCAAAGCTTTGTAATCCATTTGTGAATCACACCCAATGTCTCTAAAATGTTTGAGTAGTTTTATACTTTGTGCATTATTCCCAGCTCTTCACTGCTGACCTGTATGATGATATCAAAACAGTAATTGACCCTTTTTGTTTAAAAGACAAATGAATTATGTTCTGGAGAGTCTGAGGCATCAAACTGAATCTCTTTTTTTCTGAAGATCTCCTGTGTGCTGTATCACACTGATGATTCATAATGTGTGTGTGGGCACAGTGTGAAACATGCATGAGCAGATCTGTGAGGCATGTTCTCTTTTAGAAACACCACTTTCTCTGTGAGCTCTCTGTTTTCCTGGATTTTTAATCTGTCCGTGGAGGCTTTGTTTCAAAGAGATCATTGTTGTTTAAGATTTATCACATTAGAAAGATATAAAACAACAATCTAATTTTCCTCTTCTATGTGGACAGTTCAAGTTCAAGTTTTTACAGTTCAAGCCAGGGCTGCAAAACAAAGAAGTCAGAAATTGGCAGAACTTTTGGAGAAAAGATTTTGCAGGTGACAAACACATTTTACAAACAACATATAAACATGTTTATAATGTTAACTTTTAGGACTGGGACAATATGCTTTTCTCCTGATTTGATTCTTCTACGATTTTTTGGATACCGATTCGATTTAAATCGCGGTTCTACGATATTGTTGATTTTCTCAATTTTTAGTCTGCATTTTTAACACCAGTGAAACTGTTTAATGATTGATTGTTTACTGACTATTCCAGGAACCATATTTCCCCCCAAAATAAACATCACATGTAAGTCCGTTTTTAAAATTTATTCTTACATTTGAAAAAAAAAAAAGATTTTTGAACATAAAAATTGATTTAAAACTTGTTAAACAAAAAATCGCCATACTTATGTGAATCCATTTTTTCTCCCACCCCTATTAACTTTAAAGTTTGTGTCTTTAAGCAATATACAATTATCTTGTCCTCCACATGCTAAAGTAGTTTATTCTGACAAAATAAAACAAGACAAAAAACAAACTAACTTTAAGCAATCATATGTATCATTTATTCTGACCATTTTATGCCTAGATTCTAAAAACAGTGTTGTTTCTTTAGCTGCTCAGCTGACGCCTTCCCCTCCCACCGGTCTGAGGCACCAAAATGTACAATTTAAAAAAACAATAATCTTGTTACTGGTGGTCTTGTCTGCTGTTACAGGTGCTATATGGGATGTTCCCCAGCCTCACCTGCTGCCTCCTATCAGTCAGGAAGCTGGTGATCTGCTAGGTCCACTGCTAGGTGGGGTTGGCCACCTATCAGTGGAGCTGGGCCAATTTGTGGTGGAGAAGTTCAGGAATAATGGTGTTGAATGCCAAGCTGAAGTCCACATACAGGATCTGAGTGTAGGTCCCCATGTCCCTGCAGTGTTGAAGTGGATATAGTGCAGTCCCATGTTTACTGCATCATCCACTGACCTGTTTGCACGATAGGCAAACTGCAGGGGGTTCAACAGAGGGCCTCTGATGTCCTTCAGGTGGCTGAAGTGTCTCGAAGGTTATCATGACCACAGACGTCAGGACGACGAGCGTGTAGTCATTTAACCGCCGTAACGGCTGGTTTCTTGGGGAGTGGAATGATGATGATTTGGATTGGTATGATTTTTGTGATCAGGTTGATCCTGGTGTTGCTTCATTTGCAGTAGTTTTAGGCTATGTTTGGTATGTATATTTTTATAAGAAGGAATATCAAATGGGCAGCCTGTGCTTTACTTAAGAACAGAGAGCCTGTTTCACAAAAATCTTGTAATGATGCAAGACACTTAACAGTCTGAACCTTTAAGAGACAAAAAATGAGCTTTTCGTGGACTTTAATCATTTATTAAATTGATCATTGATTATGTTGCCACTAGTACAGCCTGTTGCACAGCTTCCATCAATCTACTTGAGAAAATCTAAAACTTTGTGCACCTACCAGACAAAAATAGAACCCAGAATAAAACATTCACTTTTTGCAAGTCAGGCAAGGAAGTAATCTGAGGTTAAAGGATTTGCTTGAACTTGCTTGAACTTGCTTTAACACTCCACCAGGGAGACCACAGCCGTTTGAGAACTCCATGAAGACTTGAATTTATAAAAATCTCGCTGTGATCTTTTATATCTCCCTGAATATTCATGGGTATGACTCATGTTTGAGTAATAATTGTCAAGGAAGGGTCAGACAGGTCAATTAGTTTTCCAGGTGGTCACAGAGAGGTGCAGCGATCAGTCTGCTCGGTATTTGTCTTTGAAGGTGGTCACTACGTCAGATTAGACCTCCACAGTCATAAATTCTTGCTGTCTTGGCACAGTAATGTTATCTCTCCTCCTCTCCTCTCCTGCAGTCTAAATCTGATTTATGAACATCCACTTCAGGGCGTCTGCTGCACGTCCAGGTCAGAGTCTGCCTTCCTGATTGGATTTTTAACCACTGACGGTTTTCATCTTATATACCAAGAAATAGGAATAACCAGAGACAGAGAGCAAAATTGTGATGTGAAAATGTTTACTCGGTTGAGTTCACTCTGCACTTTAGGTATTGATCAGACATAAATTGTAAGCTTGTGATCAGGAAGAGAGACTGACTGTGAAAATGTTTTGGCAGCAGATTCTGCATGTTAAGCACACCAGAAATCCTTCACACTCTGGAGTAATAGATCGATACGTGATAGTGGGCAATCTATTCCAGAGTGATCCATGAGCGAAGAGATGGGAACTGACAAGCAGAGGTTCACTGTAAAGAACTATAATCGAGGTTCACCTTGTAGCAGAACTGCAGCACTGACAGTAGTTTGGGATTTTGCAGGAGTCAATCAATAAACAGTAAAATAATGTTTGTGTTCTGCTTATTTTTTTCTTATAGTGGGTGTTGGCCTTTGAGATCTTCATCCCGCTGGTCCTCTTTTTCATTCTGCTTGGTCTGAGGGAAAAGAAGCCGGCCATTCCTGTCAAGGAAGGTAAACAAACATGTCAGGACATGGATGGAGACAGCAGGGGGATAAGTCTGATGATCAAAACCACTTTATTAAAGAATAGTTGTTACTTTTATGGATAGGGCTCATCAAAACGTAACCAAAATCAAACACAGGAGGCGCCAAAATTGATGCAAACAAAAAATCAGGTGATTTGCCACACCTCTACAGGAATAGTTTGGTAAGGGTTACGGGCAAAACCCACTCCACTGCAGATTGGCTCCGGCCGCTGGATCGTATCAGATATGCAAGGCTTCTATATTTGCCAGACGCCGAAGCACAGTGCATCAATTTAGTGCAGTGCAGCACGAGCAGCAGCGGAAGTTGTATGCGGTAAAATATCCGATTAATTTTCAAAATAAAATAAGGTCAATACGTTGAACTGTTCTTAACTTGGTAATAGGAGAGGCCAGGGTTGTCGGATGTGGATGTTTATATACACCGCCGTTTATATACACCAATCGGTGGATCCCAGTCTATGACTCCCGGGGAAACACGCGAGAGCTCGTGAGATTTCATCCAGTCTCGCGAGACAAAAGAGTCTACCTCTTATTTAAGCGCCCGTTATTCCGCCAGAGTCTCCAGTATTTACTTTGTTTTCTTGCTTGTGTTGGTAGTCGTGGCACAAAGGAAGATTCAGACAACTTTTCGTACTTTCTGGTTGGTTTCTACTGTCCGATATTGTAGCACGCTAACTTTGTTTGGGCTCGTGAACGACACGAGGGAGCAGCGTCTGCCTCACAGCCAATCAGGTTGGGGAGGTGGAGAATGGCTTTGTTTACAGTCAGAAAGAGTGGGCCACTCAAAAAAGTTAAAATGTTGACTACACAAACATAACAAAACACAGCGACATCGTTATATTGCCAAATGTCATCAATAACTAATAGTTATTGACTGATATTAAAGCTTTTTTATATATACACCACAAAAAAATGCTTCTTTAATGGAATCCTGCGTACCCCACCTTTAAGTACTTGCTTTCCACGTTTGCATCCCAAGCATGTTGGGTTCGGGTGGGGGATGGCGCTTGTTCAGGTGCAGGAGGAGGAGTATTCAGGTGTGGTGAGAGATTTTATGTTCACATCAATACAACACAAACACAAGAGTAGAACACGTAATACAGACAGCTGAGGTGAGGAACTCAAAGAAGGAAAAAATCTCATAAATCCGAGAGAAAAATTAGGTTGGTTACAATCAGGAGCTTAAAGAAACACTTCGCTGCCTACATCCTCTCACTTTGCCCGACACTGGTGGCTTCAAGTTGTAGGGCTAAAGGTGGAACGAATGCTGCAGATTTGCATGGGTTTGAAGAGTCAGATGGTGAACTAGTGTTTAAAGTGCACCTTCTATGCTTTTCACGTCAGGCTGCATCAAGTTTGTGTTTATTTAAATCCAGAGGGTGAACTCTTCTGCTGAGTCATGTTTGCCTGCAGTCATAAAGATGCTTCTGTGCAGCTTCCTCATACATCTGCTGCGTTACAGATTTGTGACCTCCACCATGTGCTGTAGTGTTTGTGCTCATTTTTTAGTGTTGTTTTAATTCATGATCGAGTTTGTTGTGCATGTTCACACACGCTTTAGCACTTCTGCCCAGTTTTATGTTGGAGGTTTTTGTCTTTTATTTCATCATTTTTTGTTTCTGTTGTTCTTTGTTTCTCTCTGCTTGTTTTTTTTTTTTTCTTTCCTGTGCGTGATGCATGTTCACAACATGTTGGACGGAGCAGTGTGTAAGTGTTTTCATCAGTTCGTTTTATCCTGACTCCATGATCCTGGCTGACATGATACATTCATGACAAACATCTCCTGGTTGATTTAACCTGTTAACCTGTTTATCCTGGTTTGGTGTGTGTTTTGATCCTATTATACAACATAAATCTGTTATTTTCAGCCACTCAGAGATTCACACAGTCTCATGTTGTTCTAAAAATAGAAGCCCTTCCTCGGTAAAGGTCTCTTGCCATGAAGTGATACAGTAGAGCTCTAATCTTATGTATGGGACTAACAAACCTGTGTATATTTATGCCTGTACGCTCTCTTGCTGAGGTGATCTGAAATGTTTGAAGGACTCTTTTGTAGACTGTTAAATATCAAGTCTGACTCCTGTTATGTACAGATTGTTACTGTGCATATGCAACTCTTACAGGAGATGAGAATGAAGCAAGATCTCTAACTTATATCACAAAGTAAACTTAAAAAGTATCTCACAAAGTCTTTTATTTTGAAACTTCCACTAACTTGGTCTTTTGAATGTAATACACACAGGGCCTTATTAGAGCTGTCTAAAAAATATCAGGGAAATGAATTTGGGCATGTTTGCCCACATCTTGCTCGTTAAGCACTTAGGGCGAAGAGAAGGGCATTCAAGTCCCTTTATTATTCAAAGGTGTGTTTTGTGTGTAAAATCTAATTTGGCAGAGCTTCAGCCTTCAGCCTCTTACGGGGCGTTTACACCACGTGAAAATAAAATCATTTATGCTAGTGAATTGCATGAGGTGTCAATAGGAAGATGTGCATTCTTGTCAAACAACATCAGTAGCTGCGTTTACATGGGCACAAAAAATCAGAATGAATGCCCGATCGGAATAGAAATGTGTCATGTAAACATATCGATGGGAAGATTCTGATCCAGTTCAGCTCAGTCGGAAAGAGGGGTGGTTTATGTTGATCGTTATTCCGAAACGCGGTCATTTAAACACTTATTCCGATTGTGACTCTCTTACCTGACTCGATCTTTACTCTTTAGCCTTTGTCTTACTTATTGAGGCCAGAACAGGAGGTTTCATTGTTAACACTCTGGCATAAAACACAACCACAGGTACCGTGTCTGCTCCTCTGGTAACATAACAAGGCGTACGTACAGCGTAATGATGTCACATCTGCACGCAGAGTGCAACCTTTGACAGAACGGTAAAATAAATGCGCAAGGGCGCCATCTAGTGATATTTAACAAAGGGAAAAATCCTGAATTGGATGGAGTGAGCCACTACCATGTTTGTTGGTTTGTTGGCAGCACAGGTGTAAATACAACTCTTCTTCTGCTGATGTTTTAGCGAAATTAAACAACTCTGCGCATGTCCAAATGCTTCTAATCTGAATAAAGCTTTATGCATGTATGCACGTCATGATTGAATTATTTGATTTTGCACCCATATAAACAGTGGATTCAGATTATCTGATCCCTCAAATTTTTTAATCGGATCAAGAAATTTTGCACATGTAAACGTGGCTAATGATGCAGATGTGGTGGGGGGAATAGTGTGAATGAAGAAGACTATACCCACAAACGTCAGGAATTTTATTCAAAACTCTACTCTCTTCATTTGATTTTACTTGCAATAGGCTCCCAGGTTTGACTAAACACTGTAATTTTAACCGGCTCCACTAAAGGAAATTAAGTGAGTCCACTTTTATTACCTCGCCCTGATGTAAAATACTACATAGGTGGACACGGGCTCCTAAAAATGTGTCTGACAGGCATAAATATATCAGTTGTCTCCTTCATGCAGCCTTGGACTAACTCAGTTTTTCATGTTTTTTCACTGGCTTCAATGGCAGAGACCTTATTCCAGAGTATTTGGAGTTTATTGATAAAGTTTTATAAATAAAACTCATCTCTATGCTGCCACTGTCCTGCACATGCTCAGACAGTGTTTATTTTCATCTCTACTGCTTTTTTGAACAGTCAGATGTAACCCTTGAGGATTCTGTAGATTCCTCTGAAAATGATCCCGTGGCAGCTGTAAAAGAAATTAAAATTGACTGAGTACAAATGGACAGTGTTGTAGCTGATGGTTTTGCTTGTTTTTCTGAGTCATACAGAGGCATCAGTATTGATTTCAATCTGTTTTATAACCAGTTTAAAAAAAAAAAAATCCTCTCAGGAGATTTCACTCTTGTCTGTTGTTTTTGGGTCTCTAAATGGCTGAAAAAGTGGATTTAACTCTGTCGTAAGATGGAAATAATCATTTTAAATCCTTCTCCAGCTGTGAGTGTTTTCCTCTCAGTCCTGACACATCATGTCAGAGTATTTTTGAATATTATCAGTAGACTATGACATTCTGATGGCTGGACAGAGAGGAACACACAAAAATGAACATCAACTAATCAGTAACTCGCACACTTACATTTATAAACAAATGGAAAGTCAACAGGTAATAACAGGATTTTGAGGCTGATCATTATTTGATTGTGTCATTCTATTTCGCACTCAGCAAAAGTGAAAAAATAATAGCAAATAATATTTTTTGTGACTTTCTTTTTCTACCTGTGTGTCCTAGTGTGTGTGATTTTGAGTGTATGGATGAATTTGCTCTTGTGTGTAATAAATATATTGATCTGCACAAAAAGCTGCTGTTTTAATTGGTGAATTGCTGTTAATTACATATAATTCTTGTATGGTGCTCGGGTTTTGGAAAGGGATGTCCTGATACAATATTGATATTGGATATCTGTCCAATATCAGCAAAAAAATAAATATCGGATTATATTGGCTTGCATCTAAAATCTCCGATATCAGCACTCTGATGCAAACAGTCCATTCCAGACTCCGCTCCAGCACCTCTATCTAGCAGCATGCAGAACCCACGTAATCACAACAACAGTGTGTACTAAGGTGCTAACAAAGTAGCAAGGAGTAAGAGTGATGTCGGCCATTTGTATCGGCCAATACTAAAGGTTACAATATCGGTATCATATCGGAAGTAAAAAAGTTGTATCGGGACACCCCTAGTGGTGGACTATAAAGGAGAATTCTGGTATTTTTGAAAATTCTGCAATTCTTTTTGTCAAATCTTTTTTAAAACCAGGCACATTTTTTATAACCATACACTGTGGTCATGTAATGGTTTCTTAGGAAGCATTAAAAAAGGTTAACGATAAATACGCCAACCATTTTAAACCTAAACTAGAAACAGTCCAAAAAAATAGCTGGTTAGTTTTCAATGCTGACCAGTCATTTCTAAATCTAGATCCTTTCTGTTACATTGTCAGATGCTGGGAACAACAATCAGCCCGTCTTTGTCCAAATAAAAACCTCCATTGGATATTACTTTATCAGGATTTGATAAATAACAGTTATTACAGCACAAATTTATTCTGCCATACAGCTGAAAAGACCTGTAGGGAATTATGAATATTGTTTGCCTATGTTGGTAAATCATTATAAAATCATAATACCAGAAATCGTCTTTATACTGCCACTTAAGTTTTCAGCTGAATTAAACTGTGAATACTGATTAACATTTGATCATGGTTTTTGGTGTAAGCAAGCTGGGCAGAGAGGTGCACAAGTCAATGATCTGAGTTCATGGACCTACATCACCTATCAAATTTTTAAATTGATAATTATCTCTTTATATTTTTATATACCATTTAATAATAGCTACAGACCCTTTCATTGCTGATAAAACACCTGTGTCTGATGTCTGACCTAATAACTTAAAAAAAGAAAGCTCAGTTTCTGGTTTTTCTCTGTAATAAAACTCATAAGCTGTTTTTTTTTCCAGTTTTATTTAGTGCTGAACTTTGGATAACTTGTTAAAAGTATTTATATTCAGGAGACATAAATAAGGCTTCTAAAAATATCTGGTGCACATTTCAAACACAAATTAGCACAGTCTACAAAGTCAACAAAGTTGTACTGCATCCAATCCGAACAGTGCAGATGGGAGATTTTAATTTCTCCTGAGAGTTAATCAAGCTCAAAAACCAAACTCCGGCTTTATTTTCTCACTATCTGTTCTGCATTTTCTGCTCAGCTCTCTAAGGCTTTTAAAAACACAGTTTTAGGAGTTCACATTTTATTGATCTCACCCTTTTCAGGAGCCTACTTCCATCCCAAAAATGCAGATTTACCTCATCTTTGTGAGGTAGAAATAGTCTGTGCTCTCTTAGAAGCTTGTTTGAGAGATATCTTTGCCGCTCAGGGTTAAGGTGTTGACCAAATCTCTTTACGAATATGAAACATAATTGAGGCAAATGCCATGACTTTTAACGTTGTTGCTATTACAAGTACCCCTTATGCTGAAGTTGCCTGGATTGCAGGACAGGATGTTGCTTCACTTCTACCAAACAGAGATGGACAAGACCCAGTAGTAGATTTGTTTGGAATTTATCATGTTTTATATAAACCGTTCAAAGCCTATATTTATCAGAAACAATGCAATGACAATATAGCCATCACTGAAAAAGATCTTTGTTTTTTAATCTAAAGAAGTTACGTCTAGGATAAGCTAAAAAAGAAATCTGAAAATCTATTACTGGGTATAGAAGCAGCATACAGAGAAGCTAAAGTAAAGATGAGAAGTATAATGAGACTGGACTCAAAAACACGACACAGTCTCTGATGGTATCGTGACAGATCCATTCGGGCACCAGAAGAATAAATCCTACTCATGTTTGAAAATGATAACACTGGGAAACGTGAGCTGTTGGACAGCATGGAGTGTTTTTGTGGGCGAAGGAAGTGTCCACACTTACTGACGAGCTTTAGCACAACAGTAACCATGGCAACGTCGGCCTTTTAATAATGAATCGATAAGAAAAACCACGGTCCATGTTTCCATCATTTAGCTCTTATTGTCTGTGTGTTCAGTGTTGACATGTGTCGACCTCTCTGCCCGTTTATTGCTGTTTGTCCTCTCCTCCTCCTCCTCCTCCTCCTCAGACTCAAACACAGAATCTCTCCCTCTGCTCTTTTAATCTCATCATATCTGTTGTTTTCATCCTCCTCTTTTTTTCTTTATCTTTGTCTTTTTCTTCCTCTCTGCTCTGTTTTTTGTTTTCTTATTTTGTTTTCTTCCTCCCTCCCTTCATTTTCCATCCTCACATTCAGCTTTTTACAGCGCCGCACCTCTCACCTCGGCTGGCATCATTCCCATCATGCAGTCTCTGTGCCCGGACGGACAGAGAGATGAGTTTGGTTTCCTGCAGTACAAGAACTCCACGTGAGTAGACTGTTGTCATTCATGAAACTGTTATTGGTGGCTGGATGCCTCCTATTGACTATGTTTTTTTTGTTTGCTTTTTTAAATAGTAGGACTGTAGATCATGTCATCCCCTCTTTTTTTTAAATTTCCTCTTGTTAGTGTGACCCAGCTGCTGGAGCGGATCAGCGAGGTGGTTGAACAGAACCGGTTCTTCACATCTGACCGGCCTGGTTTGGGTCAAGAGCTGGAGACACTGCAGCACCATCTGGAAAGTCTCAGCTCATCTCCGTTACCTCTGGACTACAATTTGAACAACAGCCAAGGTTTGATACACAACAACACTTTAAACAATAAGTTGACACCTCCCCCTACTGCACTTCCACGCCCATCTTGGAGCAGCTCAGTGCGCCAATTTACCAAATTGGCTAGGTACAAGGCTGCGCTGCATGAATTTACCACTGAGCGGGATGCACCACCCTCCAACGTGTTGCCAGCAGACAGGAATTTAGTGCCCATCATCTCTGACTAAATGTGAACTGAACATCAAGACTTTATAGTGTAGCGTAAAAGTCCTGTATCTAGGCCTGTCGCGATAATCAATAAATCGCCTTATCGCTCGGTAAATAAAAACGAGGTCGGTCATTTTGCCAGCCTCGATAATTGACGTGCGTTTGTTTTCCTCCTCTCTCGCTACCAAACACGCTGGATGAGAGAAGAGGTCTCACTCTGCGCATTTTTCTCGGCACCTGGGGGCGTTGGCTCTATAGCGGAATGAACGGAGTTAGTGAACCCTCCTGTCAGTCATTCAGTGTCTTTGTTACGAGGGGGCTGGCGCGCACAGGCACACAGACACAGACTTTTGGATATAGTGCTGCAAGTGAGCGTCGTGAGTGAAAAGCAAGCTAACAGAATGAACACGACAGCTTTGGTGTCTAAACCGAACGCAACAGCCCAAGTGTGGGAATATTTCGGCTTTAAACCAGTTTTGTTTTCGTCAACCACAAAACTCCACGTGTGTGCACGCGCGCGTGTGTGTCTGTGTGTTGGAGGAGCACAGCAGGCTGATGAGAGCTGTCAGAGCGGACTGAAGCTGCTCCTGTATGTTTAGCGTTTAACTGACTGAGTTTTGCAACTCTGTTAGTCATTTTCGTCTCGTCCCATCAACGTAAACGCACTTTCGTCTCGTCACATTTTAGTCATCTCCGACTTATGATTAGCTCGTCAACGTTACGTCTTCGTCGTGGGTGAAATTAAAGTTTATCACTTTTGACCTGGTGTACTCGCATTATTATGCCATTTAATATCATTATCTATAATTTAAAAAACGGTGTCAATAATATCGTTTATCGGCAATAATTTGTAGCACAATTATCGTCCAGCAAAATTTGTTATCGTGACAGGCCTACCTGTATCTATACTTGTGTAATCTTGCAGTTCTTTTAACAGACATAAATCGAGTCTCTGTCTGAGTTTGGCAAGAGTACCAGAAGATGAATATGAAATCACTGATCGAGGATTTTTTTTTGTGTGTGTTTGTGGTTTGTGTTGTAAGCAGGCTTCACGCTGGCCAGCGTATTTAGGAACCAAACAGCTTTCCGTCAGTTCTTGCTGAAGAATCTCTCTCTGTCTGACTCTGTCAGCAGCTTCCTGCTCGACACTCCCGTCAGCCTCAGAGAGGTGAGCACTCAAACATCACAGACATTTGAGCTTTTTGCTGGTTTTAGCACAATCAGAATCCGAATACTTTATTTATCCCCAGGAGGAAATTTGGTCATTACAGTATTACACTTGCTCTTGAAAGGAACAGGAGTTAATAAGAATAAATTTGCAATTTACAGCAACTGACATAAATGTAACCCCTGCATGTTAATGAGACACCAGGAGGACTTAACTGAGTGTCTGTCACATATTTGCTGACATGTGACTTTGAGTGGTTTATCTGAAGTTTGGGGTGAGAACAGAATCACACACAGTGTTCAGTATGACAGGCAGATATTTTGCGTCTCCTTGTGCCATATAAGTGTAACTAGGACGGAGTATTAGGGCCACATTAAGAAATAAAAAAGTAAGACTTCAAGATTAAAGTCGTTAACCTACGTGAATTCAGTCATTACTTACGAGAATAAAGTCCTTATGTTCTAACCTGTTGTTTGAGATGACAGTTGTTGAAATAAGAGCCATGGAGCATTTTGTGAAAATGTACTTTAATATCTGTTTCTCAAACAAGGAGATACTTAATCTTTTGGCACATTAGCACCACATTATCATAAGTATCATAATGATTTTATTACGACTTTATTCTCATAAGTTATTACTTTATTACTTTATCACAATTAGTAATGACTTAATTCTCGCTAGTAATGACTTTATTCTCGTAAATTAACAACTTTAATTCAAAGTCCTACTTTTTTTTTTCTTAATGTGGCCCTAATACTCTGTCGTAGGTAACAACTGTAAGAAATTTAAAAAGGTTGATTTCTTGATTCACTTCTTTGGTTTCATTAGTAATGCCTGCCGTCTCAACTTCCTTCTGATGTCTGTCTCTTTTTTCCTTCTTGTAGCATCTTTAAGCTCAAGATGCCAACATACCAGTAGAAAATTGTCATTTACAGACATAAATGTGTTGTATTTACAGGAATTTTTCCAGTCAGTGTGAAAGACTGGAAAAATTCAGTATACAATCATGTAAACAAATGCCATACCTTGTATTTGATATCTCTGCTAAATGAAGTTTAGTTCTCCAGGTCTTCATTCTTTCACAGACACGAGTAAAGGTGAATCTCGCTTTCTTTTTTTCCCCAGTAAAATCTTGGCATTCACCATTCAGTTTTAGTTAAAAAACAAGTTTTAAAACTGCTTATTAGTTGCTGAAGTAGCAAAAATGTTCATGTTGCTGCAGCTGCAGGGGCTGCAGGCACTGAATTGCAGCTGCTCTGAGTAAAATCAAGTCTAACTGAAAACATAAAGACACTGATGTGAGGATAAAGATTGCTGTGGGTTAAGAACATCTACACTAATCTTCAGATCTTTAGGATAACCAAAGCGGTAATGAGAGTGGGCTGGAGGCAAGAGTTTCAGGGAGAAACTAAACTTTGCAAACTGAGAAATCTGTGATTATTTTGTAGAGAGTAACAATTTTGATAACAGCACAAGTGTTTGTCAGCAGAAGCTGTTTGCAGCAGCTTTTAGAAATATTCCAATTCATGCAAAACACTGGCAGCGTCCTCTTAACATATGTCCATTTTGAGATTTTGTGTGTTTGGTGTAACTATACGTGTGTTCCTTTAGGTTTACAGGCTTATCTTTGGAACATCTCTCAGGAACAGCGGCGTTACCCAACATCCGGGGGTGAAAGACACAAAACAAAAAGCTGGAGACAAAGTTCATCATCTGCAGGTGAGTTCAAACAAATAAACACATACACACAGATGCATAGTGCCACATGTCAGAACATCAAGAGCCCAGTTACGGGGCCTTCTGATGTAATCTTAAAGGGATATCCCGACATAAAATTAATTTAGAGTCAAACACACCATAACACCAAGTTAGACACCCCGTCGAGAGATGAATGTTGCCGACCACTTGCTTCTCTAGTTATACCAACTTTAGTAATGACCACATGATAGCAATACACAGGAGTCTGAGGAGCCATAAACAAACCTCAACCAAAACACCGCTCTATAGCCACAAATAATGCTCAGAACAGCACCTACCTTCAACAGGACATATAGGGTTCCAGCCATAGTACTAGCCACCAAACATCTTTTTAACTTTGCCTAATTTCTTATATAGATGCGAATGCAGTAGGATATATTTTTTGATGAACTTTATTGTCATCATTTTCTTATCTTTTCCCTCCACTAATTGTAGGAGCAGCTGTTTGGAGATGTTCATGGTCTGGATGGAGGTCTGATCCACAAAGCCTTACATGACCCAGCCAAAGCAGTGCACAGGCAGGCTCTGCTCAAACTCATGTCCCACGCTTTAGGCCTGGCAGAGGTCTCTGGGAACCAGAAGAATGACCAGCAGGGCCTAAAGGAGGTGGAGGTAAACCTGCTGCTTCTCTTCGCCATGTTTTATTTGGGAGCCTTGGAGCAAAATGAGCTGTGTGGCTGTGTGGTTTCAGGAACGCCTTTTAAATTTAAGTAGGTAATAAAACAAAAGACAATTTAGTTTTGCAGATAAAAAGGCTATTTTGTGGACAAACTGATGAGAGCTTCGAAATGGGGACTGAGTTTTCTGGGTTCAGTACACATATTGTAAAACTTTGCTTGATAGACTGAGACTTTAATAACTCCAGTCCTGTCTAAATCGAAACGCAATCCTGACTTTAATTTAGACAGGGATCTTCATGGAATGAGCTTTTTCACAACCAAACTTCTTCATAGAAAATAAGTATAATATAAATACATTCTTTCTATCAAACCTTCAAGAATATAAATATATAAATAAACAGATAGGTAAAAGGATAGATTAGATAGATACTTTAGTGATCTTGTTAAATCGAATTTGTTGCTCTGCAAAACAATATGCCAGCAGTGAAACTCTGAAATATGGGATTTGGGATCTTTCTTTGAATTTTGGTGAAAACCAAAGATATTTTTACACCGATAATTTATGTTTAAGTCATTTATTCACAGCTTTATTTTTGCTGTAGATATGCACTAATATCTTAGTTGGTCTTAAAACTGTTTTGAATATAGATCATACGAGTTATGATTTAATTAGTTTTGACTTTGGTTCAATAGATACACCGATATGACCATGACTGGATCAGGAGACATATTGCTTTTCCTCCACAGGGGGTCCTCTTGACTGGAGCCATGCTGGAGGTCCTCACCTGTGGGGAGGGAGGGACCACTGAGCTGGGGAAGATACTGTTGGTGCCAGAGAAGCAGCAACCGTTGCTGCAGGCCTATCGTGAAGCAGTGTGCAGCGGAGGGGAAGGTCAGAGGTCGGAGCGCTTCAAGCAGATGAGCCAGGAGCTGAGAGAGCAGATCAACATACAGAGTGTCACTGAGAAGGTGCCAAAAACACACGCTGGAAATTAACCTCTGTCAGCAGCTGCAGAATATTTTTAGCGAAACATCCGCACAGTAGTACGGGGTGTTTGTAACAGTTTTTCAACAGTCAAACATTTTTTGCACAGTGTGAAAAGCACATCTAGGGCCTCGGGCCAGTCCATTACGGACTGCTGCGGAGTGACGCAGCTCAAGGAAAAACATTTATGATCATTTCTTTATCATTTCCTTGAAGTAATAATCACCATATTAATCATTTTGTACTGCAGACTCAGTAGCTCTTCTGCCTTAGCGTCTCTGTCTAATGCGTTTCCATGAAGAAGTTAATTAAATTAGTTTAACGCCGTAATATCCCTTTAAAAGCATGAGGAGTACTTTAAGAACGAAGGACACAGTTATCTTTATTCATTCCTTTAACTCGTCCTCTGCCCTCCTCCTTTCAGCTCCACCTGGACCAGCCCCGCTCCCTGGCCCCTCTCTCTCAGTCCCACCTGAGGGCGCTGTTGAAGGACCTGGCAGACATGGAGAGACTCCTCAAGGATGTGGACCTGCTCTCCGGGTTGGCCCGTCTGCTACCCAAAGGAGCCTGTGCTGGTCGCACCCCAGCCTCCCTGACAAACATGTCTTGGCCCCTCAACACTACCACTTGGGGCCCTAATGCAACTGACACCCCCAGAGAGGCAGAGGAAGAAGGAGGAACAGAAGGAGTAGGAGAGGGAGGAGCAGAGGGAGGAGGAGGAGGTGGAGGAGGAGAAGGCGAAGGAGGAGGAGGAGGAAAAAAGAAAGAGGAAGCAGAGAATCCTCACTCTCAGTTTTCAGCGTTTGTGCAGCTGTGGGCTGGACTGCAGCCGATTCTGTGTGGGAACAACAGGTAAGATGGTGAAAAGAAACTGAACGAAGTTAAACCTTAGTTATAATAAGATTATACATAATAATAATAATTACAATAATTATAATTAGATAATCAATTATTATCCTCTACTGAGAACTGCAGCATTATGAATGGACATCGTAAGGTCCTGGCAGCTGTCCTTGTAAGGTGTCAAAATGTACTACAATCTGAGACAAAAGTATTTAAATTTGTTGCCTGTTTAAAAAGGGGGGATTTCTGGTTTAGGATTGTAGTTTTTCAGTGAGGATGCAGGGGTACCGGGATTTTGTCTCCAATGGTATTATTAATAACAGCCTGCTATATACAGTGCTCAGCATAAATGAGTACACCCCTTCAGAGTTGTCAGAAAATCTTTAGTTTCCTATCAAAATCAACATTTTCTATGTACAACTATACAACAAAATACTCCCCCAAATGTAAATGTAAAATGTAAATGTTCTTTATTTATCCAGCCCTTTACAACAACCTTTTCGGTGAACCAACGTGCTTTACAATAGAAAATAAAAATGAATAAATAAAACAATAAAAGCACTAAAAAATAAAATACAATGCAATAAAATTAAGCATCACCACACTACTGGGTATTAAAAGCCAGCATAAATAAGTATGTTTTCATTTGTTTATCACAAATCTAGGCCATTGATTTTTAAAACAAAGATTTTTAAGTTGCATACAAAAAAGTATTTTTTCAGTTTAAAATCAGGATGCAAAAATGAATACAGCCCAATCAAAGTTCTTGGAGCAAAGCTACATTTTAGGTACCATATCACTCGTATTTTTATCTTATGGTAAATATAATGTTATGTTAAAATCAGCTTTGTCAAAACTTTTGAAATTGTACTTTTGCTCATCTAGATATTGAGTAATACACTAATTTTAATAGGGGGTGTACCGACTTATTCTGGGCACTGTAGGTGTGTGTCTGTGGTTCTACAGGAAAGAATAAGCAGTATTTGAATGAACACAGTGCTGGCAAGAGGCATTATGAATTACCACTGTATTGCTTGCACTCATAAATGCTTGTTGTATATATAATGGGTTTGTAATACTGAGGTTGGTCTACAAGATCCTAACATGATTATAGCACAGTCCAGTGGTCTCAGGGTGGCAGGGCCTGTCAGTCCACAAAATTACGGTCCTTATTTCACCCCGTTGGGATTCTATTCTGCTTTACCCCCAGGCCATCCATTCACAAACCTGGTTATTACGCAGCTGTCTGATAAATATACACTGAGCATCGATCTGCAGATGATTTTATTCAATCAGAATTTATTCATTTATACAGGAAAATATATGTAGTCTCTTTGCTATTAGAAGTTTTTAGCCCTATTCTTGGAGGACTCATGGACTGAGTTAACATTTCATTTGTATTAAAGTCTTAACTTTAGCATTTTTCTAATGACACTCTTAACTGGGACAGAGAAGTAACAGCAACACCTTCATAAGGTCCCTGTTAATGTTACTAGTGGACACTGGAGGAACTACAGTTTTTAAGATTACGTTTTAGGGCTTTTTGCCTGAATTTGATCCAGCAGACTGATAAAGACAGGAAACATGGAGAGAGCGAGGGAACGACACACACCAAATTTGGCCAGGATCGCTACAGCCTCTGTACGTGGGTTACACAGTGAAACTACAGGCCATTGGCACCATGAAATGTAGTTTTTTTAAAACAATTTAACACTCAGTGGCAGATATTGTACCAACAGAAGCTCACTGTAACTCTATGACTTGGTTCTGTAGTACTGTATCTCTAACCCGTAAACTCTGGTTTCAGGATCATTGAGCCAGAGGCGTTGAAGCAGGGGAACATGAGCTCTCTGGGATTCACAAGTAAAGAACAGAGGAATCTGGGCCTACTGGTTCACTTAATGACTACAAATCCCAAGATCCTCTACTCCCCCATTGGCTCCCAGGTGGATAAAGTGATTCAGAAGGCAAGTTGCTGTCACACTTTTGACTTTTGTCTGTATAGAATAATTCCTGTTTTTTCTGTCTCCTTCTTTTTATCTTTTAAAGAGTTAATGTCTGAAAATGCTGTATCTATGGTAACACTTGCAGTAGGAATAATGTGAAGGTTTTGTTTTTATTGTTAAGTTCTGGCGTGCTCAAATCCCACGAGCACCTCCTGATTGACTGCGTCTCGTGTTTCACAGCTGTCCTCTCTATGCCCGATCACTAACACCTTTTTTGTCAGCTCAGTCAGTCTGTTAGCCGCAGCTCTGTCGTCCATTATCTGTGCAAGTGGGTTTTAAAGGGTTTCAGTGTGGGAGGGCGAGAGATGAAGAAAGGAAGGAGTGGAAACTGTGTAGACATATTTTTTTTGTACAAAACCTACAGAGAAAAGAAAACATTTGTTGATTTCTTTTACTTCTCACTTGCAGGCTAATGAGACATTTGCATTTGTTGGGAACGTGACTCACTACACCCACGTGTGGCTCAACATCTCTGCCCAGCTCAGGACTTTCCTGGAGGAAGGATGGCTGCACAACCGCCTGCTGTGGCTGCAGCAGGTACACACTACATCCTCTGTATTACGAATGATTTGACATGCTTCTATTTGTTTTTATCAACCTGAAAAATCAAGATCAGGGTTGACGTAAACTTAAACTTCCTGGCAACTTCAAGGTTTGGCCCATAGATGATAGATTTTAAACAAATGTAGTTTTTGATGCAATAAGAGGCCTGTTGTAAATTTTAAAATAAAAAAAAACAAGTCTAATCAAACAAAATATGAGCAAAATTTCTCATGTTGCCTTTTGAATGAGCCTCTATTCACTTATCGTACAGTTCTACTTTCATAAGCTCATTTATTATGGTATGCAGATGGCAAAATTTAAAGAACGTTAATTTTTAAGAGGTGAAAATAATCTGTCGACGTGTTAAAGTGCACAGATCAGCCTCCATTCATCACATGTCTCTTCATTGTAGCTGTCCTCGGAGCTGCAGCAGCACCCTGAGCTGTTGAACGACACTGACAGTGAGCTCATGCAGAGTCTGATGGAGGGAAATTATAGCCTTCCCAATACCTCCACCCTACTGGAGCAGCTGGACACCATCGACAACGCTGCCTGTGGCTGGACTCGCTTTATGTCAAAGGTTAGTTTAATGTAAAGCTGTGGTTCCTGACAGAAATATACATAAAAAGTTCAAGTTAATTTGTCATGTCAGTGTACATAGAGCCAAGAACCACAGGAGCCATGGAGTATGAGTGTAAACTGGACCAAATTTATCCAACATATAGAAGTTTGTCTCTCTTTGTAGATGTACTGGCAAAGAAGGATTAAATGTGTGCTGCATAGTTTAAAAAGGTCAAAAAGTGGGTTATTTTTGTACAAGGTGAAGATTCTTCGTGGTGTAAATAAACATTAATGGTCTTCATCTCCCTTGTGGACCAGTTTTGTTTGCAAATAATTACAGTAAGAGTCTGTCTTGCATGAAGTTCTTAAATAAAGGTAGAACAAGTACGTGGACTGAATTAAATAAACGCCCAACTTCTCAATTTCAGTTTTCCTCTCCTTTGAATTTTGAAATTTTGCCAAATTAAAAGTCAGGAAATGTAACTCAACTTTAGGTCTCTTCAAATAATTATCTATAATAAAAGGTTGGAGAAACATTTGTGCAACATGAAGGAGCCACTATCATCCAGTGTGATGGATTTAATTGTTTTCTCAGCTCACTTAATTTTCATCCGGAACTTATCTTATAATAATTGTCTTTGCTCTGTCCTCTCAGGTCAGCGTGGATGTCTTCAAGGGCTTTCCAGATGAGGATAGCATCGTCAACTACACCCTGAACCAGGCCTACCAGGACAACGTGTCTGTGTTTGCCAGTGAGTCATTCTCTACCGTGTCAGACTATTGAAGGTTTCTCTGCTGAAAGTCAAAGTTTATGGAGAGATTTGACTCTTTACGCTGAAATTTAAAATCTAATACACAGTAGAAACCTTTGACGAGCTTTTGAATTAATTTTTCTGTTGATATGCGGAAACAACTGTAGTAAAGAATGAACAGAGACAACATAACAACAAAACAACTTCAACAAAATGAGAACCTCAAAGTTATAAGGGGACTTTGGTATTTTTTCAACCCAGGTCCTATTTTCCTATGTATTTGTATGTGGTGAACAGATGGGGAGACCAATTTCTGAATTTGTCCAGTAGTGAGGGAGAGCAGAGTAGCCAGCACCCACGAAACAAGCGAAAACATAGAGTGACAGAGGAAAAAAATTTACCTCTCTTACCAATGAACTATGTGTGTGCAGATATTTGGGCTTGTTTAAATGGAAAAACGTAATGAAAAAGCAGATTAAACAGAACTTGGAGTAGGAGGCAGCATGGTTGTAGTTATCTTAAAGAACTGGTCTCCTTTTATAATAAAGGAGAGTGATTGGGTACTGAGGGGAAATCTTTGAATGGCAGTGGTTCCAGGCCCATGAGTCAGCAAAATAAGTCTGGCAACACAAGGCTACTGTGACCTTTTGGACCCAGGTGGCACTGAAATAAAAACAAACTCTGTAGTGGAAAACACTGCATCACACAAAAGAGAACCTCATTTCATTAATATAATTATCAATTGGATCTCTAGCCTGAATAAGCAGACTGACAGCTTCTATGTTTGAAGAGCTTCCATGTTTCAGTGAATCACATTCTGCAAGCATTACAACAGCATGGCTCTGTCATGGAAGAAACAAGGTGCTAAACTGGCCTGTTGAATTATTATGAACACTCCTTGAACTGTTGAACAGCTGAAATCTTGTATCAGGCAAGAATAGGACAGTATTTCTCTATGCAAACTTCTGAAACTGGTCTGTTGTGTTCCTAAACGTTTACTGTGTTTATTAAAAGAAGAGGCAATGCAACGCAATGATAAACATGCCCCTCTGTACCTACTCCTTTGAAACGTCCATTTAAAAATGCATCGTTTACCTTGCATCTGTTTTCTCTGTGTTATTATCAGTTAAATCCAGGGTTCAAATGATATCAAAACCATGAGTTTTTATCAACTTTCAAATTGGGATAGTATTTAGTCACCACTTGAAAGAGAAACAAAAAAAAAGATGGTTTCTGCTTCAGGACAGAATTCTTTAAAATGCAGCAGACATCTGAACTGCAGCAGGGCCTCCACTGCACAGTGGCGACACCAAATGAGTTATTTTCTTTCTTGCAAACAAAGAAATAGATAAATAGCTTTTTTTAAAACATGCAGTATGAGGATGAAAGTCTTTATTATCCTCCAGGACCCCTCAGAACTGATCAGTGCTCTTCCTTTCTTCAGGTGTGATCTTCCAGACTAACAACGACGGCTCGCTGCCTCCTCACGTTCTCTACAAAATCAGACAAAACTCCAGTTTCACCGAGAAAACCAATGAGATTCGACGAGCATACTGGCGTCCTGGGCCCAACACTGGCGGGAAATTCTACTTCCTGTATGGTTTTGTTTGGATCCAAGGTAAATGAGCATGCTTATAGATGATACAGGCTAAAAGTGGTCACCTGCTTACCTGGTATTTGACTTGTTGCATTACTTCAGTGGTCAGAATCAGAAGAAGTTGGCTCATTGTTTTCCTGCTCTCTGCGGATTTTTCCAGCCCGAGCCATAAATCCATAAGCAGACATGAGTTCACAGAGAGCTGGGCTTTGTGTCAAACCCATTGTTTAATATTTGTTTGACTAAGAAAAGTATTTATCCCTGCAAAGTGCTTACTGTGTGTGCTGTGAGCAGAGAGCACCTGTGCAGATGCCAGTGTAAGCAGCAGCAGCACTTTCTCTCTGCAAGTCATCTTTAATTCAAGATGCAGAGAGCAGGAAGCTGCTCAGCACACAGTAAGTTGACCCACAAAGATTCATCCAGACTGACAGGACGCAGAGTGAGGAGTCTGACAGAGGCAATTTACAGCTGATATAAGATATGAGAAATAAACTGACAGGACCATATGACCTCCGGAGGTCTATGTCTGCTCAGATTTCCTGACTGATTTTATTTGTTCAGATCAAGATTTCTGTTCACACTCCATCAACACAGACATAATTAGACACTTCAAGTTCATTTCAGTGTTTAGTAGTGTTAAGCATGTTACTCAAAAGTGGGGGTTAGTTACAACTTCCACTTACTACTATCAGAAAATTATAGAATTACTGAGCACATTATGAGTGTAATGTGCATACCTGCCGACACTCCCGTTTTTCCCAGGACTCTCCCGTATTTCAGACCTATCTCCCGCCCACCTCCCGTATTGTCATTTCTCGTTTGCATGATCCACGTTCAGTCATGAATTGGATGGATCATGTTATTTGTCCAAAGTTGCCAGGTTTCCAAACAACCAAAAATTGTCCAAAAATGTTTGCGCTTGCCTTGTCCTTGCTTATATTCTGACAAGACAAGCGCTAAAATGATTCGTAGATGTAGCCGCCTCCGATTTTGCTTTCTTCCGACTTGGTAACTGAAACGCTGGTAAGTGTGACATCATTCCCAGCTCGGACTTCTGACTTCCGAGGTAACTCGAAATCATTAATATCATGTTACCAAGGTAACCAGTAGGTCTGTTAAAGCCTTACTGGTTACCTTGGTAACATGATCATGAGTTTGCGCCACTGTTTAGCACTAGGAGAGAATAAAGAAAATGAGATGAGAGGACAGAAGAAGGTGAAGTGCAGGCGACAGGTTTAAAGATGAGACTCTAAAAATATTAACAGCATCTCTTGCCGTCTCTTCAAACTCTCATACAATACCAATAAGCTCCTTGATAAGCAAGGTCCACTCTCTGGATTTTACAGGCAGATCATCTTTGCTGCGTTGAAGGTGAAGTTTTAGGATGTGATGGTGTTGCATTAACCACTATTGTTTTGCCATGCTTTGTACAGCCATTATTTCCTAGTTGTTGTGTTACTCTGCAGAGCTCCCTTTGGGAAATTTGATTGATGAATAAAATAATGTTGGCCATGAAATAGGAATATGAAGCAAGGGAGTTAATGAAGCTGTTCTTTAGAAAACAGGCAAAAACCATGTAGCGAATATTCAACTTCTACATACCCAAAAAAGAGTTCTCTGCCCTCAAATTTACATATTTCAAAAACAACTAAAGGAACAATCGACAATTTCTGTATGAAAATGACAAACAATAGTTACACCTTAATTTTGCATTACTGTTCTTTATTCACACGTATCTTGTGGCCACAGGATTATTATACAAGGACTTCTCATTATTTTATTCCATCATGTGTCAGAGGAAGTTATGTTCTCTAACAGGATGAACTGACTAATTATGGACAGTTAAATTAACCTAAAACGAACTTTGTCATAGATTTTTGATTACGACATCAAATGTTCGCTAGTTCCCCAGTGACAGACAAGGCAATAGCAGGAGATCCAGAGGTCTAATGGCAGGCCAAAACAGTGAGGCACATTTTAGTTTAGCTTAAATGAAGTCAGAGAAAGAGCATAAAAATGTAAAACCACACCAGAGAGGAAACAGGAGGAAAATGAGACGAGGACAGCGAAAAAGATAAAAGAGAGTAAAACAGATGGTGGTAAAATGCTCCTGTTTTTTCACAGATTAATCACTTACTTTGTCTGCATTTTGGATGAAATTTTGTTTTTTGATAATCATTCACAGCAGAACAATACTGAGCAGAATTCAACAAAATGAAAACATCAATGATTCAGGAAACTAAGAAACTTTTGACTGTAGTTACTGAGTCATTCTTTCTTTCACTTCCTTCTCTAGATATGATTGAGCGAGCTATCATCAACACATTTGTGGGCCATGATGTGGTGGAGCCTGGCAACTACGTCCAGATGTTCCCCTACCCATGTTACACCAGAGACGAGTGAGAAACACCATTGTTCTGTTCAAGTCATGATGTTTAGTATGATGGTTAAAGGTAACAAAGTGCTTTAAAAAGAGATAAAAGAAACACAGGCAATGATGCAAAGGTACAATAAGAGAAATACACAGTACACAACAAAACAGACTGAGCGATTTGTCATGTAAATGTAATTTCAAACATCATGTAGTAAATATCAATCCTTCTATTCCTGAAGATCACAGGCATTTTAAACCAATGTGTTATTAAGATATGTATGTGTGGTCTTCACCTGATCCCCTCTGTTATCATTGTTGTTGTTTTTCAGCTTCCTGTTTGTGATCGAGCACATGATGCCTCTGTGCATGGTGATCTCCTGGGTTTACTCAGTGGCTATGATGATTCAGCATATCGTGGCTGAGAAGGAGCACCGTCTCAAAGAGGTCAGACTGAGGCTAATATGTCTGGACCATATGTTGTGCTTGAGACTGCTTTGACATGCTGTTGTTTCTCTGTTTTTGGAAGAAACAAAAAAGTCTCACTGCATTTTATATATTTTTCATCAACCTAAATACAGACTCAGACTAACAATAAATACGGTATGACTGAAACAATTATGCATGCATCTTACTGAATCCAAAAAATTGTCATGTAAATTAAGGATAACTAACACAACATTAATGTATTCATTTGCATCACTCAGATTTTTTTTTATTTGGGCAAAAAATTATGATGCACCGCAGTGATAGCCTATCTGCGGTATGATGGTCCTAATATCTTGACTTAAACCAAACCTCATTCATTAATTTGTTTAATTTGCTGGCTTGTCTTTCTTGTAAATCCTAAAATTAGACTTTTAACAGATCAGCATCTTGAAGCAGTTATTTCAGCATAATTTAAGCCTGTATTTTTACTGTTGTTGCTCCAAATTGGCATCAGTAAAAGCCCTCATATGACTTAAATACCAGGAGTAAAACAAGACAGAAAACAGTGCTATTTTATCGTCTCCTTTAAACTTTGAATCTCTTGATTTCAATCTGTGAGTCAAAGGAAATTAAACAAAAATGTAAAACGTTCCTGGTACCACTAAAAACCAAGCTTTTCGAAAATTGAAGTGGACCAATTTAAAATGAAGTGAACTTATAAAGCAGCCACTGATTTGTCTCCAGGTGATGAAGATGATGGGTTTGAACAACGCGGTCCACTGGGTGGCCTGGTTCATCACTGGTTTTGTCCAGTTGTCTATCTCTGTCACCGCTCTGACTGCCATCTTGAAGTACGGCCGTGTTTTGCTCCACAGTGACCCCTTCATCATCTGGCTCTTCCTCACCATCTACGCCGTGGCCACCATCATGTTCTGGTCAGATTTCAGAGTTTCTTACCCGAGGAAATACTTGGATTACAAAGTTCATCAGCATTTTTGATCAAATTTGAACACATGCCGTTAAACAATTGAGGGCCCAGCTTTTCAAAAGTAATCTGGTCAGATTAAAATGATTAGATTAGATTCAGTTTTATAGGTATTAGAGGTATTAGAAAAAGGGAATATGTAATTGGATATAATTAGGTGATTTAGTCTTGTTGTTAATCTAGATACGACCGTTAAGTTGTGTTGTTGAAAACTGCGGATGTGCGCCTGGTCTTTGACACTAATTGGTCAAAATTATGTGAAACAAAACCACTCAGATCATGATCTGTATCCTGATAACAGTGACTAAATCATGTTATTTTAATCCAAACCAAACCATGATATTTCCTTAATTTCAACCAAATGCAACAGTCTTCTAATTTGTTTGTTAAGGTTAAGAAGGTTAAGAAGTTAAGGACATGATCTTTCATTAACAGTGTCATTAGTTTGATACCTACAACATATGATAATGCTTAAAACTACAAATAACAATAATGATAAGGAGATCTAAGGACATCTCTTTTGTTTGCAGTTTTTTGGTGTCGGTAATCTACTCCAAAGCCAAGCTGGCCTCAGCCTGCGGAGGGATCATCTACTTCCTCAGCTACGTTCCTTACATGTATGTGGCCATCAGAGAGGAGGTGGCTCATGATAAGATCACTGCATTTGAGAAGTGCATTGCAGTAAGAGTCTTGATCTTCTCACAGACATGTTGTGTTAAACGATAGGTGTGTTTTTCTACTAAAATAATCCAAATGCTATAAAGGTTTATTCATTCATGTATCCTTCTTCTTCTGCAGTCCCTGATGTCAACCACTGCCTTCGGTCTGGGCTCCAAGTATTTCGCTCTCTATGAGGTTGCTGGTGTAGGCATCCAGTGGAGGACAATCAGCCAGTCGCCTGTAGAAGGTGATGACTTCAACCTGGGTCTGTCCATGATGATGCTCATCATTGATGCAGGGGTGTACGGTGTCCTCACCTGGTATATAGAGGCTGTGCATCCAGGTATGAAACCAGTGTCTATGTACTACTGTATGGACAGTATATTTTTAGACAGATGAGAGTTAATGTGTTTTCTCCCTGTCAGGAATGTACGGGCTTCCGCGCCCTTGGTACTTCCCCTTGCAGAGGTCCTATTGGTCAGGAAGTGGGCGTGTGGAGACGTGGGATTGGCCGTGGTGTGGAGGCGGAGCTGCCAGGCTCAGCGTGATGGAGGAGGATCAGGCTTGTGCCATGGACCAGCGGAGATCAGGTGAAGAGAGATGCATCATTTTCGACTGACAAAGCCAGTCTGTGGAGAAGTCTGTTCTTGTTCTGATATTAGATGGTGTATATTACTGTTCGTATTTTTATTTTGTATCGTACTGAATTATTGTGGTCTTGCTGTACGGAGTAGGGGTATCGGTTCTAGGTCTGATGGGTCTGATCTCACTGATCTTGGAAGGATCAAGCTTGAGCTAGGGGTTCTTTTATTGGTACACAAACTGCACATTGCACTTTGTTTCTGCATTTTATGCACTCTGCTCATGCAAAAATACTAGTATAACTGACGTGCTTTTTTTTTTACCTTCCAAATCGTCTTTAATGCTTTTTACCTTTTGAATTGTTTTTTATATAAATGTATTTTATTTTATTTTATTTTATTTTATGATATATGGCAGTGTTTTCAATGTCTGTGCCTGCTGCAACCCGATTTGCCCATTTGGGGACATAATAAAGTTGAAGTGATGTGAAGTTCTGAAGATGAAAACAAGACATAGACAAATGCTGATCTAAAGGAATTTATCAGCTTTCATGCTCTCTCCATTAGTTTCCTGTCATAAGTAATGACTTATTCCTACTAGGTATATGTATAAGTTTTCAGTGTCATGTAAATTAATCAGTTTCTTACCAAAATAAGATTTTGGTTGTGCTAACACTCTATTCTGAGACCTTCAGTTTTATCTGACCAAAACAGTAATTCCTGTCTTTCTGAGAGCGACATGGGTAGTGAGTACCTGAATCTGTGCAGTTTATTGGAAAAACAGAGTGTTTCCATTATGAAATTATTAGCCATAAAGACCAATTGTGACTCTTTTAGCTTCATGCAATAGTAGTCTATGAAAATGCTGAAGAATGTTAAGATTTTAAATTGAGGTGATAAATTTTGTAACAGCTGTTTTTCCCTGTCTTCTTGTGACTCCAGAGGAGATGCGAGGTATTGAAGAGGAGCCGAGTCACCTGCCGTTGGTTGTGTGTATTGACAAACTGACTAAAGTGTACAAGACTGGCAGCAAACTGGCCCTCAATAAACTGAGCCTCAACCTCCATGAAAACCAGGTGGTCTCTTTCCTGGGACACAACGGAGCTGGCAAGACTACCACCATGTGAGCGGGACGTTTGTATGTCTCTTTGTGTTTGAAAGTTTGTGCTTATATAGTCTCAGTGATATCACTCGTTGGTTTCTGAAGAAGGATTTTTAAGTCTAACAATGGCGGCTGTCATATTGCAAATACTGACAGCAACCAAGTTTAGATCGATCTGGACACAAAGAGGTAGAGTTAATGGTGTGGTCCAGCTTCAACACAGACACTTGTCAGTCAACTCCTCCATACCCTAATTGTAATAATTTATGCACAAATCCCAGCCTCATTACAATCAAAAAAGTTACTTAAATTGTGCAGTTTTTATAAACTGTAAAAAAGTAAAACTGTTTTTGTAAACCAGCCCAAAAACATGTTCGTTCCTGCAGCAAAACTGGACATTTTAACGTGAGTTTGTGATAAAGATTCTTTAATTTTCAGAGGCAGCCTGAAGTGGACACTCAAAGAACATTTTGCACTTCTACATTTGCCTCTTTTTCAACCCTGGGGAAGACCAGGTTGCAGCTTGGTCTTCTCTCGTTGATGGGCATCGACATATTGCACATTTGGAGCCAGGACATTTATAGTACAGAACTGCTGGTGGTCCATAGTTGGGATGTTCTGCCTTTCCAGCTAATTCAAACACAAAATGAACTTACTGATAAGACGCCAAAGCTTTTTTTTGGTTATACAATCCACAGCCGATCCACATCAGTGACTCTTGCATTAGTGTTTGTTTCATTTTCGCTCAATGTCAGAGCTTCATGGGTTTGACAGAGAGCAGCTGTTCCAAAGGATTCAGTAATCTAAGAAATACAAACAAGTCCAGTTTAATCTTCCTGACTGTTTCTCTTCACTTCACAGGTCCATCCTGACAGGTTTGTTCCCACCCACCTCCGGCTCAGCCACCATATACGGTCATGACATCCGTACGGAGATGGAGCGTATCCGTCAGAACCTGGGCATGTGTCCGCAGCACAACGTCCTGTTTGACAAGCTGAGTGTGGAGGAACACCTGTGGTTCTACTCCAGACTTAAAGGCATGGCTGAGGAAGACATACGCAAGGAGATGGACAAGTTAGTACAAGTCTGCTGCAATTCATTTATTACAAAAAGCTAAAATTCACAATATTAACAAGAAGTAACCCCACACTACCAGATACAACTACTAAAAAATGACTCTTTTATACATTCCTGATGTTCTGACAGGTCTTATTGTGACCATGAGTTGTATATATATTTGTTATGAGTGTATATGTTACACCGGTTACAACCACAGCTGTAGACAGGGAGAAACATTAGTCAGATAGAGACATGAGAGTTGAACATTGAGCTGCTGTTGAAGTTGAAGCATTAATAAATCAGTGTTGTTGCAAAAGTTCAACACTCCCCAGTGAGTCCTCTTTATCACAGTGCTTAAGGGTGAATTCACTAACAATAGATTGTGGCGGTTCGTAAACAGCAGGATTTGTGCATCATTTCTCCCTGCTAGCTATTCAATCTCGATATCCAATAATCAAAGCATTTCACCCAAATAAATCTCAAGTGCAAAAATGAACACATAAACTGCAGCTCTGTGCTATATGCTCTTGTACAGACAAACCATCAGCATTGCCAGTTTTTACTGCACAGAGCGGTGCTAAAGGAGCTCAAATCTGTTGACACACAGATGATGAGTTAGCCTAGCTCTAATTTGGTTTAACATTAACAGACAGGCTTGTTATTTTCAGATCATTCAGAGGTGGAATTATTGACATGACCACTTAAGAGCTTGGGCTAAAAATGCTTATTAATACTTCAGCACTGTTACCACTTTACCTAGAGCCTCTGTCACCAGATTTCACTCTAAGCTTGTGTTGCTGCTAATGCTGCTAATGCTAACAAATGTATAAAGTTTTATTTAGCTGTATGGAAAGGGCATAGGGTTTGGGGTGCATTTAATTCTCTGCAAGTGCAAGTATTAGGGGATGTCTTTTTGGATTTAACAGGTGCAAAAGCAGCACATTTTTAAAATCATGTCCTGCATCCCACTGAGCAATAGACGGCTATTAGACATCTAGTTTTTTTTTAGACCTAATTTCAACTGTCTAGATTCTGTATATTTTTAGACGGAATTTAGACGTTGCACTTTAACCCATTATCCAATAACTGATCTCCAAGTACTTAACCAAAATAATTATGATAGCTGTTACAGTGTAGTATAGATATAGCCCAGATTTAGATTTAGTCTACACTTGGTCTCAAGTTTTAGACGTCCAAAAAACTTTAATTTTTAGACCTGTGGTAGCCTGATTTTAGACCAGTCAACCAGGCTGCACTCATTAGACCTCTTTTAGACCAAAAAATGCTAAGTAGGATAAATTGTATTGACAGTAACAGTGCAGATAATGTAGCTAGTACCATAGTGGATGCTACAGCCACTTTCAAACAGTTGTAACTGATACAGTTTCAGATCAGGTAAATCAGCCTAGTGTCAGATTTGACAAATGGTTTTGCTGAGTGTGTATTGAGTGTAACTGTGTTTCCAGGATGATTGTGGATCTGGAGTTGTCCAATAAGCGTCACAGTTTGGTGCAGACGTTATCAGGCGGGATGAAGAGGAAGCTCTCCGTGGCTATCGCCTTTGTCGGTGGCTCACGGGCCGTCATCCTGGATGAACCAACGGCAGGCGTGGACCCATATGCTCGCAGGGCCATCTGGGACCTGATTCTTAAATACAAACAGGGTGAGTGGATAATCAGAACCTCAGGGCATCCTTGCATTATTAAACCAGATCCCAGCCCAGTGTTGTTTGAGGAAAATTAAATGATGGCTCTCCTAGAGAAGTCTTTTCTGTTACTCTCTGCTTGTGTTTTAGGAGGGCTGTCTGCAGATTAGTTTTTGGTTTTAAAAAAAAACAACATTACTCTAAGGCAAAATTTTAAGCATTTTTGCATTTTTTTAGATGAGACAGCTCAAAGAAAGACAAAAATGTAGGGAGTGCAGAAAAGGGGAAAGGGTTGAGAGCTGAGTTGAACTGTTGTTATGAGGACAAAAACCTTAACATTTAGTGTAGGCCTGAACCGCCTAAAGCCAACCAGCAACAACTCCTAAAACTTTACTTTTAGTACATTGACTTCACTTTTTGTTGAACTTTTGTTGCAGTTGAACAGAGAGCATCCTTAAGGACTAATGGTTTTTGGCAATTTGATGAAAATTTGGTCCGAAAATAATCCTGTTTAGATGACATTCAGACATTTACTTTTTCTGACAAGTACTTTGAGGTACTAAGTCTTGGTTTTCTGCATCTAGATCATGTTTACTTTTGTTTTAAGTTATTGAAAACACAAATGATACGTTGCATATTCCTCATATTGCAATTGTTCAGCATGAAACACAATAGCAGCAAGTGCAAAATAAAGGAACATCATGAATCACAACCTTAACAGCTCGAGGACAGATTGATGAGGTTTGTTTGAGTCTGTATGTGAATGTTTTAGGCCGTACCATCCTGCTGTCCACACACCACATGGATGAGGCTGACCTTCTGGGAGATCGAATCGCCATCATCTCACATGGGAAACTCAAGTGCTGCGGTTCCCCGCTCTTTCTGAAGAGCACATACGGAGACGGATACAAACTGACGCTGGTCAAAAAGCAAAGCGAAGGCCGAGGTGAGCACCAGTGTGGATGCTGTTATTGATTTGAATGCAGGTGTATAAATGTCAATGTAATGTTTTCTCTTTCTTTCAATTAAAGGGATATTCCGGCGTAAAATTAGGTTAGGGTCAAACACACCGTAACACTTGCTTCTCTAGTAATGACAGCACAATAGCAATACACAGCGGTCCCAGGAGCCACAAGCTCAACCAAAACGCCACTCTATAGCCACAAATAACTTCATCAACAGTACATATAGGGTCCCAGCCACCAAACATCTTTTTAACTTTGCCTAATTTCTTTAGCCAAAAGACTTAACACAACTCACCTACTCTCTTCCAGCAGGCGCTTGTTTGTAGCGAGACCTCGGGCCAGGCCATTACGGACTGCTGCGGGGGGCCGCAGCTCAAGGAAGAACATTTATGATCATTACTTCTTAGAAATACGATCAGACCAAGATGCTAAGGCAGAAGAACTACCGCGTCTGTAGTGCAAAATGATTAATATGGTGATTAGTGCCTTGAGAAAATGAAAAAGTAATGATCATAAATGTTCTTCCTTGAGCTGCATCACCCCACAGCAGCCCGTAATGGACTGGACTAACTCTGTGTCACGGTGTGTTTGACCCTAACTTAATTTTAACGCCGGGATATCCCTTTAATCTCCTTCCTTTCTCCATCCGTCCTTCCTTTATCTACTTATATCACGTGTTTTCATCTCCTCCTCCAGGTCAGGGCGTCCAGCTGCAGCCTCCCTCCTCTCTGTCCCCGTCTTCTTCTCTGTTGCCTTGCTCAGAGGCTCGGGTAACTCAGTTTATTCGACAGTTCGTGGCATCCTGCTTGCTGGTATCAGACTCCAACACCGAGCTGTCCTACGTGCTTCCCTCCGAGGCCGTGAAGAAGGGCTGCTTTGAGCGTTTGTTCCAGGTAAAAGCAAGAAAAACCCCTAACCCAGATGATGAATAACTGATTCTGATTGGTCAAAACCCCTTGACAGTGGTTTTGAACTGTAAATAGAAAAACCACATCACTCTCTCCCTCTCTCTCTCTTTTAGTGGAGTGAGAATGAGCTGTGATTGGTTTGTCAGTGATTAAAAACAGCTTAATCAGCACTCCTTTGTTCTGCTTGAACCACTGCCAAACTGTGTTGCGGTATTTAATGCGCTGTACCTTAATCAATACTTGTGTTGGGGCCCTGCAGGCTTTGGAGCAGAGTTTGGACAGTCTGGCTCTGACCAGTTTTGGCGTGATGGACACCACACTGGAGGAGGTCTTCCTCAAAGTGTCTGAAGAGGACCAGTCTCTGGAGAACAGTGACGCAGGTGAGACGTTGCTCCTCTCCTGCGTGTCCACACAGCTCAAACTGAATCAGGCGTTCATAAATTAATCATGGCTTTCTCAGTCGAAATAAGTTCCTGCAGAAAGTGCAGCGTCAGAGTTTTAAGTTCTGACATTTTCTTTGAGTTCATGTTTTGGCTCCAGGCTAAGATGATAATCAGTTCTCTAACTCTCTCTCTCTTTTCTTCCTCTGTCTTTCTCTCTCTCTCTCTCTTTCATTGGCAGACATGAAGGGGTCCCCAGGGGGCAGCTCAGTGGGAAAATCCTCAGTGGGCTCAGCTGGCTTGGGGGGTCCACAGAGTGAGACGGGCCCTGCGGTGGAAGGTGATAAGCCTGAGGTGGAGCTGAGTAATCTGGTGATGTGCTCCAGACTGAGCCAAAGCCAGTCCTCCCTGAAATCCTCCTCGTCAGTGGGCTCTGTGCGAGGGGACGAGGGGGGGCTCTATGCAGACTTTTATGGAGATTACTGTCCCCTCTTTGACAACGGCCAGGAGTCAGACTCTGCCAGCCTGAGGGGTAAGACGACTCGATGTGCTAAACTTTTATTGCAGTCATTTCTGCAGTAAGGTGTTTTGGCTGATTAATCACCTTTTTAAAATACACCTTTGATCGGCCATGTTTCTTAAAAACTTCAATTTCCTAAGAGCACATTAGATATTAATTGGCATCTATGAGCAAGTTCAACAATCTTTGTTTTTCATTTTTCAGTCTATAAAAGCCCGAGATCTGTTTGTGTCGTCTTCACACTGACATACTGTAAATCTAAATGACTTTGGAGCGAGCATCTAATACCATTAAATCAAGTTAAAAATGTCAATAATGAAGTTAAAGTGCTTTTAAAGATTTATTGCCATGTGCATTAACGTTTTGCCTGACTCATCATTTTCTCAGTCTTATCTGATTTGGCTGTTAAATACAAAACATTGATCGGTCTTAATCTTTTCTCTTGATTTTAGCACAACCTTAAACTTTAAGAAACTCATGTTTTACCTGTAGATTCAAACATGTTGAGAGTTTATAAACTAAAGAGGTTCATACTGCCTGTCGATGATAAATTTACAAGACGGTTCCTCTATAAAGGCCAGAGAGGTAAAGAATAAACTTGTCAGGTACAAAAATGTTTATTTTTTTACCTTTCTGGCTTTTATAGAGGAACCATCTTGTAAATGTTCAGGGTTTTTCCTCACTTCCAGTTAAATGTTTGTTGAATCTTTAGACAATGTTATAATTTGTAGGACTGTCCGTGGGGTTTTCTAAATCCTATAACCATCTGAAAGTTTTTATCCAGCTACTAACCAAACTCAAGACAAAAAGCCTCTTCAATTAGATGATAATTTTTTTGGTACAAAGATATCAATTTCTATTTCCCTCTGCTGTCTCATTGTTATCCTACAGATGCTGAAAACCCATTGTCCCCAGAGCCGGAGGTCCTTGAGGGGCAGGGCAGCTTTAAGCTGGAGGGTTGGTGGTTAAAGCTGAGTCAGTTTCATGGCCTCATCGTGAAGAGGTTCCACTGTGCGAAGAGAAACACCAAGGGCCTCTTCTCTCAGATCCTCCTCCCTGCTTTTTTTGTCTGTGTGGCCATGACGGTGGCTCTGTCTGTCCCAGAGATCGGTGAGCTAATCTTAAAAAGCGAATAGAAACCTGTCAAATATTTGTAATAGTGTTTGTAAAATATGTTCAGTAATTAGAAATGCACAAATTTCGAGTAGAGGAGCAGAAAACTCTGACATCTCAGGAGTTTATTTCACTCACATTATAATAAACAGACACAAGTTTCAGCTCAAGGCTGTCTGCTGAGTATTTATGTGACAGTTTCCATACAACAACATACACAAGAGCATATTTGTTGGTGCCTTTTCACTTGCAGGTAATCTACCATTCTTCTTTTTCATCTCTTCTTTCATCTTCTATCTTCTTCTTTGTCTTTCTACTACTTCTACTTCTACTTCTACGTATTTCTTCTTCTACTTCTTTCATCTTCTTCTTGTCTTATTATGTTTGCTTTATTTTGGTCTCTTCAAGTCACTGTTAGAGGTTTTAACTGCTGCTAGAATAGCCTCACTCTTATGGCCTACACAGCAAAATAGGATTATTAATGATATGATTGGTCATTTCTTTCTACAGGTTTTTTGTGCCTGTGCTCAGGTCAAAAAAAGCTGAGTCAATTCGATATTCATCACTCACCCTGAAGATTCTTTATTCAAATTCTGCCTGCAAACTTTGTCAGTGAGAAGTAAGATTGCATGTAGGAGACTGATACTGACTAATACTGGAGCAGGATTAGCTGGAGGATGTCTGTTTTTTGTTGAAGGATTGTTTTAGCTCAAGTGATGCCTGATAAATATGATCCTTCAAATAGATTTGTCAACTCAGGGGATTGTCGGCTAATTCATACAAACTTATGAATCTTGTTCTCCATATCAGCAAAGTCTGGTGAATACCATGATACTGCACACTGACTCTTAAAATCTAAATATATTTTTCATGAAAAATACATTTATTTTTACTTTGAGTATCTGATATTTTGTCCTTTCTCCACTCTCAAGTTATCATAGGGTTGAAACTACTTGCAAGTTATTGTATTCTGGTCTTAATTGTCGGAGTGTAAATCTCCAAATTAAACCGCACCTCTGATATTAAGCTCTTACTATGCCTACAATTTTTTTTCTTCTCTAGGAGATTTGCCCCCTCTGATCTTGTCCCCCTCCCAGTATCACAACTACACCCAACCAAGAGGCAACTTCATCCCCTACGCCAATGAAGACAGACCCCAGTACAGGTAAGACGGCAGTTTTTGTGTACCTGTGTCATATCAACTTAAAAAAGGTTCCGTTTTTTTATCTCTAACATCTTCTTTTCAGGAGTAAGCTGTCTCCAGATGCCAGCCCACAGAAGATCGTCAACACTCTCCGTCTGCCCTCAGGTGTGGGGGCTACCTGTGTCCTCAAAACCCCCTTCAACAGCACCCTGGACCAGCTTGCTCAGACCCTCAACCCTAGTGCCAACAACTCCAAGACCCTCGCTGCACGTTACTTTGACTCCATGTGTCTGGACTCCTTCACCCAAGGCGTTCCCCTTTCCAACTTTGTGCCTCCACCTCCATCACCAGCCCCCTCAGATGACCCAGACCCCCGCTTTGAGGACGGACTCTGGAACTTCACAGTCGCCCCTCCAACCACAGTTCATGGTGAGACTTTCTTTATATGTGCTCCTTATTAGAGATTAATCTGATAGAGTTCAGATAAACTATCTCCTATTTTTTTAAAAAGTGATTTGATATCTTCGGTTTTGATCCAATCCTGCAAAGATGTACAAGATTTGAATTTAAAGTGATGCCAAAACTGTGGTGCCTTTTACCTGCATTCTTTCAAATGGCCAGCAGAGGGCAACTTTTGGCTTTATAAAACAGTCTACTTTGATTGAATTCAGAGGCTTTGTTTTTAACTGAGCTTTTGTTTTTATTTGTTTTTATTTTCATGTGCTGATGCTCTGTGCTTGCAACTGTTGTCAAAGCACTTTGTAAACTTCTGTTTTTAAATGTGCTATATAAATAAAGTTATTGTTATTATTATTATTATTATTGAAATCTGTCAGAAAATGGTCCTCCCTCCCAGCTTATTTCTTCTTCTTTTTTTAAAATTTTCTTAATAAGGTCTCAGTCTCTACTTTAAAGCCCTTTTTAATACAGCATGATTTTCAATTTGTAAATTATGGTCATATTCAGAGTCCAAATGACCTTAAAACAGCAGGATTTAAGACAGGCTACTTCAGATCGATAACCCACTCCTGCACAGCAACATATAAAGCAGAGTGTTGGCATTAAAAGACTTGAAGAATACCCATTATTAGCTATCGGGAAGTTATGTCACTTTAAGTGCTTTGATTTTACATTTTTTCCTGTATAGCCTACAAATCTTTGGCATTATACAAACTTTTTAATTTCATGCATTAAACCAGGGTTTTTTGTAACAACAATGATGGCCTGAAGTTACCCCTGAGCTGTCTTTTTGTGGTCATTGTCAATTTTATCCTCCGAGGTTTGAGTTAAAGTTTCTCCTTCATGTTTTCTCAGAGCCTGTGACGTCTCCCCCGACCCTCCCTCTGTCCATCCATGAACCGGTGCGTTGTACCTGCTCCATGCAGGGGACAGGTTTCTCCTGCCCCAGTGGAGTGGGAGGGAGGCCCCCTCTCATGAAGGTGGTGACGGGTGATATCCTGGTGGACATCACCGGCCGAAACATCTCTGAGTACCTGCTCTTCACCTCAGACAGACTACGCCTGCACAGGTATGGCTTTTTAAGGATGTAAAAATGTATAGGGCTCTGGTTAGGGTGACCATACGTCCTCTTTTACCCGGACATGTTCTCTTTTTGGGGGGCTGTCCGGCCTTGTCCAGGGGAGTTTATAAAACCCTTCAAATGTCCGGTTTTTACCTTTTTTGTTTGTCTTCATAGATACGGTGGTTTAACAGTGGGCAACATCCAGAAATCAATCCCAGCATCCTTTGGTAGCAACATACCTCCAATGGTGAGAAAGATAGCGGTTCACAGATCCGCTCAGGTAAGAGTCCAACTCTGAACCAAACATAGAGTGTATAAACACACTTTAAACAACGCACTGATAGAGAGGCCACCTGTGTGCAGGTTCTGTACAACAACAAAGGTTACCACAGCATGCCGACGTACCTGAACGTGCTCAACAACGCCATCCTGAGGGCCAACCTGCCAGTATCCAAAGGAAACCCTTCTGCCTACGGTAAATAAACACGATACAGTGTGGACAGAGATTCTTTTGGAGGACACTAATGTGACTAAGATGTGTTATCATTTTGGATAAGTAGTCAACATCCTCTTAAATTAAGTGGTTTTGTTGTGTGTTTCTGTAGGTATCACTCTGACAAACCATCCAATGAACCGGACCAGCGCCAGCCTCTCTCTGGACTACTTGTATGTGTCTTTGCAGCACTGGCATAAGAACCATAATCTGATAAGAACTAAATCAGAATTTTGACTAGAATCACAGTTTTAAAATAAACAGAAAAAGGGCAGATCAATCTCTCTAACATTTCCAATTGCATATTTATTGATGACATTAATCCATGTCTCCTTAAACTCTCATAAAAACCTAAATAATCAGAGCTGCACTTAAAAAAACTTCCACTAATCTGCAAGAAATCTCATCGCATTAGGAAAACTGATGCCTTTTTCAGGGGTTTTGCATGTCATAATTCGTCCTTTTGTTATGACTCCAGGCTTCAGGGAACAGATGTGGTGATCGCCATCTTCATCATTGTGGCCATGTCCTTCGTCCCGGCCAGTTTTGTGGTTTTTCTGGTGGCGGAAAAATCAACAAAAGCCAAACACCTGCAGTTTGTGAGCGGCTGTGACCCTGTCATCTACTGGCTGGCTAACTACATCTGGGACATGGTGAGGAGGACACACACTGCATGTGTGTGTAGATGTGTGTAGATACTGCATGATTTGTCCAGGTGTGAACATGTCCTCTTGTCTCTTCTCAGCTGAACTACCTGGTACCTGCCACCTGCTGTGTCATTATCCTGTTTGTGTTCGACCTGCCGGCCTACACTTCCCCCACAAACTTCCCTGCTGTCCTCTCCCTCTTTCTGCTCTATGGGTGAGATATTGGAACAAAAACACACACACACAGACACACACCTGTTTACTTTAAGGGATATTCCGGCGTAAAATTAAGTTAGGGTCAAACGCACCATAACACCGAGTTAGACACCCCCTCAAGAGGTGAATGTTGCCGACTTGCTTCTCTAGTTATACCAATTTTAGTAATGACCACAGGATAGCAATACACAGCGGTCTGAGGAGGCAGAAAGAAGCCTCTACCAAAACGAGACTGTATAGCCACAAATGATTCTCAAAACAGCACCAAGCTTCATCAACAGTACATATAGGGTCCCAACCACAGCACTAGCCACCAAACATCTTATTAACTTTGTCTAATTTCTTTAAAAAGGGACTAAACACAACTCACCCACTCTCTTCCAGCAGTCACTTGTTTGTAGCGAGACCTCGGGCCAGTCCATTACGGACTGCTGTGGGGTGACGCAGCTCAAGGAAGAACATTTATGATCATTTCTTAATGGAAATGCAATCAGATTGAGACGCTAAGGCAGAAGACACTACCGCGTCCTTGAGCTGCTACAAAGCTACCTTTGTCTCGCTACAAACAAGCGGCTGCTGGAAGAGAGTGGGTAAGTTGTGTTTAGTCTCTTTGCTAAAGAAATTAGGCAAAGTTAAAAAGATGTTTGGTGGCTGGGACGCTATATGTTGATGGAGTTAGGTGCTGCTCTGAGCATTATTTGTTGCTCAAGAGTGGGGTTTTAGTTGTGGTTTGTCTGTGGCTCCTCAGACCTGCTATCCTGTGGTCATTACTAAAGTTGGTATAACTAGAGAAGCAAGCGGTCGGTAACATTCATCTTTCGACGGGGATGCCTAACTCAGTGTTACAGAATATCCCTTTAATACCATCAGATACCCATGTTCCGATACGTCAGCATACCTATCAATGCCTGATGGACTTGCTCTTACTGTTGTTCACTATGATTTCTTTCTTCCAGGTGGTCCATCACTCCCATCATGTACCCAGCATCCTTCTGGTTCGAGGTCCCCAGCACGGCCTACGTGTTCCTCATTGTCATCAACCTTTTCATCGGCATCACCGCCACTGTGGCCACTTTTCTCCTGCAGCTCTTTGAACATGACAAGGTCTGTTTTATTTTGTTAAACACTTATCTTAATATTTAGTTTTTTATACTTTAGTACAGGTTACAGAATAAGATGCTGTGATGACCTTTTTAATTTTTAAATAATTAAATTAAGAAAGGAAAGAATAATACTCATTCGTGGATAGGAATTGTATGATCAGTTGTTTAATTTTGTGTATTATTTCTATTGTGTTTTTCATCCAGGATCTGAAAAAAGTCAACAGTTACCTGAAGTCTTGTTTCCTCATCTTTCCAAATTACAACCTGGGCCATGGTCTGATGGAAATGGCCTACAATGAGTACATTAATGAATACTATGCCAAAATAGGTATGTCTGTCAGCGCTAATCAATAAATTTGTATTTTTGTGGACGAACTGAACATCACAAAACAGAGATGGATTAGATATATGAAGACAGTGAACAAGTTTCTTCTGTTTGTCTGTTTTTAGGTCAGTTTGACAAGATGAAGTCTCCGTTTGAGTGGGACATTGTGACTCGAGGACTTGTTGCCATGACAATCGAAGGCTTTGTCGGCTTCCTCATCACCATCCTCTGCCAGTATAACTTCCTCAGGAAACCCCCGTAAGTGATTCATGTGTTCAGTGTGAAGCTTTTAAATGACAGGCGGTTCAAAATTAAATATAATACAACAAAAATGAAATAATATCCCATGTGTGTATTCAGGAGGGTTCCAGTCAGCTGCCAGCCAATAGATGACGATGACGTAGATGTGGCCTGTGAGAGACACCGAGTTCTGCGAGGAGATGCTGACAATGACATGCTGAAGATCGAGAACCTGACAAAGGTCTGAAAAGTATTTTAAATTCAGACAAAATTACAAGTTAGAAGTGGACTTCATGCATCATCAGTATTGATTGTTTACTCAAATTACACTAACTTAGATTTATTCCAGTCACTACTGCAGGATTTATTGAACCATATTTGTGTCACTGTTAGACAGCCTGACAGAAATCGCCCCTTTTAACTTTTAACAACAAATGGTCGGCCCACAATGAAGATCAACATATTCAATAGAAACCTAAAAGCTGGGAACTTTGTGACATTCATTTTTGCTTTTATACCATCCATTCGAGCAGAAAGCTGCCCAAAATCAAAGTTTTGTTAAATTTGCCTTACTTTATTGCCGAATGTGCTCCAGCCTCTCCCCTTTACAGTCCAGAACTCTTTCAAGGATTAGATTTACACTTTTTTTCTTACAGCTCAGATGCAACTTTTCTCACATGCACACTCCTTAATTTTGCAGGATGTCTTTATTTGTTTTGTGTCCCTCTCAGGTGTATAAATCCAGGAAGATGGGTCGTATCTTAGCTGTGGACCGGCTGTGTTTGGGGGTCCGCCCTGGGGAATGTTTTGGTCTGCTGGGAGTGAATGGAGCCGGAAAGACCACCACCTTCAAGATGCTGACAGGAGATGAGTGCACCACTGGAGGAGAGGCCTTCATCAATGGAAACAGGTAAGAAACAGAAAACTCTTTTCTTTCTTTTTATTTTTCTTTTTGCACTTTTTGTTCTTTTATTGGAGATGATAGGGTAAACTGTAGAGTCAGGAAATGGGGGAGAGAGAGTGGGGAAAGACATGCAGGAAAGGAGCTGCAGGCTAAATGATTAACCTCCATCTAGTGTTTGGGTGTCCGCATATGTCTGAGTAAAACAGTTGGCATTAAATAAAACACTCTCTTGAAGACACAAGAATATCATGAAAACAGTTACATACTTTTATATCTGTGTGTGTTTATGTTGACAGTATCCTGAAAGACCTGTTGCGTGTGCAGCAGAGCATCGGTTACTGTCCGCAGTTCGACGCTCTATTTGACGACCTGACAGCCAGAGAACACCTGGAGCTCTACACTCGACTCCGCGGGATTCCCTGGAAGGACCAGGAGAGGGTCAGTCCATCACACACACAAACATACTTGATTTACTATACTTGTGAGAGTCCTTATTTACAGTATGCAAAGCCAGCTAAAATTAACCTTACAAATCCAACACTAAATCATGTCCTTGTCTTTTTTTTATTATTCTCCTTTCTTTTGGAAATTTTAAAATTTGACTGTAAACTTTGACAAATATAGAGGGAACTATATGAGGCAGGCATGATAATTCAGCAGTAAAGAACAGCACAAAAATCATAGACAGGACTTATGGAGAACATGCTTCCTGTCTGATTAGATTTAGTAAATCCATAAGGTTGAAATTGTCAGTGGTATTAAGATTGTTTACAAGTAGTTACTCTTTTATTCATCTTTCCCCTCCACTCCATCATGTCAAATACTCTCTCTGACCTCCACCTGTCTCCTTCAGGTGGTGCAGTGGGCGCTAGAAAAGCTTGAGTTGTCCAAATACGCTGACAAACCTGCTGGGACCTACAGTGGAGGAAATAAACGCAAACTCTCGACTGCCATTGCTCTGATTGGATACCCGTCACTCATCTTCCTGGTAAGACGATTTTATGAATGTTCAGTACTGATCAAGAATAATTTTGGCACTGAAACCATCCAAAACAGCGTGTTTGGAAATCTTCAAGTATAACATTAAAAATTAAACCCACCCTGCAACAAACATTTTTACATGCTGATGATGTTCGGGCCGGCTCGGGTTCTCTTCCAGCCTGTGGGTCTTTTTCTGCATTCCACCCCCCACTCTGTCTCCTATTCTTTTTCTTTTGGATCCTTCAGTCCCTTTAGATAAACCTCTTTATGGGGTACCTCAGGGCTCTGTCTTGGAACCATTTTTATTGTCCCTTTCCTACTCTGTTTTGGTTTTATTATCTTATACCACAGTATTTCATTGCTATGCAGATGACACCCAGCTGTATTTGTCCCATAAATCGTATGAATTAGCTAAATTCAATTTTTACAAATTAAATACAAATAGATCCCTACATTTTTGTTTTCATATATGTTCATTTTTTTCACTCTAATTGTTTTACTTGGTCTCCTCCAGGACGAGCCCACCACTGGGATGGACCCAAAGGCCCGCAGATTCCTCTGGAATTTAATCCTCGACATCATCAAGACCGGACGCTCTGTAGTGCTGACATCACACAGGTGAGACACCTGCGTCCTTACATGAAGAAAGATTACTTTTCCCTTTTTTCTGTTTGACTTCATACATAACTTTGTGTGTTTCTCTGCAGCATGGAGGAGTGTGAGGCTTTGTGCACCAGACTGGGCATCATGGTGAATGGCAGGTTTAAATGTCTGGGTAGCATCCAACACCTTAAGAACAGGTCAGCAGGACAATGATCTACCTTTAATTTCCTTATATTAATGTAATCTAACCTGCATTCTTTACCCTGAGTTTAACTTTAACAGTGGACAGTTATTTCCTGGTAAACGGTAACACTGATTTACACTTTTTCTTGTTTTGCATTTGACAAACAAGGTTCAAAGTATCTCACTGTGTAAAAGCCTCTGTACCATAAATAAAAGCACACCTTCAACTGAACACTTTTCTGCTGTAGTGTCTGATAATGCCGGGTCAAAGACTTTTTTATATGTGGTAAAAACCTTTGGATTCATGTTTGCATGAATTCAAGTCTTAAGTAAGTCTAAATTTTAATGGATTGCGCTGCATTGAATGTATATTTCACTCAATAGACTGATCAGCTGCTGAGTCCAGAGCAGTCTTTAGCCGAACTTTATTGAAATGTTACAATGTCTGATTTTCATATCTGAAGATCCAAATTAAAGATATGGTCAAAGTCTTTGTCTTTGTTTCTTTGTCTTTGCTGCAGGTTTGGAGATGGCTACATGATCACAGTGAGGACAAAAAGCAGCTCTAATGTGAAGGAGGTGGTTCGCTTTTTCAACAGGAACTTCCCTGAAGCTGTGCTGAAGGTAAATGTCTGCAGTAACAGATATATGCAGTGTATACAAGTCAATCCACGAAAACAACTGAAGGACAGGAAATCCTAAAGCACAAAAGCTGTTGCATTTACCATGTCTGCTGGATGTGTCAGTAAATAAAGTTTAAGCCAACAACCGAACCATGATAACTTAAGATAAAATAAGAAGAACTTCAGGCTAACTTCTCTACACCTGTACTTTTTAACATGCTGTGAAGTATGTTAGTTTAATAAACATATTAAATCTGAATTAACACTGCCCAATCATTTAACCCCTGATTTTTATTCCCCCACTCTCCTGAAAAAAGAAGCAAGAAAGAAACTTGTTTCTCAATTCAACCAAATTGAGGTTTTTGTTTCCGCAACCTGCATGAAATGATTTTTCTGATTGTTCTGTTAGACATTGACCTCTCTTTTGTTGATATCCCAGGAGCGTCACCACACCAAGGTCCAGTACCAGCTGAAGTCTGAACGGATCTCTCTCGCTCAGGTGTTCAGTAAGATGGAGCAGGTGGTCGAGGTTCTGGGGATAGAGGACTATTCTGTCAGTCAGACCACTCTGGACAATGTGAGTCAAACATTAGACACATTTAGATTTTACAGTAAAATCCAAAATAAAAGACACACCGATACAGAAAATGCAGTTTTCCTTTAACTTCCACTGTGTTCAGCAACATAAAGACGAGTTCGGCTGTGTAGCTCTCTCTCTCTAGCAGTTACCTGTATGATTGTTGAGCTCTGATAGTTGTGAGATATTGAACCATCATCATTCCACAAGCTTTATTCTATTGTTCATAGTATTTCTCAGTTTTCTAAAATGCATTATTACGACCTAGTTAGGGGGGAAAACATTAATAAGAGGCACTGTCAGACTGTTTCACTGCAGCTGTTTCTTCAAGCATCACCCCCTCCATGATAGTATACCAATGATCACACCGTGTTTAGGACACAGCCCACATTCTGGATGGAAAAGAGTATTTAAAGTGTGTGTCATCCACCAATTTTTAATAAAGCACCTTTTCTCTGCACAGGTGTTTGTGAATTTTGCCAAGAAGCAGAGCGATAACCTCGAGCAGCAGGAGGTGTCGCCCCCCAGCGGCGGACAGTCGCCCCTGCAGCGCATCCTCAACCTGCTCAAGTCTCGACCAGCGAACACGGAGCTGAACGCGCTGATCAGCGAGGCACCCGAGGAGCTGGAGAGCGACGACGATGAAGGACTCATCAGCTTTGAAGAGGAAAGAGTAAGTGGATCACGCCTCAATGACTTTGATTTTACATATGAAAACTAGAAAAAGAGGGAAAATTAGAAGCAATTATTTTTAAGTGATACATAACTAAAGCTATAATTATTATTCGCTTCGTAAAAAGCCTCTTTCCACATGTTAAATTGCACGTTTTGTGTGTGTGTTGCTAGGTGCAGCTCTCCTTCAACACAGACACTCTCTGCTGAAACGACCACTGTAATAGCAAGGCGATGAGCAGAGGGTGACAGAACTGTCTGTCTGTCTATCTGAGCTCGGAGACAGAGGTCAGAGCTGCAGATTTAACCCTGAAGAGGCAGCGTGAATAGAAGAGCAGCAGATCAGTGTTTTAGCCTCAAATTCTTCACTGAGGTGGAGGTTTAAGTTGGATTCTCCGAACAGAGACAAAGACCTGAGAGACACAGAGACGGGGTGGACTTTGTCCTGGAATGTTTCATTTTTTTTATGTTTTAAGGAGAATATATCTCTCTGGATGTTGATGGAGACAGCCGCTTTGACCCCACAGGTTACTCCGTCAAACAGCCCGATGTATGAGCAGACCCTTGTTCCTGCCCTGAGAGCATGCTTTGATGAAGTAGTCATGTAAAACAGTCTATTTTTCTGTGGCAAGAAGAGTGATTTATTTTGGATATTGAAGCAGCTGCGGACTGGCGTATGAGGTTTACTTTGCACTAACAGAAGACTGAGTGAAATGCACCATGGGAAGGTGTGCAAGCTTTTGGCCTTTTCTTTTTAAAATTGATGTCAGAGACAGAGAAAATGTAATGGCATGGTTATTGTCCTGATGGTGCCTCCCCTCTATAACACTGTACATTTAAACTTTCTACTGAATGCTCTCTTTTGTGCGTTTAACATTTCATTCTGTCGTGGACTCTGCCAAGAAGATCCTCTTGAAACCGGACACAGTGTAAAATAATAACTCCTTTTAACAGTCTGAATATGGACTCTGCTGTTTTTCCCTGACAATAACTGCACTACCATCACTGTGATACTAAAGGGAACTCTCAGATCAGGAGAAACTGTTATTTAACTCCAGTTCAGTACATGTTTTATTCTTTTAGATCATTTTTAGTGGACTTAAAAACGTGCTAAATACACTCTTACAGAAACCATAGATGTTTATCTGACTGTACGTTTGCAGATTAGTTTGAACTGCTTTCTCCTTCTCTCTCATGAGTTTTTGTGATGATTCAGTTGTTCTCCGTCATGATGATTACTGTTTCACTTCTTCTTTCACAGCTAACTGCAGTCATATTTTTTGGTGATTATCATTGCACTGGTGAGCTGTTTTCCTACTTGAGGGGATTGTCATTAAACGAGAAAAACTGACCCAAAATGTCATCCTTTTTCTCTGATACTGAAAAAGCTGGAGGAGAGTTGGTTGCTGGATATTTTGGAATGAATTTCTAAAAAAAAGGATTTTAATTTTTTTAAAGGTACAGTACGTAGAATGACGATAAACCTCACTGCAAGGGAGATCTACATGTGGTCTCAAAATAAGAGATAATGCAAGTCTGTATTTTATGCAAGTCAGGTTAGACAGGGGACTCGCGTTTGGTCTCAACAGACAAGGCAATGTAATGTGAAATTCGTCCACTTGATATTTGTCCACTTGATTTTTTTCCAATTGATAGTCTCTATTCATTTGATGATATTACATGAATCTGGAAGTCATTGATTGATTGATTGTTATAGTCAATTTCTTTTGGAAGAAATCACAATCTTTAATGATAAATATTCCAATAATGTGTAACTTATCAAACTCGGTTATCAAACAGATGCTTGGCACACACATACTGAAGTACAGAACTTTGTGAAGTGTTTGATTTTTATTTAATTCATTTAAAAAACCTTCGTATCATTAAAATGTCAGCATTAATCAGGAGTTAAATGAGGAATGACAAATTCATGTTAGTCCCATTAAAATACAGTTAAAACAAGTGTTGAAGTTTCACTGAGATTGACATCATACATTAAGAGTTTCTAATATTTGCTAAAATTCATAAAGTTACCATGATAGATCAAAATTACATCCAGTGTTGGTTTTGTAGTAGTAATGTGAGGAAAAGTGTAGTCTAAAAGGGTCAGTCCTCGTCTGCATCATCGAAGGCCACACCAGTTGCTTTCATTTTTCTGTAAAAACATGTCAAGAGAAGTTAGTTTTACTTTCACATGGGTGGGAATAATCACGAGTCAGAGGGTTGGAACAGGGTGTTTTGTACTTTTTAGCTCCAGGGTTGATGAGCGAAGCTCCTGGGACTCGTTTCTTTAGTATCCCTGATGAAGCCCCATTCTGCTGCCTGGGCTCGAAGCCTGAGAAGAGAATTTCATTCCAGTGAGCGAACAACCAGAGCTGACAACAACACCATCATCATGATCTGCGACAAGATGAAAGTGGACTTTGGAGCTAAGATGGTAAGTCAAGCTTGTTGAATCTTTTTAGGACGTATGTGGATATTTTATCGCTTAGAGGTTTCTTGAATCGCCACTCAGTTCAAGATTTACCATCTCTGTTGAATCAAGAACAAGCTGAATACACATGTGCCGTAGTTCCTCTATAGTGTATGCTGCAAAGGACTGATTTAACATTTTAAGCACCTGCTGTTCTGACATGATCAAAATTTAAACTGGTAATGACTTAGTACACATAAAAACATACCTGTGTGCTTCCTCTGAATGTTTTTTACCGGACTGATGGAAGGGGACACACCTGTAGTTTATAACAAAACAGTCAGCAAAGAGGCAATTTCTGTACTTCTGTATTTCCTATACAAAGAAATCCTAGTCATTCGTACATTCACTGTCAGTCTGTATAAGGTTGTCGGCCATCTTGAACAGCAGCTCCTTTAGCTCATCTTTAGCTTGTGTACCCTCCAGACTGTTTAAGGTCACTCTAAGGTCAGCTAGACCAGAGCCCATACAGAGGTCCGCAGTGGAATCATGAACCACAACAGACACGTCACCACGACTACAGCCCGACCTGAGGAAACAAAAGAGTGATAATCAGCCTTCATAATCAATCATCGATCCATCATTAACATATTAAAGTTAGAAATGAATCAAGGTGACACTTCATCGTGTCACCAAAATGTTTATCACAATTAGTTCACATAATCAGTTATTTATATTACAATTATTAGAATCAATTAAGTTATTTGATTTTGTTCATTTGAGTCTTTCAAACTCCCCCCGCCCTTAAATGTTGGATGTGGCTAAACTAATTTTTAGCTCTCATTAGTGTTGTGTCAATCGCGAACAATTCGTTCAAAAGAACCAAATCTTTTAAGTGAACGTTCTGAACCGAATCACTCCCTCAAGTGATTCATTTGTTTCTCACTTGAGTTGAGCTGAGGTGAGTTCAAGTGAGTTCCTCTTCCTCTTTTGAAACTGATTTTAGATTTTATGAGTTGTCCGGGTCAAACTGTGTCAGTTTAACATGCCGTCACAATGACAGCCCTTTTTGAATCATTGGATTCTGGCAGAGGTGACACGAAGAACCCTATAAAAGCATGTCCGGTTTTGTCTTTCAAGTGTCTATGTAAGCAGTGAACATTAATGTACAGGTGTTTTCCTGAATTATTGCGTAAATGTGATCTCACCTGATTTTAGGGAAGAAATCATCCGTTGACTTCAGGGAAAACTTGTTTATCTAAAACAAAAAAAAGAGTAGTCACAACAAGCAGACATTTTATATCAGAACCTTCACTGATGTACCAAGACAGGATGAGGAGTCTTCAGAGGAAACTTACGAACTGCTCCAGTGTGTCTGAGGTGAAGTCTGAGCTCCAAACATTAACAGCGTCTGTCAAACTGCAGCAGATAAAAACATTTCATCATCCCAAAAGTGGGAAAAATGGATCCAATAAAAATCTATTCACATTACTTTAAAACATGGTCAGCTTTGATAGAGGCTACATGGACAATTTTCCTTTCTTCTCTGTGAATGACACCATTTTTGGTGTTTGTTTGTTCTCACTAATATTTTTCTCTGAATGACTGTATGTCTTGTTTCTGTTGGGTTAAAAAAATGCAAAGAAAATTTAAGTTTAAAGTTATTAAAAAGAAATTTCTCAACAGTTAAATAACTTTCTGACGGTAAACAACTGTAAACAACTTCATCACAACACTGAGACTGCTCTGGTTAAGGTGTTGGGGTCATAATTTCAGTTTTAGTACAGCTGGATCTCAGTGGATCTGAAATAATTTAGCTTTTTTTAATTACCAGAGCAGTAAACATTTATTATTGTGTTACACCTTTTACCTCTATGCTACTTTCGTCTTTGACAGAAAGCAGTTAAACCAAACCACATCTAAAAAATGAGCAATATGAAGCTGTCAAGTTTAACCACCCGATTAAACCCACTTTTAAAGCCTGTATCTTTCTCTTTTCCGGCGTCGGTTCAAAGGACAGGTGTCGCCGGGTGTTACAGCGTATCTCGCTACCTATCTATGTGGATCTCGGCGGCTCTGCGCATGCGTGTAGCATCAACTCCGAGAGTTGGCCAACGCATTAAGGACATTGTTAGACATGCCAGTATCACATTAGGAGGCGCTTCTCCTAATGTCCTAAAAAGTTTTAAGACGGAGTACTAAAGGAAACTCGTTCTCTTATAGAACACATACCCTTGACTGTCAATAATAGGCAAAAAAATTAAGCGCAAATTTGATATCATTTGCTTTCGTTTCGCGCTATGGTTGCATTTTTCTTTTCAACATAACAGCCATACTTCATGAAACCGACAACCACTGTATTGAGTAGGCTACTGATAACATCTCTATTTCGTAATGATAAATCATTGGATGATTGAAACTGTTTACTTCCTCTCTAAGTCAGCAGCACAACGATTTAAACATTGTCAATTTGCATCACAGCCCAATCACACTCACTTACTCACCTGATATCAAACATCCCGTTTTTTCTCCTTGTGTAGCAGATAAATTTGTTCTGGCTCTTTTTATCCACCACTATGCAGTATGATGTTTGTTTCCCATCCATGTTTACAAAGGAGGACGTGCAGTAAATACGTCTTCTTCTACGATTTAATTCGCAGCTGTTTTTTCTTCGTTGCGTTTTACATGTTTGGGTAAGCCAGCTTTCTTGCATTATCTCCGCCTAGTGGTCATGTGTAGTTACGATATTTTCTATAGAAAGTTGTAAATGACCTTATAAATAAGAAAACCTCATTAAGTTTTAGAAGTTGTATATTTTTTACAACAAAACTAAATAGAAATATACCAGCATTTAACAAAAAACAAGGTCAAATGAGCAGATGGAAACTCAGTTAGATACACATGTTTTAATTTTATTTAATTCAATTCAGAGGCTTCCTCGTCATAAAAGTTCCACAATAAATTTTACAGAGATTAAAGAGCAAAATGGACAAACATATAGACAGTGTATAAAAAGCAGTTTATTAGAATAACAGATCTTTCCACGTAATTTACATCAGCCACTACAATACCCAGGCAACTTTAACAGTTGTCTCTGTTGCCCATTCTTTTTAAAGAATGAACTGCAGGTCTCCTCTGACCAAACATGACCCTATTACGGCTCCACCAACCTTTCCACCTGATGTCCTCAAAATAATCTTCAAACTGAGTCAGAAAAAAATCTGCAGAACACAAGCCCATACATATAACAAATACAAATAAGATAACTGATATCTTTTGTTTACATTTTAATATTTTGAAATGTGTTGTTTGCACACCTGAGGATAAGGAGGCTCAGATTAAGAGAGCAAAGATGGGTGTATATTAATACTCCATACTTACTCTGTCTTATTGAAATCTCTATAGTGAACACAAACACACACAAAAGAACAGTTCTGACTTTTCTGTAACTCTTTGATTTATATTTTTTGTGAGATGAGTGCTGTGAGTAAGCAGACTGAAAACTCCTCCTTCTTATTTTAATATATATTTTTTTATTTATTGTTTATAGCCAGTCTAAAATACACAATCATTAAAAACCAAATCATCTTTAAAAATGTAGGTATGATTAAACAAACGTACTTTAAGGTGTGAGATGCGCCTGTCAAATCAGAACCTGATAAAGCAGCAGCATTTCTCTTGAACCAGAATCTATCACAGTCCCTCCTGATGGACACTGGAGGTCATGCAGACACTTTTCTGTTTGTCAGCCGTGAGTGTTTGGTGGGTTCAGTCACTGACTGTGGGCCTGTATCCACTGACTGAACCTGTGTGAGTATTTGTTTGGGCTGACTGTTGAAAAAGCTCTGCCAGGGAAGCGTATGCTTTTCCACAGATGCTCCAGTCTTTTCTTACCGCCGTAGACGGTAAAGATATCTATAATGCCCACAAAGTAACGTCTATCTGGCCCATCAATCACATGGATGGCGTTTTTACAGTTTGGCAGCAGCCTGCGATGATGCTCCTGGAAGTCCTTCAGCTCCGAGTCTCTCCTGTCTTTTCTCCCAGAGCTGTTTATCTCTTGGAGAGGGATCTCCAAGAGATAAACATGGTTGGTCTCTGTACCAGAAATATTATTTTGATTATTTGACTCAATTATTTAATTATCAGTTTTCAGACATGCACCCTGAAAATATTTCCAGAAGAGTTTAGGAGCTTCTGAGTCCTATCACTACCTCAAAATAACAACAAAGATCACAGAAGCATGACCAATTCTAGATAAAACTTCAACATTTGTGCACATCTGGATGTCTTATATTGAAATTGCTTGAAATGTTGTTTATTGAGAGGCCACCACAAGCTGAGGTTAAAAACAGGGTTAGTCAGTGTCTAATGATTTTGCTCACGTGACGAAGAAATCAGCTTTGCTCTTGGAGTTGCTGACAAACTGGAGGTAGTAGTCGGCTGAGCAGAGTGAGTTCATATATTCCTCCTCTGAGATATCCAGAGAGTGTCTAAGCTTAGCGAAGACAGGCGCTGCAAATGTCTGCATCTCAAAACCCTGCAAGACAAATATTACATATGGAAGTTAAAGACCGCAAACAGTTTGCTTTTATTGCTCGACACACAATCTCATGACAGATAAACGGTAATTCACAGAGAGACACAAACGCACTGTTAACATATCCACTGTGGTGACGGATGAGTTTCAGTTTAACTGTTTCTAAAAGTTAATGCAAAAACTCTAAAAACAAACTGATATTTGAGAAAGTCAAGTCTAATTATGTGGATATAATTTGCCCTTTAATTTCACAATTGTCCTTTGTGATTCCTGGATTTTCTGCATTTTTTTTTTGTAGTTGTTTGATGAGTTGGGGTTTTTGATTTTGCTTAATTGATTCTATTGGTTTGCATCATTTTGCAACACATTTGTTTGTTTGCAGCGCATCTATTATATCATTTTTTTTTAATTATCATCATTCATTTTTTATCCAAACAAAAATTATTTTGGAAGCTGCAGGACAACTGCCCCTGCCCATTACTGTACTTAACAGTGCTAAAACTTGTATGGAAAAAAACCTAAATACAATTTTTAAAAACACATAAATGTGGTTTAACAGGAAATACAGCTTTGAAATTTATTTTTACACATTTGAAACGACCACTTACCTCATGGGTGTGAGTTTCCTCTGCTTTAAAATGCTCAGTGGTGAGTGTATCCTGTAACAAAAAAAAGGAAGGTAATGCTTTTTTATGAGTTATTGTCTTCAGCCAGCATCTTAGAATCAGAGGGCTCTTTACCTGTACAGGTGTGTCTATGGTGGTCTGAATGGATGTCTGGATGCCTTCTTTGATCTTAGTGGTCAGGGTGTAGAACTCGTGCTCTTGGTTGATCTCAAACACTCCCAGCATCCTCCATCTCTGTCTCAGGTGCCACCATCGTCCTCGTCTGGTCTCTCTGGAGGCTCCAGCAGCTCTTCCCTTTGCCATCTAAGACAAAAAAATATTCAGCAGGTCATGAAAAGACATTCACTGTAAATACTGTTGCCCCTTTTAAAGAGCCAGTGAGGAACATTGACTCAATTTTGGCACCTACTGTAGACTAAGCAGCATGTCACTTTCGCAGCTTTTGTCTTGGGGGTTTTAGTTTCAGACAAAAAAGTCTCATCCTGTTTTCTTTTAGGCAGTAAAAATCAGTCTATTATAGCATTAATAATTGTGAAGTACAAACACTCACACAGACTATGCCCAGTTCTCCAAAACCCAAGTCACTTCCCTCTGCTGGTCACTTGTTTCTCCTGAACTGAATATTTTCAATCCAACCAGTGCCCTACAAGCATTATTAACTCAGTAGTACACCGCTGTTTTCTTTAAATGTATGGATTGTACTCAATGAGGAAAAAAAGTGGATGACAGACTGTAATGCAAACACTTAAAAGTACGAATGTTTAGTCTTATTTTGAGTGCCGAGGAAAGGAAGTGAACTGTCACCTCTATAATAAAATTCAACATCTGTTCACATGCTTTATAATTGTGGGACAGATCAGATTTCATGTAACTCTCTCGTGGATAGAGGGAGAGACTGATGTAAGAGTCGATGTTCAACATCTGGTTTCTGCATCATGAAGGATTTCTGTACAAAGCGCTCACAAGTATGGAGATAGTTTAGATTTTCAAAAATACCAGAACCTCCTCACATTAGCAGCATGAAACAGCATAATTACATGTTATACTCGAGACATGACAAAATAAACTCAACCAACAGAGACAGGAAGCTGGTTAGTAAAACTAGTACGAGTACTGAAACCATGTAATAAGCTTCGATGTAAGCGCATACATTAATACATCTTCAGGGAGCCCTTACCTTTGAGACTTGCTTTGTTCAGACCGTAAAACACCGAGAGTGTCTCTGAGATGTCTCCTCGTACGCTATGTTGGGGTAAACCCTGTCTTTGTGTGCCCATTGATCCCTCCTCTGCAACTTCATGTACTGCATTCCAGACAAGTTAGTCAAGCTCTGCAGGGTGTGTCACACACACACAGAAAAAAGCTGTGTGATGGGGAATGATTTTTAGTGTAGACGCAGAGGAAGAGCTCATATTACACTTACTGAATAAACATATGTAGCAAACAGGCGCTGTGGTACTCTAAGACTGTTTTGATGAAACCTTTGTCACAGGCTGCTGGGATGTTCTGGGATGTTTAACTTAAGTCCTCTGACAGACCAGGGGTACATCCAGTAGAGAGATTTGAAGCCAATCAGCAGTGGTCCCAATATTAGTAATGCTGACTCAACCTAACTATCAGTCGACCTATCAGAGGCGGGGCCTTAGCTACAGTGTTCCTACCTGTCTGTCACGTCAGCCCAGCCTCTGATTCACCACTCTCAGATTAGTATCTTTTTAAACAAACACAAAAAATTGCACTCTGCACGGTGGGTGCAGTGAGAGAGCTCTTCAGACCAAAACATGCCAAAAAAAACACTTTTGACCTTGAGTGGTGTGGGCACTCAGGGAACTGCTGTGGTCAGAACTTCTATTGGTTTTCTCAAGAGTTAAGGTTACCTCATGATGTGTACATATAGAGCCCTGAAAGACATAAACAGTGGAAGGAGCTGCAGTGTTGGTTAAATACAGTAAATAAACTCTGCATACCTATGTTTTGAGATGAAAATTCAGGTACAAATATTAACCTGTTGTGTCAGGATTTGACCCTGGAAATTCGCTCGCAAAATTGAAAATATGCTTGCTTTTGCAGTGGGGTATGTTCATCTCTGAGCCTGATAATCAGTTTTATTGTATTCAGTTTATTTTATTTTCAGGTCCAACTGTCCTGTCTAAATTAATAAAAATAAACAGTATTTTAATTAATACTGTGAGAATTTTTGGCAAAATATACCACAATATATTGCCCGTAAACAAGGTCCAGAGATATCACAATATGTCATATCACCACTCCTACAGCATGATATCCTAATGTCAGATTCTTGCAGAAACACAGCCCTGCTCATTACGAAAATCTTTGAATAACTCACAGCAATCATCTATTTAAAACGGATGAGATGTGGGAAGATTTGACACTTTAGCTGGAATTATAGGCTGCATCCATAGCCCAGTTTAACCAGTACACCTGAATTAAATACACAGAGATGTTATGTTGTGTTGTGTTATGTTATGTTGTGTTGTGTTGTGTCCAGAAGATGGCACTCTAATCCAGCCAAAGCTCGACTGTCACCGTCACTGCAGGCTGACCTCCACAGCCGGAAAAGAGGACTGGAAAGAGGTAGAAAAAAGTTTCACTTGTGTCCTTCTTCTTCCTTCATTTTTAAATTGTCTTAATTTTCCTGTTGTCCTTGAGTTTTTACAATAGACTGTATATAAGATGGACAGAGTCTGCCTCCTTGCTGGGTGAAGCCACTCCGAGAACAGTACCCTCTGTTGATGGGCTGCAGTATAGGTCATAAATCCCGCCTCCGCCAGCAAAGCTTATGGAACTGTGGACAAACTTTATTTACAAATTTATTACACAAAACATAAATTTTGTGTTCTTTTTCTGTGAAGCTCCGTTTTTAAAAGTTATTAGGGGGAATAATTCAGTAAGCGTCATCACAGCGACTCTTGGCGACTCTCCTGCCAAATGCGCACAATGCTACTGCGCAGCGCTGGTCTCAGGAAATGAAATTGCGGAAATACCGAGAGGTTTTTGGCTTGAAATCCGTATACAGGCAGTAGGCGGAATGCAATATGTTTGTCTCATCAAAACACGCTGTGTTAGGTGTTAGAGGGAAAGGCTGAGCTGATTTAACAAGCTCTCTATACATTATTACTACATCAGCTCCATAATTACAGGTATTACACGCTCAAAATCAAAGTCAAACTAAGGTGCAAAAAAAAAAGGAAAGAAAATATAGGGTCAGGATCAGGACCTGGACTTCCCCCCGTCTGTTGGTTTCCCTTCCTGTTTCTGCAGAGAGGTCAGTTTATATTCAAGTGTGGAAGAAGGAACACATGCTACCACTTCACCATCCAGAAGTGCAAAGATATACCATGATGCAATAGGTGCATGTAACGGAAGAAGTCGCAGTCACAAGTTATTTCATCACAAATAGATCTGACAGACAAACTGTAAGACAAACTTCTGCTTTTGCTCTGAGTCTGAGTTGAAGCTGATTTCTTTGAAATGTCAGTGTTTCCCCAGTATGCTGAGATGACAGAAAGCTGTCTTGCAGGAAAGTGTGAGACCAGACAAACTGGCAGATGTCTTTCCCAATGCTTGGCCGTCAGAGGAAATGATGTTGCGTATTCTGAGACAGATTTCACTTCGACTGTCTTTGTGAAATTTTTGTATTGAAATGTTTGTGTATTTTATTTTATATTTTTACTTATCCGAATAATAAAGTTGTTATTCCAACAAACTTAAAGCTCCAGTTAGGAATTCTTTTTACATAACATCCGTATTGATGCCTTTTCATGATATGCAAAAGCAAGATGGCAGTTTGTATATGTCCTTGTTTTTAATGCCTGAAACCAGTGTGACGGAGTAGGTGTCAGCTGAGGAGCCGAAGAAACAGCCCTCCTTTAATTTCCACATAAAATGCTTTCTTTGAATAATGCATTTTAGCGTTCTCACAAAACAATACTTTTACTTGTTTAGGACAAGACAAGCTAAGACTGCTTTGTCCAGGTGCCAAAATCAACACAAATTTAAAGTTCCTCACAGGAGCTTTAAGACCTTTCAATAAAAAGTCAATCACAAGAAAATGGGTTTCTTTTTCAGGTTCATAGAGGTACGCTGAAGTGTAGCCTCTGTCTAACTCACTGTTTAGAGATTCTTCAGAGATTTCAAATGATTAATACGAGTGATATCATTCATAACAAACATTCTGTTATTAAGTAAATGTTAAATATTTATGTAAGATAAGATGAGAAGAACTTTATTTATCCACAAGGAGAAAATTAATATACAATAAAAATAATATACAATAAAAATTTTTAAAAAATCCTTTTTTGGCTTGTCTCATTGACTTCAATGCAAAAGACCCATAAAATAAAACAGACAGGCTATAAAATCATCAGGACTGAAAGAGTGTTATCTCTCCATCTGCAGGTGTGTTGTATAGTGTGAGTCTTTGTGTTGTGTCTGTTTGAACTGGCAGCGTGTTTTGACTCGATCAGTCCACATGTGCTCTTAATTTCCGTTTCCTATTGGGCAAGCCTGACTGTGGGAATTTCCCTGCTTTCAGAGAGGAAGAGAAAGTGAGGCAAGACCTTCAGGATGTTCATTTGAAACATCTTCAGAGATTTAAGCTGACACAGAAAAAAAACACGTCATTGACCTATTAAATTGAGCAATAGTCTAATTAGGATCAGGAAGTGTTAGTCATCTGCTCAGTTTGACTCTACCGTGACTTTAATTTTCACAGTTTTCATGATCATATAAAGGGAAATATTTACAAAAAGATAAAAATGCTACTATGTTGAGTTTTTGCCCATGCATTTTCTCAAAATATGAAGGTTTTCCTCCCCAGAACAAAACTAAAAAAACTTCCTTCCACAAAAGCCATTTTCTGCAAATACAGTTTGCAGTCAATGGTTGCAGAAAGAAAACACATAAAACACATAACAACATGATCTTCCTCTGGGGGGCTTCTCTGGGCCTGAGGTGAGGTCTTGTGGTCTAACAAATGTAAATATGACATTCTCTTTGGAAATCACTAGAGACGGAGGATCCCAGGACAACTTTTCACCTTCCAGATCCCAGAAACCGATCCCCTGGCATCACAAATGCTTACAGAGGGTAGTTGAAAGAAGAGGTAATGCAAAGCAAGGTAACACTTTATATTAAGGTGGTTGTAATAAGTTGTAATTAATATGTAATAAGTCACAATAAGTGTTAATAGAGGCTTGATGAATACATTTATTATGTCTTATAAGACACTTTTATGTACTGATTAGAAACTTATTAACTGTTCGTATAATGTTGTAAACATGAGTAAGATGTTTGTTTACATTTCGCTTCATAAGGGAATATGAAAGCCTTATAATACTTTGTTATGCTCTTATTATGCACTAATAAAGCTCCTCTGCAGGTACTCGATCTAAAGTGGGAACACTGCTTTTAAGAGTAATAAATACTTGATGCTCAATTTTCATGAAGACTGAATTGATTGTGGAGATGAAACTTAAAGAAATGTCTGAGATTCTAAGAAACGGGATGTTAGGAGGAAAAAAGGAAGGGATCAACTGAAAGTGAAAGCGTGATGTTTCCCCCCTGGCAGTCCTGTGTGGGCGTCCTTTGTGTATAAAAGAGAGTCCTCTCTTCAACAGGACATCATCTGCATCCAGACTGAACACAAAGACACACAGAAGACAGAAGAGTCTGATCCAGAACTTTCTACAGACACCATGAAGACAGCCGTCATCGCCTTCCTCACCTGCCTGCTCGTCCTCTGTGTACGAGGTGAGAAAACTGACTGAGAGTCTTTCATAATGTGACTTTATTATGGCAAATTATCTGGATTCCAGGAATGGGGGCGACAAAACCAACACGTTCATTAATGCATTAATTTACGCCACAATTGCATATAGGGATGTCCTTTCTCTGGTTTATGTTCATCCTGCAGCTTTATGTTTAAGTTACAGACCACCTGTTGTCTTTTATAAAACATATTTGTGTCTTTTCTTCATACAGGACAGTCAGATAACTCATCTGAAAAGTGCAAGTGTTCAAACAGTTTTATGGGCCGCGTCCACCCAAAGCTCATCAAGGCCGGTCCATTTATTCACGAGCCCACTAACTTCTGTCCTCGTGTGGAGATCACGTGAGTAACATGGCTGCATTTATAAACACCTTTTTACTCTAGATTGCTGAGTGATTTGTTTTTCTAACCAGGTTTTCTCTGTTTTCTGTCACAGGATCATAACAACAGCAAACAGGGAGAAATGTGTGGATCCAAACTCTCCAGCAGGAAAACTCATCCTGAAGAACAGGTGAGATCAGCTGCTTTTACAGTAAACTGATGCAGTACTGCTCTGAATCTTCAGGATTTTTTACTAACTGTGTCAAATGTTGTTTCAGTCAAAAGAAGAAGAGCGCAGCAGTGAGCATGACCACAGCCTCTGCTCAGACCAACACTCAGACCTCATCGAGCCTCCAGTCCACGACCAAACTGTGAGAACCGGACTGAGGAAGAGAAACACTGGGGTTTTATATTGAATAATGTTCGTCAACACTGCCTATGTCATGTCAATGTAATATATGTAGAAAAGTTTTAAATATTCTGTTCTTATTTGTGGATATAGAATAAATTATCTGTATATATTTTTGATAAGAAAACAATAAAATCCATCTGACTGGACTCTCTGAGCTCTGAGTTATGTTTTGCCTCATCCATTTTCTTTTTTTGGAAAATTGAGGGTTTGACACTTGGCACTATGTTCCTGTGGACAGGTTTCTTATCTTCACAGTATTTTATTCTGATATGATGTATTGCTAATTTCTATGTTGAAATTTTTGGTAAGTGACACTTTAAACTGTTATTATTGACCTGACCAATAATTCAATCAAAATGATCAAACAGGTATTTTTTTTCTAAATAAATGATACATTATTTGTTCATGAATACATAAACCTTCTGAGGTAGCTCTTCAGTTATGTTTTTCTTGAACCCTATTGCCACAATAGACATACATACTAAGGGCGATGGTTGAATTGTAGCTGTATCAATGAAGAGCCATTCCTTTAAGAGCAGTGGCTGAATCCTTACTAGTGTCACATATGACGAATGTTACCTCCACTCAAAACTAAGACTTAATAATAATACCTGAACAGCATCATAAGAGGCTTTTACTCACTCCAACCTGACAGAATCATTTCATCAGTACTTTGACTTCAGAGTCTCCTCCAGAGAGATATGTTTGTTATTATAAATAATATAGATATCAAGGGGGCATGAGGGACAAAGGAGTTTTTCAGTCTGTCTGTCTGTCTTGAAAAATAAAAAGGGAGAGTAAACCCCAGCATACAGGACATTTACCTCAGTCGATGCTGTAAAGCGTATAGCCCGCAGCATTATCAAGGACAAAACCCACCCAGCACAAAGACTCTTCTGTTTACTACCGTTTGGCAGACAGTACAGAAGTCTGCCAGCACACACAAAAAGAATGAGGAACAGTTACTGCCCACATGCAGTTCACTTACTAAACTCCTGACAGTACCACCAGACAATACAAGTGCAATAACCCACTTAACTGTCCAATATCATCTGTGATGAGCAATACCATGTGCAATACAGCATTCGGACACCATTATTAATCATCTGCAATACAGCAGTTTTCATACCTCATTTTTATCCCACCCACTTATCCTCCATCTCATTCATCCACACTCAGCTCCTACTGCATCGCTTGTTCACTTTGTAAATATCTCCTTTTTTACTTTGTAAATATTTTTCGCACTATGTAAATATTTCTCCTATACTTTTATTCATCATGATTATATATATACGTATACATTTCTTTTTTTTTGTACCCTTGTTTTATTGTATTCCTTAAGTACTATTGTGTGTTTGATCTGTACCCCTTTGAGTCGAGCGGTCCTCTCATCCAGGGCATTTCATTGCACTGTTGACCTTGTCTAACATGCACATGACAAATAAACAAATCTTGAATCTTGAATCTAAATATCACAGATATGTCGGTAAACTGTGTAAAAGCATAAGATGTTTGTTTACATTACGCTTCATAAGGGAATTTAAAAGCCTTATTAAATTTTGGTATGCACTTATTATGCACTAATAAAGTTCCTCTGCAGGTACTGGATCTAAAGTGGGAACACTGCTTTTAAGAGTAATAAATACTTGATGCTCAATTTTCATGAAGACTGACTTGATTGTGGAGATGAAACTTAAAGAAATGTCTGAGATTCTAAGAAACGGGATGTTAGGAGGAAAAAAGGAAGGGATCAACTGAAAGTGAAAGCGTGATGTTTCCCCCCTGGCAGAACTGTGTGGGCGTCCTTTGTGTATAAAAGAGAGTCCTCTCTTCAACAGGACACCATCTGCATCCAGACTGAACACAAAGACACACAGAAGACAGAAGAGTCTGATCCAGAACTTTCTACAGACACCATGAAGACAGCCGTCATCACCTTCCTCACCTGCCTGCTCGTCCTCTGTGTACGAGGTGAGAAAACTGACTGAGAGTCTTTCATAATGTGACACAATTAATCATTGATCAAGTATAGTTCTGTGTTTAGGGATGTCCTTTCTCTGGTTTATGTTCATCCTGCAGCTTTATGTTTAAGTTACAGACCACCTGTTGTCTTTTATATTGACTCCGAGGGTTTAATAACATTTGCTTTGAATTAATGAAAAACATATTTGTGTCTTTTCTTCATACAGGACAGTCAGATAACTCATCTGAAAAGTGCAAGTGTTCAAACAGTTTTATGGGCCGCGTCCACCCAAAGCTCATCAAGGCCGGTCCATTTATTCACGAGCCCACTAACTTCTGTCCTCGTGTGGAGATCACGTGAGTAACATGGCTGCATTTATAAACAACCTTTTTACTCTAGATCACTGAGTGGTTTGTTTTTCTAACCAGGTTTTCTCTGTTTTCTGTCACAGGATCATAACAACAGCAAACAGGGAGAAATGTGTGGATCCAAACTCTCCAGCAGGAAAACTCATCCTGAAGAACAGGTGAGATCAGCTGCTTTTACAGTAAACTGATGCAGTACTGCTCTAAATCTTCAGGATTTTGTACTAACTGTGTCAAATGTTGTTTCAGTCAAAAGAAGAAGAGCGCAGCAGTGAGCATGACCACAGCCTCTGCTCAGACCAACACTCAGACCTCATCGAGCCTCCAGTCCACGACCAAACTGTGAGAACCGGACTGAGGAAGAGAAACACTGGGGTTTTATATTGAATAATGTTCGTCAACACTGCCTATGTCATGTCAATGTAATATATGTAGAAAAGTTTTAAATACTCTGTCATTATTTGTGGATATAGAATAAATTATCTGTTTATACTTTTGATAAGAAAACAATAAAATCCATCTGACTGGACTCTCTAAGCTCTGAGTTATGTTTTGCCTCATCCATTTTCTTTATTTGGAAAATTGAGGGTGGCTGAATCCTTACTAGTGTCACATATGACGAATGTTACCTCCACTCAAAACTAAGACCTAATAATAATACCTGAACAGCATCAGAAGAGGCTTTTACTCACTCCAACCTGACAGAATCATTTCATCAGTACTTTGACTTCAGAGTCTCCTCCAGAGAGATATGTTTGTTATTATAAATAATATAGATATCAAGGGGGCATGAGGGACGAAGGAGTTTTTCAGTCTGCCTGTCTGTCTTGAAAAATAAAAAGGGAGAGTAAACCCCAGCATACAGGACATTTACCTCAGTCGATGCCAGCGTAAAGCCCGCAGCATTATCAAGGACAAAACCCACCCAGCACAAAGACTCTTCTGTTTGGCAGACAGTACAGTAGTCTGCCAGCACACACAAAAAGAATGAGGAACAGTTACTGCCTACATGCAGTTCACTTACTGAACTCCTGACAATACCACCAGACTGTACTCTGTGCAATAACCCACTTAATTGTGCAATATCATCTGTGATGAGCAATACCATGTGCAATACAGCATTCGGACACCATTATTAATCATCTGCAATACAGCAATTTTCATACCTCATTTTTATCCCACTGACTTATCCTCCATCTCATTCATCCACACTCAGCTCCTACTGCATCGCTTGTTCACTTTTTAAATATTTCTCACACTTTGTAAATATTTCTCCTATACTTTTATTCGTCTATACATATATATATATATGTGTGTGTGTGTGTGTGTGTGTGTGTGTCAGTACCCTTACTTTATTGTATTCCTTAAGTACTATTGTGTGTTTGATCTGTACCCCTTTGAGTCGAGCGGTCCTCTCATCCAGGGCATTTCATTGCACTGTTGACCTTGTCTAACATGCACATGACAAATAAACAAATCTTGAATCTTGAATCTAAATATCACAGATATGTCGGTAAACTGTGTAAAAGCTCCACCTTCATGTCTGTGAGTTCATCACTGTGTTATACTCTTCATTCAGGGAAGAGGCCACAGAAGCCACGTGTTTGTTCTCTGTGCTCTCTGTTTGCTGTTTTAAATTTATTTTAAACCACCTGTGTGCTGTGATAGCATCATGAATAAATAAAAAGGATGAAAAAAGGGATAATAATCATTTCCAGGATATTTTAATGTAAAATGTTTTAAGTTTGTTCTGATTCAACTATGAAAAGTAACACAATTAAAAACCAGGGTTCTTGTATTTCTGTACAATGTTGTTTTCGATATCACTATTACCCTCAAAGATTGAGTGAAAGAAAAAGAAGAAGAAGAAGAAGAAGAAAAAGAAGAAGAAGAAGAAGAACTTTTTTCATCCTCGAGGGGAAATTCAAAGATCTTGTGCAGGGTTAATACAGCTTTTATGGGCCAAGTCTATCAGCCTTTCTTTATTCTTAAATCTTTCCCATCATTTATTTTTGTGTTCTTCAGACACTGATCAAAAAATTCCCAATGCTTGGATTTTGTGAATGGATGCTATTTTTAGACTTTCATTCATCTATTGAAGCATTAGCTCTCAAAATGTTCATTAATGTACCTCTTACCTTTGTTGATATCGGGGTAATACTGCCACACAGTGGATGAAAAGTTCCCTCAAACATTGACAACTAAATTATTCTCAGCTGCTCAGTTAGCCTGTATGTTTATTTGAAGCCAAACACCAGGCGTGGAGCCAGCCTCCTACAGTAAAATGAGAAGCATATGGAAGAAACTGAGTGTATTCCAATGAAGGACAGACTTATAGAGGGCTCTAATTTTACATTTTTTCTCTCCTAAGAGTATCACTTTATTTTGTGGTATTACAACATAATTTTTGAGATCTATTTTTTTTATGTGGCCCGAAGACTCCATCATTCAGGTGAAAAAGGGTCTCATACAATCCTCTGACATGTTAACGGTTTATGCGTTACTCTTATTCTTCATGTGTTTCTAAAAGAAAGTGTTGCAAGTCATTTTTCCTCCAGCTGGAATGTGACTTGTGCCGTGTCTGCTTTGACCTTGCAGTTTGCTCGTTTCCTATTGAGTAAGTCAGATTACAGGAATTTCCCTTGTATCTTGGTGAGGAAGCGAAACTGAGGAAAGACCTTCAAGGTATGAAACCGAAACACTTTTAGACATTAAGCTGACACAGCGGAAAAAAAGGAAAAGAAAAAAAAGGGGAAAAAAGAGACATTTTGTAATTGTCCCTCTTCTTGTAAAATGGCTAAAAATATTTTTATTTCACCTTGTTCACTCTTTCTTGTAACATTTGCAAACCAGGTTCGAAACTTTTGACTAACTTAAAATTAAAAAGTATATTTAATCTTACTCTGGCTCTCTTTCATTGTAAACCTGTACCTCTGAATAATTTCAGTGATTGAAATGTGCTCTACAAATAAATCTGCCAGTAACACAGTCTTACCACATTAAAGAGCAAAAGTCTATTACATGTAAAAAAAAAACATCCAAAGTCTTCCATAAGCCATTTTCTGCAAATACAGTTTGCAGTCAGTGGTTGCTGAAAAGAAACACATAACAACATGATCCTGGAACAGAGGGGGCTTCTCTTGGCCTGAGGTAAGGTCTTGTGAAACAAATGTAAATATGACATTCTCTTTGGAAATCCTGAGAGACAGATGGATCCCAGGACAACTTTCACTTTCCAAACTTCAGATACTGATCTCCTGGTTTCACAAATGTTTACAGAGGGTTGTTGAAATAAGAGGTGATGCAAAGCAGTGGTAAACATGCTCCTGTCCCAACTGATTTTAAAACTCTTTGATGGCATCTAATTTATGTTTTTGAGTTTCAACATGTAGTCTTTGTATAATTTTTTAATCAAACAAATCCTTTAAATTCTTGCAGATTCATTTTTTTTATATTACACTGTGTCCAAACTCTTTAAAATGTGGGTTGTGTAAAAGTTTATGATTATAATCTAAAAACACTTTTCCACTTTTTCACTTTTCCTGGGGACTGAAAGGATAGTGGAGCTGAAACTTAAAGAAATGAGTGTGATTCTGAGAAACAGGATGTTAGGATGAAAAAAGGAAGGGATCGACTGAAAGTGAAAGTTTAAGGGAAAGAGTGATGTCTTTCCTCGCAGTCCTGTGTGGGCGTCCCTTGTGTATAAAACAGAGTCCTCTCTTCAACAGGACACCATCTGAGTCCAGACTGAACAGAGAAACACAGAAGACAGAAGAGTCTGATCCAGAACTTTCTACAGACACCATGAAGACAGCCGTCATCGCCTTCCTCACCTGCCTGCTAGTCCTCTGTGTACGAGGTGAGAAAACTGAATGAGAGTTTTTCATACTGTGACTTTATTACAGCAAATTATCTGTTTAATTATTATGTTAGACCAGATCAGATTAGATCAGATAGAAGTTTATTGATCCTTTTGGAAAGGTTCCCTAAAGGTAATTATGTTAATGTAGTGAACCTTTGAGTGTTTAAGTGTTACAAGACAGATCCTTTTCGTCATAAAACACAATTAACATATACAAGACACAATCATCGACAAAGTAAACTTTGACCACAGGGGGCGCCGAAACCAACACAAACTGAAAGTTTCTCAGTGGAGCTTTAAAGGCAAACTGATTAAATTTATGGTGACTTCTAAGGTACTGAAATATATGATAAAAGTTACATTCATTTATACATAAATAAATCATTGATCAAGTATAAAATATTATATGTTATACTGCAGTTCTGTAAAGTGCTGTCCGTTCACCCAGTGGATGTCCTTTCTCTGGTTCATGTTCATCCTGCAGCTTTATGTTTGAGTTACAGACCAGCTGTTGTGTTTTAAAATTGACTCAGAGGGTTTAATAACGTTTGCTTTGAATTAATGAAAAACACATTTGCGTCTTTTCTTTACACAGGACAGTCAGATAACTCATCTGAAAAGTGCAAGTGTTCAAACGGTTTTATGGGCCGCGTCCACTCAAAGCTCATCAAAGCTGGCCCATTCATACATGATGCCACTACCTTCTGTCCTCGTGTGGAAATCACGTAAGTAAAATGACTAAATTTACCCACTTCTTTTTACTCTGAATCATTGAGCTGTTTGTTTTTCTAACCAGGTTTTCTCTGTTATCTGTCACAGGATCATAACAACAGCAAACAGGGAGAAATGTGTGGATCCAAACTCTCCAGCAGGAAAACTCTTCCTGCAGAACAGGTGAGATCAGCTGCTTTTACAGTAAACTGATGCAGTACTGCTCTGAATCTTCAGGATTTTTTACTAACTGTGTCAAATGTTGTTTCAGTCAAAAGAAGAAGAGGGCAGCAGTGAGCATGACCACAGCCTCTGCTCAGACCAACACTCAGACCTCATCGAACCTCCAGACCACGACCAAACTGTGAAAGTCCGACCAAGAGAAACACTGAGATTTTATATCGAATAATGTTCGTCAACACTGCCTGTGTCATATCAATGTAATTTATGTTGAAAAGTTTTAAATACTCTGTTCTTATTTGTGGATATAAATTAAATTATCTGTATATACTTTTAATAATAAAACAATAAAACCCACCTGACTGGACTCTCTGAGCTCTGTTTTGCCTCGTGAATGTTCACATTTGAGTTTTAGTGATTTGTGTCAGGGTCTTGTTGAACTGTACTAGATTAGACTAAACTCAACTTTTTCATTTATGTTAAAATCTAAACTAGAACTGTCATGTTAGCAGATTTTCACCTCACAATTATCAATAGCAAAAATGATCAGAATAATGATGTAGGTGGGATATTTTTGGTAAACTTGAAAACGAAGCAACACAATCATTAAAATTGAGGAAAGGGAAAACATGGCAGAGCAACACTTCAATTCATAAACGCTATTAAATGCAAGTGACTCATACGTCATCACTCGTTTTCAATGATGTTCATATTTTTGGTAAATCCACATCACCGGCCCTTTTGACTGAAACTTCTCTGGAGAGTACATTGCCTCATAAAACAGTTGTCTATCATGCTTTTCTTGGGATTTTCAAGTTAACCTGTCTAGCATCAATACCTGCCAAAACACCACTCGTAGAAAATGGGTTTATGGTGAAACCCTTCTGCCAAAAACACACAAGAGACACTTCTGTCACACCTGTCACTTCAGTTTCTGCATTTGTCAAGAAATAATCAGCATGTTTCACACTGACTGACACCGACTACAGGTGTCAGTCAATCCACAAATTCGCCTCTGAATATTTCGTGATTTTGCGTTCCATATTCGCTTCGGCCCTGGTGTGTAAGGACCTTAATAAGAAACCAAGGAGGACCACAACATAACGCATGCTTTTCAAAAATAAACTATTTTTCTAAATAAAGGACATGTCAAACATCAGATAAGCATGAAATATTTACTTTTTTGAACAGCTGTTTGCGACCCACCCAGAACGTGTCCGCGACCCACTTTTGGGTCGGGACCCACCAGTTGAGAACCACTGCCCTAGATCATGAGAATTTCTATTTAATTGTTAAAGAGAGTAACTTTCAATCGGCTAATAAATAATTGTAAATGCCCATTTGTTCGCTTCACACATTTTTAATAATGTATTTTAATGACTGAGAGTTTATGTACAAATATGTTTTCAAGACGCCTCAGTTTCTGTTTCAAGGTCCGTCCCACTTCCTGTTGAAGTTTTTAGTTTCGTTTTCTCACGTTACGGCTCTCCACATCGTGTTTAAGTTGAGGTAAGTGAGACTTTAAAGAGTTTTAAAAGCCGACCGGCTCGATTCTTAAAAGTGTAAAACAGCCGTGAGCCAACAGTCGGTCCCCGGGTTCATTCGCTGATACTGTGTGACTCCATGAGAACCACATGTTCAGTATTATCATGCTAACAGTGCTAATACTAAAATAACACTCGACGATAACACACTTCCAACTACAGTCTCGGTTATTCAGCAAGTTCTCAGTGGAAATACACGGTTACAGTCTAAATCTGTAGACAGGTAAATCGCTGTGAATTTGTATTGACGTTTACAGAACAGCTGGTCGCAGGGCCGCGCCAGGGCCGCTGTTTACTCTGACAGAAACTCTATCAAAGAGGCGTAAAAGAAGGAATGAGGCGTCTTACCAATATTTGAATTGCGTTTCACGAGGCAGTAAAGTTATCCCACAGCCAAACATGGTTCACATTAAGCTGGGGTAAGAAGTGTGGAGGTATTTTTCTGATTCACGTACACAACTTTTCTAGTTTGATTGACCCACATGCAGCTCTGTTTTCAAGGACATTATAGGCCTACTTCCGGACGATGTCGTTCCCAGTCCGTTATAGGAAATCTGGATGATCGAGATGGATTATCTTATTATCTGAGTATGTTGATGAGAGAAAGGGATTGTCGGTGGAAGCTTCTTAACTGGACAGAGAGCGAGAGAGGTGTTGTCTCGTAGAGATGTATGTCAAGGCCCTCAGTTTACCATGGATCCATCTGTTTTTGAGTTAAAATTGTACACATGGCATAGACCAGTGGTTCTCAACTGGTGGGTCCGGACCCAAAAGTGGGTCGCGGACACGTTCTGGATGGGTTACGAACAGCTGGTCAAAAAAGTGATTATTTAATGCGGTTTTTATTAGATATTTGATATTTTCTGTATACGGAACTTCAGTAGTTGCCGTCCTCATGTTGTCCCCTTTATGTGCCCCAAAATGCACTTTACTCAATAAAACAAGTGGATTTATGTTAAAGATTAGAGTCTTTAAAGGTTTTTTTTTATTTAAAAAAAAAATGAATTAGTTTGGTTTGAATTCTATAAAAGTGGGTCACGACTTCAGGACCATGGGAAAATGTGGGTCCCAGAAGTTGAGAACCACTTGCATAGACTGTATATAGAATGGACGTCTTCTGCCTTGTCGCTGGGTGAACCCTCCATGAGAACAGCACCCTTTTGTGACTGGCTGGAGTATAGTTCATTAACCCCTCCTCCAGCAAAACAGAGACAGTTGTGGACAAACTTTAGAAAATAATTACACAGAATATACATCTAAATGTAGCCTAGATGACTGGTCTAAAATCAGAATACCACAGGTCTAAAAATGAGAGTTTAGACTAAATCTAATTCTGGGCTTTATCCATACTACACTCGTTATTGCTCACTGGCTATGATAATTATTTTGGTTATGTACTTGGAGATCAGTTATGCAGCTCACAGTTGCTTTTTGAAATAGTTATTGAATAAATTCCGTCTCAACATGTACAGAATCTAGATGTTTGAAATTAGGTCTAAAAAAAACTAGAAGTCCAACAGCTGTCTATTGCTCAGTGGGATACAGCCAATGAGTGTAAAAAAAGTAGCTTTGAACATTTGGGGATGCGCTCTAACTAGTAGGGGTGTGTCCAGATCCTTTAGACTGGGGTGTCCAAACCTCAGCACTGACACAGTTGGGGTGGCATGAAGAATGTGAGCCCACGTAACAATAAATACCATTTTGAATGAATCTGTGATGTAAAATGTATAGTTAATTTTACAATGTCTCTGACAAAAAAGTAGCCAAAGAAGAGGATGTTTACGTTTACACAGTGCTCAGTTGTTTTAAAGGGTCTTGCCCTTCACAAGTATCCTATGTTACAAAACAAACAAAAAAAAAAAAAACAATCAGAAGTAAATTTAAACAAAGTATTATCTAAATAAAAAATCCAGCCGTAGAAACTTATGAAACTGAACTGAAATGCAAAATGTTGTGTTGATATCAGTGTTTGTGGTGTGTTCAAATGCACCTGGTCCATCCAGAAAGCTTTTGTTTTCTTATCAGATGTACAGTAGATCATTTATTTCATAAACACACATAAGAACAGAGAGTTAAGAACTTTTCTACATATATTACACTAACATGACACAGAAAGTGTTGATGAACATTATTTGATAATGAATTGTCCCAGCCATTGTTTAAAATTGTGGGAGATTTTTCCTTTTTAATTACTTTTAAAAATATGCCGAACACAAAACTTTGCTATACTGATTTAGGATATTTAAAAAAAATTAAAGTTGTTATGAGCAAATTTCAATGTCTTTTTGTTCCTCCTCAGCTGAAACCTTAAAGTCTCTGTGACTGGATGTAACTCCAGCTGAGGTCTGCAGGGAGTTGTCTTCTGTAAACCAGAGTGAAGACACGGAGGAGGGGGCCCGCCCCGTAAAATCTCCAAGCTGGTGGACCATAAAGCCCTGAGGTCAGGTAAGGATCTCTGACACCCCATTCCCAACATAGTAATAACTTTTCAATATTAAGATGAATTAAAATGTATGAAATTATTACCTGTTTTCTCGAACATCGTTGCCATTTATAGCAAGCCTGACCAACGTATGGTAGGTTTACAAAACAAAAAGTGACACTTGGATCGTGTATCTCTACATTGTTTGTGCTTGAAAATGGCAGGCAAGTAAAGATTTTGGGGATTTACTTCATTCTGACACCAAGTTTGGCCGGGTTTCTTTCAAAGTCCATCCATATAGAGCAGCTTTAAAAAGCCTTGAGTGCCTGATATGTTTTACCACCATCAAACACAGAAACACTAACCCTACAACCCAACAAATCAGATTCAAAACCTAAAAAAATAAAATTGGTCATAAATATGACACAGGAAGAGAGAGAGAGAGAGAGACGCCATTTTTGTGTCTTTTACTTATGCAGGGCTGCTGTCTTAACACTTAATGTTTGTTAGAGTTATTATTTAATTCATATTTTATACTGTAAAAATTATTTAAGTAACAGAGGAAAATGGTTTTATTGATTTCCATCTGAAAAGGCAGTAGAAGCTGCTTACAATCCCTAATAACGTTGTGTGTGTGTTTCAGGATGAGGAGCAAAAGAAGACAGAAGTCTTCTGAGCCCAGCTGTTTGTCCATAAAGAGTGACAAGTCCAAAGAATTTGGTATAACCTTTCAAGGTGAAAATCCTGCTGAAGAAGGGTGAGTACTGAAAACTACAAGTCCTCCAGCAGTATCACAGCACCCTAAAGCAGATGAGGGTAGGGATATTCCCACATTCAATATTTCAATTCACACCAAGCGTGAGTAAAATCATTTGTGTGAGTAAATTACACGTTAACCTTAATGCAAAGACACATATTATACTCAGATGATGGAAATCAAGACTTGTGAATTCAACTTTCACCAAACTGAGACAAATGCTCAGGATCGCTAAAAAGAGCCAGAATCCCCATCACGTTGGTGGTCCCATCTATAACACAAAAATCAAATCCCATGACATCTGTTTTGCCTTCCTGTCTATTAAACCGTATTATTAATAAAACAGAAATATATACCTTGAATACATACGTGTAACAGCTCCACTGCTGATGAACTGCTTCCTGTCCCTAATTATGTTGTTTGTTTGTTTTAGGGTGACAAGTAAGAGAAGACAGAAGTCTCCTGTGCCCAGCTGTTTGTCCATAAAGAGTGACCAGTCCAAAGACTTTGGTATAACCTTTAATGGTGAAAATCCTGCCGATGGAGGGTGAGTACTGAAAACTAAAAGTTCTTTGTTTTTTCCAGCAGTAACTAGTGTCATGGTACCCTGAAGTAGATGACGGTGGGGATATTCCCACAGTCAATATTTCAGTTCACACCAAGCGTAAAATAATTAGCATGAGTAAATTACATGTAAAATCAATGCAAAGACGTGATTAGACACACATTCTACTCAGATGATGGGAATCACCCCTTGTGAATTCAACAAAATAAGCAGCTTTCACCAAACTGAGACAAATGCTCAGGATCGCTGAAAAGAGCCAGAATTCCCATCACGTTGGTGGTCCCATCTATAACGCAAAAATCAAATCCCATGACATCTATTTTGCCTTCCTGTCTATTAAACCGTATTATTAATAAAACAGAAATATATACCTTGAATACATACGTGTGCAGCTCCACTGCTGCTTCACTGCTTACTGTCCCTTATAATGTTGTTTGTTTGTTTTAGGGTGACAAGTAAGAGAAGACAGAAGTCTCCTGGGCCCAGCTGTTTGTCCATAAAGAGTGACCAGTCCAAAGACTTTGGTATAACCTTTCATGGTGAAAATCCTGCCGATGGAGGGTGAGGATTAAAAAATCTTTAACTTCTTATTATACTGTATGTATCAAAGTTTTTTACAAACCTAGGACAACTGTTGACATACTGTTAAAGGCAAAATGAGATGAATTTTAATATAACCTGGAAGTAATTATAATAATACGTTGAGTTATTTGCTGGAGTTTTAACTATAGTAGCGGTGACAGTGCATGAGCATGACAAAGAAATATGCTGCATGCAGGGTGAAGCATGACTCAGCATCTTCATGTACATTCATGAGGACATGTGGACTTGTTTAAAGGTTCCTGGGGGAGCAACGGTTGTAAAATCACTTCTCATTATTCAGTTGTCCTATACCTGTGCTCTCTCTTCACTCTCTATGTCGATCAACCATGATATGAATAGATATGAATAGATATGAATGAAGTAAGATGGCTCACTTGCTATTTTCAGGCACACTGAAAGTTCTATTCAGTAATTTTTCCATATGTTGGATTCACATATGCTGGTCTTGTTGGGTCATGTGTTCATGTTTTTAACCCTTTCATACATTTGCTTATTTTTCACACATATGTGGATCAGTTGTAATGTGAGTATGCGGTTGTAAACCTTTGTACACATTTACAAATTGTTTTGCTACATTTAATTGCTTCATAACACAGAAGCAAAACCCAGGCTTTTCTCGCACTCACTGTGACATTTATAATGTTGTTTGTTTGTTTGATTCAGGATGAGGAGCAAGAGAAGACAGAAGTCTCCTGGGCCCAGCTGTTTGTCCACTAAGAGTGACCAGTCCAAAGGATCTGGTTTAAACTTTCAAGGGGAAAATCCTGCTGATGGACGGTGAGGATTAAAAAAACTTTACCATTTCATTATATGTGTCAAAGTTTTTTACAAACACAATCAGACCCTTTCCTTGTCTCAGCTATCTTGATAAAATCCATCAAAAGATACAAACCATGGTCCGAGTGCAAACAGCAGTAACCCAAAGTGGTGTAAGTCTCAAGTCTTCACCCCAGAGTTGAGTTTCAGGCTGAGGTCACTGAAGCTGTAGAGGACAAGTCTCTGTAACCCGTTCATTACTTAAGGTAGTTTGAGAATTTACAGTTATTCACGCTCCTATTTTATGTCAGATTTGGGTTGAAATTAGTTGAGTTGAGTGAAATTAGATGGTTCCTGTCAGCGAGGAATTTATTCATTTTGGGGCCTTCATATATAGTTGACCTTAATGGTTTATAAGATGCATGCATTCATTTTAAAAAAAAATAATATATAAATAAAATAGCATAGGGATACCAGTGAAGGTTACATTAAATAAATCCAAAGACATAAACAGACATGTTTTAAATCAGCTACTAGTAAGAATTTTGGGCTTTGTATTTGGGGTGAGTTAACTGTTGTGAAACCTCAGCCTTGCCTCTAAAAAGTAAGTATTTTGTCTGTCAGTTTTGACTGCGACAGTCTTGTTGAAATAGTTTCTTGTTTTTCTCTACTTTGATTAATCTGCTCTTCAGAATCAAGCGGAAGAGATCTGGGTCATCTGGACCTAGCTGTGTGTCCTTACAGAGTGACCAATCCAAAGAATTTGGTATTAACTTTGAAGCTGGACGTCCTGCTGATGGAAGGTGAGAATTAAAGACTAATTTTTATCATGCCCTGCTCCAGGAAAATACTCCTTTGACTTGGCCTTTATGACTTGAGACTTGACTTGGACTTGACTCAGATGACTCAAAAGGACTACTTTTTTAGTTTACATAATTTCATGAGAACTAATCTAACCTGGCAGAGGATGACATGTCTTGACTCTAGTTGCAGATTTGAGGACTTGAGAGTTACTTGATGAACACTGATAAAAGACTTGACTTAAACTTGACACATATGACTCGAAAGGACTTTACTTTTTAATTTAAACACTTGCATTTTATTAAGATTATGTTAGAAATTTGTTTTATTTTGAAACATGATCAGGCGCTGCACAAACTGACAGTGGTCTGCAGATCAACACAGGAGCTGCAGTCATGGAGGTGGCTAGATGTACTAAATATAATTTAAAAAATATATACTTCATATATACTTCATTTTCTTGTACAGAGGGCATCAAGATGTGAAATTTGTGGAACAACACCAAATATTTTAACCCTGGTCTTTAATGAAAACCTATAGACAGTGTAGTTTATTCCAATATCCAATCTGAGGATTTAGAGGAAGCATTGAAGTAAAAAAATAATCTGAGGTGATACCTCATCCCTGAACAGGCATTTTTCTGTGAGTTTGGGCTGTGACAGACTTGTTGAAATGGGTTCTTGTTCTGTTTACTTTCATTAATCTGCTCTTTGTGTCAGAATTAAGCGGAAGAGATCGGAGTCAACTGGACCGAGCTGTCTGTCAATGCAGAGTGACCAATCCAAAGAATTTGGTATTAACTTTGAAGCCGGTCGTCCTGCTGATGAGAGGTGAGATTTAAAGACTCATTTTTATCCTACCACTCTCCTAGGAAAATACTCATGTCCAACCCCGGATCTCTCAGATTGGAGATGAAAAGTATTTGATCGAGTTGTTCTTTGACGTGTGTGTGTGTGTTGTGCAAAGGCATTAAAAAAATCAAAACGTATAACTTTTTGATTGGTTTTCATCTTTAAAAATGTATGGCTGAATTAAGTAATTACTGTGTTGTTGTCCTTGTATGCCTGTATGCTAGCAAGGTAGTGAGAATGTTTGTGTGCCTTATATACCAATATAAAATATCATCAGTCCACTATTAATTTTTGGCAATTCCCTGCTTCTCAAACTTTTTAAGAGCTGTGTAAGGGGAAGGGATTCGCACATGTTCTGCCTTAAAGAAAGACAAGGAGGGAACACTATGCGTTGTGAAAGACAAAATGAGTGCCACACATTAGCTGGGTGTTTGATTGTCATATTTTTATGATTGTGGGGAGCCATTATCCCAATTAGGGCCTGATTACCAAATTGATGAAAGGACTTGTGATTCTTATAATTCCTAAGATTAGCCTTACGATTATTTTATGTGTTTCCTTGGATATTTAAGGCTCTAAACATGCCCAGAAACTCATGAAACCTTGCTTATATGCCAGGTCCAGCAAAAAAAAAAATAATACTTTGAAAGTTTTACTAGTTTTAGGGACCTTTTCGGGGCTTCTTAAAACATTATCTCTCCCCAAAAGGCCTCTCCAATCAACAATCAAAGTGAGGTTTTTCAGGCAGAGGAGAGAAAAGTTATTAAAGCTTGAGTTGTCTTGCTCACGATGGGGTTTTTTTTGTTCTTTTTTCCCTTTAATGCAGATGCTCTGACGTAATGTTAAACTGTTGTACTTTTCTGTACTGTCTGCAGAAATCCAATAAAGAAAATGGGGGAAAAAAAACTTGAGTTGTTGTCAAACGGTGAGGCCACAACCAGTCCTCAAGGTTAGGTGTTCTGCTGTAAAACAGGAAGAGGTTCTTAAGTGCCATCCTGGTCTGAACATTGATATAGTAAAATTTTATCTCAGTCCTAGTGCCCCCATGTGGCAACAAGAAATATTGCCAAGGTATCCTTAGGATGTACATCTTGTAAAATGTAGATCTTGATTGTAGTTTTTGTCTGAGGGCAAAATCAGCACCATGCAGTGAAGTTCAATCCTAGAAACATCCTAGAAAAACAGTCAGAAAAACAAACCACAGAGTTAAAGTTGTGCTCATTATTTTGTTGTCAGTATTCATGTCAAACATTATTTTGGTCCTCCTCATCTTATTGAACTCCTAAGTCTGCCGTTCTTCAGGTCCAATCAGCGCAAACATGATCAGCAGAGAGTCAGAGATTGATGATGTTGGCAAAGTAACGCTTTTAAACCACCGTCTTGCATAGCCTTTGTTGTTATGTCAGTAAACTGTGTCATTTCCACAGTGTTCAGCAGAGTCCAGAGGTTCTTTGTGATCAGTCAGACCAGCTGCATCAAACAGACCTGGACTCCATATTTGAGGTGAGTACAACGTAATTCATGATGAACTAAATGAACTAGGGTTTTGATCATTTTGTTTTCATTAGATGACCTTTGAAATGGCTGATGAATCGCATGTTGTGTTTTCTGTTTTTGCTCCAGGCGCTGGAGGAGGACATCGTTACTTTTGCGAAGAAGGAGCTGAAGAGAGTCCGGAGGGTTCTGAGTCCGAATGACCCAGCATGCTCAAAGAATGAGAGTGAGGATGAGGAGCTTTTGGATGGTGAGGATGAAGAGCAGAGAAAGAGCCGAGATGCTTTTCTGAAGATCGCTCTGCACTTCCTGAAAAGAAGAAAGCAGGAGGACCTGGTTGACTGTCTCCAGAGCAGTAAGAGGATTTTAAGAGATTTAATATGATCTGGCATAGAAATAGAAATTGTTGTATGTTTTATATTTATTAAGACAATATCTTAATAGTTATGAATGAGATTTTCAGTAAATTTTGCCACATCTCACCTATTTCATTAATATCTTAAAATGTCCCTCTCTCTCAGCTACCTTTTGTGCTTTTTAATCAACCTTGGGAAGATCTCGTATATTAAACCCTCTGACGGATGCAAAAAGTATGCTTTTTGCGAGGACAGAGCTGAATAGACACATATTTCAGATTTGAGATGATCAGTTGTTGTTGTTCTGTGTCTCTGCTGTGCTCAACACCTTTTAGCCAGTTGGTTCGCATTGAAATATGCTTTAAGCTTAAAACACACTGACCCCATTCCTAATGCTTACAGTCATTCTCAAAGTAATAGGGATATTCTGGCATAAAATTAAGTTAGGGTCAAACACACTGTAAAACCAAGTTAGACACCCCCTCGAAAGATGAATGTTGCCGACCGCTTGCTTCTCTAGTTATACCAACGACCGCACGATAGCAATACAGAAGGCCACATGCTCAACCAAACGCCATTCTATAGCCACAAATGATGCTCAGAACAGCACCTAACTTCATCAACAGTACATAAAGGATCCTAGCCATAGCACTAGCCACCAAACATCTTTTTAACTTTGCCTGATTTCTTTAGCAGAGAGACTAAACACAACTCACCTACTCTCTTCCAGCAGCTGCTTGTTTGTACAGAGACCTCGGGCGAGTCCATGCAGCAGGACTGCAGCGGGGTGGTGCAACTCAAGGAAGAACATTTATGATCATTTCTTTATCATTTCATTGAAGTAATAATCATCATATTAATCATTTTGCACTGCAGACGCGGTAGTTCTTCTGCCTTAGCGTCTCAGTCTGATTACATTTCCACGAGGAAATGATCATAAATGTTCTTCCTTGAGCTGCGTCACCCCACTGTAGTCGATGGACTTGCCAGGAGGTCTCTGTACAAACAAGCAGCTGCTGGAAGAAACATGGTAAGTTGTGTTTAGTCTAAAGAAATCAGACAAAGCTAAGAGATGTTAAGTGGCTAGTACTATAACCCTATATGTACTGTTGATGAAGTTAGGTGCTGTCCTGAGCATTATTTGTAGCTATAGAGTGGCGTTTTGGTTGAGCGCGTAGCTCTGTGTATTGCTATCGTGCGGTCGTTGCTAAAGTTGGTATAACTAGAAAAGCAAGCGGCCGTCAACATTCATCTCTCGACGGTTTGTCTAACTTGGTGTTAGGGTGTTTTTGAACCTAACTTAATTTTATGCCAGAATATCCCTTTAATTGCTGGAAGGACTCCAACTTTGCTATAAAACCATATTAAGAGGTACAAAAATGTGTCGTTTTACTGGGATCTATTTTCTTGAATGTTTGCACAACACCATATTTTACTCCATTGGAAATCAGATCATAATTATTTCTTTTCCTGATAGTTTCCATATATGTTATTTTCAAAAATATGAAAAATAAGGGAGGAGCTGAGGGTTAGTGTTCCTTTCCAACACATTTCAATTACATTGTGATTTTAAAGGATAAAAGAATTTCATACAAAAAAAGATTTACTGCAAGATCCGCTTACAGTTTTCATCTGTTGCCTTTTTTATCCAGGAACTTATGATGCAGTGTGCCGACGTAAACTCAAGTCTAACCTTAAGGAGAAGTACCAGTGTGTGTTTGAGGGGATTGCAAACGCGGGAAACCCGGCCCCTCTGAATCAGATCTACACAGAGCTCTACATAGCAGAAGGAGAGACAGAGGTCAATGATGAACACGAGGTCAGACAGATTGAAAAAGCATCCTGGAAACTCCATCGACTCGAAACAACCATCAAACAAGAAGACATATTTAAAGTCTCACCAGGAAGAGAAGTTCCGATCAGAACAGTGATGACCAAGGGAGTGGCTGGCATTGGGAAAACAGTCTTGACACAGAAGTTCACACTGGACTGGGCTGAAGACAAGGCCAACCACGATATTCAGTTCACTTTTCCATTCACTTTCCGAGAGCTGAACATGCTGAAAGAGAGAAGTTTCAGCCTAGTGGAACTTGTTCATTACTTCTTCGCTGACACCAAAGAAGCGGGAATCTGCAGGTTCGAGGAGTTCCAGGTTTTGTTCATCTTTGACGGACTGGATGAGTGCCGACTTCATCTGGACTTCAACAACAGTGAGATCCTGAAAGATGTCACAAAGTCCACCTCAGTGGATGTTCTGCTGACAAACCTCATCAGGGGGACGCTGCTCCCCTCAGCTCGCGTATGGATAACCACAAGACCTGCAGCAGCCAATCAGATCCCTTCTCAGTGTGTTGACATGGTGACAGAAGTCAGAGGGTTTAGTGATCCTCAGAAGGAGGAGTACTTCAGGAAGAGATTCAAAGACAAGAAGCAGGCCAACAAAATCATCTCCCATGTCAAGAAATCACAGAGCCTCCACATCATGTGCCACATCCCGGTCTTCTGCTGGATCACAGCAAGAGTTCTGGAGCACGAGATGAAGATCAAGAAGAGAGAGCTACCCAAGACCCTGACTGAGATGTACATCCACTTCCTGGTGGTTCAGACCAAGCTGAAGAGCATCAAGTATGATGGAGAAACTAACGGGAGTCCAGAGAACAGTGAGATGATTAAGTCTCTGGGGAAACTGGCTTTTGAGCAGCTGCAGAAAAGAAACCTGATCTTCTATGAGTCCGACCTGACAGAGTGCGGCATCGATATCACAGCAGCCTCAGTGTACTCAGGAGTGTTCACACAGGTCTTTATTGAGGAGAGGGGACTGTACCAGGACAAGGTGTTCTGCTTCGTGCATCTCAGCGTTCAGGAGTTTCTGGCTGCTCTTCATGTCCATCTGACCTTCATCAACTCTGGAGTCAATCTGATGTCAAAAGAAAAAACAACGACCCTGATGCTAAAAACAAGAAAAACCAAAACTGCGGAGAGTCATCTCTATCAGAGTGCCTTGGACAAGGCCTTACAAAGTCCAAATGGACACCTGGACTTGTTCCTCCGATTCCTCCTTGGCCTTTCACTTGAGACCAATCAGGAGCGTATGCAAGGTCTGCTGTCTCACACAGAAAGTTCAGAGCCGACGCATTCAGAAGATCGCTCACAGACTCGAACAGAAACCATCCAGTACATCAAGACCAAAATGAACGATAATCTGTCTGCAGAGAAAAGCATCAATCTGTTCCACTGTCTGAATGAACTGAATGATTGCTCTCTGGTGGAGGATATCCAGTGGTCGCTGACATACGGAGGTCTCTCCCCTGAGAAATTGTCCCCTGCTCAGTGGTCGGCTCTGGTCTTCATTTTACTGTCATCAGAAAATGATCTGGACGTGTTTGACCTGAAGGACTACTCTAAATCAGAGAATGCTCTACTGAGGATGCTGCCTGTGATTAAAGCCTCAAATAAAGCCCTGTACGTGTACACAAAACTGTCCAGATTAAAAAAAAGTTCTTCTTAAAGGGATATTCCGGCGTAAAATTAATTTATGGTCAAACACACTGTAACACCAAGTTAGACACCCCGTTGAGATTAATGTTGCCGTTCGCTTGCTTCTCTAGTCATACCAACTTTAGTAACGACCGCATGATAGCAATACACGGTGGTCCCAGGAGCCACACACTCAACCAAAACGCCACTTTGTAGCCACAAATAATGCTTAGAACAGCACCTAACTTCATTAACAGTACATATAGGGTCCCAGCCACCAAACATCTTTTTAACTTTGCCTAATTTCTTTAATAAAGAGACTAAACACAACTCAACTACTCCCTTCCAGCAGCCGCTTGTTTGTAGCAAGACCTCGGCCAGTCCATTATGGACTGCTGCTGGTGACGCAGCTCAAGGAAGAACATTTATGATCATTTCTTTATCATTTTCTTGAAATAATAATCATCCTATTAATTATTTTGCACTGCAGACGAGGTAGTTCTTCTGCCTTAGCGTCTCAGTCTGATTGCATTTCCATTAAGAAATGATCATAATGTTCTTCCTTGAGCTGCACCACCCCACTGTTGTCCATAATGGACTCACCGGTCATTACTAAAGTTGGTATAACTAAAGAAGCAAGCGGTCCGCAACATTGATCTCTCGACGGGGGTGTCTAACTCAGTGTTACGGTGTGTTTGACCCTAAATTAATTTTACGCCGGAATATCCCTTTAGTCTAAAAGAAAATGCTAATCCTTATAATGGCTTTTTTTTTCATTTAATTCAGGGCTAGCTACTGTAACCTCTCAGAGAGAGGTTGTGAAGCTCTGTCATCAGCCCTAAGCTCCCCATCCTGTCGTCTGACAGAGCTGGATCTGAGCTACAATGACCTAAAGGATCCTGGGATAAAGCTGCTGTGCGAGGCACTGAAGAGTCAACACTGTAGATTGGAAACTCTCAAGTCAGTACAAAGCAGTGTTAAAAGAATGAGCCTCTAGTATGAAACTATTTCATCAACTTGTTTAATTTTTCATGATTCTATTTCAGGATGACTTGCTGTAAGCTCTCAGAGAAAGGCTGCGAAGCTCTGTCCTCAGTCCTCAGCTCCCAGTCCTGCAGTCTGAAGGTCCTGGACATAAGCAACAACGACCTGGGAGATTCAGGAGTGAAACTCCTGTCTGATGGACTTCAGACTCAGAACTGCAGACTGGAAACCCTCAGGTTAGTGTGCAACCGATTGGAAATGATGATCACGTGAACAGTCATTTCCTGTATTAGGACTTTTGATTCCAGCCTGCAGCTCCTTTACTGCACATCAGTGTCAAATACTTCCTTTAGAAGTCAAAACGGGGGGTCTACATAAGGGGCTGTTTTTGGGCCACAGATGGTGGACCACCTCAGAGTAGCTGATTGATATGGACTGTGTGTGTGTGTGTGTGTGTGTGTGTAGTCTGTCAGGCTGTTTGATAACAGAGGAAGGCTGTACATCTCTGGCCTCAGCTCTTCGCTCCTCCTGTTTGCAAGAGCTGGACCTGAGCTTCAACTATCCTGGAGAAACAGGGGAAGCACTGCTGACTGCTCAGCTGGAGGATTCAGACTGCAAGCTGGAGACACTGAGGTACAGAGAGCTCATCCATCAATGTTATTCCACTCTCTCTTTGACACTGTCCAGTGAAATATAGCATTTATACATGCAAACAGATGTCATGAGAAGGATCTGTAATCACAGCGTTTCTTTCTTCTTCCAGGCTGGACCATGGTGGACCACACAGAATGAGACCTGGTCTGACGAAGTGTGAGTGTGTTTTCAAGGTTTAGTTTGTTTTGTGTGGTGTGGATTTAGGTTTTTGAGAATTACAGTTGATCTCAAATCAATGAACAGCATAAAGGAGTCCAACTAAAGTATTGGTTTCATTTAATTTTTGCTATTTTTTACCGTTAAAATTGTAGTTGTGAGCTTTTAGCTGAATGGGATCAGTTAGGATCAGCCAGAACAGTTTAAGTCAGCTGGAGGCTCACAGCTTCTCTGTGCAGCAGTTTCTTTAGAGATACTTGGTGTTGTTGTTTTTTTTCTCTGTTAATCTCAGCGCAACACATTTAGACTGAAATGGAGAGTGGTCAAACATTTTCAGAGCTTGGTATTTTAAACTTAAAATGATTTTTTTTTCAAATTGAAGTTTTTAATTCTCAAGAAAATGTCTTTGTGTTGATCTTCACTCTCTCCATCAGATGCCTGCGAGCTGGAAGTGGACATAAATACAGTCCAGAGAAACCTTGTACTGTCAGACAACAACAAAACTGTGGCGTGTGTGAAGGAGATTCAGTCATATCCTGATCATCCAGACAGATTTGATGTCTATGCTCAGCTGCTGTGTAGGACTGGTCTGACTGACCGCTGTTACTGGGAGGTGGAGTGGAATGAGAGAGTTTCTGTATCATTGAGCTATAATAGAATCGGACGGAAAGGAAAAGGTGATGAAATTGAATTTGGGGGGAATGATCACTCCTGGCGCCTTGAATGCTGTGATGTTAGAGGTTACTCTATCTGGCACAATGATAAGGAAACAAAAATCTCCTCCTCCTTTGTCACTAAGAGAGTAGCAGTGTATGTAGACTATCTTGCTGGCACTCTGTCTTTCTACAGAGTCTCCTCTGACTCAAGGGGCCGCATCCACACCTTCAACACTACGTTCACTGAACCTCTTTACCCTGGGTTTAGGCTCTGGGTTGATTCCACGCTGTCTCTGTGTTCTCCATAGGTTAGAATACCACTGCTGACTAAAGAATCAGCTAAATCATCTATCATCAGCTATTTAAGTGGAAATGCTGAGTCAGCATTTCCTCTTCTTGAAATGAAGGTCTTTATTTTTCTTTCACCAGTCTTTGGCCCTTTTAAACTCTTTACCAGTTTGTGCTATTTCAATTCAAACTTTATACTATTCGACTCCCTCGGGACTAGTGTGCCTGTATTTTTCACTTTTTTACCCTTAATACTTTTGCAAAATTTTATTTTTCCTGCAAAAATTTTTGCCACAGAAATCAATGTGTAAATTTTGCAATTTCGCCTAAAACTCTTCCACTTTCTCACCCTTTTAGAAGATCCTACTTCCTACTACATGTGTTGTTTCACTATTTATGATATCTCCTGTAGGTTTTTCTTAATCGCATTAGAAGAACTTTAAATAAAAAAAAACATTGGTCATTTAATCCCTTGATCACTAACAGCTGTTTAGAATGCTTTGATTAACAAGACATGGTCACTTACACACAAACACACACACTGACCATGTGTGTGCGTGAGTCTTTTTCTGTGTATGAGAGCTACACCTGCATTTCTATGATGTTACTATGGTACAGGTTTTTTGAAATGTTAACATACTTAAAATTTCTTCCTTTTCTACCTCAGCTCTTCAATAGGTTCTATATTCATACAACTTCTCTAACCAGCTTCAGCTCTTTAACACTCTCTACATTCATATGTAGGGCAGAAACTGAAGCGCACCACTAGTTAATGCTGTTACCTCATTAAAAGTTACCATGGTTAGATACTGCAGACTGCACATTTAATGGAGACATTGTTATACATTCATGTTTAGGCATTTGTCTTTGTAAAGCACTTAAAGTGATAAGCATTTCTGTTTATTCACTCTTTAAAAAAAAATAAAGTTGGGTCTTCACTACAATTACGACCTCTGGCTTCCCATCCTTCCTTGCATGACACACTGCACCCCAAACACCAAGAAAAACACAATGACGAGCTATACAGGGTTTGTTGAGCTCTTCAAGAATTTCTGTATTTATGGAGCAGCTTTGATATGAACAAAGTTGTAAATTCACTTGACTATGCACTACCCATACCAGGGGGCCAGATCATGGCTTCAGTGGAGGACTTCAGCTGAACAGATAAATTCAAAAGAGGTCAGATTTCCAGAAGTTAACTTTGCATTGTTGAGTCTTATTCAACAACACAGGAACTCCAACTCTTCTATTGTGCGCACACAGTCATTGTATAGATCAAGTGCTGCTGTTGTGTTTTTTTCTTTATTTTATATGGCGATGTGGACAATATTTTACCATCAGGTATGGAACACAATGGATAACATGATTTCCTGCATTTTATGTCTGTGGTAGGAGAGAGTGGGGTAAGTTAAGCCAAAGGGTAAGTTGAACCACCCCCTGTTGCCTGTAAATGGTAAAAGAAATTGATCATGTGACCAAATAATTAGGAGATGGGCATCCATTCATGGAGTCTGTGAAGGTTAGAAGCACATGGGTAAAGGGGTTAGACATTTATTTCCAAAAAACAATTTTTCACTCTTGGAAGCGAGTTTAGTCTGTCATGAGTTTTAATAGAATTGTGTTCAAAACAAAAAAAGATCATTTTAAATTTGTTTTATACACCAGTTGTGGTATCTATGAGCTACAACATGAGGTCAAAAACCTAGCATAAAGGTCCACCATTTTAGCTTAGAGGACGAATAAAGTCATCATAGTAGTTCTGGAGTAAGTTGAACCAGTGGCTCAGTGGCTTACTTTTTCTTTTCAAAAATACAGCTGTGAATGTTCTGAATCACTTAAAGGCATTCTCATGTTAAAAAGGTTTTTTTTTTTACAAAACAGCTTTTAGCAGTTATATGCAATAACTAGAAAAGCACTCGGAGAGCGCAGACCTCCGCCAAGCAGCTCATGTCTCCCCTTATATTGTGATTCACACCAAAACTTTTACTGTTACGTGTCTTTTATTAACTTTTATTTGTGTTTAAACTGGTATGTTCACTGTTCATAATGTTCCTAAAACAAGAAATGCCCTGACCTGGATTCGAACCCAGGACCTTCATGCTGTGAGGGGACAGTGCCGCCCATCTACACCACTGTGCCGCCCATTGGTTATCTTTCAGCATTCAACATTGAAAATTCCAACGACACCCTTATTTTTGTGTGCTCTGGATCACAGTATCCAGAATTTTGTCCGGATCAGGATCAACCTTTGACACCTCATAAAACTCATTGAGATCCTTTTGTGTAATTTTTTACTAAAGACTCTGGCCATTTTTATAGAGTTAAATGCAAAAATTCCCAAATTTGCCCTATCTCACAATGATAAAGAATCCTTCAAAAAATTCCTGGATCCAGAAGGCGATCCGGATCACCACCAAAATTTAATGGGATCCTCCTGGGGCTGAGACGCACCTCTGGTGAAAATTTCAGGTCAATCCGTCTGTAACTTTCTCCGTAAAGTTGCTAACAGACAAACAAACAAACAAACCAATGCTACCAAAAACATAACTTCCTTGGCGGAGGTAATTACATTTTCTGGAATATTGAGCCCTGCAGTGTGCAAGCCATTTATCATTGGTCAGTGTTGTAAAATCATAAGGACAGGTTGAAGTTTGTGCTCAACATCAGGACTGTTTTATGCATCTTACAGTCCATGGAGTTCATTAGGCTATGTGGTGGGTCCACAGACTGCATTCTGTGGGTGAGGTAGGTTTGAGGGGCCCATGTTTTGTTCCCGCCCTTCTCGCTTACTGATCTGTGCACACAGTCCTGGTCCATGGAGCCCCACCCTGTGTTGCAAACACAGAAGATGTAGGTCTACATGTGTGCAGTCTGCATGTGATCTGGAGTATTTCAGGAGGAGTCTATTTACATGATACACCCCCCCGCCTTCACTTTTCGCTGCCCGTGCCAAACTATGTGAAAGTCGATCCCCGGCCTGCATGTTGTTGAACCCGGACTCCATCATGGAGAGGAGACCAAGCAGAGATTTGATCGAGGATCTGGGCTAAAAACACAATAATTAACACTTTTCTCTGCAGGATCTCGTCCTTGTTTTGGACTGGGTGTCCTCACATGTCGCTCCCGGTAGTCCTGCCCGGATCTTGCTGTCCGGTTACCGGAGCCTCACAGCTGGCGGAGCCGTGCTTCAGAAACAGACCCCGCGGCTTCTCCGCCTCGTCCCGTCTCACAAGCAACGGCTCTCGCCTGCTGCTGCCCGGGCGGCCGCTGTTGTCTCTGGGCTTGCTGCAGCTGCTGCTCGGTGGCTCCATGGTGGCTCTGTCCTTCGGGGCTCTGTCCCTCAGTAGCTCCCCACCCGTCCGGAGCTCTTGTCCGTTCTGGGCCGGGTCCTCGGTGAGTTGTAGGAGGGTGTCAGAGCTCGGGTGTGTTCTTGTGAATCAAATTTGAACCTTTAAAAGTGTCGATAAACTGAGTTTTATCACACAGTATTGGTGCAAATATCTGTTTTAATCAGTATTTTCCTTCAAATACGGATATGACGACAGAAAAGAGGCAGCTGTTTATCTCTAAAACAGATGGGCTGCAGTCACTGTGTCTGGTTTCCATTAACTCTATTAATACTGTGTGTGTGTGTGTGTGTGTGTGTGTGTGTGTGTGTGTGTGTGTGTGTGTGTGTGTGTGTGTGTGTGTGTGTGTGTGTGTGTGTGTGTTCTGCAGAAAAGATGTCATGTTTTTACTTATAGACTTCACACTGCCCTCACTTTATTTTGACCCTGATGTCATTAGTTCACTGTTTATTGATAAGTGTTGTCTGGCCTTTTATGCTCTATGAAAAGTTAGATTTTTTTATTATTAATATTATTTATTATTTTTATGTATTTATGGAACAGACTGAAACTTACATTGATGACTCTATGTGGTATTAAAAAGCTAATCCTCAGCAACAAGAATGACAATTTTGACTTCATTGAGTTTTAAATAATAGGGGAGAGTGGGGTAAGATGAGCCATTTTTCATATTTTGGATCACTCCATCAAGGCAATCATAGTTTTGTCTCTAACTAGTGTTTCTGCATATATTTCACGATGTTGTGCATCCCTGCAAACAAGCAGAATGAGTGTAAACATAGCTGTCTTGATAATATAGCATGCCAAAAAAAGTGGTCTCCTATGGTCAACTTACCCCGTGTATGGGGTAAGTTGACCATAGGAGCCATATCCCTACTACCCCCTCACTCTCCACCCCAGCCGCCCCTCACCTTCTCTCTCCCTAAATAACAGTCACTTCTTCACATTCATGTTTATTTTTATCCAGTATACACATACAGGTGACACAGTAATATGGAGATTAATGCTACTCACATCACTTGTCAGTGTTTTTAATGTAATGTTTATAACGTATGTGACTGTTTTGGTGTGATCCATCAGGTACAGTCATGCTAATTTAGATATTTCATGTAGCAGTGGACACAGGTTCGAAAAATCCCCCTTTGAAATCCGAGTCTCTTTTTTGTCTGTTTTGTATAAAACAGTAGTACCTGTGTTAACATTTTCCGTGTATTTGTATTTGTTTGTGTGTCTTAATAGTGGATGTGTGTATCTGTGTGTTTGTTTCCAGGTGATCCTGTCAGGTGTGGTGGGACTCACCACCTGGAGAAAGCCCATGCTGCTTCTGGTAAGAAATGAAAAACTCATCCATGGTGCTGTGATTCTATTTCACTGAAACCAAACACCTTATCAGGTGTGTTCAGCTGTGTCAGGTGTGTTCATCCCCCTCCCATCCAGGTGAATGTGTTTGTCCTGCTGTCTGTGCTGTGTGTGCTCCTTAACCTGGCTGGATTCATCCTTTGCTGCCAGGGAGCCCAACTGGTTTCCAGTCTGACCAGCTGCCAACTGGTGAGGCTGTTTACCATCTGTTTCTCATCACCTCAACATTTCCTCTTTATGTTCCTCCTTCATGATATCTCTGTAGCTTTGTGTCGTTCGTGAACGATTCTTTCAAAAGAACCGAATCTTTTAAGTGAGCGAACTGAACCGAATCAGTTCTTCAAGTGATTCATTTATTTTTCACTTCAGTTGAGCTGAAGTGAAAAACAGTCGAGCAGCCGGCGAATGAGGGACCGCACGCACCGACGCCTCAATCAAATGGTGAACGAATCACGCATTGAACTACACTCTCTGGAATCATTTTTGTCAGACAATATATATATATATTTTTTTCTAACTGCTAAATTGCCACCACAACAACTTGCATACAATAGGACACAGCATGTAACAAGTAGTGCATTAAACCCGCAGCATCCTATCATCGCAGCGGTTTGCGAGGGAACGGTGCATGTTCACTTTAAATTCTTCTAAACGTTCAGTGAACGAATCACTCATTGAGCCAAAATTACTGATCCCAGAAACTGAATCCTGAACCGTTCAGCTGTGTATCAGTTCAGGAGGTCGGAGTCGCAGGCTTCTACCGCTAAGCGCTACATGATTCAGTGATTTGGTGAACGAATCTTTTGAACGAATCTTTTTAGTGAACTGATTCTAGTGATTCAGTACATCTAAAAGAACTGCCGTGCCCATCACTTTATCTCTGCTTCCCCCCCTGTAAGGAAGTGACATCATGAAGTGTGATGTTTGATAGCCTGATGTGTTCTCGTTGTGCCACTTCAATCTTAACATGCCAGAACCTCTGAATGATGAGCACAGAGATACAGATAAGGCATTAAGAGTCCAGCTGAAACATGGTGTGTTTGTATTGTGTGTGTGTGTTAATGTTTATTGCAGAGTGAGGCTGGAGATGTGTGTTATTGCTGCTCTGTGTCTTCAACATCAGAGTGTCCAGAGGAGAAGCTGCTGGCACTTCATCCCGCTCACTCCTGCAGCACCATGAGGATCCTCTTAAAGGTGAAACGAGTTACAGAACACACACATAGTGACACAGACACACACAGCCTCACAAGATTCTTCCCTTATTATTTTTTTAGATTATTTCTGATCATTGTGACAGAAACCATTTTGAGTTATTTGATGTGTATTTTAATTTTATAGTCTGACTCATGTCCAATCTGTTACCATGAAGGATATGACATATACTCCACCAGTCAACAGGGGGAGCTCCAAATCTTTTGGCTTCACAGTAAATAAACACTCGTGGGGGCCATTTAAACATGCGGTCTGTGGTTTCTCAAGTGTTTCTAAGCCCACATGTTAACATCCTTTACAGAATAATGTGGGTTTTTAATGCAGTGCCGCCTAAGGGATTAAAGGTCGCAGGTATTCAATGTTGGTTTCCTGCTTTATCATTTACATGCAGAGATTTTTTTGGATTTTCTGAATCTTTTAAAAAGATATCTTGGACTGTAGATGATGAAATCCCTAAACTTATTGCAATTGTAACCGTAGAGTAGTGTTTTTTTTTTTCAACTTCTGTAACACCAACATGGCAAAACAGTACAGCTTAATTCCTCACCCGTAGAGAACACCCCAGCTTCTTCAGACCCCCGTCTCATCACACCCATACTTGTCCCTACTTACACAATAACAGGTAGGATCCAGTATTCATTATACAGGGAATATATTATAGGAATCCAAATGTTACACACGCGCACATAAATAATACTTGTTACGAATTGTAAACAATAATTACTGTATACTTTACTCTTTATACCCAAAATAATATAACAACACTAAAACGTACTCTGTGCAGATGATAAAGGTTACACTATTGTATATTAAGGAAGGCTCTTCCAGTGTTGGACTATTTGCTCATGCAGTTATTGCGCCATCCTTACCTGTGGATACTTGAGTTAGTCTTTAGTTGCCCCTGTCCCGTCTCTTTTGGGAGTGTATTGCAGACATCAGGTTTTAAAATGAAAAAATAATTAGCAAAAGTCATTTTCTCAATCAATCTCTTCATCTTACAATTCAGTTTTTCATTAAGTAATACCCTTTCCTTTCAGTCAAGTGTAATTTAACTGTATCTGGACATTATTTCAAGTCAGGAAAACGTCAATAATTATACGGGGTATAATTTTGATGATGTAATTTATATAACCTTAAAATATTGATAAAGATTTCACAGATTTTAAGTGATTTATTCTTTTTTTTTCCAGAAAGTTCTGTTTGCCCTGTGTGCTCTGAATGCTCTCACTACAGCTGTGTGTATGATGGCAGCAGCTTTGAGATACCTGCAGATCTTCACCTCCAGGACACCATGCATGGTATGAACACAGGTTACCAAAAACAGGTGAATAGGGTAAATTTGATCAGTTTAACAGCTGAGAATCTAATAATTTGATGTTAGCCACTGTAGGATCACCCCAAAGGTTACCTGAACAGGTGAACAGGTTTCTATTGGCTGTCTATTATGAATCCCTAATTGCATTATCATTTTACAGTCTTAGCTCTGTAGCTTTCAACCTAATTTAATCAACATATCATTATATAATAAGATTAAATATCCTGCTCTGTGATAGGATGAACCCAGGGCCACAGTCGAAGACAGGGAAGAGACTGGTCAGGTCCCGGATCCTGATGAGTTTGTGGCTCCTGCCCCTCCCCCCTCTTACTTTTCCACTTTCTACTCCTACACGCCTCGTCTTGCTCGCAGGTAGAAATGTGTTCTGCTTTTTGAGACTTGCAGCTAACACACAGTTGACATGATGCAAACACACAGCCAAACACACAGACAATTCACTGCAGAAAACCTACAATCAATAATAGAGATACCCCAAGTTCTTCCTTCCTGCTGCAGTCAGACTGTTTAACCGGGCCTGCTCCCAGTTGTCCAGGTTTCTTTTTTTTTGCACAGCTAACAGACAATAACTCAATGCTTCCTTTATATGCAGTATTGACAGGCTAGATATATACAATATATATACTTATATACATTTTTCTCAGGTATAATTACTCAAATAATGTGCAAAAACTTGCAAAAAAATTATTTTTTGTTCACTCTGTAGAATCATTTTGGTTTTGTTGTTGCTTTTTTTTCTCTTTTTTTGTACATAATTTTTTTTTATATAGGTCTGAGTTAACTTTCTTGTAATTGTCTGTGCATGATGAGTGTACTGATGAGTGTTTATCTTATCTTATACTAAGCTTCGATGTAGGCAAAATGGAGCTGACATGGTGGGTGCATGTCCGATCGTGTGTTTGTGTCTGTGTGTGTTACAGGATGCTCGGGGACAGTGTAATTCCTCTCCCTCATATCTATGGTGCGCGGATAAAAGGAGTGGAGGTCTTCTGTCCTCTGGACCCCCCTCCACCGTACGAGGCTGTTGCTGGAAGCCCCACCCACACAGGGACACAGGTATAGTACAATTGTTTATTTCATGCCACACCTGAGTGAATGAAGGATGTGTGAAGGATGATCCTGATACTATAAGAGTGAGAGACAACTGCAATCATGAGCAGGATATTAGAGGGGAGAGGGTGGGGTTTTACCTGACTGACATCTGACACACAGACCAAGTGACTGATACAGCAGGACGCTTTACGACCACATATACTACATGTATTATCATGATATAACATGATACTTATCAATTTAAATATCATAACTATGTGACATTTATCAAAATATTAATTTTTACACAATTTGTTCAAGTAAGTTTTGATGACCATGTTGAGATTATCTGTCTGACAGAGAGCAAGATCTCGTTGTGGTCATATAACCCAACAAGAGCTAAAAGGTCCCTTCTTGTGGTAACACCACATACTGTACACTGGTTTGAAATAAGGCCAAAAGCTAATGTTGGCTAGCTACATTATGATGATATTTTACTATGGCCCTTATAAACCCAACAAAAAAGGTCTTCAAAGCATCTGACACAACTTTTAAAGAAATACAGTTCAATAAAAACTACATGTAACTTTCCATCGCTGTATTTGTCTGTTTATTTCTGCATTTGTCTGTAAACTTTTGTAACCGTCTATCTGTTTCAGAACACTCAGATTTCACCACCTCCCTCCCCACCAGATGCTGCTGTTTCAGGTAAGGTTCCTGTCCACACACCTGTTAAAGGACACATCACCTTTCTGGTGTCTTCTCATGATTGGTTTAAGAATACTGTCCTCTTTTATAATCTAAGATAAATATTTCTGGGGATTTGAAACAACAAGTTTATCTTTTTGTCTTTGGTCAGTTCCAGTCTTTAGTCCACAGACAGGATCTTTATCCCAGGGTGTTCCTTCTTCACCTCCTCCTCCACCTCCTCTTCCTCCTCCTTCTCTTCAACAATGTTCACCGGTTCTGGTTCCTCGCAGGAGAATGAGGATCCATCGGTCCAGCAGTGACCCAGTTCTGTTGGACCTCACAGCTAAAGGTCTGTTTGCTCATAATCACAGTCCATCAGAACTTAAACATAATTTAACACGACACTGACACTCTGTTCACTCTCACTCCATTCATGAACACACTTTGTTCACACTTATGCTGTTCACTTATAACCTCTACTTATTTCACAAACACTCAATGTTACCCTATTGATATTTATCAGTTCACTTTCAACTCACACCCTGTTCACTCTTAATATGTATATTCTCACTTTGTTTACATGTATTCCTGTCACTCTCACTCTGCTGACTTTTCATCTATTGACACTCACTCACTCACTCTATTCACTCAAACTCTGCTCCCTTCTACGCTCTGGTCGCTCTTACTCTCTTCATTTTAGTTCTGTTCACCCGATTTGATTCTTCTACGATTTTTTTGGATGCCGATATAAATTGCGATTCTACGATATTGTCGATTTTCTTGATTTTTAGTTGGCATTTTTAACAGTAGTGAAACAGTTGAATGATTATGATTGTCTACTGACTATTCCAGGAACCATATTTCCCCAAAAAAAACACATTACATGTAAGTCAGTTTTTAAGATTTGTTCTTAAATTTGGAGAAAAAAAAAAGATTTTTGAACCAAAAAATCGATTTAAAAATTGTAAAACGAAAAATTGTGATACTCCAGTGAATCGATTTTGTCTCCCACCCTTATTATCTACTGTGTTTACTCTATGTCCACTTTCACCTTTTCATTCTCACTTTGTTCATTTAGACTTTTTTTTCACTGTCTCTTTAGTTTCTTTCTCGCTGTTCACTCTTGTTTTGTCAACTGACTGTTTTTATCTGACTTACACAATTTAGTCAAAGTTAGAAGTCTGATTGTAAGAGCAGATGTGTATGAAGAACAAAGATAACATGGACAATACTCTGCTAAAGGCAATGAGTTTGTGTGTGTTTGTGTATTTGTGTGTGTATATTTGTAAAGTTTAGAACTGTCAATTATAAAATTTAACAGATATATTGAGTATGTATTTGATTTGTCAATCTTCTGTGATTGTTTTGACTGGATATTCTCTGATCTTTTACTCTAGTCCAGAGCAGCGGTGATGTCCCTCTAGCCCCCCTTCAAACCACAGATTCCTCCACACAGACCTCCCAGCCCACACTGGCCCCACCTACCCAGTCCCAGGTCACCCTAAGATGGGCCAACAAGGAAAGGCGGACACCCCGTCGGCCTCGGCCATCCTCCATGGTGGACTACCAGAGCTACAGACACACCCAGCAACTGGTCCAGCAGATCCTGGATCAGCCAGCTGCTCAGGGTCTAACCCCCGAAGTCCAGGAGCTAGTGGAGAGCATCCGGACAGTCTTGAAATCAGACCAGGAGCATATGGAGGAGGCACTTCGCTGTGCAAGCTATATAGAACAGGTATCAGAATTTACACACACACACACACACATTTTTGAATGTCAGTCATAACCGTAAGGTACCTGTTACCTGTCATCTCTCAGGTGTTCACTGACTCACAGGTGAGTCCCAGCCGGTCTGAAACCCCCCGGCAGCAGCAGCAGCAGCAGCAGGGGTGTGGTTCCTCCCAGACTTTTCCTCGCCCCCCTAGGAGAACACCTGGTCTGCTGCACCTGCAGAGCTGCGGTGACCTCAGCTCCTTCACCTGCTCTGCTGTTGAGTCTGCTGAGCATCGAGGAAACAGGAAGGCGGGGTCAAGTGCAGGGTCAAGGGCGGGGTCAAGGGTGGGGTCAAGAGCGGGGTCGAGAGCAGGGTCTCAACTAGACCATCCTGAACGCCCCCACAGTCTGATCGGAGTCTTTAGAGAGACAGTGCTTTAAAAAAATACACAACAGCTGACGTGTGTGTGTGTGTGTATGTGAGAGTGTGTATGTACGGGGAAGCATATGTATGTATAAATGTGTGTGAGTACAGTATCTAAATATTTTATGAGAGAAAAAGCAAAAATGGGAGACTTTGGAGAGTAATTCTTGTTGTGGGATCGTCTCTTTACATGTCTTTATACGCATATTTTTATTGATCAGATTAAAGATTAACACTGATAAAACAAAGTTTGTTTTTTGTGAATAAAGCGTGTGTATGTGTGCGTTGTATGTATGTGTGTGAGAGAGCATGGCAGATAATATAATCTCCTAACTTTATTTGCTCTGTTTGCCTCCTGCAGAGATATATTTTAAAGATTTATTTGAGTTGATTTTGCAGATATTTAAGATGATTTCATGTTTTGTAATTAACTGATTCAGGTCTTAATAGAAATAAACATGTGTAACAAAATGTCGCTGTGACTGTTTAACATCATGTTAATCTGGTGGTCATTATGAGCTTGTAATCTGCCTTGACAGTTTTCATACAGTTTCATGACTGTTTAGATTATTCATCATGAAAAATGTTGAAATGTTTTTATTTCTTCCCTCAGAGTGCAAGCCAAAAAGTAAATTTTCCCCCTCTGATTTTCTTTTTCCATTCTTGGCCCAAATACTCTTCCAAATTGTATTGTGTCATTCGCGAACGATTTGTTCAAAAGAACCGAATCTTTTAAGTGAACGTACTGAACAAAATCACTTCCTCAAGTGATTCGTTCATTTCTCACTTCAGCTGAGCTGTCAGCAGCGCAGCTGGTATGGCACGTAGCATCGCCAGGTAAGCAGTCAGGGAACAAGGGACTGCATGTACCGACACCTGAATCACTTGGTAAACAAATCACGCATTGAACGATGCATGTGCAGTATGAATTCTTCTAAAAGCTGAGTGAACGAATCAATCACTGAGGCCAATTTACAAAGCAGACCTGAGCATACCCTAAGGCAGTACACTTAAAACATCATGACTAATAAGTTCATTTTTACATACTTGTTTGCCAAAGCAACACAGCCAAACACTCTCGTCTCCCAGTCCCAGAAACTATAAATTGAACTGAATCCTGAAACGTTCAACTGTGTATCAGTTCAGGAGGCCGGAGTCGCAGGCTCCTCCTGCGCTGAATGATTCAGTGATTCGGTGAATGAATCTTTTGAATGAATCTTTTTAGTGAACTGATTCTAGTGATTCAGTACATCCAAAAGAACTGCCATGCCCTTTACTACTTCCACACTCCTCTGCAGTCATGTCATGCCATTTAAAGCAGCATCAAAAGAATAAAGATAAAAAAAATCACAACAGCCCAGTCAGAGTGTAGTGTCTCTTCCAGCCTTTATTGATGTAAACACAGTAACAAACATGTTTTTCTGCTACAGGAGCATTGCTCTAACAGAACTTCACAGAAAAAAAGCTGGCAAATAAACTTTACCGCTGCTGCTCTACAGAAACATGTTTTTGTCTTCGGACACATTGAGAGTTAACGTTACATTCAGAATGAGTGCACTTACCAACAGCATCAACTAACCTGCACAGGTAAGTATCACTGTGTCAGGTTAGCCTACAGACCCTGACAGACCACGCAGAGGGATAAATCACACACACCTTAAATGATCTGTGCTGTTATATACATGAAAATTATTTTGTACACTTCCCTACATTCACCTTTCAACACATTTCTCTACAGGCTGAACACACACAGCCTTTACATGTTTATACTTTACAGACTTTTTATAGTATATATATACTGTATGTCTTATATATGTGTGGTTATATATCCAGCTGGCCTCTGTTACAGCATAAGTACATGTGCACACAGACACACACGTGCGCACACACACAGACAACAATATAGTCTGGTTGTGTTAAAAGTCCAGAATGGCCGCTGTCGCCCCCCTCTGTCGGTTTGAACATTGTAAAAGGACAGAGCATGCACAGTAAGGCTGAGATGAGCTTCATGAGGACAGACTCAGAGAATACAAAGAAATATATAAAAATAAAACAAATATAAGAATACAAAAGACACACGCAAGCTTGAAAACTCAGAGGGGTGTAAACACTGAATAGTCCTTTAACTCATCCAATACTAATGCTACTACTAATAATAATAATATACCATCTCAATAGGTGCTTTTATGTGATTTAGATCAATACGCGAACTTAAACAGATTTCCTGTTTTGTCCTCACAAGAAGGCAGGGATAAAAAAAAAATCTTTTCTTTAGTTGTTTGAGTAAAATAGTAAACATGTTTCGAGTATATGATCGTTATAAACTTCAGCAGTTATCAGTGAAGTCTTTTTCTCCACAGAAACACCGACACTGATTTAACAACAGTCAGGCTTCATTGATGCCTTCTGTGATTTTTCATCCTTTTTCCCACTAGATCTGATGAAAATGTAAAATCAATCAGCACTTTGAGAAAGGCCAGTATCTGAAAAGTGTATATAAGAAAATAAAATGTTAAGGATAATAAAAGTACAGACATGTGTCATGTTACATCCAGTCACATTTTCAGCACCATTCGATCTAACAAAAGACCATACAGTGTTTTTTATTTTTATACATACAAAATATTATCAAACTGCCCCAAATCATGAGAAAACTTTGTAGACAATTAATACATTTGCTAAAGCAGTATGAAAGTATTTATTAGCATTCAACCTTGATTGGTAAGGTAACGTATTACCAAACTTTTGGACTTGAAAGCTCATGGGCACACCAATGTTGGAAGAACAAGTTCAAAACTCATAACTAGGACCATCTACCGAGAATTTTCTGGTTGCTAACCATCTCAAAGGTTGTATCGAAACTAGTGAACATAACTACAATAAATGTTTAAATTAACTGACGCCATTGAAAATTCAGATTTGAGGATGCCTGTTGCCTGGCAATAGAAACATTGCCAGACAACTGTCAGGGATTGGGTTTAAATTAATGATCGCATTTAGTATGTTGAGTCATAAAGGAGTCCTTCACGGCCCGGTAAAAGCTGGAAGTATTGACTGGCCATATTGGATCTTTGAAATGGCGCAGTATTGGAAGTGCTACTGTGATCTGTAAATGTGCCCTCTGTAGGATGGAGGCCCTGAAATAGGACAGGTCCTTTGTCTCAGGCTGGCCACCATAAACAGGAGCCATCTGACAATTTCTTGTTGAAAATGATTTGAAGGCGATGACATGTTGGCTGATTAGCCAGCTACCTTGTCTTGTTGTTCATCATAATGCCACATTTATTGTAAGTTGACAAAACATGTTGTTATATTTATAAATTTCATTCGCAGAGCTTGGCTTTATATCTTGCTACGCCAAAGTATAAATGAGTAGACAGTCAAAGCAAGCAGAGTAATAGCTGTGATCTGTTGTGTGTATTTGAGATGTGAACAATGTCTTTATTGTATTAAAATATTACGATATACTAAGACTTTCCAGGTTATAGTCAGGCCCACTAATGTTATCATTGAAACAGTATCAAAGCCTGTTGAGATCTTTATATTTTGATTATGAACGGCAGGTTATACATCAATATAATTTTTTTTTTATGTGATGAAAATTTGAAGCACGATGATTTTTAGAAAGTGTGTCATTATCTGGCTGTAATGGACTCTAGTCCTCTGCTGGTCTCTATCAATAACAGTGTTTCTTTCTGCTAATAATGATTGAACAATTTTAATTAAATCAAACATTTAAAAGTAAACATGTTTGCAATAAAAAACAAACTGTTAATTAAATGTATTATTACATGCTGCTTGTATAATGTATGTTATAACATGTTGTCACTTTCCTCAGTCATCACATGGTGTTCGTTTGTTGGATGTTATTTCATTGTGTTCATATTATTGTGTGCTTTTTCATGGTGTTATTACATAGAGTTTGTATACCGAGTGTTATTACAGGGTGTTAGTTTCATGTGTATTATTTCATGGTACTTGCCTCATAATTATATCTCTCTGATTTTGCTGCTCTGCACTGAGAAATACAATTTTAACAACAGGAAACACCGCAGCAGTTGTTACAGATGGCTTTCAGATCATTTTTAAATATCTCCCCCAAAAAATCTGTGTTAGTTTTAGTGGGAACAAAAAGGTGAATGTGAGGAGTGCCTAAAGATGTTTACACTTACTGATGTGCAGAGTACATGGGTGAACTGATTTCAGAGTATTTCGGAAAAATGACACTATTGTATTTTAGTATGTACAGTATAGTCGCTTGAGTACATTAGCTACTTCAAAATATTTAAGAGTACTGGAGTGCGATCCGAGAGTGAATGCAGGCTGGTCCCAAGAGATAATTCCTCCACATGAAAGAATAAAGAGCACATCAAACAGGCAGAGGTCAGACAGTGAAATAGCAGCATGGCAGAAAGCAGTCAGGCTGTAAAGGTCAGGACTCAGTGTGCAGCTCGTTTTTCAGTCAACAACCAGGGCGCTGTGCTTAGCCAGTAAAAATGCAGCTTCTTACTTCTCTTTCATTAAACAAAAACATGGTGAGGATACTTTAGGGACAATGACAGGTGTCGGGACTAAAAGTTGTTGAGAAACAGAACAGGTAAAACATCATACCAGTCTACCGTTTCGATGTAATAAACAATCATGATCAAACACTTGTGTCTGTACAATGAAGGCAACACAACAATCCTTCTACAACTCACTGTTGTGGTTCATCAGCTGTAGAGAGAGGGTGGGGTCAGGTGGTAACAGCAGGTTTAAAGTGTGTATAGATTTGTGTGTGTGTGCATGTGCATGTGTGCAGGTGGGTGGGTGGGTGGGGGAGGGTTATCAGGCCTCTGTCTGGTTAAATGTAAACAGGCTGCTCCTGAGCCGTCAGCAGGCGGTACATAGCTGCAGGCATTGTCTTCATGTGGATCTGAGACGAAGACAACAAGAAGGATTTAATTCAAACAAAAAAAAGGGATAAACAGACAAATAAGTGAATATCTGTTTACTAATTTTCCCAAATTTATCATTAAAATTGTATTTAATCTAATCTAATCTACTCTCATCTAATCTAATTCATAGATATTACGCAAGCTGTTAGCCAATGGAGACCAACGTCCGCGCATGGCTGCCATCTTGCTTCAGGCAGCTCGCCCACTCATAACTTTATAATCTACCGTGCATGTAGCATTTAAATAACCATAGATTGATTAATTTTAAACTGATTTTTAAATGGTTTGGTTTGTAACAAACCTCAGAGTTTTAGTTATGTTCCTGCATACTCAAGAATAATTTTACCATGGATTTTCATAAATAAACATTAAGAAGATAGATAGAGCAATAGCTATAGACCTACAGACACAGAGCAGTTATAATAAATTTAATCACTGCATGTATGTTATATTCACAATATTTCTATTACAAGGGTAACTATGATAACACATAACAATAACAGATATGTATTTATTTTCAATATAAATATCTGCCTCATGTTGCCATTTTAATTGTTTCTAACAAACCAAAAAACTTAGAAATCATGTGCAACTTAAATTATGTTGAATTGAAAGAGCATTTCTGCCTCTTCAACTGATGTAAAGTTGCCGGGTCAACTTTGTAATATGTACTCGGTCTCACTCACAGCGAGTCTGTTAGCCAAGCTCAAGAACACAAGCACATCCACAAAGACTGTCACTTAGACAAAAAATATAGGCTGTCATACAAGAAATTAAAATCTCGAATGTAGTCCCAGCCTTGACAGCTCGCGCTGATCGACTCAAAGTTAGTCCTTGCACGCAATTAGCCGTGAAACAACAGTGATGCACGATTAAGTCTTTTTTTTCTCAAAGAAAATCAGCCATTTTAATATGTAAAAGCATCCTGACTCATTGCCACATTATTAATGTATGTAACAAACAAAACCATTTGTAAATCTGTCAAGATTCAGTGAGTTAAGAGTATTTTTGATCATGCAAATTACTCAACTTCTGTCAGCCACCATAGAGCACACCTGAATAGTATACTGGAGTAAGATGGCCGCCACTAAGGGACGCAGGTGACTCCAGTTCGAGTCATCTAGCCTTTCTCATTGATATCTATGATCTAATTACTGTGCACATTCTATGTACATGTTAAAAACTGTACATATTTTTTTCATCACACTGAGCTCTCACCTCTCCTACAGCATTGGACAGAATGTGGACAATCTTTTCGTGGGGCGTGGCAACGACGCTCTGGCTGTTGATCTCAATGATGCGGTGACCCACTCTGACCCCTCCTCGCTCAGCGATGCCCCCTCGCATTAGGCTACAGATCTGCAGATTGAACAGATTGAACCACAGAATATATCTGAATGTGTAATCTATTAAAAAGACGTAATCAAAGGACTACTCACAATGCCGTTCTGCACGCTGAAGCCCAGCTGGTAGCGCAGATCTGGTCGTCTGATAAGTACGGTGGTTACTGGGGGACATCTGACAATATTCAGTTTGATGCGAGCTTGGTTCTTCAGACCCTGCAGAGAAAACAGTACTGGTCAAATCCTTCTCTCACCTAGAGACAGTCTCCTGTATTAACAGACAAAGACATCTACAATGATCTGTGTCTGTTTTCATCCTGTTTCACAGTATTGATAAGACTGAAGAAAGTAGGAAGATCTTGGAAAAATGTCAGTTGACCCTAAATAGATTTACACTATCATTTACTTCTCCTGAAATATACCTCACAAGCACATTAACTAAAAGAATATGACACAAAGAGATATTACAGGAGAATCGTCTCTGTTTCTTCTATTGCATACCACCATATATAGTAAACAGAACTCCAATAAACTAGAACATCTCCTAAAATCCTCTAAACTAAAAATGAGAAGTTGGAGTTCCTCAAGGGTCAATTCAAGGTCCTGTTGAATTTTACTTCCCCTTTTTCTGAACACCATAGTCCCATTTGGTATGTCTTTTGTGCTCACGATACAGTCTTCATGAAGCAAATCCAGATTTAGCAGATTTTACCAGATTTAGTGTGTGATAAAGCAGGCCACATACCACCGTACATCAGCTGTTCCTAACACCAGCCCACATTAGTTGCCTTCTACACATCCTGTAGGCTGCCTACTCTTCCTACAAGTCTGACTAAGTTTTATGTCATGTGAATTGTCACTGATGTCTGCTTTGTTTTGTACTTTAGAGGGTCTTTGCTGCTGCACATTAAAGGGAGGGGAGGTGTACCCTCCCCGCCTCAGGTTTGGCATTCCACATTTTATCAGTAAAAGCTATTAGAAAAAAGCCACACCAGCATACAATTCATTAAAATAAATATGTTAATTTTCTTAAAGTGGTCTCTACTATACTGAGTTTAGTTAAGCTTGATGCAATACAGATGAACAAAAATCTTTTCTTCATAATAAATCAATGATCTAATCTGAATTTCCAAAGTATTTAAGCATGATAATCTTAAGGGTTAGGGTTAAATAATACTACCATACTACTACTAATAATACTTAAATAAACTTTAACTGAGTGATAGATTGGCATGTGACAATTTATTAAACCTGATTAACTCTGACGATAATCAACTTATTTATTTCACCCAATTAGACCTGAGACCTGACAACTGAGTACACTTGACACCTGATACTGCATTTCACCTTGATTTCACTTGTTTACACTAAGTAAACCTCAGCAAGGATTGATGTGTGTTAAGCAGAACTCTCACCGAGGATACCTTAAAAACTGTAACTTGCAAAATGCTGCAAGGTTTTACACTCATGATTAAAGATGGGATTTAAGTGGGTCTGACCCTACAAGTAGGGGCCCATCTTTACGTTTGGTGTGATCTTTTTTGTGTCTTGGGATAACACGTTGTGAATTGGTGCGACACAAATCAAGATTGATTAATTGATTGAAAACCTGTGGTCACTGACAATAAAGTCTCACCTTGATGATGCTCTGGCAGGTAGACAGAGGAAGTCCCACTAGACTGGTCCCATTGATGGACATGATCTGGTCTCCGATATTCAGTCTGCCTGACCGCTCCGCTGGACCAGCATGCATCATGTTAGCGATGATGACAGTGGGCAGGATGGAGCCCCACCCACTCTCCACGATAACCACGCCCAGAATCTCACCTTTACCTTTCTCAATGAGCACCTGAATCCCACCAGAGTGACCAACACAAAAAAGAAAAACTGTCAAGGGATCACAAAGTAATTCAAATGATCAAAGACCTTATGGTTATTTGCATTTTTATCACAATGCATGAAAGGACAGACATTATACACAACTTAACTTTTAGAGCCATTGCTTTCTTTGACATTTTACTGCAAAATCTCAGATATCAGCTCCTGATCTAAGGTGGGATTATAAAATGCAGTCTTTTTTGGGGGGGAAGTCTAAAAAGGTTTTACAAAGACACTCTATGTGAAGCATTTTGTTAAAATACTGCAGAATCTTTGTAGTGTCAATGTTTTAATTGATGTAAACTCACATCTTTGCAGTTCTCAGACTTGGAGAAGTGGATCAGGTCGTCATTGTACATGTCCTGTGTGTTCAGCAGGTCGCTGTACTCCTTCTGGCTCAGGTCCTCTGGGTTTATTCCATTAGCTCGAAGGAACTCCTGATAGGCCACGCTGAAGGCTTGTCCGATGGACTGAGCGATCAGCTGGGCCTGAGGACACAGGAAAACGTTTTAATAAGTAGTATTTCTGATTAGAAATATGTCATCCTGTTGTCCTCCAACAGTCAGACATATAACTCACAGTGAATCTTTTCATGGAAGATAAAAACAATTCTCAGTTTCTTCAGTGTGCTGAACATTGGGCACTTAATCTCCTGTAGTTTATAAAGGCTTTAAAATAAGCTATTGTCTCATGATTAGCTTTCTTTGGTCATAGAAAGCATCAATAATAACTAACTCCACGATCACAGTCTTTACTGCTGCTCTCCCTGCCTTGGCTTTTCATGTATGCACCTGAAACAGAGGGATGGTGTGCCCTCTGGCTTCAGCATGTCATGTGCACGCATGGAAGGGCAGGGAGCTCTCAGAACAGAGCAGTACTGCATGGTACTGACTGGACTGCGTTTATTTACAGGCTGTGTGATGAATAGTCTAAACTCTTTAAAGCAATAAACTAAACCATCCATACTTATATTTATTCATGATAAGAGTTGGACTCACATCTTCGGACTCAAACACGTGACAAATCATTTTGTACTGCCTCTTGCTCTCCTGACTCGGGTCAGAGGCCTCCAGGTTCTCCTGGGAGTCTGGTCGGGGCATCCTGCGGCGGGCCATCAGAACTACCACATTACCAATGTCAGCGATGTAGGAGATGGTTCTCAGAGGATGATCCATCATGGTCTCCTGGTTTACACAAAAACACATCAAACCAGATTGAACAGGAGTAGATAAAATCAAACAAGATTACAATGGAATAAACTAGATCATATAGAACTGAACCTTATGCATCAGATCTAACAGGATTTTTTGATTGATTGATTGATTGAAGTTTATTTCGAATATGCAAACCATAAATATAAAAAATAAAACAAGAAAAGTAAGGCAAAACATTTAAAAATAAAACAGAAATACATATTGAAAAAGGAGTGAGAAGAAGAATAACTTATGAAAACCAACCAGATTAAACAGAACTGAAGTTGATCCCAATACCAAACACACTTTTTCTACTACTGTGAGATGTTAATGTGTGTGTGATTTTTTTTAGTTTCACCCCTATTTTGTTCATCAGTGTGCAGCACCTGTGTGTCATGTATTACTGCGTGTGCTGTACCTGTGTTTAGTGCATCAGTGTGTGTTTGTTACCTGTGAGTCAGCGTTCAGCACTTTGATTCTCTGTGTGGAGATGAATAGATCCACCTCCGTCATTGGCTGAGGCTCACCTTCGGAGGTCTACACACATACACACACATCAACAAATTAAACACAGTACAGTTTCAGAGATCAGATGACCTGAGTCAGGTTTGGTCTCCCTGCAGATGGAGAACAGTTAAATATCACACAGCTAAACACTTCAGTCATCTATGAAATAAACAGAGAATAAGACATGAGTCCAAATCGGTGGAATTAGCAAAATAATCAAGAGACTGAATCTGAAAACCTGACAAAGATCACATTTGAGTTAACCAGGCTGCTGGACTCAACAAGAGACACAAAGACACTGCAGGGGGGACACTGGTTCGGTTAAGTGTTTGAATCAATCATACCCAAATCTGTCCACTCATGATCACTCAGATCACCTTGGAGACATGTTTACACCAGTTTAGGAACCCCACAGAGACGCACACATACACAGACAAAGAGAGGTGTAGCTTTAAGGAGGAGGAAACAGGTCAAGAGATACTTCACCTTCTTCCTGTTTTGAGCTACTTTCTGAGCCGTCTGTGAGAACAAAAGAGACAGAAACAGATTTAAAGAACAAACTGACCAAGGGAGACGCTTAGACGTCAGTCATTTCTCAATAACACATGTAATAGCTGGTTTCATACCTTTATTTTGCTGACTGCTTCTTGTGCCTGCATCATCCGGACATTTTTAGACGGTGTTTTGTCTGACAGCAGCTGAGTAGAGCCGAGGTAGTTGGCAGCAAAGATGATCCCATCGATCAGATCCTCAGGGTCACATGGTCCGGGTACTAGAGGACAGGTGAAAAGTCTCACAGTGTAATAATGTTCATGTATTCTTCCATAAAAAATAATAATTATGATGACCTTGGTTGATTCTCATGGAATAAAAAAATGTTGATAGCATGCTGTAATAATCTCTGACTGTGACTCAATTGACAGTCAGATTAAATAATCTGTCAGAGTGGAGATGATGAACCTCTTAAATCTACTACAGAGTAGTGGGGCCACATTGAGATATATTTTTTTTAAATCTTTTTTACAAACTTCAAGAATACAGTCGTAATATTGTGAATTTATTGTCGTAAATTTTTGACTTTATTCTCATAAATTTATGACTTTATTCTCAGGAATGTACAACTTGATTCTCAAAGTCTTTAAAAAATTGTTTTCTCAGTCTGGCCCTTATACTCTGTCATATAAATCAGATAATCTATCTTGTTCTTGTCTGTTAATGTTGAGTGTGATAAGACCACCTCCACTTTTAAGTAGCACTTAAATATTTTAACTCTCATGACCAAAGGATGACCAAAGATGACGTACTCACCTTCTACATAAGTGGGAAAGGATGCAAGACTTCTCCTGGACTGAAATAAAAAAGGATTTTTTATTTCAAATTGCATAAAAAAATCATTTCATTGGAAACCTCTTGTGAATCATTAGGTTTTTTTTAAACAAGAAATAATAAATTAAAAATTAAAAAAAAAAAAAAAACTAAATTTAAAGCAAATTCTGTTGAGAAAGACTTTGGCTGTCTTTGAAAAGTTCACTATTTCTTGGAAAATCTAATCTTCATTGAAAAATGTGTCCCAAAAAAGAAAAAAAATGAAATAACTGAACAGTTTAAAAAATATATCAGTATTTGATCAAATAAATGTGACTGTGAAATAAATTGTTTTTTAAAATAAAAACTTTTCTTTCAAAAAGCATCTGATTCTTAACAGTCAAGTCTTTATAATTCCTAAAAAATAATGTTACAATTAAAAAACATTTGTGATTGTACTTTTATGAAAGGTAAAATCTTTTTTTAAGAATTGAAATTGAAGAAATTAAATTTGAGAAAATCAAAAACATTTCCGAAATGTAAAATGCTTTTTTAGAAATCAGTTATGTCCTGAATCAAATATACCGTTTCTATGGGTATATGCGAAATAATTTCAGTTTCATTCATAGGTTTTGATGTCACAGTCTTTTCATTTGTAATTAAATCTACTATTTGTTGAACTCTGACCTCTTTGCTGGAGGGGGAGGAGTCAAAGGTGTGGTCCTGGAGCAGGTGGAGGCTGGACGACTCTGCACCTGGAGGAGATGGAGAGCCCGACCGTGGGGACTGAAGAAGAAGGACAAGAAGCAGCTCTGATCAGAACCATGGAAGTCTCTTTCTAATGGCTCATGGCTCATGGCTCATGTCAGTCAGTCAGTCAGTCAGTCAGTCAGTCAGTCAGTCAGTCAGTGAGTCAGTCAGTCAGTCAGTCAGTCAGTCAGTCAGTCAGTCAGTCACTCACTCACTCACTCACTCACTCACTCACTCACTCACTCACTCACTCACTCACTCAGACAAACAGTTTATATGTTTTTAGCTGATGGGCAGAAACAAAGTGAGGGTCTTTTAGACTTTTTTTTTTAAATTCGAGACCTTAGAAAAACATTACAGCAAACAAAGGAGATACTAAGCCAAAGAGCACAGAAACCACTGATGTTCTGGTGTCACAGAGCTAATGCATCTGTGTGCTTCTAAACACATACAAAATGACAAAATCATTAGCCCCCTATAGTCCTGAATTGAAAATATGTGGGGTCAACTGCAGATGAAGGTCCATCTGTATGCAAAGTAATGTAAACATCCAAAATAAACTAGGATGTTTGAAAGAAGAACTTTATTTATTGATCCCTGAAGGAAAATTCAATAAAAAAAAAAACACATTAACACTGCATCAAAAATTATTTGCTCTGTTTAACACGGCCTTTCTCAAAGTGGATGTCCCGTCACACTGGGGTGCCGTCTAACTGCGTCAGGGATGCCATTGAAAAATGACCTATTCTGACATTTTATATCTAAATATATGAATAAAGACATAAACATATTCTTTTTACATATATGTATGAATAAATAAATATGTAAATTCATTTCAGATAAATATAGGGGGGCTTATAATTTTGTCCTTAAGTGTACATAAAGAAGAGAGTTAAGTTCATTTTACAAGTTGTCAGTGATCAGTACAGAACAGGGGAGTTTTCACACAGAGCTCAGCACAAAGGTGTGTAATAATAAATAAATATCTGTCAAGGTGCAAAAAAAACCTTCAAGACAACAGTGCTCATATCAAAATAATCACTCTGCACAGCTGTCATCAGCAGCATCTGTTTCACAGCACATATCATCCGTTATTCATGGTCTGAATGAGAGTGAGCTTACACAGCGACAGGACGAGTCAGCGCTCCGGGGAAAAACTATTGGAGCAGAAGAGCTCAGAGTGAGACAGAAAGCAGGAAAATGTTGCCACACTGAGAGTCACAGCAGCAGAAATATCCCCCAGGCTTCAGCTCACATTTACCTGCTGAACCGTTTCTGTTCTCATGTTTCTTTGTCCTCTGTCACATTTATCTTTAATTTCACTTCTGCAAGGTGGATTTAAAACACGCTTTCTCTGTCTCCTCCGAGACAAAGACTCTTAAACTGAGCATAAAGCCAGCACTCAAGTAACACAAACCTGCAATTCCTAGAGTGTCCACTAGAGGCTGCCTCCAAAAGTGAGTGGGGGATCAATGTTATAATATTCAACTGTACAACAGATGTAAATGATTACAACCTGGTACAAACTGTACAGAACAAAACAGACAGTTTTGGTCTTGATAGCTCATTTCTTTATTTACGACATCTGTAAGTGACTAGATATTGATACACATATGTTTACCAGTATTGTATTAACTGAGCCTGAACTTTTGTGTGTGATTATGACTACCCCACATAAAATATTGAACTCCAGTAAGTCGATTACACATGGCAAACATTTGCACCAGTGTTAAGTTTGTCAATAAAGAGTCGCTGACGCACTAAATGTCATGACTTATTAGAGACAATGAGATAAATGGTGAGAAAACTGACAACATAACTCCATGTTCATAAAAGCTCTGACGAATGGTGATGAGAAGAGACAGACCATTTTCCTCCTTCAACCTAATCATTCATCTATGATTCATCATTCATCTCACCTATTCATCTTTTAGATGGCCGTTGGCTGAATTTGTGCTGCAATATCTGTTCAGCTGAGTAAACACATTCTATGATGTTTGAGTGACATGAATACACAATTAATAAATTCAGTGTTCGCAAAACTTAGAGATCTTCGTGGAACTGACTTGACTTCACAATGCACAGGATCTAATCTTGGACCTTGATACTGGAGAGAAAGATCATTACCAGGCAAAAACTTTTTTAATTATTGATTCTCTACAACAACAATATGACTTCACCTTTATCAGACCTCTGAAACTATCGCACAGTTTCAAGTTTGTGAACTTTCTGAGCAGATCTTTCTGCCGTTCATCAGAGTTCATTGAAGATCTTAATCATTTTTATCTTCATCTTCTGTGTGCCGTCATGGACAGAACATTTCCTGTTTTCTATCTGAGTGCTGTTCAGCTGCAGCAACCTCAGCTTCAGTTCTCTGATAGTCACATCATTCAGCATCTAAGAGAAACCCTCTCTTCCACCATTAATGAGGTGAAGCTTCTCAAAGCGCAAAATAAAGCGCTGAAGAACCGAGAGGAAGAAACCAAAAGGCCGGATGTGACCGAGCTCCAAAAGGAGCTGAAGCTGAAGGATGATCTCCTTGTTAAAGCTGCTTTAAAAGAGCAGGAGATAAACAGGGCCCACAAAAACACCTCAGACCTGCTGGCCCTAAAAGAAGAAGAAGAGGTGAACAAACTCCAGGAGGAGATTAAGCAAAAAGATAACCTCCTGGGTGAAAGTGTTGAAGAGGAGCAGGACGTAACACAGGTCCATGCAAACACATTGGACCTGCTGGCCTGAAAAGAGGAGGAGGCAAAACACCTGAAAGAGGAGCTACAGCTCAAAGACAGTCTCCTGGAAGGTGCTGTAAAGAAGCTGGAAATAACCAAGGCCTGTGAGGACGCACTAGTCCCAAAAGAGATGGCGATAAAGAGTCTTAGAGGGGAGCTAGAAGAACTCCAGGCTGAGATAAAGGAGAAGCATGAAATGCAACTGGCCAAAGAAAAGTTGGAGTTGAGCAGGCTCCAAGAGGAGTTAAAGTCTACAGTAGAGCTCCTGAGCCGGGCCATCAAACAAAGACGGAAACGAACCAAAGCCTACCTAGACACTATGGACCTGCTGAACCAAAAGGAGATGGAGCTGAAGAGGACAGAAGAAGACTGGATGAACAAGTGCAACGAGCCGCAGAAAAGTCTTGATGAGCAGACCAGCAACCAGCAGGTACTTCAGAGCTCAGATATGTGACAGTAACTAATAATCCTAATAATCTCAGATCCTCTAGAAAAGAACTTCAACTTTTACTGAATGATCTAATGCACAGTTTCTTTCTCAGCTCTCTTCTCAGATACTCCAACTAAACAAGACCATGCAACATCAGCTGGACCCCTCAGAGGAGGAAGAACAAGAAGAGAAGATGGAGAGGAAGAAGGAGAAAAGAGAGGAGGAGAAGAGTCAAAAAGAGGAGGCAGAGAACATGTTGAAAGAAAAGAAGGAGGAAGAGAGAAAAGAGGAGGAAAGAGAGACACGAGAGAGAGAGCAGGAGAACAAGAAGTCCCCAGAAGAGAAGGGGTCAAAAAAAGACGAGGAGGAGAAATGAAGTGAAGGGATAAAAATGACCAAAGAAAAACAGGACAAGAAGAAAAAGAAGAAGAGGAGAGGACAGAAAGAGATAACTGTCCGCATACTTTGCAACCCCCTTAATCCCCCTTCCCTTCATCTTTTAACCCTTACTATACCTTCCTACCCACCTACCCTTCTACCCACCTTTCTACCCACCTACCTACCTTGTCTAAACAGTGACAATCGTTGAGACTAAAAATGTACAAAGTCTGCAAATCAAATTACAGGGGCCAGTGTCTCAGTGGCCGTAATAATAAACCCTTATTTTGAAATTCCCTAAAAATATCCACACACCTCCTGCTCTGCGTCTCGCTGCTCCTCCTGTTTGCTCTGTTCCTCCTCCAGCTTCTCAACCTGATACATCCAGAAGTTTTCCATGTTTTCCGTGAAATAAACTCGGGTGAGACTCAACAGGTAAAGCAGGTGCACTGACTCTCAGAGAGAGGGACTGTGTTTAAATACAACACCTGAGACCGCATAGGTGACATCAGGGATCCTCAGGTATCAAATTCATCCTCTGAACAACACACAGACCAGCTCCATTCACTGTATAAATATATTAATCCTTATCCATGCAACCGATTCATGTGTTCATTACCCTAATTTATACACATTTATTTTTTAAGTGTGTTATGTAAACATGTATAAAAATATGAATGTAATCTGACTGAAGTTGAAACCCTGAGCCGAGGCTGCAGATCTGAAATGAAGTTATGTTGTACTTATCAGTATGATGATTGTGACTGAATCACTCTGTATATGAACACTTGAATTTGGACATCTGAAGATAAACACAAAGGGTCTTTACCCGGCAGAGGCTGCAAGTCTGATCAGATGGAAACATCAACAGCTCCTGTCTCTCTGTCACCTGATCCTCACTGAATAATTGAACCTGTCTCACCTCCATCAATAAATCAGTGGGCGGAGGAAAAGGGTGTGGGGACAACAGGGGGAAGAGGAGAGAAACATCACATGACCTGAGATCAGTCTGAGAACAGTGTCTGATTTAATATTCTATTTATGCCATAAAAGATGGAACATAAATTCTGTCAGTGTTTGAAGACGCCTAAGGGTTCAAATGTGCCACCCTATGTGAAGACGTCCACAGCTCTCACAATGTCCACAAAGTGTCTCTGAGGACGTGAAGCTCCTTCTTTTAACCATCTGTTTTTACTATCAAGCTCGCTACCAGACAGTATAGTAGACAAACCTATTAGAGGTAGCATCAGCTGTGAGGTATGATATGTTAAACTTTTATTTATCTCATATGGGGATATTTGCAGCGTTAACAGCAGCAGAGGATCAGCATAGCAAACATAGAAGAATAGGTACACTCTCATCATGCACAAAGACAATGCACAGGTAATTATAAAGAGTAAAGTTAGACCTATGCAAAAGCTAGAGGACAAAGAGTTCCACACAGTGAACAAAAAGAATAGGATATGTTACTGTACATTATGTGAGTTATTATATCTAAAAGAAAATAAAGTGTTTGCAATTGTAATAGATATCTGGCCTGCCAATACTGTACATTGAGTTATTGTTCTTTAGTTGTGCTCAAAAAAAAAAAAAACTGGATTACTGGGAGCAGGCCTCGCTAAACGGTCTGACTGCAGCAAGAAGGAAGGACTTGTGGTGTGAGGGACTGAAGGAGCTGCCCAGTGCTGTCACAGTGCTCTGTAGGGGGTGGGAAACATCGTCCATGAGAGATGATAGCTTGGCCATCGTCCTCCTGTGGTGAAATTACATTAGCTTTGGGACCCTCTGCCCACACTCTGACTCACCCCATCCATTCCACTGGTCATCTGATGTCTTAAAATGAGGGGCCATTTCAATCAAACCAGCGTGTCATAACAATTATTTACTGAACTAGGGGTCTCCAACCACCAGGCCTTAGGGTTATTCAAAATCTGGTTGTGTAAACTCCAAACCAAGAGGGTTATACAAGCTGAATGTACAGAAATGTGTTTTTTTAGTTTCCCAGAAATTTTTTACATGGTAAATTATTTTCATAAAAAGTTAGAATAAAAAGATTTTCTCTCAATTGTGTTAAAGCAAAATTTGAAAAATAAATAAAAATTGAAATTAAATAGACTGTGTTGAATGAAGCTTTAATGACATCCCCCATTTGGTTCTGAAACAGAGTTCTGAAGCCAAACGGCAGTGGTCATCAAATTTGCAGTGATGACACAACCTAACTTAAAGTTAACCTACCAGAGCGGGGACTTAGTCTCCTCAGACATGGGTACAGTGTACCTATCTGTCAGTCAAGACAGTGTGCCTCTGAACTACCAGACTTGTAACTTAAACCTGCAAAGCAAGCGCATTACAAATAATTCACTCCCCATACAGCAGGTGCCATTGGCGCCCCAAGGTATCAGAAACAAAACCAGGCCAGCTACATTTCTCAAAAACCAAAGGTTGCCGCTTGGTGAGAGGTCTTTTCAAAATTGGCCATGAACAGTGAGGATATCAGCCACTGAGAAAACATCCTAGATTTGAGTGAAAATATGAGACCTGTGACATAAAATTTGGTTTCATTGCTCTGCAGCAGACTGTATGTTAGAAACTGGCTGCATCTGTCAGTCACATAAAGCTGAACTGGTCTTCCTCACTATTTATCCAGTATGTTTTAGCAGGAAAGTGATAGTATACTTCCTTGAGTGCTATCTTCTAGGTAATATACTGCAGGGTTTAACGCAAACTGTGGACTAATAGCTAAAAGCTTTCCAAAGTTTATGTCAGTCAAGTTCAGTCGCTCATCACCAACCTGCTCGTAAATATTGGCATAACTTTTGTTGAATTTATAACATGGATATGATTTCAAAACACTTTTATCCAAAGATTTAACTGTCATTAACTTTTGCAGTTTTCTTTCACTTAATGAAATACACTGCAGAAATGATCTCCAAGCCGTTTGAGTTGTGACAGAAAACAGTTGATGTATCTGAAGTCTGACTGTGTTAAGTGACGTTTTAATAGCGCTGACCTGCTGAGTAAGTTGAAATAACATGTGACTGAGAAATTAATTTTACTTTAGTTTAACAAATCAAATAATGAAACTGAGAAAAACATTTTTCAACATATGTTTTATGTATAATGCCAGACACATGCTTCAAAACAGTTGGAGCGTAAAGAAACAAAACAGTAAAAAAGTTGTGTAACTCTAAAAAACATCTGGAGGAACATCTTACGACTAATAAGGTTTGTTTTTAACAGGTTGGGAACATGATTGGGTATAAAAAAGGTACTCAGAGCGGCTTAATCTCTCGGGAATGAAAAGGTTTATTACTTTTGGAGTGAAACTGGTCAAGCAAATAGTTTGTGGATTTCATCATTTTATTATCAAGTCATCCAGACTTCTTTCTCTGGCACCACTACACACTACTCTCTGCCTCTCTTGTCTGAGTTCTTTGCCTTCCTTTTTTTTCTTTCTCTGTCCTCCTTTCTTCCTTCCATGGCCCGAAAGGGAGCAGCCCTGCAGCTGGTCCATATTCCCAGTAGTAGGCAGCACTACACTAATACAGACATGACTCTGTAGTGGAAATCACTGCATGGACTCAGTATCACTTCCAAGAACCATTGCCTGTGAATATTGTTCATCACTGCATTTGTATATGCAGGTCTAAACTCATACATCAACAGGATCCAAAACACCAATGACATCTCTGGACCTGAACCTATTTCAGAAGAGCAGAGAGGAAGTAGAAAATTGTCCTGTGGTCTGAAAAATCAAAATCGAATTTCTGTTTTGAAATCATACACCAAGCATCCTCCACCTAAAGAAGGACTGCTGCGGGGTGACGCAGCTCAAGGAAGAACATTTATGATCGTTTCTTCATGGAAATGCAATCAGACGGAGATGCTAAGGCAGAAGAACTGCCGCATCTGCAGCATAAAATTATTAATATGGTGATTATTACTTCAAGGAAATGAAAAAGTAATGATCAACCAGCTGCTGGAAGAGAGTAGTTGAGTTGTGTTTAGTCTCTTTGCTAAAGAAATCAGGCAAAGTTAAAATGATGTTTGGTGGCTAGTGCTGTGGCTGGGACCCTACATGTACTGTTGATGAAGTTAGGAGCTGTTCTGAGCATTATTTGTGGCTATAGAGTGGCGTTTTTGTTGAGGTTTGTGTGTGGCTCTTGAGACCGGTCTTTATTGCTATCGTGTGGTCGTTACTAAAGTTGGTATAACAAGAGAAGCAAGCGGTCTGCAACATTTATCGCTCAAGGGGTGTCTAACTCCGTGTTACAGTGTGTTTGACCCTAAATTAATTTTACGCCGGAATATCCCTTTAACATCTCTGGTGTACTTTTGTAGCTCAGCTGTCACTAAACATATTGTAAAATGTGTATAAAGATAGCTAACAAGCTAAAAAAAATGGTCTCTACATTGGCAGAACCTTGACGTCATCATTAGTAATCAGAACTGTGGTACTCACATCGCCCCCTGCCATTGGCTGAAGGTCACACTCTGCTGTAGGGCTCAGGTCCTGTCTCATCACCCAGATGGGCTCTTTGGGTTCATCAGGGGTGTAAGGAGACCTGACTGTCCTGGTCTTCACCTCCTCAATGGCCTCTTTGATGTCCTTGATGGCGAGAGAAATGGCGTCTCTCTTCTCTTGACTGTTCCTTACTGCCCCGGCCTCTTCTGAAGGACTTGCCGCCTGTTTCCTTCCCTGCTTATCTTGGCTAACAGCTCGGTGGTTTTTGGCAGAGTCAGCTACAGGGTGGACTCTAGCTCCTCCTTGAGGTAGCTCAGTTTCTTCTTCTATGGTGTCTCCTACAGCATGATGAAGACTTCCTTTGACTTCAGACATGGTGTGTTCGGCATCCTCTTCCTGATCACAGCTGTCAGCTCGAGGGTACGGGGCGAATTCCGCCTCCTTTTCTGGGCTGTCAGACTCTCCGTCTGAGCGCTCATCATAGTGACGCAGACGGGAACCCACCGCCTCCTGCTGATGGTAGTCCCCACCCCCAGGCCTGCTCTCAAATAGCTGGAAGCTGGCCTTCCTCTGCTGGAGGGACCCAGCCCCACCTGCAGCTAGAGGACCAGAAGTAGGAGCATCACAGATTTCCTCATAAACGTGCTCGGAGAGCGAGTAAATGTCATACGGCTCAGAGTACGCTTCATCTGTGAGCCCAGCGTCTAAACTGTCTGATCTCTGATTGGCCGAGCCATCTCCCTGATCTCCGGGGGAGCTGATTGGCTGTGTGTAGACGTAGTTGGAGTAACCAGCATTTATCATATCCTCAGCCTGTCTGTGGGGGTTCTGGATGTCAGGTAGGGGCTCACGTGGAGGTGGTTGGGGAGGAAAGTGAGGATGTGGACGGAGGTGTTGTTGCTCAGCCTCAGCACTCTCAGTGTATCCCTCCGCCTCTGGTCGTAGCTGGACTCCATAGTTCCCTGTGTCATCTTCAGCCTCTGGTTGGTTCTCAGGATCCAGAGACATCATGGTCGGGCCATCGTCACCCTCAGCACGGTCTGTGTGAGTGTGGAAGCCGCTCTCGGTGCTGGCTGAACGGGCGAGTGCGGAGTCATCCCGTTCTCGGTCATCGTCCTCACTGCGTAGCTGCTTCTCCTGCTGCTGGGCTCGCTCCGCCTCCCTCTGCTGCCTTTGTCTATGCCTCTGCTGCTGGACTCTGATCCGGGCCTCACTGTCCCCCTGTCTGCGGTACCGGGTAACTGCAGGTCTGGGGATTGGCTGGGGAAGCTGAGGGGGTCCTTGTTGTGGCTCCATGTCTGGTTCTTCCTGTGAGCGGCGCTGTTGTGGGGCTTTAACTCTGCTGCCAGTTCCTCCTCCAGCTGAGGCCTCGCTGCGTCTGTAGCGCTTGTCCTGGTTGCTGTGGTTACGGGGCCGGTTGTTGTGGTTGTTGTGATGATGCCGAGGGGGAACTTTGGTCTCCTCTGTCATCTCCTGGGCGAGCTCTGGCTCCTGGGAGTTCATGGCAGTCTGTTTGTGGAGGTTTGGCAGTGTCAGCCTGAAGTTTCAACATTCATCATCAGAGGGAGGGAGGTCAGAGCAAAGGATTCTGGGAAGTGACTAAGAGCAAAGACAGAAAGAACAACATGTCAGCTAACGCAAGCAGTGTGAAAATTAGTTGATGGTTAACATTTTTTCAAAAGCAGACTATTAAGGTTTAGTGAAAAACTCCTCAATCGCTAACTGTTAACAAACTGTAGCTGGCGTGCTAACCTCTAGTTTTGTAGCTTGACCAATGGAGCCAATGCAGAAGTGCCAAAACCTGTAGTTCCCTGAGTGCTAGCTTGAGGTTGGCTGCAGAAGCACTGGAAACCACGAACATACTGAGCCAAAATGTCAAAAATGTTTATTCTGTTTAACAAATTTCTAAAGTTCGTCCACAGCTCCATAAGCTTTGCTGGCGGAGGCAGGATTTATGACCTATACTGCAGCCCGCCAACAGAGGGTGCTGTTCTTGGAGTGGCTTCACCCAGCGAGGAGGCAGACTCTGTCCATTCTATATACAGTCTATGGGTTAACATCTATGAAAAATCACTTTAAAGCCTCTGTGGGCAACCTTCAGCTTGTGATAGTTTTAACGCCCCCCCTGTGGACAAGGCTAATCTAGCTGTTTTCCAATAATTAAATATTTTACAAAAATCTCTGGCATTGAATATGTGATTTAAAAAAAAAAATCTGTATCAGCCATGTAAGGTTAATCTTGGTCTGACACTTTCCCCTGGCTCTGGTTTCAGATGTAAAAATAATGTTATTCAAATAGTTACTCCTTAAGGTTATGGTTATTGTTCACTATTTTGGATCACCAAGAGGCATTTCTCCCAATTTCAGTTTCTTTTATGACCATCTAAAACTCCTTACAGGAGCTTTAATGCAGCCCCATATCTGAGCATACTGAACAAAAATAGTCATACAGTCTAATATCATTAATATAATAATTATTTTGTCTTCACCATCAGTTATTTCTCTTGTTTTTAGTTTCGAATAGTAGGAGCCTGTCAGTCAGTGAGAAACACATTTTTCATTTGTCATCATATCAATAAGTTTTACAAAGGTATGGTCCATCATGAACGTTAGGTTTGAGGAGTATTTCTATTTCCTGGAAACTTTTAACTGAACAAATTGCTGATTTCCAGAGTTTCTCAGATTTACCAAGGCCAGAGGAGAGACTGTCTCTTATCTTATTGAATGTACAGTATTTCCTTGTTCTTGCTCTCCCTCTTTTCACATCTTCTGCAAGCATCTCTGATGGGAGGGACTAAGATGCAGGTTAGAGACAAAAGTACAGAACTTCAGGAGAATGGGATGCCCCCTTGAGACACAAGTGTGTGGCTGATATGTCTTTGGGTGTGGTGTGACAGAGCACACTCTTTTGGTCACATGTGTGTAATACAGCAGCAAACAGAGGAGCACATTATTTATTATTTACTCTCTCTTTCTCACTCTCTCTCTCAGTGTCAAGGAAACAGAGGATGACGGGAGTGCTGGTAGTCATGGAAACCACTGGGTAATTACTTCCCTTGGAGGGCAGAGGAGGTGACCTCTGTGTGTGTGTGTGTGTGTGAGTGTGCGTGTGTGTGTGTTTGAGAGAGATATACTATTCATTGATTCTGATGTCCACCTTTAAAGGGGATGCGTGGCTTAAAAACTGTTACAATAAATTAATCTTGTCATCACGTCCTCTTGTGTTCACCTCAGGGTGGATGACCTTTCAGAGGAACACATGCACACAGACACACACCATCATTTTATCTTACAACTGAGTGTCCCAGATGAAATATTTGACAGTTAAGAGTTTTTCTATTGTTGCTATAATCTTGTGTATGGTGTGTAGTGTATTTGTTGTATCAGGTTGTCATTAGAAAACAATTATATTTGTGGGTTATAGCATAACAAGCAGACAATCGTAAGTTTTGATGTATCAAAAGGCCTATGATTTTGGTGTTATATTTTTACAGTGACCCATTTCTGTTGAAACTATAAACAAAAGCCTCTTCTATCCGCACTCTGTTACAATGTCAATTTCCTGGTGGTCTTGTTTGTTCATGTGGTTTGGATATAAAAAAGTCAAACCTCTGACTTTAATCTCAAAATTGTGACTTTTTCCTCAGAATAAAAATATCTTTAATTATAACAGTATATATTTTCCTTTTTTTTTTTCCAGTGGTCCTAATCCTCGTAGTTTGTTGATGGAGTTTAGCAAGTTTTCTATCTAAACTGAACTGTATCAAACAGACATCCCACCAAACATCGGATGTGTATATATATATATATATATATATATATATATATATATATACATGATTCATATCATGTCTGTAGTTACCCTGCTGTGCTGTGTGTGTTAACTCACATGCTGGATGAGGCAAGCTGTTCCGCTTTGCCGGAAGCACAGATAAACCAGTAAGGAGAGCCTATAATTCTTACGTAATAATTTGGTCAATCTGGCACATAAACTACAGTCTACAGTCTAGTCTGTACAGTATTTTTGTACATTTGTCTGAGATTTGAGCAGTTTACATCTATTTTCTGAGATTATGACAAAATACAATTTACCTTGTGTTTTGAGATTTTGCATACATACAGTATGGACACCAAACTTTGTAACTTTGCAGCTTTTGTTGTAAAAGTGGAAAAAGCATGATAAACCCCCCAGCCCCCACCCCTTAAGAACATTATGACATGACTCAAGTAAACTGTTCAAATACTTTGATGGATGTAATTATATCAGTCAAATCTGGTTACTGGATGGGGTCAATTCCCCGTTTGATGATGTAACACTTTCAAAAACCTTTTAAGTTTCAACTTTTTTCTAATGTTTCATCACCAATCACTAAATAAAATGTCATGGTTCATATGTTTGCCTTATTGGCCACTAGATTTGGGCCATTAAGTGATACAGTTTACTATCTTTGGTAAATTTTCAAAGACCCTGGAAGTGTCTTTTAGCTCTATTTATTTAGATTGACCGCTTTGAATCAAAAGGGGGAGTGGTTAATTTTGCAAAGGGGTAGTGATGTTTGACTGCTCTCATCCATGGAGCAGGTGGTGTTAAACTGTAGTTACCATGGTGATGTGCCCAGGTAAGACCTGAACCCCCTTTAAAGCTATAAAAACTGTGTCAGACCCTCAAGTTACCTCGATAACCATGAATCACACTTTGAAGCCCAGCCCAGGTGTGAATGTGCAAATGTTGACGTTAGTCCCCCTCTTCCAAATATGGTCATGCTGCAGCCAACAGGATACCATACTGAGACCCCCCTCAACACACACACACATACGCACGCACACACATCTGCGCACACACAGATTATCATTTGAAAATAGTGTTTCTATTAACATGATCTGCTCATTATTAAATTAAACTTTTACCATCATGTTTACAGAATCGCAATCAACCCTCTCTGCAGTTTACACACACACACACGGACACACAAACACACGACACACGCGCGCACACAGTCTGCTCTATAAAACATGTTTTTGCGTTTAACTCGAGCGTCACGTGACCAAATGAGGCCGCGCTGCAGTCCTGATCCGGCACCAACAGAACCCAGAGACCGGAAAGATCCGCAGAGACCAGAGTCCAGACCGGACTGCGGCTCTGCACCTGCCGACAACAGGGCCTCTGTGCTCCATCCAGACCCCCCTCCATCCCCCTCCCCTTATACCGGCACAAAGCCCCGCACACAGCGCTGCAGGTCCGGGTCTGAGTCCTGGTTCTGCTGGTACTGTTTGCGCTCCTTGCAGGATGATGTTCTTTTTTAAGGAATCACAACATCCGAGCGGCGGGACCAGTACCGAACCTCAGTTATTTACAGACCTGCATCTCTAGACACCCCCCTCCCCTCCCTCCACGAATCAGCTAACAACTGAGGAGGGCAACTGACAGAGACCCGGACCTGAACCGAGCCAGACCAGACCAGAACTCACCTTCATTCAGAGGAGAAGAAGCTGCAGGTCCGCCCCACCGCTGCCTCTCCGTCCTCCATCTTCCCTCTGTGTGAGTGTGTACGTGTGTGCAGCCCCTCCCTCCTCTCTCTCACACACACACACACACACACACACACACACACACACACACACACACACACACACACACACACACACACACACACACACAGCCAGCCTCCTGTCTCTGCTGCTGCGCTTCTTCAATGAAACCATGGCTCCAGAACACTAAATAGTAAAAATATTATATACTATAATATTATATCATATTACAGCTTTAATAAAATTAGTTAATCCTGAATATAAAACATTTAAATGTCTTTTTATTAAACAATTTTTTTAAATTCATACTAAAAACAATATATTTGCACGTTAAAAAGTGCATTTCTGCTCTTTCTTTTTGTTTGAATGTAAAATATGGAAGTAAATCTGTGCCTTCTGATTTTGAATTTGGCTTTCAAAAGCTGAATTTTTGGATAAAAATTGGACTTTGACTTTCAAAACCATTGAATTTCAAGCACGCATTTTTATTTCTGACACAGATTTTTTTCACAATAATGAAATAAATTCAGTGAAAAAATGAGGTCTCTCAAAAATATTTGTATAGTGAAAATTAGACCTAAAAAAAAAACGGAATAAAAAAAACTCAACATAAAATAAAAAAACAGGGTCAAATAATTTTGTGTTTAGTAAAGATTAGACTTAATAAAATCGTGTATAAAAAAATTCAACAAAAAAAAAAAAAAACAGGGTCAAATAATTCAGTGTAAAAAAAGGCTCTTCAAAAAATATTTGTGTAGTAAAAATAAGACCTAAGAAAACTGAGAATAAAAAGTTCAACATAAAATAAAAAAACAGGGTCTAATAATTTCATGTAAAAAAATGTCTCTCAAAAATATTTGTTTAGTAAAAATTAGACTTAAAAAAACTGAATAAAAAATTCAACAAAAAATTTAAAGAAAAAAACAGGGTCAAATAATTCAGTGTTAAAAATGTCTCTCAAAAATATTTGTTTGGTAAAAAAAAGACCTAAAACAAGGTCTAATTTTTATTTGTTTAGGAAAATTAGACCAAAAAGGAAAAAAAAACAATAAAAAATTCAACATAAAATAAAAAAAATCTGTGCAGAATATGGACTGGAAACACAGAGGTCAAAATGGGAAGCACCTCCCAAGGTGATGGAGAATGACCGAACCAAGATCCTGTGAGACTTCCAGATACAGACCGACAAAATAGTAATGGCCAACCAACGGGACATTGTAATCGTAGACAAACAGCAGAAGGAAGCCGTTGTGGTAGATGTCACCATCCCAAGCGATACCAACATCAGAAAGAAGGAACACAAGAAGTTAGAGAAGTACCAAGGGCTTAAAGAGGAGCAAGAGAAAGCCTGGAAGGTGAAGGTAACAGTGGTGCCTGTGGTCATCGGCCCCCCACACTGGAAAAGCAGCTCAGGCCAAGGGTGGGCGAGAGAGGAATTTATATTTATATATATATATACATATATATATATATATATATATACACACACCTGGGTTGACTTTAAGAGGTCACTAGTCACTGTAACAGGAAAAAAAGCTACAGTAAGATTAAAAAAAAAATACACCATCAGTTTTTTATCTTAGTGTGATGATATAAACGACGATATGATGTAGACAGACAAACAGGTCAGAATAAATAAATGTATTTTTATCCCAGGTGAGTTTATTTTGTGGGTGAGAGGACAATAAAACACAAAGATAAATCAGTTTTATCTAAAATAAATATGAATGATTGAGATCCTACAGATTATTATTTGAAGACAGACCCTCCACTGAAGAATAACTTAAGAAAACAGGAGCTACATTTCACTGTAAAAAGCTCATTGAACCTTTAAAAAAAACTGTTGTGCATAGTCTGTGTCAAAGTTCAAAGGTCAAATCTCCAATCATACACCTGTGATATGAACCCACCCTTCGAGACACCAACAAAAACACTGCTTATTCATCACACTCTATCATACAGTGAAGACAGAAGGTCAAAGGTCACACACAGTCCATAACACCAGGGGTAAATTCTCAGAGGATCACAGAGTGTGATGGAGTTGATGATCCAACCGACCAATCAGATGCCTGTCGAACTGATCATGTGACCGCCTCAGACAGACAGAGGATACTGATGTGCTAAACTGACGTTAAACGCAGAATTACGTCCGATTCAGTAAAAATGATTAAATGTTATTGATCTTTAACACAAATACATACAGGTCATTTGACCTTTGACCTTTGTAATGTCACATCTTTATTTATACAGGGCGGTGACAGGAAGCAGCTACTTTGAGCTAAGTAACACAAAGAGTTAAATATTGTTATTAATGCCTGTCTATAATCAATCATCATCAACATCGTTATGAGACTGCTCCATTCAAACCTGTGCTCGCTTGTAACAGAGGCAGAGTAACAGCAGCGTGTAGCACCAGAGACCCTGGAGTCAAACATGAGTACAGCTAACTGCTAAGGCTAAAATCTCTGTGAGACGGTCGGCTGTTTTTAGCCGACGGCGCGCTGTTAGCTTCCTGTTGCTGCTACTGTCAGTTAGCTCTGAGCTACATCGTTAGCGTTAACTGAACATACTGAGCAGCGGACAAAGAGTTACAACATGTGACCTCCTTCAGAGAGGGGGAGGATCCTGACTGTGACACCCGCACAGGTGAGTGCAGAGAGAACACCGACACGAAGGAAACTTTTTCTTTTCACCGTTTAGAGTGAAAATATAATTTCATGACTCCTCAGATTATTCGCAGTGAAATCTGAATCAGTCTGTGATTTCTAACTGTTCATTCTGAGTTCATTTTTATTCGTGTTTGTTTACTCTGGATGTTCTTTTGAAGGTGTTTCAGAAAAATGTGATACTCTTAATAGATCAAACTATGAACACACTGTGATGAAAGAAAACCTCATGTATGAAAAGTAATTTTTCATACATACTTCAACGATGTTTTCTCTAATATTGTGTCTGTGTTCAGCTCAGACTCTGATCCACCTGCAGACTCACAGAAATACTTTGTTTGTTTGTTGATGTATCACAAAAATAATAATCAGAGGAGGTTGACCTGAGACACCTGAACACAGTTTGACTCAGCTTTCCCCTCTGAAGGGTTCCAGGCTCAGGTGAAGCTTGAGGGGGGTCCACGTGTTTCCAGGAAGACCAGAGCAGGCGGGCCAGACAAGAACCCGTCCTTTGTACTTCTGTCAGGAGACCAGGATCTAGGATTGATCCAGGACTGACCCAGGACTTCTATCTTGAGTGCTGAAGGTTAAAGTGAGTTCTGTACTGGGTTAGCTGATCCCAGACATGTTGTCCCGTCCTTTCAGGGCTGCTGGACGATGACTGTGTCTAACCACTTCCTATAGGACAGGGCGAAACGTCTCTGCTCGGAGGGGCAGCAGCTGTCCAGCACAGAGCTTATGAAGGTGTACTCAGAGGGCAGGGAGGGAGGGGCGGGCAGGTGGACCCCTCTCTTCAGACGTTTGCTGTCCCGTGGGTCAGGTAAAGACGCCCCCTCGACCTCCATAGCTTCACTGGGACACTGTCCATTCACACCCTCCCCAACTTGAGCAGCACAGCCCTGGGCCCCTCCTTTATGAAGCCCCGCCTCCCTGTCACTCAGCAGCGTTGAGTCACCACCATCATTACTAAGTTGCTGATCCGTCCTCCACTGGTGCCACAGGAAGAACACGTGACGCCTAAAAACACATCAGAACTACGTTTACGCATTTAACAAGAGTAACAACAACAGAAATGCAAACACTAAATAATTAATGTTAATTTGTCCCACATGACGACTTAAAGTCCCACTCCGATCGTTTTCTTTTACTACTTCTCAGTGGTCTTCAAATTGTGATTAAGAAGTTTTTACCAAAAATCGTGTTACCTTTGTCGGTTTCAAGGGCTTTTCTTCTGCAGAGCTCCAGTAGTTCATGAGCAATTCGCCTCCGAGTCGTGGGCGGAGACAGCGCTGCTCTGCACAATCGTCTTCACGTTAGCTTGCAGCCTAACATTGCCAGTGAAGTAGAAGTGGCAGGTATTACAATCCGCTAAAGCACGCGCTTGTTCCGCGATCGTCCTCTGTATTTCTCCTCTATATGCAGAGTGTGGCCTGCATTGCGGGGCTCCGGGGGCGGAGCTTGGATTGGTTGCGTATGAAATCTCACTGTTTCTGAACCTGCTGTTTGGGTCTGCCAGAGATCAGAGCCGGCCCAAGCCTCAATGGGGCCCTAAGCAAAATTTGATTTTAGGGCCCTCTATTTCTGCTGATAATATTGATCGTTGATCATTCACACACCTTCACAAATCTCTTTAATATTACATGACATGAAAACATACCTTTATCTTGGCCTTTTTTCTCTTCTTCCTCTTGCTTTTCTCTGCTCCTGAAGGATATGTCCTTTTTTGCAACACTGTTTTGCCCCACAACTACCTGTGCTTTGGATGTTCAGTGCACATTGCACAGCAGGAGGCACATAATGGTGGCGGAGCTTTGACATGTTGGCAGTAAGAATCATAGGCCTACATCAGCAGCAGCGATAAAATGTTTTTACTGTATTTTATTCTATTTTTGCAATAATTTGTATTTGATCATACAGAAAGCATCAGTCATACATGCAAAAAATAAAAAATATTTTAAAATGTTTAATTTAAAAATATATATATATATATAATTTTTTTTTTTTTAATTAAAAAAATTTAAATTTAAATTTAAAAAAAAAAAATATGTATATATATATATATATATATATATATACTATATATATATATATATATATAATTTTTTTTTTTTGATTGCTCTTGGGGGCCCCCTATTGGCCGAAGGGCGCTTAGTTCGCTTATGTCTTAGGCCGGCTCTGGCAGATATTCGCAGCGATTTGAATGAAGAAATACTCAGAAAAGCAATTTCGCATTTAGTTTTCTCATGATATGTCCTGCAGCATAAAAAAATGCCATATGAACAGATAAAAAAACAAGAAAAACGTGAATTTCATCGGAGTGGGTCTTTAAGCACGATTATATGATCGGGTTCTGAAGCCGGGTTGGAAGTTGAAATCCCTGTGTTTTCTCACCTGTGGCTCCACAGCGTCTCGTGCCCCGGAAAAGACTGGATCAGGTCTGAGATCAGCTCCATCTCCTGGTGGAAGAGCTGCAGGACGGTGATGAAGCTGAGCTGCCTCTCCTCCTCGTCTTCCCCCCCTTCTCCCCCTGACAGCTCCCCATTAGCGTGGTTGTGAAAGGGGACTGGGGAGCTGCTAGAGACCGAACTGGACCTGTGCTGGGGGGAACTGGTGCTGGAGGCCGTAGACTGGGAGAGCTCAGAGACCAGCTCCTTCAGTAGGAACTGACGATAGTGAAATCCACTGTGATCAGACACGTGCATGGACACCCAAAGGCGCATGGAGGACAGCTCATCATAGAACACCTGGAAGGAAGAAGAGGAGAAACATCTGTCAGAAAAAACACCAGACAACAGAGGCAAACAAAACCAAACCTGAGTCTCTGTGATGCCTGCTTCTGCAGTTTCAAGCTCACACCTCATAAGAAGTGAGATTCAAACACCTGTCTGTACTCAGTAACAGAAAATGTCGTACTTTACACACTGCTTGAATATAATAAGGGGTGAAACAGTAAACAGGCTGATTTAAGAGAAGCTAGCAAGCGTTTTTAAAAACATACGAGTCCCCTCACCTTGATGTTACCCCTGGCCATGTGCTGCAGCACCCAGATGCGGTGGGACCAGGCGTTGTAGTTGCTGGGGTAACGGCAGGCAGCATCAGAGCACACCTTCATCTCCTGATGAAGCGTCCGAGCTAGGTGTTCGCTAAGCTGCTGGCTTCGCTCTGCATCTGCCTCATCTCTCTGCTGCTGCCTCCTTCTGCGATCCCCGGCCGAGGACTGACCCAAGACCTGCTGCAGCACCCAGCGTCTAGATCAAGACAGCAACAAAGGTTAAACGGCTGATCCAGGACCTGCCGCAGCATCCAGCATCTACATTAAGACAATACGTGATGCTTTTCTTTGGAGGTTTTGAGGTATGTCCAACTGGGAGGGATGTCCATCACCTGGGAGAGGGAAACAACGGGCACCTTTTATTGACAGAGCTTAACGGGCTCTCATTTAGGGATCTCACCTGTGGATCCAGGTCTCTGGACTCTTGGGAAACTTGGTGAGGGCCAGCTGTCCCAGGTACAGGTCTTTTTCTGGGTTGAGGACTCCTGATTGCACCAGCTCCTTCCTGCAGATCAACCAAATCCAGGTTTTATCAACACTGCACACTGAACCGACTGTAAGTTTAGCACACAGAGGACAGTTCGGTTAAATGTTTCCAGCTGTGAAAAGTGTGACCTGATTTACACAAACAGGTAAGACAGGTGTTGAGGAGGGAGTTACCTGACGTTCCATGCTGTGGTGAAGTCTGGGTTGAGCAGCAGCACGGTGCAGGTGATGTCAACTAAAGCTGTGGGACACAAACATCAGTAGTTATTAGGGGTGTCCCAATACAACTTTTTGACTTCCGATACTATACCAATATTGTAGCCTTCACTATTGACTGATACCAATACTGATACTGATACTGATACCGATACTGATACTGATACTGATACCGATACCGATATTAGTGAAAAATTGTGCATAACAAGTTTTTCACTCAGCTGCAATGTTTTTTTTGGACTTAAACAAAAAATACTGCCACAAAGCCAACATCACTCTTACTCCTTGATACTTTGTCAGTACCTTAGTACACACTGTTATTGTGATTTTGTGGGCTCAGCTTGCTGGATCAGGGCGCTACTATATAGAGGTGGCTGAGTGGAGTCTGGAATGGACTGCTTGTATCGGAGTGCTGATATCAGAGATTTTAGATGCAGGCTGATATAATCCGATATTACTTTTTTTGCTGATATTGGACCGATATCCAATATCAGTATCGTATCGGGGCACCCTAGTTATAACCTATTTTAAAGGTTTTTAAGTGAATAAATTATTAGAAATCTATCTTTGTATTTTTTTAAATCACCAGTCGCCCCTCAGTTCACAAATGTTTCATTTTAATGACTTGATTAGAAAAGAAAAACATCTAGGGCCCTATGATTTCTGCGTTAACAGAGACGCAAATGGAATCGTGAAGTTGGCCAATAAACATGGAATCTACTGTTAAACGTGGAATATCGCAGAAATTGACATTGTGTGACTGAAATGCTTTTTCAGCTGCGAAGTCCAGTGATGGAAATAGACACATTAACTTGAATGGTTACGATCAGTTTTGATAGGCGGATACAGCCTTTTTGTAGCCGTTCCGGATGCGGTGGAAACTGGGGGTAAGACTCCATAATCACATAGAGTATCTGTGCTGAAAAAAATCAGTACGACCAAGTCCAGCCCAGCAGATGGGCTCAAAAAAGTTTGGATTAAAGAAATGTTAAAGTGAATCTGACAGACAGACTGACCAGACAACTGAAACACAACTACATGACCACAATAAACCTTTTTAAATGCATTAAATCTGAGCTGTCAGGTCTACTTATCTGAATCAGGTTCCAGCTGTGAGTTCATGAGAAAAACAGACTCTGGTTTGAGCACATACTTTGATTCTTTCCCTAGACACATCTTCAAATATCCCTGGTATGATAAATGATAAAACCTTGGATTAAGAAAAATAATGTGGTCTTACTTACCCTCCCGGTCCAGCCAGTGTTTACGTTGTCGGTACAGAAGCAGCTTGTTGTGGACGTATGGCAGCAGGAACTTTACACACCAGCTCTCCACACCCAGTTTGTTCTCCACCAACACAATGGGACTGCGGTTATATCGGGCCTCGGGACACGGTATCACCCCAATCTCATCTCTGAGGGAGATAAACACAGAAGGAGAGAGTTAGTTTATGAGGGCGATCTACTTTTAGTCTGACCGCACATCATGAGGTTTAAAGTCACACTTTTTTGCATCAAAGACTCTATTCAGAGGACAAAAAACAGCCATTGTGTTCTGTTACTGGGCTGCAGGTTACACTCTGACATGCTTTGGACACAGTGATCCTCTGGACCATCTGGAGGAAAAAAACATCACATACCAAGGCCTGAATTGCAGTGAGAGTTGCACTGAAAATATGTAATTCCTCATGAACTCGGTTATGATATATGACAGCCCTGTACAAATTTATAACAACTTTTCACAGAGCTGACATCTGCATGACTACAGACAATTTATACACAGACCAGCTGTAAGGAAACATGAATGTGGATCATCTCAGTCTAGCTAGCTGAATGAATGACTTCCCAAGCTCTCACCTGGCAGAAAAGAGTTATGTGATCGAGAAAAGTACTGACCTCTGAATTTTTTTTTTGTACCCAAATCAACCTTTCTGTAGAATTTTTTTTTTTTTTTTGTAATTTAAATTAAATATAACATATAAGAATCTGTCAAAAATCAAGAAATCACTGTCTGTGATGTTATATAAGGCAAATCAATTTCTCTCCCTCATAGTTTGTAATTTCAGGATTTGATATTTGGTTGTTTTTTTCCCCCTTTTTCTTCTTTTTGCCTTGTACGCTCTTGTGAACCATTCTATTCTACAGGCGATCTATAAATCATCAAATTAATTGTTGATCAATAAAAAATAAATTCCTCAAGTAAGCCTGTATTTGCTTCAGCTAACTGTGACAGAGGGTGAACCTGTCTCCTTGACAAAAGTAAAACACACCTGACACGAAAATAAGACGGAGGACAGGTATATGTCAAGAACAATAAACACACAACCACTTTTAATTAATAAGTAAACTGATCAATAACACATTCAACCGGCTGACATCTAAGTGGTAACAGTCCTGACAGCTGCTTCACAGAGCGGGCTATTCACACAGCAAACCACCAGTTTCAATAGTAACACACGTGTGAACACAAACACTCATTAAATGTCTTAAAAACGCTGCCCTCTGGGTGTCTCTAATAGCCCCTTTAACACGATTTGAACTGGATAAACAGCTAACGTCAAGCTAAGCCGGTGTTCTGTCAAAAACAGCTACCAATCCAGATACGCTTCGAGGGGGCGCATCGCGTGCCGGAGCATGCGCAGTGTCACAACCGGCGAAGCTCGTAGCCGTGATAATAGTTAAACGCTCCTTTTCATTTAGTCGATTTCTCGAGAATACTTTCAATTTTATTCAACAAAGTGAAGAAATATCCGAAGCTAGTATGCAGCGAGTAATGAGAGTTTTGATAAGGTGATTCCGTTAGACATTTTTCTGATAAACTCCGGTGTTGGTTCGCGCGACGGTGTCATTTTTACACACAGCAGCAAATCTCAACAGAACACCGGTATCTGTACCGCTGTGTTCCAGGTGATAGCCAGAGCCCACAAAGGGTAAACGCTGTTCCTTTTCTCAGTATTCAGCGAACATCCCGCTCCCTCCCTATGTCCACTGGCCGTGTTTGAAGTCCTTCGTACTCACATGCTCGGGTTTCTCTTCAGCGCGTTAGTGATGTCTTTAACAACTCTCTGCACCAACACCTCCTCCTCACACTCCGCCATCTTTCTCACACCCGATGACGTCAACTGAACGGTTAAATCTTTCCGGGTGAAAGGAAGCTCGCGCAACGGATGCCCGCAGACTCCAAAAGGATAGAGAGTCACTGGAACTGTTTTCTTGTTTTAAAAGTTATCCGAAGATCTTCAAGCGATCCTTTTTTTGAATCTATTTTGTATGGTTTATTTTCCTGTTCAATGCCAAGACCGTTCTCCAGACTCTTCTTTAGACTTTTTATAATCACAACCAGAGTTAGTGGGTGGAGCTATTAGTAAGGGAGGGGCTAACTGATAAGGAGGCTAGCTGTTAACCTGAGCTGTGGTGATAAGGTGAGAGCTGGTACAGATAAACGGGTCAAAAACAGTGGGAACAGCACACCTCGGAGTCGTGATGGGCACGGCAGTTCTTTTAGATGTACTGAATCACTAGAATCGGGTCACTAAAAAGATTCGTTCAAAAGATTCATTCACCAAACCACCGACTCATTTAGCGCTTGGCAGGAGAAGCCTGCGACTCTGACCTCCTGAACTGATACACAGCTGAACGGTTCAGGATTCAGTTTCTGGGACCGGGAGACACAAGTGTTTGGCTGTGTTGCTTTGGCAAACAGGTTTGTAAAAATGAACTTGTGTATAAGTCATGATGTTTGAAGTGTACTGTCCTATGGTATGCTATTTATCAGGTCTGCTCGGTAAATTGGGCTCAGTGAGTGATTCGTTCACTGAACATTTAGAAGAATTTAAACTAAACATACACTGTTCCCTCGCAAACCGCTGAAATGATAGGATGCTGCGGGTTTAATGCACTACTTGTTAAATGCTGTGTCCTATTGTATGCAAGTTGTTGTGGTGGCAATTTAGCAGTGAAAAAAAGGTGGTTTTGTCCAACAAAATTGATTCCACAGAGTGTAGTTCAATATGTGATTCGTTCACAAAGTGATTCAGGTGCTGCTGGCCTGGCAATGCTGTTTCTCACTTCAGCTTAACTGAAATGAGAAACAAACGAATCACTCGAGAAAGTGATTCGGTTCAGTACATCCACTTAAAAGATTCGGTTCTTTTGAACAAATTGTTCGCGCACGACACAACACTACCTCGGTGTCCTAGGGGCATATGAACATAAACATTGCTCTGTTTGTTAATGTTTGGTATCTTTTATTTAAGTGTGTTTCACATATACCAAACCCCCCTCTTCTTATTATGTAAAAGAAAATGAAGCAGGCATCAGGGTTTCCAGCAGGAGGCGACATGCAGCCTGGCCCCTGAGCCATGTCAGCTCCTTCGGTCACAAAATCTTTCCACTCAGAGGCTCATCCAAAAATGATCCAATACATCATTTTTCCCACATTAAGCATTCTCTCTGAGACTTGATTCTTTTTGTTTGTTTTCACATATACTCTGCTTTAAGATTTTCTTTATTTTCTGATCCTGAAATCCTAGAAAAAGATCCAGAGCTGATTAAATGATCATTGAATCACTGACACATGAATGTGATGTGATTTGATAGTTAACTGAGAGAAGAGACTGTCAGTAGTAAAGAAAACAGAAAACACACACACAGTTATATAAGAAGTGGGGAGAGTGTGTCATGCTGCAGTGGGGGAGTCACAGTGGGGGAGTTCACTGTTTATAGGTTTCATTCAGTTTGCAGTGACTTAACTTTACGTGAAACGGCTGTTAATAAGATCAGCCCTCAGTGCTGAACAGGAACTTTGAAGGTCCTAACAACAAGTCAGAGTTACAGTAATTTGATGAAGAACAAAAATTCTTTCACATGCGAGTACTCGGCCCTTTGTTTCCAACCATCGCTTTTGTAATGTTTAATTGTTTCCAGCTTTTATTTATGTTCTCATGTCTGAGAGTGTCCGTGAAAGCATCCAGTGACGGTTATAGATGTGTTTCAAACAAATAAACACAATCTTGAGCAATACAGCGTTACCATGGTATTTTTTTTATAGATTTTTGGGGGAGTAGTTGATTCTGATTGGCTGCTTGGTGCTCATTAACTTCTGATACTTAAGATTCTCTGTTTTTTTTTAGTGAAAGGGTGTTTGTTTTTCTGGATTGATTGGCTGTCTTTGTACCAGTCTTAATCTAAGTCCATGCCTCTGATAATACTAGCCAGTACAAACCTGGTTAAAATATAAAAAGCTAAATGCAACAATTCTGCTGGTTACACTTGGACTTTCTCTGGGAGGACCTATTGCATTGCACACCAAAACTATCAACAAACAAGTTAGCAAAAGGCTAACTGTTTGCATGCTGAATGGTGTTCTTCATCTGTTGAGGTTTTGTGCGCTACCTTGCTTCCCAACAACATATTTACACTCTTCAACTTCCAAGTCCTGCATACAAAATGTGGCGCCAGTTTCAGACTGACTGAGATGTATACAAACAAAAGATTATCTGTTCTTGGCCAAACTGTCCAGGGATGAATTTAAGAAATCCATTAGGGATTGTTGGGGAGTACCGATGCATGACCATGTGTTTTAAAGCCCAGTATCAGAACTAACCTTCATACTAATGTAATATGTTGATTTTTCACTATTGTGCAAATTTTGTTACTGATACTAACACGTGAGAAAGATTTTTAAGAAAAGACAGAATTTTAGATATTGATTCTTGTGTTGCACCAAAGTATTTGCAACTACTTGAAGAAAGAATCAGAGGAAGTACACTGCTTCTCTTTACATGGTAATACTATGAAAAACATTCACATAACCTCATATCCCAATCCCTGTTCAGCTCTTTGCTTCAAGCTACTGGATGCTAAGTGCTGTTATTTGATTAGATGGCAATACACTGTACTCACATATTTAACATTTTCAGCAATCCTCAATTCAAAACCAACCCAGACATATCAGAAAAATAACCATTTGGCATAAATCAGCAGAAAAGGACAAACAATAATGACATAAACCATGATTGAAAATAATTGTTTTGTCTTTATTTTTATTTTCAATTGACCCTTTGACCCATTTATTGACATGGAGGAGGTTTGGTTTACACCCAATTCTAGAGCGAGTCAGTAGGGGGAGCTCTAAATGTTCTGAATCCACAGCCTGTGAACACCTGTTATATTCTGTTTAATATTCAGCAAACAGTTTTCCCCTTCACTATTTGGCACCTGTTTTTGTATACCATTAATCTTAATATCTCTGTTTGAATCTCTACCATTAGAACTGAGTTAATGTGGTAATGTGGCTTTAAATCTAATATCAGGAAGCTATCAATAATCATAATATAGAAACCTGACTGATAAAAACCTGCTGGCCTGACTTCACTCTGTGTTGCATCACTCACAAACACAGCTCTCTGTGTGCTCTGCAGTAAACAGAAGCAGGCTGATGATTCTGATGTTTCTGAATGTAACAGTAACCAGATGTGTAATATGTTTATGCACAGGGGCTCTCTCAGCCCTCAGTTTGTCCTGCAGGCTCACAGAGATTTCACATTAATGCTTCATACCCTGAAAAAATCGTCCTCATTTTAAAACAGGAAATCAAGAATAAAACAGGGAGCAGTTTGCTTGGACTCTCAGACTGCTGATGGTTTGATGTGTAGGAGATATGATTTTCACTTTGTATTTCACACTGTAGAAAAATTAAATACATCTTAAATATCTAATTATTAATTGCAAAGGGTACCAAATCTCTGAGTTACACTTAATATTAAAACACACAGTCCTTTAACATTAAAACCAAATTAGATAACTTTTCACCCATTTAAGATACAACATGTTAATAACTTTTTTAGTTATACATAAGTTGTGATATTGTTTACATCTTAAAAAATAATAGATTAATAAATAGGAAGTCCTGGCAGTCTGTCAGTTAGAGCCATCAAATTCCTGAATATAAAGGATGACTTCACAAATTATCGTTAAAGAGTCACTCAGGACATTCTGTTAATTGATGAAATCTAACAATCTTTAATGTCTACATTTTAATAAATGCGTGTCAACCCATCCAAGCAATAGTCTTCCCACCAGAGATCATTCAGACGACACTAAGACCAGATGTGGTGATGTGGTCCAAGGCTGCGAAAAAGGTTTGATGGCAATGCGATGTCAGTGCTTGCCAGTTTCCAGTCACTATGTTTCCTCCTTGTACAAACCCATGGCAACTGAATCTGATCTTAACATGTTGCAAATGTTGTGTGGCAGTTAATCATACTGCAATTATTACAAAGGAGAAAAGAGGACAGATGTGGGAAGAGGCTGACTGTATAGCCGATTAGGCAGAGAAGTTGGCAGTGATACTGGAAATGTCTGCCACCAAGCTGACCAATCACATGGCTTGAGGTCCATGTGATTTTGAAAAGCTAAGCACACAGGCTTCTGCTATGTGGACAACAGTCTATGTTGTGATGCCAGTTCAGTGCAAAAGCAGGCTTTAGTCCTCATCTTTTGTTGGCAGATGCCATTGCCTCAGATCAAGTGGAAGACTGAGCCCTAAATGTCCAAAGGTGGTGCGGTCTTCCCTGGGTAGCTACTGTGGAATTTATGGGCTGGTATCTGACCACAGCTTTGCCTTCTGGCTTTCTTGTCAGGTGGAGGCCTTGTGAAGCAATTGGCTGCTTTGTGAGCCAGTCGGCTGAACAGAGAAGAATGATTCTGGATAAACTCTGGATTCAGGTTCATCCACAGTCTTGGACAAAGGGCTGGGCATGGGCAGGAAGTTTATGTTTGTTTTCCTGGGTGGGTGACTATAAAGGCTGGAACAGTGAGGTGCCCAGTAGGAGAGCTGGTGAGGTTGTGGTGGACATTTTCGTGTCCTTGGTGCAGTCTGATTTTGGCTCCTGTTTTGTGAGTTGTGTCTGACAATGGAGTAGGGATGGAACTCATTTGACAGGCTTAAAGTGGCCTTGAGGAGATAGCAGAACTCTACTCAGAACAGGCACAAACTAGAATCTCAGGATGTAGATCATGTTGGTGGGAAGATCATGAAGTTAGAGGATGTCGCCAACTGTCTCTGGCTATTTTACTGACCTGGTACACTGCCACCAACTATCCATCAACTGGATAGTGGCATGCCTGAAGAGATGCAGGACCAGAGATGGTGGGGCACCTTAGAACACTGGATCCCAGATGACAGGTGAGCCGATTGAGGGAAGTTGAGTCTCAGGGCCAGATTGAAAAAAAAAGACAGTTGAGAAAAAAGAAACGTGGACCAAAATGGACAAGTCTGGTGTTTCAGGGTAGCCTTGGCTATCACCTCGACCTCCCAAGGGAGCAATGGCCAAGTTGGATGAGGTAAGAATGGAGCATTATCTTTCTTCTCCATGACTTGTAACCTGCTTGAAACAAACCTGATGACAGGAAAGGCCTCAACACACATGTTGTTCAGTCAATGTGTAGCTCATGGTTGTGGACCCATTGGTAAGCCAGGATTGAGACGGTCTAATAATGACTGTCAGACAGGAAGATGGGTGCTGGTGCAGTCTGGTGGTTACTTTCTCCAAGGAGATGATCATCCAAGGTGCTTGGGCAGGACCAAACAAAGTACCTGCTTGATTCCTTGCAGCTGGACTTAATCCTCATAAGTCAGGTTGACATCAGACCAGAGTTAATAAACATAGTGAGGGTCGATGTAAGATGCCAAACCAATCAAGGTGATTGGATCAGTATTAAAAGAGACCAGCTTGCTCTTGAAACGGGAGCACATAATTCCAGTGCTTTTCTCTCTTCACTGGTTCCCCGTAAGGTACAGGATCGATTTTAATATCATTTTATTTGTTTTAAGTCTCCGAATGGACTGTCCCCAGAATATCTGTCTGACCTTGTTAAATTGTGTCCGCGTCGTGAGGTCAGATAATCGGGTGGTTTTAGACGATCCTCAATTAGAGTACATAGTGTTACCATCTGGGCGCTTGCAAGCCCCCCTCACCTCTAAGGTTCGGTTTACACGTTCCTTTGTCCCTACCTTCATCAGCCTACTGATAGATGCTGAGGGTAGACCGAGGAGGTAGATCTAGGTTTAGATCTTAGCACTTTAACTTCATGTGCAATTCTTCCTAGCACCTTAATTTCATGTGCAATTCTTCTTAGCACTTCAACTTTATGTGCAATCTTAGTACTTGGTACTTGGTGTTTCTTTTTTAGGATTTCTGCTATTTATGTCTTGTATTTTGTATTGTTCTATGTATAAATGTATGTCTACGATGTTGCACCCAATTTGCCCCTCGGGGACACTAAATAAAACGGAACTTTCTAAAATCTAGGGGAGATCGAGCATTTTCTGTCGGGGCTCCCACTTTGTGAAATGCTTTACCCCTGTTAGTGTGTACTGCAAATAGCTTTTCCACTTTTAAAACACTTCTGAAGACGCACCTGCTCACTTAAGCTTTTGGGGAAGTAGAGCTACTTTTATTGGGACTTTTATTTATTTGCTATGTTTATTTTTGTTGTTGTTTTATGTTTTATTGTTTGTATTGTTTTTTTTATTTTGTTGTTGTCTCTGGCTATTTTACTGTGAAGCACTTTGGTATGCCACTGGCTGTTTTTAAATGTGCTATATAAATAAAGCTGACATTGACATTGACATTGACATTGACCCCTTAACCCCCCAAAAAGTTCTTGCACTGCTGGCAATTTGCATTTTGACTAAGCTTCTCCCCCAAAATCATGGGAGCAAACTTTAAACACATAAACACTTTGAGTCCCTAGAATCTGGTGATTAGTCTTAAACCTTTTTATCACAAATAATGGTGCACCATCATGTGTCATTAAAGGACTTAAGATTCATTTCAGAGTGTTGACATGCAAACAGTTCAAAGTTACAGCGGCAGCACTGTACTTCATCTGCTCACATAGATATCAAGAATAAAAGTAAGAATTAACATTACTTTCTGCATGTACAGGCACTAAGAATATGAAAAGACTGTTTCTAATCTGCTATTATAGAGACAGAATGTTCACACACACGGGGTCTGAACATGGGTCTGCACAGGCCCTGTAAGCAGCCCTGCATCCTCAGTGTGATCGGGCACAAGAGCAGGAGAGGGCGGAGAGGAGGAGATGCTGACCTGTACCCACTCCTCCCATCCCGGACACTAGTTAACTCAGCTGAATCAAACCTCTGCAGACCTCCTCAGACTCACACAGACCTCCTCAGACCTCCCCCGCCCGGCTTACAGACAGAGAACATGTGAGAAGACATCAGTGGGGGCTGAAATTGTTTGTGAATCAGAGTGGAAATAATCTGAGGACGATCAGAAAACTGCAGAGAGAGGAGCGACACAATGAGCTGCGACTTCATCACTGTGCACGGTAAATACATGCTTTATGTTTCTGTGCACGAAGAAGATAACTTTGCTTGGAGTAAAGTTCTTTAACTTTTAGTCTGGTTTGTTGTGTTTCGTCCAGGAATCCTCTCGGGGTAGAGTCTAACTTTACGGAGACTGAATCAAAGTTTTCCGTTTCAATCTCATGCAAATGATTTCGTCTTCTTTTGGGGGTTCACTGAAACCCTCCATCACACTTTGAAGTTAGACTCCTGTAACTCTGCGGGTTGATACCGGTCACTGATTCGGGTCTCTTCTCTTCCCGCAGTACTTCTCCTGTGCGCACTCGTGCGGGCTCAGCAGCACCTCTTGCCCGGTTCGTGCAGCTTCGAGCTGGGCTCATGCGGGTACACGTCGGACCCTGAGAGCGGTAGCTGGAGCATGAATGAAGAGGGTAGGCTACTCACTCATCTTCACCATCCTTCTGCAGGGGTACATAGGGTGGGCTACCGATGCAAAGAAGCCCATACAAGCAGTTCACAAGCAAGTAATGCTTGAAAACTACAACCCCAATATCCCTCCCAAAACAGAAATACTAAAATCATCTAAAGCTTGATATTTTAATGGGTTCATGACAATTGCTATATGCTCATATTAAAATTAATGCCATGCAGCAACACATTTAAACAAAGTAGGAAAAGGAGTATGTTTATCATTATGTTGTATCACCCATTCTTTTAAGTTTGGAAAGTCTAATGTCCCAATTTCTGTATATTAGGCTATAAGACTCCCCCTCCTCTTTAGTTGAAGATGCAGCATATCAAGTTTTGATTTGTCGGACCACAGGAGAATTTTCCATTTCAGCCCAGTCCATCTTAAGTCGGCTCAGGCCCAGAGAAGTTGCTGGTGTTTTGGATCATATTAATGGTTTCTTTTTTGCAGTTTTACCCGGCATTTGCAAAAAACTCTATTCAAAAGCAAAGGTTTATGAGTTCGGTTTTCAGCCCATGCAGCAATCTCCACTTTAGAGTCATGTCTGTTTCAAATGCAGAGCTGAGGGCCATATTGGTTATTGGTTTTATCCCCCTTTTATCAGATTCTCTGGATCTTTTAATGATATTATTTTACATTGTGGAACATTAGCCTGAAATAGTTGAACTATTTGTTCTTACAGAGCAGTGAACCTCTTACCATCTTTCCTTCTGATAGACTCAGCCTCTCTGCCATTCCCCGTTTCATATCCAGTCATGTTACTACCCTGTTATAAATTAGCCTGTTTGTAATTTGTGATTCATGGCATTTTTACATAATGAACATCACGTCAGCATCGGCTCTCACAAGGTCGTTTCTAAACAGTTGCACATGTTTTCCATCCTAAATGAAAGCATGTCAAATCATAAACAGTTATTGTTCAGGGTTTTCTATAAATTTTGTTATGGTGTATAGAAAAATGCAGTTGTGTTTCTCTGTTACGGTAGTATTGATTGCAATAGTAATTATATAATTGTAGTATTTAATATATATCTTATATAGCAACCACTGGCCAACCTGCTTTCTCATTTGCCATCGAAAAAACAGTATGGTTGACCATGAGCTAAGATCTTCTGATTCACTGTGGGTTAGGCTTTACTTTGTGGCCTGCCTAAGTTAACAAAATGCCAAATTTCAAACCAATCTATAATCTTTGGAGTTTGAAAATAAACCATGCAAAAGTTCAAAACCTGAGTGTCAACCAGAGCTTGGTTGAAAAACTGGGTCAAAATCTCAACATCACAAACAATTTGGTCTGGATAGCTCATTTCTGTATCTAATTTAACTGTACAGAATAAATATAGATACAAGTCACCTGTGCACATTATATCAAAGATTAAAGTTGGGTATAATTAGGAGTATGGTCTTTTGTGTTGTAGCTGTTAGTTAAGTGGCTAAGCCATGCTCTTAGCTCCATCTCTTTACCTGTTACTGTGCAGTTCAGGATGACTTTAGACTGACAAACATTAGAAGTGAAGATCTGTGTCTGTTACGTGAAGAGTTCACAGATTAACTGAGTTTGACAGACTCTTATTTTGAAAAGACTTTTCTACAGCTACAGAGCAGCTGCCTTCCTTCAGTTTATACTCCTATTTCTTATATAAAGAGTGTGTGTAAGTGTGTCTTTGTGTGTGTGTGTAAGTGTGCAAAGCTGCAGCTCCTGGTCAGCCCGGTTAACCGCACTCAGTCCGTCCTGCAGATGCTCACAGGCTCCACCCCCCAGCGACAGAAAATAGACCAACAAAGAAGAAAGAGACGACCACGGTGGTGTTTGTGTTTGGTTACCATGGTAATGAGGCAATGTGGGCTCCAGCTAAGGAAGCTGCTCCCAAAAAAGAACCTGAGGGCCAGTTAGTGGTTAAACCAGGAGAGAGAAATTTACTAACAGAGACGTCAGGGAGGAGGAGAGAGAGGAGGAGAGAAGTTTTTGTGTTATGTTGCTCCCTTGTCTTCCTGACATCACATAAGTTATCAAATAGTTCCCTTTTATTACCCCGAACACTGCCCCACTTCCCTCCTCTCTTCTGCCTATACGGTGCCTGAGTGGAGTCTGAATTCATCGCCTTATCGTCCACTTTTCTGATGGACAGACAAGCAGACTGACAACTACTATATCAGTCTTGGTCCTTGTATTCAGTTTGAACCTCTGGGTCGAGAAGGAGAGAGCAGCAGGATCTAATTTTTTGGATGTATTCAGACCAATTAGAGAGTAATTATCAGGCTACAGTCAGTTCAAAGTGAGTTAGACCAGGTGGCAAAAATGTGTCTTCAGTGTTAAGACTCGGCTAACCTCCTGATGTTTCATTTTGTTTAAACGATACTGAATTCATAAAATAAACATTTTCAAAATTGCTTAATTACAGAGTGACAGCCAGACGTAACAAACACTGAAGTGACACCTGATAGAGTCAGATTATGATTAAGTTATTTAAGTACCCTTCATCAACTCTTTTTCTGTCAGGACCGAAGAGAATTGTTTATAATTGTGTGATTAGTTATATTTGGCCATATGGATCTGCTCTGGGAGCTCCATGCCCTTCCAAAGCATGAACACCCTCCTCCTTTTCAATTGAACACATAGAGGCAGGGAGAGCAGCAGGGAAAATGGGATTAGTCAAAAACTGATGGGCTCCAGACAACTGTGCGAGTGTGGTGTGAATGGGTGAAGGTGACATATGATGTTAAGTGCTTTGAGTGACCATAAGACTAGAGAAAGCATTAAATAAACATGGTCCACTTACCATTTTGTCTATATTTACAAGTAGGACACTGTGATTTTTCTTCTTTTCAAAAAAGAGCCCCGAGGTACAGAACAGAACAGGTATTAGTGACAGTACATTAAAAACACATTTATAAGTAGGAACTCGAATGGAGGGAGGAGTGTGTCAGCGGGCTAAAGCAGTTTTAATGAAAATCGCCATTTTTGACATTTTCCAGTCTGATGGGTAGAGGGTAAATTAGCTTCACTGCAAGCTGATATGGGCTAGGGCAGTGGTTCCCAAAGTGGGCCATGCGCGGCATAATTGCAGGGGGGGGGGGTGAGACAAGGCTGAATAAAAATAATGCACATTGTGTTGCACTGCTAACCATGGCAAACGTCAGCGGACCCCAGGGAAAACGCAAGGGCGACAACGACACTACATCAAGACCAAGTACCGATCAAGACTGGACATTGAAAATGAACTGAGAGTGTCAGTCTCACAGCTGCACCCAAGACTGGGGAAGATCTGTGGCACTAAACAAGCGCACTGTAGCCACTGACTTATTTTAGGCGCTGAAAGAATATATCTTTTGACAGCTTTTGAAGGATGGTGTGTTTTTTTTATACATTCACATATTTTTCATCAACATGTTGATGTGTACAGTCAGGTGTAGGGGGGCCTAAAACAATTTTTATCTGCCAAATGGGGGCCCGGCAGAAAAGGTTTGGGATAGGGCAAGGATAAGCTGATAAACCGTGGCCTGAGCTCAACTTTTTGTCCTGCTTGAAGGCTATGCTCAATGCATTTTAACTTCAAAGTGCTTCAAGATTAAATGTAGTATGACTTATAGATCCACTCACAGATTGATTTAACAGAGACGCAGCAAGAGACGCACAGATAGGAAGTTCAGACTGTTCCAGAAGCTCAGCTGACCTCAGGTAACCTCTTGGCGGTATGACAGAGTGTGATTTGAAAACCATGTCACTGGAGAGGAACCTGCTCAAAGAATAAAGTCAGGCCGCTTTACCTCAATCGTACTGTTACTTAGATGAGACATCTGGACTCTATGCAAGAGCAGAATCAGAGTTTTGTTCCTGCAGGATGATCCTCCATCAACATCTTGTGACCAAATAAGGATCACAGAGAGAGAGGTGCCTGCCCCCCAACATACACACACACACACACAACCTCAGTCTTTCTCTTTCTCACACACATGCACTCCGCTGATTTAAGACTGGAAGCTTTTAAGCTCTATAAACACACTTTATACCCTGTAAATGGACTGACTCTGTGGGTAAAGTAGTCTCTGAGCTGTGACTTAAAGGGAGAGATTCAAACTGTCTCATGTGTGCATATGTATGTTCTACGGTATTTTGTGTCCTCGTGGTGTGTGTCTTTTTCTGTATATAGTTGTGTTCCTGCAGCTGAACTCTCCGTGTGACTCTAGGTAATGTCAGAGAGGATCAGAGCAGGAAATTAATAAGTTAGAGTTTCCTGTTGTTCCTGAGCGTGCTCGGTGCTTTCAGTCGCTAACTTGCTCCATATCCTCCTGATTGAGATGAGTGTTTGTCCCAAGGTTTGTCCATCAGACATCTGATAGCAGCTGAGGTAAAACAGATTATCAGCAGGTCTATAAAGTCTTTTAATGCTCATTAACAGCACTTTTGTAAACTCAAACTATCAGCCAGCCATTAAACTGATATGATTAGTTTGTTTGTTACTCAATTTGTGAATAAAGTTCCTTTTAGGGATCAGTAAAGTTCTTCTTATCTTATCTGAGATTATCAGGTGGTCTGTTCACTGGAGGTCTGTAAATTCAGTTTGGTGGGTCATCAGATTTTTGTAAAGCCAAAGTTTTTAGAGTTTGCATAAAGAAAAACCAACGTAATATACCAGCATAAATTTAAGTTATGGTCAAACACACCGTTACACCGAGTTAGACACCCCCTCTAGAGATGAATGTTGCCGACTGCTTGCTTCTCTAGTTACACCAACTTTAGTAACGACCGCACAATAGCAATACACAGCTGTCTGAGGAGCCATAAACAAACCTCAACCAAAGCGCCACTTTATAGCCACAAATAATGCTCAGAACAGCACCTAACTTCATCAACAGTACATGTAGGGTCTTAGCCACAGCACTAGCCACCAAACATCTTTTTAATTTTGCCTAATTTCTTTAGCAAAAAGACTAAACACAACTCACCTACTCTCTTCTAGCAGCCACTTGTTTGTAGTGGAGACCTCAGGCCAGTCCATTATGGACAGCTGCGGGGTGACGCAGCTCAAGGAAGAACATTTATGATTGGAAATGCAATCAGACTGAGACGCAAAGGCAGAAGAACTACCGCGTCTGCAGTGCAAAATGATTGATATGGTGATTATTACTTCAAAGAAATGATGAAGAAATTACAGAAACTCTGTGTTACAGTGTGTTTGACCCTAAATTAATTTTACACCGGAATATCCCTTTAACTTTCCCTCTGATCACATTTGCGTCTCTGAACTATGAGATAAGGAAAAGAGCTTCAAGTGGGTCCAGCAGGTATCTGTCTGATATCTAGACCATGTTTTCCTTTGGTTTTGACTGTTTAAAGTGAAAGACACGCACACTCTGCTCTCAGCTGCAGGTGTGGGTTCATACAGGTGATTAAAGAGTTAATTCCACAGGTGTTGGAGGTAAATCTGAGGTCAGTTTGTCCGTTAAGCTTCTCCTCTTTCTCTCACCTCCCCTTTCTCAGAATGATCTCATGAAAACAGTCAGGGAGTGCAGAATCCTGATTAGTCAGCGCAGAGAAACAATTGTGATGGGAAACATGTTGAACAGTTTAGTCTGATTCATGGGAACTTTTTGTTTGAATTACACACAGAGTCGCTCATCAAAACCTCTCAAAAAGTCAGGGTTATTTTCAATTCTCACAAGTCTAACAGCACAACAGATACAGACTTTATAGACTGTATATAAATTATTGATAAAAATAATACTTTTCAGTATGGTATCAGATATTCGTTTATCTGTATAAAACATTAGATTGGCAGCTTGAACCTAGTTTTATAACCACATAAACATGATATATCTTTATCTTTTAGGACACCTGATCTCTGTGGAATCAGAATTCCTTCAGGACTATGACGAGGCAGTTCTGGTGAGTCCAGTTCTAGATCACCAGGACTGGAGCTGTGTGCGTCTGGTGTATCAGATCACAGGGAAAGGGTCTTTCCAGATCCATCTCAGACCGGACTCAGACAACTTTGACTACCTGCTGTGGTCCTCCAGCACAGCCTCTGACAGCTGGCTCATCTCCAGCCTGGACCTACGTAACTCCACTGAGCCTATCCAGGTATGATTTATAGAGACACAGACCTACAGACACGCGCTTGGAGGTAGCATTACAGTTTTCGGAGTCAGATATAGTAGTTCATGTAGTTTGATGATGTCCACACAAGCTTCACTTGAAAGATCAGATGACATTTGTTCCATTCCCGCTGTAACTGAATGTATAGACCATTGGTTATACATGAGTATAATAAATATGGTAGACATACTGGCTCCTACTCCTCTCATTGTAAAAAAAAAAAGTGTTACTGCCTCAAAAGAGCACTGGATCTGTAGTATTGAAGCCAAAATACTCACTCTAACCTGTTATTAAAACATCAAAGCAGGTGGATCGTGTCCACAGCCAAATATTTTACTGTGTGGGATTAAAGCAGACACTCGCAGTCTTGGAAAGTTCCATGTGTTGGTGTAATTCATGTTCCCTCTCACCATTCCTCTTGTACTCTGATAATCAAGTGCATGTAGAAGCCAGAAGGAGCCTCATTGGTTAATTAAGCTGTCAATCAAGGTTTTGTAGCCCTTTTATTGCATTAACTAACTAATTTAAACTAAACTTCTGCACCTGGGCATAAGAACAAACTCAAACAACAACAAATGATGAGATTAAACATTTTAAGAGATTTTTTTTAAATATGCACTACAAGAAAAAAGTTACAATTTCAAGTCAAGAGTAAAAAATCAATGTTGTTGGACATTGCTTTTTTAACTGCTCATAGTCTAAAAGACAAAAATCAGATTTTTTTAATATAAAACTTTGTGTTAAATAAATGAAAATGGACATTTTCAAACTATATTAAAAAAATTTCTTAACATTTTTACATTTTCGCAATGCAAAAGTGCAGTCAAGGAATTCATTGGTGTACTCTCTGCTATGTGATGTTATTTATAAAACTAATAAAACTGTTGTTTAGCCACATAACTTGAATACTTTCATAGATTGGATGATGAAGTTTTGTTGGCTGTGATGAAATTTGTGTGCAATGAACAGAGAAAACTTGTTAGATGATACGACTCATTCTTCCATTCAAAAAGCTCAAGCTGTTTGGTCTGCATTCAATTAGACGATCATGTGCACAGATACGGCAGCCCCGCTCAGACAAACTACACACAGAACTAGAATATGAGCACAATTTAATGTCTTTGGGATCAATTTTGGAAAAAATTGAGAGAAAACTTCATCAGCTGACTTCAAAACAAAAATAAAGATCAAGGAAAACATTCATAGAGATATAATGGTGTCAAAAGGACTGTTTGTCTTTCAAATGTAGTTGAGCAAAATATGTTTACACTCCAAATGATAAAGCTTTTGTGAGGAAATTTTGGTTCATATCAATCTGAGTGCCACCAGTGGACGAAGCAGTCTTTGCTTTTCTTGTCTGCTACATGTAGTGTACAAGCTGACTTTGGACAAAGAAATGTAAGATTTATTATGAATGTTTTATGTGGAAACTGTAAAAACAGGGCTGTTATTTCAGCTGCTCAGCTCATACCTACCACCTATCATCCCAGTTTCAAGCATTTAAAAATACAGTATAAAAACTGCAACATAATGAATTTCAGTGTATTTTTTACATGTCAAAACACTCCTCACAGGAACTTTAGGTCAAGTACACATGCTCCAAAACATAACTACAAATGCTTTATGTATTTGTGTTATCTGATCCCCCAGTTTGTCTGCTAGCTCTCTTGAACGTCTCTTTGTTTTTCTTTCTCTCTCTCTCCTCGATCTCTTTTAAACCGTCTGCCTCGCACAGGTATTTGATGTTTACATCTCTTCAAAGTCCCTTTAGTCTTTAATGTGTTTATGACTGTGGCTGACCTAACCCTGTGAGTGTTCTTTATATAAATAAGGATTTTCTGGTTGATCTAAATTTAAAGAAGCCGATGTTAAACACAGACTGGGGTGATGTCATGTGACCTCAGTGTGCTGACCTGCTTCTTTACAGAGAGGCAGAAAGCCGTTATGCAACATTGTGATGATAAATTAGTGTTAAACCTCAGACAGACAGAGAGGGTGTGTGTAATGGAGAGTGTGAGTCTATTCCACATGTTGGTTAATGAGAGGAAACGCACACTCCTCCAGTTGCTCAGAAAAAAACACTAACATTAACAGACTGACAGTAAAACACGGAGGAACATCCACAGACCTCAGCCTGAGTAAAAAGCAGGCCGACTCTGTAGAAGTCCAAGAGAAAATGTTGATTTATTCCCTTGGTAAACATTTTCTCCATGGGTTTTTGGTCTCAATCTGTCATTTCAAGTCTCTTCAATACTGAATGATGTTCATTTTGTAGATTACAGTCCCATTTAGAGTCAAACAGACGAGCGGGCAGGGTAGATCTGCAATTCAGAGTTAATAGGAACAGCTTTTCAAAGGTGGTCCACCAGCTACAGCAATAAAACACACTGATTTACACCAGTAATTGTACCATCATCATTTCATACATGAATGTAACCCATTAAACCGACAGAGACACTTTATTTACTACATGTCTAATCTATGATTACTTCCTATGAGTGCCTTTACAAGTTGTGTAGCCTACTTTTCCCTCTGATAACAACTCAATTTGGTGTTTTCCATGGATCTTAACCTGCCGTAAAAATAGCCCAGATCTCACTGCCCCTCCACCTTCTTAAGTAGAATGCCAAAGCCTTTGGAGGGAAAAGTACACCTCTGTTTCATGTACATAAATGAAAAGTCAAGGTAGGGAGAGCAGCAGCAAAGACATCCCAGAGGACAGAATAGAGCAGGCACCAGTGACAACAGTTTTCAATTTTAACTGAAAATCAAGTAAACCAGCGTTGATATCCCAAGATAATGTGAAAAATAGTTTAGATTTTGAGTAAACAGCTGGAACAAACTCTTTATCAGGACAAACAGAGTAAAAGTGAAGTGTACGGATGGTTGTCTGCTGAAAGTATCTGTAACTGCAAGTATTTTCTCTCTCAGATTTTGCTGACAGGTCGACCTGAAAGAGGATTTGGAAACAGCGTAGCCATCTTTGAAATCCACATCGTACCTGGATACTGCATAGGTCAGAGTCACTTGACACACACACACACAGACACGTGTCAAAGGGTCATATTTAATTATAGTAACCATTAGATCTATATCTACACAGTGTGAAAGAAATATGACTCTTTAACTGTACAGTAAAAAGAACCATTGCATGTTACAAAATCAATAAACCTGTATTTTTAGTGTTAGTATTGGGGTAATCAGATAAAGGGAAGAGTGTTGGGTGTCATATTGATAGAGAGTATTTAATAGTTTTTAAATCAGGATTTTCCGCATTTGCACTGATTTAAGAGCTTCATGCCCTTCTATGGTTGTGAATGAGAGATGCCAAAGCCTGATGCAGGTAGAGCACACTGTCCTGTTTCACTTGTACACATGGAAGGCCAGGACAGGGAGATCAACAGCAAAGACCCCTGGTGCACCAGTGACAATAACACACTAGTAAAATCAGAACCAGCACAAAAAATAGGGGCTGATGTGGAAGCAAAGAAGGCAAAAAGAGTGTCAAGGGTAAAGGAGTTTGAATAGCAGAGCACACCCATTTTGACTTTTGCCAATTGGACGCACAGAAGGTAATTAGCTGATAGAACAACAATTATCACGATAACCGCTTCAGGGTCACAAAAGCCTTTATGTAATCATGTACATACAGCATGTAGCACATTAAATATGATGTGTATTTTGCTTGTTTTTGCAGAGTGCAATTTTGAGGAGCATCACCTGTGTGGTTACAGCAACAGCTGGAACCCAAATGTGAACTGGTACGTAGGAGGAAGTATGACCAGAGAGAGAGAGGACAACCAAACCAACAACAGAGGTACACACACACACAAACACACACACTCACTCACATACTGAAAGCACTCAGTGTCCTCTGATGTTTAAAAACACTGGGATAACCTGTCTCTGCGCCGGATGAGCCTGTGATCAGAGAGTGAACACTAACATGTCAGTTAGTTCGTGTGTTTAGGTGCACAAACACAACATTTAGTGTGTGTTAACTTGCACAAACACAACATTCAGTGTGTGTTAATGTGCACAAACACAACATTCAGTGTGTGTTAATGTGCACAAACACATTATCCAGTGTGTGTTAATGTGCACACACTGAATGATGTGAATTTCCCTCTAGGATAAATAAAGTATTCTGATTCAGATTCTGACAAACACGTCATTCATTGTGTTTCCGAGTGCACAAACACATATTTGTGTGTGTGTGGTCAGTTGTTTATGTCTGCAGTCACATCTGGTTGTTTCTGTGCAGGATGATGAACGGGCTTCAGTCTGACTGCTGCCCAGGAGAAAACACACACACACAAACACAAACACACATTGTTACACAAAGTCCAAATCCAGTGTTTTTGTTGGTTTATGTCAAATGGTTTTTCTTCATCCCCTAATGTGAGGAAGGGTGCAGACTATCACTATGTTATTGTACTCATCATTATAAATAAACCATATGATAAAGACAAGACTGTGTGAGCAGTAAGACGACAGCTCATCTTCTGCAGATACAGCAGATAAAAGTTCAAGAGTCTTTCTGTTAATTATATTTTTCTAATATTGTTGTGTTTGTGTTGAAATTAAAGGCACGATTAACTTTTTTTTTAAATAGTCACTTTATGATAAGATACGTTAAAACCAGTTCAACTCAAGGTCAAGCTTAAAATCCAAACCTCATTCAACCACCTGACACAACGGAGATCTTTGCAAGTCAAAGCTCTTCCTTACTGCTAACAGCTCTGTGGTCTCTGAGGCTGACAATCAGGTCGCACAGTCAGGTCATATGATTGAAGGTTCTGAAGGTTCAGGTTGTAATTTGAAAGGGGATACTTTGAAAGTTTGAACTGGTCTGTTCTTGCTGTCTGAGTTTAAAGAGATGTTTACAGTGATAAACAGTCACAGTGTGATATGAAGACAAAGTGAGAGATGTCACTGAGACTGTATGCTGATCAGACATGAGGTAAAAATCATTAATGATCTTATTACTGACACCTATTACTGACTGTTACAGGTCACTACATGTATGTGGACTCAGTCTACGCCAAACACTTCCAGGAGGTGGCGAAGTTTACATCTCCCATGACGACGGTGCCGATGTCAGGCTGTCTGTCCTTCTTCTACCACAGAGACCAGGAGATGGGAAACATCTTCTCTGTCTTCACCAGAGACCAGCAGGGACACTATGAGGATGTGTGGAAACCTGATGTCTACATTACATCTGGGTGGACTCATGTCAGTGTGGACATCAAGGCCCCAAGACCCCTGGAGGTCAGGAACTACATCACAACAACCCCCATCTTTATTTAAAGTTACTTAAAACTACATATGGCAAAATAAAACTACAAACACTCATTCAATTTAACAACACAGTTGGTGGATCACAGATCAGACTTGAAAGATTAACGATTTAATACAAAACATAGTTTATCGTAGATTATGGATTATGAGTCACAGATTTTCGGATCACAAATTAAGATACGAGATAACAGATCACAGAGCAAAGACAACAAACCTGTAATTTCAGATAAAAATCAAAGATCAGAGCTCACTGTTTAAAGCTAAAGACTGAAATTAAGGGAAGGGAGATCACAAATGATAAAATCACAGCTCATTGATTAGAGATCACAGGTTAAAAATCACATGTTTCAGATTTGCACAAGTCAGATCACAGCTTTTTAAATCAGAGGTAACAGATTATGGATCACTAATTAGAGATTGAAGGCATGAGGTTAGAGAATTATGAAGACAGATCTCAGATTACAGACAAAATATCAGGTTACAGATTATAAGAACTTCAAAAAGTAGAAATCCCAAAGATCACAAATAAAAATGTTCAGATTAGAGATCAGTGATTAAAGGTTTTAGATTAGACATTTACCAACACAGATACTATATTACAGATCACAAATGACAGATAATATATCACATATATCAGAGGATTCAGATAAATGATCACAGGCCAAAAATCAGACATAGACTACAGATTAAAAATCACAGATTAGAGATCACTCATTTTTATTTACAGATCAGAGATTGCATTAAACTGATTAGATATCAGCAGGAATTGGTTGGAGTGTTGATGGTTTCAGCCTGATTCTTCAGCCCTCAGAGATAATCTCGCTTTTATCTAAGAGTATGTGGAGTTAAATGTGTTTTTATGGTGATAAAGAAATGAAAACAGTCCAACCTGATGAAGGAGGTAAAGTGAATCTAGCTGGGTCCTGTAAGGGCAGCTGTGTTAACAGTCAGAGAGCCATCACTTATGACTATTTTTAGATAAACATTACAGTAAGATGAACCTTGTTAGATAAAAATAGAGCTGTTCGTTGGGATAGTAATAGACACAGTCATCAGGTTGATTAACACCGTGGATTAATCCGGGTGAGCACAAAAAAAAGATCAAACACACACTGACAGAAAACAGGATCAACACAACCCTCTGTTGCCCAGAGCAACAATGTGATGAATAGAAACAACCAAAATACAGTAATAATAATATCCTGACCCTCTGAGAGTGCTGCAGCTTGATTTCTCAGCCGGTGCTCCTAAGTAGAGATCAAACTTTTAATTCGTCAAACCTGTTGGCTATGTAGAGGTCATGTGATCGGATAGAAAACAATAATCCACTCTGTGACTGTTCCACTTGGATTGATGCAGAGATATCCGCAGTTGTTACTCATGCATTATTGAAAAGGACTTTTTTCACATGCTAAATTATTTGACATGCTTAACATTTTTTCTGTCTCATCTTAAGCTGCACACGAAATCTGCAAAGAAAAAAACGCCTCCTCACATAATTTCAGTGTTTCCTGAGCTATAAGCCACAGTCTGCAGTGTGCGTGTGTGTGCAAGTGTGTGTGTGGAAAAACTCTCGTAAACGGTGTGTATCTGGGTCACTTCCTGAGTTCACCCAAAATTTTCCAAGGAACAGAGACTTTCAGAGATCGAGGTTTCTGATGTAATGTCTGAGTGTGTGTAAGGGATCAGAACATGGTAGAGTATTACAACATGTGTAACAGTTATACTCTGTGTTATCCATTAATCACTGCTAGTTCACTTATATGTGTGTGTGTCTATGTGTGTGTGTGTGTGTGTACTCTAACAGCTGGTGTTCGAGGCGGCCTTTAACAGTGCCAGAGGAGGATATGTGGCCATAGATGACATCACATTTTCACCTGATTTCTGTCACACCGACACAGGTGAGATGAAACCGGACACACATTTACAGTCGCTAAATGTGCCACACAAATCAGAAAGAGAGGGCGGTCAGGGGGAGAGAAGGGGGAGCAAATTAAGGTGACAAAAACAATAGAGAGAAACAGAAAAAATGTGGGGAAAAAACCCAACAGGATGAGGCATGAGCCTGATGTGAAGTCTAAACATAACCCTGCTTAACTGTGGTACATCACAATATGAACATTTGTATTCACCATTAAGACTTGACAGTTTCTGATGGCTTTTTCTTCTCAGTCCTGTAATGCCATCCCATCAAAGCCCATATCGTGTTGTTGTTTTGTGGTTGCTTAGCGTCAGGTTTCTCTAATTTGACTCACCCTTTAGTGTTACACAATTTATTTTTTTTTAACTTTTTGGCCTTTTTTTTTTAGAGAGGAAGGACTTTAGTTAAAGCAGGGAACAGGGAGTGGGAGTGACATGGAAGGAAGGGACTGCAGGTTCCACATAGGGTGGGCTTGGACTACTAGACCAGCGGTACCTCTTGTGTATTTTGACAGGGGCTGAAGGCCAGGTAGAAGCCTCTGCAGGAGGTAACCCAGAATCCTGAAGAGGTTTAGAGACTCAGAGTTGAGTCTCCCAATCATCTCTAAGTCGCCTTCAACTTGTCCAAAATGCTGCTGCCCGTCTTTTAACCAACACTAACAGACGTGAGGACATCACTCCTGTCCTTAGCTCTCTTCCCGTCTCTTTTAGGATTGATTTTAAACTTTTAATGTTTGTTTTTAAAGCTCTTAACGGCTTTACCCCCATCTATTTAACTGAGCTTATAACCGTTCGGGAGCCGGGTAGAGCTCTGAGGTCGTCAAATCAACTTCTGCTGGAGGTGCCCAGGTCAAAAAACAAGCACTGGGGTGACTGAGCCTTTTCAGTTGCTGGTCCCAGTCTCCCCACTGTAATAAGCTCCACACTGAAATGAGACTTATTTCTGACCTTGGCCTTTTCAAATCCTGATTGAAAACATACTTATTTATGCTGGCTTTTAATACCCAGTAGCATAATGACACTTTATTTTATTGAATTGTATTTGATTCTTTTTCTATTGCTTTTTATTGTTTTTATGTATTCATTTTTATTTTCTATGCATTGTGAAGCACTTTGGTTCATCGGAAGGGTTGTTGTAAAGGGCTGTATAAATAAAGAACATTTACATTTACATTAAATTTTTTAAAATCACCCTCTGTCTTCATATTTAAACTGTTTAACACCTGCTTTTGTTCAACACACCAGTTCACGTCTTACCTGTTGAATCCTCTCTGACCTCTTCTTGACCCTGTGCGTATGTGTGTGTGTTTCAGAGCCCACCTTTGACCCCTCAATAGCAAACTGTGACTTTGACAGAGGAATGTGTCTGTACCATCAGGAGAGAGAGGACAGCACAGGGTGGAGACGGGTCACAGTGAAAGCCAACTTGTACAGGATAGGTGACCACACACTAGGAACAGGTAACACACACAAAATATTGAAACATTTCAGTCAAACAAGAACATTAATGTGCATGCAATAAGCTGGATTTGGCAGTATGCCTCTTCTCTCTCTGTCCTATGCCTCAGTCTAACACACAGTGTGTAACAGTGTTGCAACGATGGTTTCCTCCATCTCCTTCATCACAGGGAGTTTCCTCCTGGCGAACGCTCCCTCCTCCTCAAGACCCGGGTACGTTGGGCGTCTCCATGGCCCCTTATTGCCAGGTAACCACAGGTACTGTGTGAGGTTCTTCTACCTGCTGCACGGCTCCAAGAGCATCGACAACGCTCTGCTCCTCTATATCTATGACGAAAACAATGTGGCCCAAGAGAAGGTGTGGACACTGGGTGATTCCTCCAGAGGCGTGTGGACTCAGATGGAGATCACCTACATGAAGCCCATGACTACTAAGGTGAGGAGGTGACTTTATATGATATTCATAAATGAACATTGTACAGAGTGGTGTGTGTTTATCAGTGTGTCTTTGTGTCAGTTGGTGTTTGTCAGCATCTGCAAGAACTTCTGGGAGTGCGGTCTGATTGCCATCGACGATATCACAGTTAGCCTCGGAGACTGCCGTGCACACACAGGTAAATTTTGTTCCATCAGACTGATATTTACAGATATCAGGGACGTAAGAAACCCTCTTCTAATTTTCAACAGATGAATGACTGTTTTTCTCACAAGTCAAAAGCAAAGTTACATCAAAATTTAAAATATCCCTAAAAAGAAAAAAAAAAAACCTTAAATATCTGAACCTTGCTTCAAGCAGATCCCCTCCCTACTGAGTGTGACTTTGAGGGTGGAGTGTGCGGATTTATCCAGGACAAGACTGAGGACAAAGCTGATTGGCTGAGAGTTCGAGGGCACACCCCTACCTCTTACACTGGCCCCAGAGGAGACCACACCACAGGGGTGGGTGAGTTCATCCATTTAATTATTTTTTCAGTGTTGTATTAATAAAAAAAGCGTTACACGCTCGACAGTCTGTAAGTCTAACTCTGTGTTCCTTCTCTAGGTCATTTCCTGTACATTGAGGCGTCTCTCATGCGTCCAGGTCACAAAGCTCGCCTCCTGACCTCTGACCTGCGGGGCTCATCTTCGACTCAGTGTCTAGTCTTCTTCTTCCACATGTACGGCTCAGGAACAGGCATACTGAGCGTGCTCCTGCGTGACGGGGAAACAGACAGGCTTCTATGGAGGCGCCGCGGAGAGCAGAGCGTCAGCTGGATGAAAGCGATGGTGGACTACACCTGCATGAACAAACACCAGGTACAAACACAAACACTGATACCTACTCTATTCTGTACCTCAGGAGTCTTTTTTTACTGCTCTCCTTGCCTTGGATTTTCATTTGTGCACTTAAAAGAGAGGGAAGGTCTTCTTCACTGGCCTTGGACTTCCACACACACACATGGAAGGGCAGGGAGCTCTCAGAGTAGAGCAAGACAACCACATGTAAATTATTGCATGTAAATAATAATTCTCTTTGGTTAAAGTGGTACTTACTGAAAGTGGTTCTGGTTTGAAACTTGATTCTGTTAAATCTAAAAGAGGAAAGCTGGATTTTCTATTTTAGAGAAGGGTAATTCTGGGAAATGAAGTAACCTCAGTTCTGACTAAGTTACTGTGGTAACTGAATCTGTAAACATGACCTGGTTTGGAGCAGGTTTTACTCAGTGAACCCTGAGTTTCCCTCGGTCTCCCTTTTATGTCTGCATTTATTCATTAAGGCCATAACATGATTACGCTATAAGCGATTCAATTTTGTGTATAAAAACAAAACAAAACTAGTCTTTCAGGTAAACTAGTCTATATAAAACTCTTTCTTCTCTTTGAAGGGGGAGTAAGGACTGGATTTTTAGATCTGGATGTTTTATCATCTCTTGGTATCTACCTGTTTGCCATGCTAACATGCTAACTTAAATGTTAAATTGATTAGGTTAAAACAATGAACTGAACAGGATAAAGGTGAGAGGAAATCTGTGTCTGTGTGAAACCTGCATTATGTTTACACAGGTACATGGTATTTAGTTTTAAACCACACTTGTGGATGCAGGGACATACAGTGTTCATGGATTATGGTTTTGAAGGTGCTGCCTAACGGCCAGAGGATAATGGCCATAAAGCACCGACACTTTGTTTTGTCCTTTATGTACAGAGATTTAAATAATTTTGTGTACTGTAAATGTTTAAGACCCTGAATTCTTCTCAGTGTTACACTGAGACACATTATTCTGAAATATTTGAACCATTTTCACGTAGTCTCTCACAGAGCAGTGGACTTCTTCCAATCTTTGCTTCAGAGGGACTCGACTTCTCTGTAATGTTCTTTTTATACCCAGTCAGGTTACTAACCTTTTTCAAAATAACATCATTAGTTAGGAGTGGTTCCTCTATGTGTGTTTTCTTAGCATTACACAATGATTAGTAAACCTTTATCTCTGTTTTATTAGTATTTTAAAAAATTAGGTTGCGTTTTAAATTGAGCAATCCATGTTTTGTTCTTGTTCAGATTATATTTGAAGCCATCAGAGGGCCAACACTTCGCAGCGACATCGCTTTAGACGATATCAGCTTTAAGAGAGGACCATGTACAGGTGAGAACACCATCTATCACCTGTCACTTTAATATGCCTATACAAACAGGTTGATAAAAACAATTTTAAGACTGGGATGTTTGTATTTTATTATCTTATTAAACGTACTTTTATCATCTGTGTTGTTGTTTTCTCTGCAGATCTCACAGATGTCACTCCCTTCTCTGGATCCTCTGAATATTTTAATGAGATTGAAAAATGAACCTGTTCAGAAAAAAATGAGATACAATTAGAAGAAACAAGACAATTTACATGTTCGTAGAGCGACCTGAGTGCTTGCTGCTGTCTTCATTCTTCAGTTTTCCTGACATCAGTGTGAGAGACTGGAACTGATCAATAACCCTGATTTCCACTTTGTGTGACAGAATCATATATTTACATCTCCTGGTTAATAACTCAGACACGACCAGTGTTCAAAACCACACCAGAGAGATTTACTGACGTTCAACAGATTCAAGGTAATAATTTCAGACAGACTGTGCCAGTCAGAGATATGAGGACAAATGAAGTTATTGTGAAAACAAAGTGGTAAATAATAATATAATGTGACTACCTGAGGGAAACAAACAGCATTTCCATTATCCTCATCACCTCCCCTGTCTGCATCACCTCATCTGGACACTGACAGACTCTGTTCATAATGAGTTTACATTGTTTACAAAATAAATTTGGAAAAAAACACTTTTTGTTCACTTTTTCTCACACACAGACACGCCCATTAAGAAAAAAAAAAGCTATGTAGACTGCTAGTTTTGTTAACAACAAAAATTATGATAACTGTTGTTCAACATGGCTGCTTTTCCACGACAAAGGTAAGACAATAAGACAAAAAATCTTGCATTTACATCTACACACTTTTGAAAACCTTTTGCAAAATGTACAAGGCAAAAAAGAGAATACCAACAAGGCAAGATTTTCACTTAAACTCTGGATTCTCACTCAAGAAAACAAACAAACAAACAAAAAACAGCAGCAATACAAAATTCAGTTTGGCCATTACCTTCCAACAAACTTTGCAACAAACTCCAGATTCAAAGAAAGGCCCAGGGCAGCCCCCGCCCCAAGCCACTCCCAGTGGGCGTTATTAATTAGATAAGTTTAAATAAAAAAACTATTTAAAACGTTTTTAATCTTCAGACCTTTTTCTGTAAGTTTTTACCATTTTAACCAAGTTTTTACAGAAACCATTAGAGCATTTATTTTTAGGGATTCGTGGTAAACAACAAGGGAATCATTTTTTCTTGCATCATGTGACCACTTTGACCCGCCATACCAACCTATTTTACACCCGGAAATCATGCAGTCTGTTTTCTCATTTGGAAACCTGATTCGGCGTGATGGCGTGAATGGACGCCCGGTAAGTAAGTGGAGAGATGAATATCTGTGTGAATATATATTTACGTTTACTGATAGAGCTCCAACTTGAGAGAGTGTGCACACTTGGTTACCCTATCCAACAGAGAAGGGAGAAGGAAAAGTAGCGCTGTTTGGTGGGTAAATAGCGACGCTGGCAGGGAGGGAAATGTTTGGCGGGTATGTAGGTGTGTGTGTGCGCTGCCCGCAGTCAGTGAGGACGCCGCTCCGCCACGTCCCCTAAACGTGGTGATATTTCTCATGTTAAATAACTAGTAATATTTTCTCATAAAAATGGCTCAAATGATAGAAAGCTGGGATGACCCCTTTAGAAGGGGGGTGATTTTTTTTTTTACCATTTTCATTACAGCGGGGATGCCATCTCCCCTCAACTCGAGTACTGCCAGAGAAAGATTCTTTTTAGTTGACTTAGAGCACGGATCATCCCTCTTCACTTTCTCGACTATCTGAATGTAGTGGAATGACCTTTTCTTTCCTTAATACATCAACAGAGACAACACAGGTATGTTAAATTAGAAGAAAGTCTGGGCTGAATTAACAAAGTATGAAAGGACTCCAGGTTTTGCAAAAAAGGGAATGTTGCAGATTTATACACTTGGTGCAAGCTTGATACAATTTTATGATCTGCTAACTGAATACCTGAATACCTTACATATTTTATTTTATTTTTTTGTCTGTGAGGCCCTGCAACTGTAGGGAGCCTCAGATCCAGCAGGGGGCAGTCACACACCATAAACACACATTTCTAACTAGTGCGTCAAAAAAAGTCATTTCTCTGCTTGATGTTTATCTGTACAGGGACAAAATGAAGTAGGTCGACTGACAAGTCTGAACACATGATAGAAGTATTGTGGTCAGCGAGGGCAACAGTGTTACAATTACTCAACCACTTTTTAAGAGGAGAAACTTCAAAAACAAATGCAACCGTACTCTTCTGTATCATCACATATTCTATTGTGTGTGTAAAATTGTACAAAAGTTATTAAAATGTACAATATTCAGAATTTCAATAAAACAATTAAAAAAACAACAAAAACAAATGCAATGGCAGACAAACAAACTAAGAGCTTAATTGATGAAGGTTACAGGGTCCGTAAGATCCCGAAGCGCTCACTGATGTTACCCTGGCTTTTTAGCTCTTGTCAGGGTGGTCTACCTCCTTTTTAAGCACCTGTTATTCCACTAGAGTCTCTGGTATTTACTTGGATGTGGAGCGTGTCTCACAACATGAGGGAGCAGGGTCCACCTCACAACCAATCAGGATGGGGGAGGCAGAGAATGGCTTTGTTTATGTTTAGAAAGAGCGGGCCGCTCAAAAATTTTAAAATGTTGACTACACAGACATAACAGAACACAGCGATATTGTGATATCCCCAAATGTAATCAATAACTAACAGCTATTGACTGATATTAAAAGCTTTTTTATATATATACCACAAAAAAGATGCTCCTTTAATGGAATCCTGCCTACCCCACCTTTAATTTCAGACTGTTTCTCAGATCAGTAACAGAGTGGAGGTTAGGAAATAAGAAGTTAAGCTATGCTGATATACAGAGGAGCAGAAGCAGACCAAAGGTGAGAGTCAGACATGAGCAGTCAATCCCTGAGCCACAGGACAAACTCTCTACTCGTCAGAATAAAAAGCTGAAATAAATTATTGAAGAGTTGATGCCCTTCAGTGAGAAACAAACTCATTATCCTGCCATCATTAGAGGAAGTGGTCAGTGTGTGACAGCGGTGCAGCCATTGATTGATTGGTGGACGATCCCCCGGAGGTTAATCATCGACAGGATGGAGGGGTCAGCCTCTCCAGGACTTGATCGATTCGCCTTCAACTGAAACTCCGAGAACTCGACTCAAGAGGAAACACTCCGCCGTCCAGGTCGTCCCCAGAGATCCAGACTTTATGAAAAGATTAGAATCATGACGAGGACGAGGTGAGGAGGGCTCAGGTGAGGATTAACCTGTCTGACAACTACCAGTAAAATACTGACCACAGTTTTGGCCGAGCCTAGAATCCCCTCTTTATGGAAGTGGTAAATTCTGCTTATGAAAAAACATACAACCCCACAAACAATGCTCAATATCTGTTAAACCAAACAATATGCTCTCCGTTTACATAAATAAATAAATTATGACAAAAAATAATTACTATTACTAATAATTACTAATTACTATTAATAATGACTAATTATTAATTGAAAATCCTATGAATGCTGTCATTGCAAGTCCAGCGCTGTATTACTCTACCTGTGACCATAATAAAAGGTTTATCTGAGACCTGAATACTTCTCTGGTTGTACTTGAGCAGTCAACTAAAAAAGGGGTTCTTAAAGTAACAATCAAAATAATACCAAAGGATAACAACTGAATAAGATCCAATACATCAATAATATAATGAGAAAGAGACAATCACAGTAAGCCAGGCGTTCAGGGAAAGGCCGCCTTTTGACAATTGAAGTGCATTTTTAAGGGGATTTAAAAGGAGCGTCTGAGTTTGACTTTATGGCATCCTCAAGCAGAAAGTTCACAGCAGATTATCTTAAATGTCCTCCAGATGGGGTCTTAGATATGAGGTCTCAAAATCACAGTTCCAAAACTGCAGCCTCTGATTCTGCAGATAAATAATATTGAATGAACACTGGGTGGAGCTGTCCTCCTGCTCAGTGAGAGGTCTGTGCAAACCTGCAGACTGTAGAGGTGGAAAAATTAAGACAAATTCTTGATTTAAGTTGGAATAAAACAATGTGTTTGTAGCTTAACGCTCTGACTTTGATAAATATGATGATGATAATGATGATGATAGGAATAGCAATTGATGCAATATCCAAGTGTATGAGGAAATCAGTTTGACTGAATTGTCGGTCATTTTAATTTCCGACTTGACCTGTTTTATATCATGTTTTACTTATTTCATATTCTTATGTTTGTTATCCATTTACTGTAGCTATTCACAGACTTCATTTAAACAACATTTATGCTGCACATTTACAAAACAATGACATATAAATCTTTATGTAAGGGAGAGTGGGGTAAGATGAGCCATTTTTAATATTTCTGATCACTACATCAAGGCAATCATAGTTTTGTCTCTAACGTGTGTATCTGCATATATTTCAAGGTGTTGTGCATCCCTGCAAAACATAATAGTGTAAACATAACTGTCTTGATAATATAGCATGCTAAACAAAAAGTGGTCAACTTACCCCGTGTATGGGGTAAGTTGACCATAGGAGTGGGGTAAGTTGAGCCATATCACTACCCCCCACTCTCCACCCCAGCCCTCCCTCACCTTCTCTCTCCCTAAATAACAGTCACTTCTTCACATTTGTGTGTATTTTTATCTATTATACACTATTCAACTGGTTCAATATTTATCTTTATCATTATTGCATATAACTGTTAAAAATCTGTTTTGTAAAAAGTCATTTTAACATGAGAATGTCTTTAAGTGATTCAGAACATTCACAGCTGTATTTTTTAAAAGAAAAAGTAAAACATTTCAACAATCTGAACTGAAACTCTGATCCTCTCATCAGACTTCTTTACTTTCTCAGGTGAGCCCAGAACTACTATGATGACTTTATTAGTCCTCTAAACTAAAATGTTGAACTTTTATAATAGAGTCCAACTCATAGATACCACAATTGATGTATAAAACAAATTTAAAATGATCATTTTTGGTCTGAACACAATTCTAACAAAACTTATGACAGACTAAATTCACTTTCAAGAGTGAAAAATGTTTTGTTTTTTTTTGTAAATAAATGTCTAACCCCTTCACCTATGTGCTTCTAACCTTCACAGACTCCATGAATTGATGCCCATCTCCTAAATATTTGGTCACATGATCAATTTCTTTAACCATTTACAAGGTGGCCCAATTTACCCTTTGGCTCAACTTACCCCCTTCTCTCCTAATGTCAAAACAGATAAGGGTATTTAAATTTTACATTAAAATTAACAAATTAAAAATGTTTAAAAAGTAAAATCTTGACTAAAACACAGAAAAGAGAATCATATTTATAACTCATCTATAAAGAGAGAACACTAATCTGTTATCAGTGGGATTGTTGATGATTAGACACACACACACAGTTGGTTTGGACAGGAGGTCTGCTCTCTGCCTGCAGAGGTCAATCTCAACGTTGAACACTTGTTGCAGCGACGCTCACGAGGAGCGTTTGTGTGCGCGCGCGAGTGTGTGTGTGTGTGTGCGATGCGGTAGTGGGACTCTGTGTGTGCAGCTTGTAACAGTCAGACTCAGACCAGCATGGTGGATCACACGAGCGTCTCTGCGAAGTCTGCGCTGGTGAGACTTGATTTTAATTCGGATTAACTCTGTCTGCATGGGATCAGAGTTTGAAGTCACTTTTAGGACTTGATCGGATTAAGAAAGACTTTATTTACCTGATTAAAGTGATATTAATAAATCAGTCCCTTTGTTCAGATTGAGAGTGTTGGGGGTAAGAGTTTAGTCTAACTTTAGTCTGAGTGTTTGTGTCAGATTTATCATAAATTCTGAGTGTCTGTTGTGTTTGTGTGATTTCCTGTCCTCCTCCTCTTTCTCCGCAGTCAGCCTCCTTCTCCTCCAGCAGCCTCCCTCTCCCGGCTCCACCGGCACCCCCCGGTTCCTCTCACAACTCGTTCCCCGGCTCTCAGAACCAGCAGGCAGGCGGCGGTATGAAGCTGGAGGCGGTGATGGAGAACCTGCAGAGGCAGCAGGCGGCGCGGATCGCCCTGGAAGAGAAGCTCCGACAGGCGGAGGCAGAGAAGGAGCTCCGGTCCATGGTGGAGTCCCAGATCCAGCAGCAGGCGCTGGCTTTCAGGCACTACCAAGCGGCCATGAGAGGCGCTCTGACCGGAGGAGGGAACGCCTCCGCGCCCGGGCTGTCGCTGCCTCTCCTGGATGTCCGCAGACCCGCAGAGGACCGGAGCGGCTCCAGGCTGGATCAAGAGGAGCGGGGAGAAGTGGGAGACGAGCCGGACGAGCAGGAAGTCCTGGATGAAGAAGAAGAAGAAGAGGAGGAGGAGGAAGACGTTGATCTGAACCACTTTACACCCCGGCAGCCCCCCATGCAGGGAGCCCCGCTGCACCTTCTCACCCGGGTCCCGTCCGCTATCCCTCAGACCCGCCGCGCTGAGTCCCCGAACTCCATCAACCAGAGTCAAAACCAGCACCACGAGTGGACCTACGAGGAGCAGTTCAAACAGGTAGGACCCTGACCCTCACAGACCTCCCCGGACCCCTTAGACCTGCAAGATTTGTCTACGGAAAGAAAATAGACTAGTGTTTAGACTATTGTGTCCCCTGCAGCTTCTCCATTTATTTACAACTAAAGGTTATAATCATATCAAGAGTTACATTTCTGACATTCCTATATAAGATTAATATAATTTAGTTTTAGTTGCTGTTATTAAATATATGCAGTTTTCTTGAAGTTATACTCATTACAGAGCTTCAGTTATAAATATAGTGAGAGAGGGAGTTAAATAGCTGATGTTATTAATCTGATCTTTTGTTTAATGATTGAAATCAAGAGGAGTTCAGATTAAACCTCTCATATAATCTCTATTCTGAGCAGGCTGAACTGTCCTCTTTGATAAACTCATCAGGAATCATGATTCTATTATAAAGTTTCAGAGTGTAGATTGAGTTTAATTGGAGATTCTGTTTTAAATATGAGCGTTAATTATTGATCAGACTGATAAATGTGTGATGATGGTTTCATGCATGAATAAATTGAGGACATTTAAAAGTTGACGACTGAAATTAATGATATTTAAACTGGATTAGATAATTCTAAAAACATTTATTCAATCATTGTTGTATACAGCATATACTGTGTAAACTATAATTAACATTTCCTTTCTACTAGTCTGTGAGTTTGCCTCAGCCTAAGACAGCAAAGTATAACCTGTTACTATAATCACACTATATTTTTATGTTTGAATTGTAGACGTACTTTACTTTTTACAATACAAACAAAGTTTTAGCTGAGTCATCCAGTGTAACTATAAAAAATCTAAACTTTAATAGATGAAAGGTTTTATAGTACAGTCATGTGAATAAATGAATAAAATGAAAATCAATTATTACTTTAATCATTAAATGGACAGGATAGATCCTCAGATTACAGTTACAATTTTGAATGTTAATATCTATTATACTGATCATCATCATTAATATTGATTATTATTGTAATTATTGTTATTTTAAAAGTCAGTTTGTTGACTGGAGTGGTCGGGTTTTGTTTGATATTTGTCAGACTCAAGCTTAAATACATACAAACAGTTAAAAAAACTGCCTTTTTGACTATCAAATATTAAACGATCAATTCTTAATTAATCACCTCGCCTATTTAGTGATTAGTGAGCGAAAACAAGCTGATAACCATACCTCTGACTTCCACATATAATTAATAATTTATTAACTATTAGCCGATTTTATCAAACATCAAGGAGTCCATCAGAAAAAAACTTAAACGTGTGGACTGTCATTAACAACAAATAAAACATTCATGATGTTCAACAGAAAACAGTTTGATAATGGATAATAATAAAATAAAATAAAATGAGTTTTAAATCATTAAAAGTATAAATAAATATGTAGAATAATTCATTTAGGAAGTTAGTTGTGAAAGAAAATCATTAAAATAGTATTTAAGATGTTTATAAATAATTTTTATTTAGAATATCTGCAGTGTATGCGTGTCCATGCATGTGTGCGTACATGTGTGCGCATGTAGGTGTGTGTGTGTGATGGTCATGTTGGGACAATAAAACACTCGTCTGGTTGCTTTGCAGACAGAGCGGAGCCGACACACACTGAGCCCGCTCAGACTGCAAAAAAACACCACAACCAGACTTTCAAACAATAAATTTACATTCAACACGACTTAAACACAACGTCAAGAAAACAACTTCACAACATGCGCACAACCTCAACACATCACAATATATAGACATGTACAGAATGACATATCTTTGACACAACATATGCACAACAAATCTACAACACATGCAATAACATTAACACAACACGTACACAACAGATTAACAATATGTAAATAATATTGTAGAACCAAAACAAAACTGTACAACCCCAGTTATATATCAAGTGTAAAATGCAGTAAAAAAAATGTTGATGTTTGCAAATAATTTAGAGCCAGTGTTTGATGAAAAATAGTGCAAAGAGACTGAAACTGATCATTTCTATGTTTTTTTTGTTTGTTTGTTTTAAATTTTGAAAAGTTGTTTGCCGTTGTGTTGTATCACCTCTTTTTTTGGTAATCCTAAGATCAGTTTCTGGAGGTTAGGATGTGAATTGTTGGGCCATTCTTGTGTGATGTTAGATTTTATCTGCTTTAAAGTTTGGGGTTTCCTCTGTCAAATACTTAGTTTCATTATGCACAATATGTTTCCATCCGGTGACACAAAGGAACTGCAGGCCAGTTCAACACCTGGACTCTTGTACTACAGAGCCATGCTGTTGTAATACATGCTGAATGTGTTTTCACATTATCTTATGCAAGGTCTTCTCTGAAAATGGTATTGTCTGAATGGCGGCACATGTTGCTCAAAAAACTGAATGCATTGTTTTCCTAGTTATGTAAGCTACCCATGTCATGGGAACTTCTGTACCTCCATACAAGCACAGATGCTGGATTTTGAACCACCAACAAACTGGGTGGTCCCTCTACCCTGAAGTGGAGGGTCGCTGTGTCCAAGATTTCCAATACAAATGTCAAATTTTGAATTTGATAGACGACAGGAGAATTTCCCAGCTTCACCTCAGTCCATCTTAAATGGCCTCTAGTGTTTCTAGATCATGTTTACATGTGGTTTCCTCTTTGCATGGTACAATTTTAACCTGCATTTGTGGATGAAGGGACAAACTGTGTTCACAGACAATGGTTTTTGATGTAATTTTGAGCCAAAGCAGTGATTTGCACTATCGAGGTATGTCTATTTTTGATTCTGTGCCTGAGAGTCACTGAGTGGCTGGTTGTTCGGGTTCCCAACTGTTGTATGCATCCCTCTTGCTTAAAATGTGTTGCTGGTATCTTATTTAAATTAAACATATTTTTCATAAAACAACAGCTCAAAGATTAAACATGTTGTGTTTGCACTGATGTACAAACCATTACATTTGGTTTTGTCAACATTTAACACAGAGTCCAAACTTTCTTGGAATTGGAGTTGAACACTTTTATGTCTACAAGATGAACAGAAGATGCATTAAATTGAAATTTAGAGAGAGAGAGACAGACAGACAGACAGAGAGAGAGAGAGAGAGAGAGAGTTGCATAATTTTGGCAGCTGTTCAACTTTTCCCGGAAACTGGAGCTGGAGGTTTTCCAGCCTGGCTCTCAGCCAAAAACAGGGATCTCCCTGACTCTGTGTGCATTTATGTGTGTGTGCATGTGTGTGCATGTGTGTGTCTGTCACAGCTGCAGCTTTCTGTCAGTGGAGATGTTTCACTGACATTCCTGGAGTCTTTCACTGTTTGCTTCCACCGTTTAATGGAGGACCTGCGTGTGTGTGTTTCTGTTGGTGTAGGGACACAGTTATGGAGACACAGGAGGCTGTAAAGTCAGAGACAGAGCTTGTCTCTGGATTTAAACTTGATTTTCTTGTGTGGTTGAACCGGTCAAGGTGTATAATGTGGTCCCGGTCATCATCTTCGATCTTCGTATGTTCATTGGCTTTTTACATGTCGCTGTACCTCTGAGTCAGTTAAAATCAGCACACCAAAGGGATGATTCAGTTCAATGAGATGAAATATGAGTATTGATACACTTTGGCTTTGACTTGTTAGGGTGTCATTATGTTGCCTCCATCTGTAGCTGAACAGAGGTGAACAACCTCCTCTAAAAGTTGCCTGGTAAACTTAGCATTATGAATTATATTATGTGTTGTTTTTACCACTCTGTTCTTGCCTGCGTGTTCTCAGAGTAAAATGGACACTCATTTGACTGTTGTTTATTTTTTACAGCTTCTCTGAGTGTTACCTTAAAACATAGCAGATCGTAATCGGTGCAGCTGTTGTCTAAATAGAGTGTCATGAAAGCGTAAGTCACCACTGCAACTTTGTCGCATTTCCCATGGGGTAGATATCGGTTTGAAAACATGCTGCTGTCATTGTCAAGTATAGTCAGACTCTGTGTGATGATGCAGAGTTTGTGTCTCTTCTCAGGTGTGAGCAGGTATCCACACGTGCTAAATGTATAAGATAAATTGGACTATGTGTTACAGAGAGCTGATCAGACGAGAGATGATAAATTTTCATTTATTGATAAGGACAGTTAAAGGATATGCTATCAGTTGATGATGACGATGATGATGAGGAGGAGGGGCAATGTCTGAACCAGCAAATTTCTATCCTGTTCTGCTAGCTTTGGGCTAACACTAATGTAATTGCCGCTTTCTCTTTAATTAGACACTCTTTTCTTTAAAGGAGTAACGTCTCTGTCACTTCTGTCATTTAACACTGTCTGCTTTGTATGCAGTGACTAGGATTTGACATATAAACCACAAAACCATCACTCCAAACAACACAGAATGTTTTGAAACCTTCATAATAAAATGGGCTGTGGATGACACAATAACTGCAGACTTCTCTATGTTGTGACTGGGACAATTCATGTTAAGTTTCATCATGAGATCATGTTTAAAATTTGTCTTACAGTTGATGTAGATATCTTTTCTACAAACTATACGATTAGCAGATTAATTTACTATCATTCTTTACATTAAGTTCACATTATTGATTTCTGGGGTTGAGGCTTTAAAATGCATCGCTTATTACCCTGTGAGTCTTTTACAAAACTGTTATAAAAGTTAAACAGTTAACATCCTTGTATTGCAAGATTAAAGACACCAAACACAGAATGCAGACATAACACAGCGAAACCTCAGTCGACCAAATCACAGCTTTAAAATCATGCCATCAGCCAGTTTGCACGACATTTTATCGATCCAGGGGTGAGTCTTTAATTCCCTACTTGATACGACATGGATGAACCATACAAATAGTTTGGACAAGCGTACTTATCTAGTCTGGAGTATGTGAGTCAGCAGCTGCCCATTCTCCGTTACATGAAAAGCTGTTATAGTTGCATTTAGATCCACAATGCCTTTTTTTAACAGGTTTTTCTCAACTTGAAACTTCTCTTTTCTGTTGAGCTTCAGTACGACTGTTTTAGTGAAATACCATTGAGATGGAGCCACATACTTTGGTTCTAGTGTTTCTATCATTTAAAGAAAGCCCCATTTTTCAACAACATTGAACAAGCCGACGTCTTTAACCATGAAGTAGGTGACAGACTGGATCAGTGTGAATCGTCTTCTTTGTTAGGAGGGTTCCTTACTGAGTGAATCAACCCAGAAATGTTTAAGTGTCAGCCATGATGAGAGCTGTTTATTTCCCCAAATGGTGAGTAAAGGAGGTTCATTGCTTCTCTCACTATCCTCAGACACTCTGAATCATTCCTCAAAAAAAGGAGAGGAGTAAAAATGAAATGAACAAATTTTGGTGCCAAAGTTACACCCCTCTCAACCGTGCATGACGACAAACAATCGGCATGACAACAGCTGATTTGAAACTTATTTTCTCTTAATTAAACCTATGATTCATATGTCAATTACCTTTCATTCAGTATAAATCAGTGCAGTCAAACATTGCAAAGATGAAGTATGTTTTCTGTTGTTTTCAACATGATAAACTACCATTATTTAATTGAATAAACAACCACCTGAGAAGGTGAAAGCAGTCCTATCAGAGGTGCTGTGTTGGGTAGGCAGACACAGGTGTGCAGCAGGGGGAGGGGCTTGGCAGAACAAAGTGAAAGAGAGAAATGTTTGTGCAAAGCATGTTTTGAGGAGAAGGAGGCCAGGAGGCAATTTTTTTTTTTTTTTTTGTGGGATGGTAGGGGAAGGTCCCGCCCTCCTTCGCCTCTGATTGGCTGGAAGTGCTGGGCTCCGATTGGTTATTCCTTATGGCTGTGAAATGTTATCATCTGTCAGGTTAGAGTAAGGGTAAGAGATTTAGAAGTGCGATAATGGTCTGTAATGTTTTGTTTGTTGTACAGAGCCGACTTGCGTTTGGCTTGAGCGTGTGATGACGTTTCCAGCTTTTCTGGCCAATCAGAGGCGAAGAAGGCGGGACTTTCCCCTACCATCCCACAAAAAAAAAAATATTGCGGCCAGGAGAATTCCAAAACCAGGATAATTGAGTTGCTTCCCTTTTTTCTCTTCCTGTGGTTTTTACAATGCATTGCTTTCCAGTCTTTTTTATTTATGTCTAGATTCCAGTTACCATTTTAAATAATGTATTAAGGAATCTGAATTGGGATTTTGTGGATTTTCCATGTGTTTTTTAGAGGAATAAACTACAGTGTTAAACCAGACACTAATTTGATTTTAATCGTAATTCTTTTATTTCAACATGGTGTAAAAAAATAGGCATTGTAGTATTCACTCATGTAAAATTTGTCAGTATGTCTTCTCAGATTTTGAGATTTTGTCATGTTATTTTCATTAGAGACAAAGTGCAAATCTTTTAATCAAATGTATGCATCCAACTTTTCTACATCTTTAAAAAAGACTGGATCTCTCCCTAACTTATTCTGCCTTTCACATAACCGGGTTAGCTCTGGTTGGATTTCAGTCACTATTGAACTCTTAAGTCTCATTTTTATCTGTTGACCAAGTTTCTTGTGCATCAGTTTTTATTGATCTGATTTTTTTCTGGAAAAAAACCGAATATAAAAATATTTAATTGCTGAAATTAACACAGCTTAATACCTGGAGTCCTGCTTGTTCAGTGGATATTTGAATGTTTGACTCTCTGAAACTTGAACCACACATTTGTGAGAGGAGGGGGAGGACTCACTGACACACACATACCCTGAAAGAGATAAACACACAGAGCTGCATGAGCTGTATGCTGTCACAGATTAATGTGGGTGCAGGTGTGTGTGTGTGTGTGTGTATGTGTGTGTGTGTGTGACATTCCTGCAGCAAACTGAGGGGCCTCAGTGTCTCACATGTTGCAGACGAGCAGCCGTGTGCAGGCTCAGCTCGTCTCTGTCTCTGCCGGGTTGAGGATTGAGGGTAATCTGGATCTCACAGATCAGGTGTAACATATTAACCTCTCTGATAATCTGCTCACTCTGTTGTCATAACACCCCACCGCACAGCCAACGTTACACCTGGATCAAGTGACAGATACAGCAGGTGTTCACAAACACACACATGCATACAGAGAGGCAGAATGTGTGAGTTTTAATTCATCATGTTGTAAGAGTGTGTCCTATGAGCCCCACTTTTAAATTCATCTAAATCCAAGCACGCTATGTTGGAGTTGTGGTTCACGAATCTTGAACAGCAATTGATCAAAAAAAAAGAAAAGATGTAAAGGAGACGGAGGGTACAGCAGCTAAATCAGGGCAGATGGGGATACCAGAAATGTTTGAAACGTAGGAGATCACGATGCTACCCAGCAGACCAATCACAGGTTTTACAGTCTGCACCTTTTTGACATGTAGTTGTGAACTTATGTTGTACACGACTGAACAGATTCAACACAGGAGCATGAATCAGACTGAAGTTGGTACCAGGCTGCATGGTGGTGTGGTTGTTCTTTTGTGTGTTTACCCTGTGAGTGAAGGGAGTCCAATGTGTGGGTTCTCTCTTGGTACTCTGGCTGTTTGTCACTGTCAGCCATGCACAGGCTGTTCAGGGTGCCAATGACAGCTGGGACTGGCTCCAGCGCCTTGTGACCCCCAGTGGGTTAAGCTGTACGCAAAATGGATAGATGATAGTTGGCGTCAGCACGTCCAATTCATGAGTTTCACGTGACGTCACTCTGCATATGCTGCACCATCTTTAGGACCAGCCTCATACTGGATGTCAATCAGTGCTCCCGGCACTTGTGTTTGATGGAGTGTTAGGGAAAATAAAAGTGGCATACATACTCCAACATTGCCAGTTTTATCTGGATCTATGTGCACACCAATAGTTTTGAAGACATTGTCGTATAAATAATTGACAGGTTAGACTTTTCGGTAACACTTTTCAATAACCATAATCTCTAAATGGTAAATAGATAGTTTATTAATGTTTAATCATCATTTAAAAACAGCATATAGACCAATTATAAATGCCAAATAGATAGTTTATTAATGTTAGTTAATAGTTACTTTACCATTAACAAGCAATGAAATTATGATCAATAATTTTCATCAACTATTAATGGACTATTAATTAAAGGATTATATAGGGTTTAAATGTTGGTTGTAAAACATCTAGATAAAAATTTGTGTCAGTAGCACTTTGTAAATGGTTAATATTTGTTTTTTAAACCATCTATAAACATTACTTAGATGGTTATTGTAAAGTTAGGGTTAGGTTTTTAAAACTGTAAAATTTACAATTTATTAATGGTCTATATACTATTTTTAAATGATGATTAAACATGAATAAACTATCTGCTTACCATTTATAAATGGTCGTTTTACCATTTATAAGTTATGGTTATTGTAAAGTGTTACCGACTTTTCCGTGTTTATTATTGGGGACATATTTGTCCAAACAAGACCTGAGTCCGGAGTCTTTACAGAGGATAAGGTTTACACTGAACTGATGATGGTGTTTAAGGGCTGATGAAGGCACAATTGCATGTTTGCAATCAACACTCAGTGTCTGCGGTTTCAATCAGTGTTTATTGTAATTTCTTCTGTCCGTCTGACTGCCAGGTGTTCAGTTTGAGATCACTCAGCATTATCTACCCCCACACACAGAAGCAGACCTGATACCGCCTCACTTTATTAGGTGTGAATGACAGGGGGACATCAACCTAACAATAGCTGCTGCTCATGTTTCCTCTTGTGCACGCTGCAGAGAGATGGAAAGATGATCCTCTGTGTGCTGATAGAAGGTGTGAGCTGACACTCTGCTGGGAGGGGGGAGGGGTGTCAGGGACTCGGATCCAGGTTAAACTCTGCAGAGAGACCAGCTGGGATGAACTCAAGGTCAGATAACAGGGGAGGCGCCTCTTCTACAGGACATACCAGTGAGGATAAACTATTATTACTGCTACCAACCTGACAGATAGACCGGGAAGTGAAAATGAACAGGCAGGTACCAAAAAAAGGTCCTTGTCAAGTCCAAATATCTTAAACAGGAGGTACCTTGGAGGGTCCTGATCAGATACTTGAGCCAGAAAAGAGAGTCATGGCCCCCCTCTGGATATCTGAGTTTACCATCCTGTCACCTAAAGCAAACTCACTCAAGGCCCAGATGTCTGGTATCACACCTATGCATGATTGTTGTCACTACCATTAAAATGAGCCTGAGCCCAGATACCTCCTGTACTTACAATCACCATGACATTCAGTGCCTTGACATGCAGAGTCATACAGCCCGATCAGGGGATTTGTCCTTATCCCATTGTACAAGCACCAGGTCCTCCTATAAAAGGAAAACTATATCCCCATAAAGCCTCTCAGCAGATGGGAGCATGAAGTGCTTCAAAATCACCCTGCATTAACTCTGGACTTTATAAAACACACTAGACAAACACCAGCAGATACCGTGACACCCCACATCATAACAGACTGTGGAAACTTCACACTTGACTGTCTGAATTTACCAGTATCTATAATATTTCCATAATATTTATCCATAATTCCTTTTTTTCACCGAACTCCTTGTCTGTGAATACATGCAGCTGAAAAAAATTGAATTATTGACGGGACTGTGTCCTCCTCCCCAAAACAAGGGGGCAATATGGGTCTTTTCCTGGTACTGTTTCTGACCCCATACAACTGTCAACAACAACAGCAGGTTAGTGCTAGACGTCAGAAGTGGCTACAGCTGCTGCTGGGCATTTTCAAGCAAGAAGATGGAGCTTCGTACAGCGTTGTTTTTGTCGTACATGATGTATGGGCTACTTTTTCTGCAGATGAGGTGCACGCTACTCCTCTTCTCTGGTGTTTTTGTACCGGAGTTACGGGGGCATGGCGCACTCACACATGCATTGTCCGATCATACTCCAACTACGCTAGTTACATGGTAGAGAAAATCGAATTCCAATCGCATCACTTGGGTGTCTTAATCGGAGTTCTCAAACTCTGATTATAGTCAGACTGAGGTGTTAACATGCACTTCAGTTGTCAGGTCTTAGACAATAATTCGGTTTTCTCGAGTGTTATGTAAACGTACTGACTGATGCTTCCTCTGTTTTTTATCCTGGAGTCTTTGCTGTTGCTCTGCCTGCCTTGGGTTTTCATGTGTGAAACAGAGGAAACGTGTGCTCCCCTGCTTTAGACTTTGGCATTTCACAAAAACACATGGGAGGCTGAGGAGTTCTCAGCACAGAGCCTTACCACCCAATATAACTTATTGCATGATATAAAGTTAAACATACCTGAACAGAGCCAGAACACATACCACAAAAACAGTAAAAACACAGTTTGTCATGAACTGATCAGTTAAGCCTAACCCTAATCGATATTCACCCAGTATATATTTGGTGTGTCTGTGCAAAGAAAATGGTGTGTCTTCCTGTCTTTGTGTGTGTAATCAGAGGAAAAACGACAGGTGTAATTTATGAGCAGTTGAGAGGGGGGACCAGGGGGAAATAAGGGGGTCACTGAGGTACGACTTGATCCTTATGAATAAAGTCTAAAATGAATCCTGGTTTATGGTCTGAATGGGACTGTTTCTATCTGCTGACACATGGCGCACACATACACACGGGAACTAAAAATCAATATTGACCGCGACTGGAAAAAAAGCCAACAGAGACCCCGTAATCTTTAAGGGAGGGGTCAGCAGGAAGAGTGGTCATGTGACCAGAGGACCCCTCCAGGGAGAAACTCTGAGAAAAAATACAGAGGGGAGGAGAAGAAGAAATCTGTCTGATATCTCTAGATACTTATGTTCTTGGCACTGATATGTAGATAGCAGGAAAAATGGGTAAGCCTAAGGATGCTATCGACTTTGACAAGGACTGAACTGTGATGATTTGACAGATGGATCAAGAGGCAGCTCTAGTGGGGTATGACTGGTTTGTAAGAGTCAGTACCTACCAAAAGTGGTACAAGGAAGAAATTGTCCTTAAAGGCTAGATGATCAGGACACTTAAACATTTCATGCTTTAAAAGAGATGAAAATTATTAAAGAGATGGTGCAGAGTCTGTCTGCTTCATTTTACACAAGTCAAAATCGAGTCAGAGCAAATTAACTTTGGACAAAAATACCACAAATGGAGCCAGGAAAGAATGACAATGTTATTTTGAAATCTGAAGCTTTTTATAGATGGTCTTATTCTTATGATGTTTTTCAGTAAAAGCAGGACTTAAGCATTTCTAATACATTGAGATATGTGAATGAGTTATACACAGAGAGTGAGGATGTTTTTAACAGAGTGTTTGGGCTGATATTAATTAACAGAAGGATATTAGGAGGGTGTATTTCCTGTGTAGTGTGACTGTATGTGTCTGTCTGCCTGTGTGTCTGTCTGTACATTGACTTTTGACCTACTTTGAGGGGCTCTATGTGAATTGGTGTTAAAGCTGTAATCTGGTCAGAGATCACTGAGGATCACCTCCAGATTAAAACAACAGATTAGTGATGGAGCACATGAGACTCAGACTCTTATTCTGCAGGTCTGCAAGATGTTTGCTGATCTTTAAATGAACGTGAAGGTATCTTCCTGTCAACAGAGGTGGTTTTAGTCTGAGGAAGCTGAAGAGTTGTAAAATAAATTTTAACATAAAGTTTTGTATCAACTGGTGTCAAATCAGCAGCTAATTACACTAATCTCTTTAATCCAGTTTTCATGGCAGTGACCTCTATGGTAGCACTACCTGTGCATATCAACCCTAACAACAACTATTAAATTACTAACCACCATCCAATCTTTTCTAATAATTAACTGCTAACAAACCATGCCCTGCACAAACTAATGACTGACAACAGCTGTCTATAACTAACAATTTACTAATGAACCACGCAATGAACAACCACAATGAACCATTTTCTTATAACTCGCTCACTCATTTGCTGTCAAATAACTAGCCTTTGATTAACAAGCATTACTAGGACTGTCACACACTGTCTAATAAATAAAATTAACTAACTTCTTACTGACCCACTAAATACCTGCCACAAACTAACTTGCGATGTAGTCATCACAAATACTCTGAGCTAGCTCACTTGCTTGCCAAAACTAACCCTGTTCCAAAAATAACTTACTCCCTTGATGACTAAACAACTTAATTTCTAAATGGCAAAGTAACTTACTTTGTATTGTCGTCACCCTCTAGCTTACTAACAAATCCCACGATAACTGTTAAGTTACTTTTTAGTTGGCTTTATTTATTAGCTCAGAATTAATGCTGATTACTAACTTACAACTTCCTAATTTCCATAACCAGTAGTTTTTTAATTCATTATTTACTCACATAACAAACAGTGTCTCCTAACTGACAAACCATGTCTTTGAGCGAACCAACAAGCTAATTTTAGCTAACTAACTAACTAACTAACTAACTAAACTAACTAACTAACGAACTAACCTACCTGCTTACTGGCACATCCATGACCTTCACTGCCTAATAACTGAATTTTAAAACACCTGGATAACATTATGTGTAAAAGCTGAAAGCTTTCGAGCTTAAGTATCTGAACCAATCCAAACAAAAAATTGAGTTAGGACTATAAAGGAAGGCATCCTGTCAATAATCTGATCTGACACTTCCCTCATGCAGCAGTTTCAGGTATTTAAAATGACAAGATAGAGTAATGTCGTTGTTGTTGTTGATTGGCTGGTCTGTCTTTTGCAGATCATTTACAGACACAAGTTGCTATTTCAATCTATTTTACAAACACTTAAAAACTCCTAACAGGGGCTTTAACTACAACTATTACTATCATACTATCACTACAACACACCCACACCCACATACGTCTCATCTCACAGACGTGGTGTTGACTGTTTGACAGTTTCAACTGTCATGCTGAGTCTGCAGCACCTCCAAAATAAAATGCTGATAATCTCAGACACCCGGCTAACCGCTAACAATGCTAACTGCCTACACTTAGTCCTATTATCGGATTAAATAACGTGGAACCCACTTTTATTGAACAACAGAGAGGAAAACAGAGGAGCTGTAGCACCATAAAGAGAGATGAACAAGCATTGAAAATCACTCAAACCAAAGTGAAAGTGACATGCAAATAACAAAACCATCTACACTTACAGCGGCAGTTACAAACAAACAAGCAGCATAGGTATTTTTAAAACAATGACTCAGACTTTGAAGCAAAAAGAGGAAAAACTCCAAGGCACTCTCTTCATAATATTAAAATGGCATGGTCATGTAGACCTTAAAAGCAAACTTCAACGCGTTTCGGCATCAAGCCGGCATCTTATTGCGATTTTTTGATCAATACTGGATTGTAATTTAGCATGCAATTTTTGGGAGGAAGTCTATTATTTTCTGCATTATTCACTAAACATAAGCAATAAATCAGTCTATAGTATGACCAACACAAAATTTGATAGTCAACTCTTTCCCTACATGTTATAATGAATTGAATCAATGATTTTCAGCTGAGATTGAGACATAATAAAGTGAGACCTCTCCTGAGGTGTGTTTGCGAGTGTGCATGTGAGGTCGAAGTCTTCTCAGCTGTTAATATAAAGTAATTTTTGTCAGCCTACTAGCATCGCTGTTAAATATTTCACTATTAATCACTCACACACATAAAAATGCAAACACATACACTCTGGCCTTATACTATAATAAATAACCAGCAAAAACTCTGTGAAACAACAGTTACTTATTAATCTTTAACACAATGTTCTGTTTTTCATTGTTTTTCACGGCTTAATATAAAAATGTGTGACTCAGTCATTAATCTGAAGGTCCAAGGTTAATTTCTCTGGGATAAAAACACTGCTGTAGGTCAGTCTGTCTGTCAGTCTGCCTGCCTGTGCTGAAACCACAGATGAACCAGTGTCAGGAGATGTTAGGGACCATGAAGCCAGTTACTGTCTCTGTAAACTCAAGCTTTCTGCTACTGATTTTATCGCATGCCAGAGGCCTCTGTTTATTTATATATGACAACTCTTCAACCTCAACAATGTTACACTTGACTTTTTTTTAAAAATGAGATCCCGTCTAATACCTCCACATCATAAAAATATTGAAATAAAGAGGCCTGATGAAAAAAAGACCTATTACCAAAAACCTATTCAACACTTCGCTTTGTTGCCTCTTTATATAAAATCAGACACAGTGTCTGGGAGTTACTTTTTACACAAATTTTATAAAGCATTAAAAACCTGAACGCATGTAGCTTCCCATTTTGCCACAATCACTATAGCTCATCAGCTGCTGTTCTAATGTTACTTACAGTGTGTTGTTGTCATGACAGGTCTTTATAAGTTGAACAGCCCCAGGTTTCAGTAAGACACAAGGTAGGCTTGTACTGGCCTTTGTTTACAAAGGAATCCTCCACACGTCTTCAGACGAGACAGAAGCTGGTGAATACGCTTGGTTATGTCACCATCTCTGTATCTCATGTTATGAAATTTCGCCACTGTGAACAGTCGACATTGTAACTGTAAACACACTGAGATATTTGAGACCCGGTATGTGACTAAAGTGAACTTCACACAAGATAGTTAAAGACCTGATATTGTGTTTTTCACTGATTAAATTTGATGTTTTTGTGAAGCACTTTGTAACTTGGTTTTGATAAGTGCGATATGAATAAGCATTATTATGATAACCACTGGGCCATTCTCAGTCTGATACTCAAACATGAGCTCAGAAACAGTTTAATCAGTGGTTTCACACTCATCCTGTCAGCAATACTGGGACTGAGTGTGTATTTATGTGTGTGCTATTGAGAACTGCCTCTGCAGGACTCTTTCACATTCCTCCTTCACACAATCAAACACACCTTCTTCATTTCTACTGTCAGTGATCTGACAATTACACTGTTAAAATACAAAAAAAGTTATGTAATAATAAAAAATCACGCAGAGGAATATTTCCCAACCAGTAAGGTTAATTTGCAACAACGCTCTGTAGTGGAATTCACTGCATTGGCTCATAGTCACCTTTCAAAACAAATGAAACCATGAAAAAAGGAAAACTATATGCAAACAAATTTTCCATTTTGGTTTCCAGACACTTGTATTTGAGTTCGTTAAAGATTCCTTTTAGATATTTTCTGGCTCAGAAACTTTCCCCCTCACTGTCTAAAGAGCAAAGCACGGTGCAGTATCTGCCATGTGAATCAGAGTTTTAATATCAGAGCTCTGACACTGATTCACACCTCCATGGTTCAGTAACACCGGTCCATTCAGCAATTGAGTTTCATAGCTCAGAGGACAGCTGTGTGTTTAAGCGTTGTGCATAGTTTCAGGCAGAGATCACTGTCTGATCAGAGTCAGCAGGAACATGAGGCGTTGGCATAGACGCGCTGAACATTAAAGAGTCAATGATCCATCGCAAAAGGAACATCTTAACCTCGGGAGAGTCATGTCATCACCTGCGGGACACCTGTGAGAGAGGACAGAGTGACATTTTGTTATACTGAGCCTGTTTGTCATTAAACCCACATAAAAAATCTATTAAAGCACAGAGTCAGAGGGGAATGTTTACCCTAGTATGTGGTCTGAGTTAATGAGTCTGTTAGCAATAACGCAGAATCTGTACATTCAGTCCCTCAGTACAGTTAGTGTTAGTTTAAACTATAATTAACCTACAGACAGGTCATACAATGGTGGGATTATTGTAGAGTTCGAATGCGGCAATGCTCATTAAAACTTCAGTGAGGTTACCACCAATTTTTGCGTATAAGTGTATCTTTCTCTAATTGAAAACACAACAGCTCATTTAAATGTATGCACACAACACCCAACCATATTTAGAGTGGTGGAGTGTGTGAAGTCTTTGACATGTTAAAGTTTTCCTGCAAATCACTTTAGATCAGAGGGCAGACAGAGCATCAGCAGTGTGTGTAGGTGTGTGTGTGTGTGTGTCGGAGAGAGAAAGTAAAGCAGAAGTGTGCTGTTTGTGGTGGCGGTGAGCCAGCTGGATGGCTGCCAGCATGACGAGACAGCAGCAGCTCTATGTTTACTCTCACACAGACAGTCTGACATAGTTAGTCAGTAAAAATGAAGGTTTTGCAAAACTCCTTTCAAGGTGTTGATTTTTTAAAACTCTGTTCTGTCTCTGTTTGTGTGGACAGCTGAAACACAGGTTTTGGCAAACACTCACGTGCCAAGATTGCGGGCTGATAGTTTATTTACATCTGCCTGGTACTGTGGAGTTTAGCTGCATGTTCGCAAGAAAACCTATAATATTTTTCATTATCCTGTGGAGCAAATGAATAAATCACACTCAACATTTTTGAAGTGAACTGCTTGATCAAGAAGATGGTCAATACACATGAGCACAATGTTCGTCTATGCCTTTTGGAGGGAATGAATGATTACACATTGATGCTACTTGTTTGGCATGCTTATGTCCTTTCAAATATTTCTGCATTTCCTCAGGGACAGAGAAATTAAGAAACACGTGGTGTGGAGAGAAATTATGTTGAAAACATCAAAAATCAAAAAATAGTTCGAAACATCTGTATGTTTGTGGTCGTAGTTATGCTGCGTTCCAGTTATCTCGGAAGTTGGATGTCAGAGCTGGGAATGACACTATACCAGAGTTGACTGCGTTCCAGTGAACAAATCAGAAAACCAAGATGGACGCCTACTGTTAGCAGTTGTTAGCTGCTGTTAACCATTGTCAGCTGTCGTTAGCCGTTGTCAGTCGTTGTTAGCGGTTGTCGGCTGTTATTAGCCGTTGTCCGCTGTTTTTAGCTATACCAGTTGTAAACAACGCATAACACAGTATTTTACTCTTACAAACACCATAGTACCGTGTTCACATTTGGGCAGTACAACATAGACCACTTATTTAACTCACAAAAACAAAACAGAAGTGCTAATAGATAATACATTACGAGAGCTAGCACTGCTATCTTTTACGCTGTGGTCAAGTTGGGGTTGGTGAGAATCGGCCATCTTTCCAAGTTGGAAATCCGACTTCTGGGGGGCTTTCAAGATGACTTTCCTACAAGGAACTTCGAAATTCTGACTTCCCAGTACAAATAGTTTCAGGATATTTATCTGTGTTGGGATGTCACTGTTATGGTTGTCATGGTTACAGCTTGAGTCGATAAACCAGTTTAAAGTAGATGTCACAGTTATGTCAGAACAGTTGCAGCGGCCATAGAAGAAAACACTGGAGGGATGTAGAAACTAAGAGAGGTTGGCTAGATCCCTTTCATTAAAATAAAAATCTCTTTTGAAAAAGGAAAAAAAAAATTCAGAATACTGTCTAAGAGTATTTTATTTTGAGTCTGAAGAAATGACTATTTATCAGTTTAAATAGCATCCATCTCTAGGTGTAGTTCGCCATACAAAACAAAACTACTATGGGGTAAAATGCTAACTTGACAGGTGGTTTACGATATTTAAATATTTTGAGGTGCAGCCTAGTATCAGTAAGTCTCAACTATTAATGAAATAATGAGATGTAGTTATGATACAGGACACTGTCACACATTTAAAAAAAACAAACATATTTATATCTCTTTCTTCTGTAAGATTATCTTATGTGATCTGGTATCAATTGTGCCAGTTTTTGCAACGGTAAGGTGCACAAAATACAGGCAAAGTGCTTGTTCTCTGTTGACTCAGGTCAGCTCTGGTCCGAACCTCATCGAAGGAGATACATCCAGTTTGGCCTTGAGGCTGAATTACGCTCCAGCACAGAATGAGGCATCTACGTATATAAGGTCTATAGTCCCTTTGGCTTTGTCTTCCTCGTTGTACACATTTTAATGCTTGAAACTGAATGTACTTTTCTGTGAAGTGTGTGTGTGTGTGTGTGTGTGCGCACACATGCGTGCGTGTGTCTGTGTGTGTGCACGAGTATTCTATATATTTATGCACACTTCAGTCCCTGTATGCAGGCATTGATTGTGCTGCATTGTCATGTGTGCGTTTGTACACTTAACATTGCTGTTCTTTACCTTTCAATATTCTGCTCTGTGTAGGCTGCCTGCTGGGAACTCACACACTTACACACACACACACCCACGCATGCACGCACGCACGCACGCACACACACACTCTTCCTTTATGACCCCCCTCCCCCCGGTTCCTCCTGAGTGCTGACCTGCGCTGCTCCTTTAATATTGGTGACAGCTAATACACTTCTAAATGATCTGTTATTATCTCCGAGGCCTCGTCCACGGGGCCCCACTGTGTCCAAAGGTCATCTTTCTGTCTTGTATTGATTAAGGTGGTCTGTTAGCCGAGGGTCCGATCACTCTGAACACACTAACATATTTCTAAAAGCCTCTGTGACTGTCTCTGCACGACAAATACAGGACACATTCTGCATAATGGACTTGCCGATAAAACACACACACACACACACACACACAAATGCACACACATGTGGGTTTCCTGCTGAGATTGCTCAGCTTTAGATTCTTAGGATTTGAATGTAGCATAGAATAAAAGACATACAAAAACCGAGCAAATGAAAAAAAGTTTGAGGAGTTAACTGGTTATTATTAAACTGTCTAAAAATAGCTTATGCTATATAAATTATTACAGAATTGATTTATATTGAACTTCATAGTACTGAAAACATTTATAACAGCAATAAAAGATAACTAATTTTTAAAAAGTCTGTAACTCAGTCAAAGAAATATTGAAGTCTCTAAAACTGCAGTTCCTGAAGTGTCCACTAAAGGCTCACTTGCGGTGAGTCACACCCATAGACTGTATATACTACGGACAACTTGGTTCCGCCTTCCACCAGTGTGCAGATTTGAAGCCGAAAAGCTCTCGGTAATTCTGCGTTTTTTCTCCACAATCTTCGTACGCCCATAAGCTGTATCAAGTGTCAATCATAGAAAACATGAACCCCCTGATAACTTTTAAAAATGGAGCTGTACAGAAAAAAGAGGACTTGAGCACAAACCAGTCTTACAATAACTACATGTCAACATCGCAAGCAGGGGGAGAAAAAATTATATTCTGTGTAATAAATTTCTAAAGTTTGTCCACATCCCCATAAGGATGGCTGGAGGAGGCGGGATTTATGACCTATACCGCAGCTCATCGCCAGGGTGTGCTGTTCTCAGAGTAGCTTCACCCAGCGAGCATCCATTCTATATACAGTCTATGATCATACCCCACAGAGTCCCATCTTAAAATATCCAACTTTATAATATAAATAAATATGACATTCTTAAAACTCTTAATCAAGGTTTTATTTGTAGATTTAAAATGTTTGAAGTGCATCAAAACTGTCTGCATTGTTGTTGGTAGATGTCTCCATTAGCCTAGAGAACAACAGAATGGTTCCATGAAAATCATCCCAAATTTATCCGTGACTTCTACTTATGATTAACAGAAGGATTACAATATGTAAACTCTTTCTCTGAAACTTCTGAGATTGATTGATAAAATCAGAAACCCTTCCTCTTCACAGAGCAAAAAAACATACACAGAAGATAAAACTATTTCTGACCACACAGCGTTTTCCTACTATTGTTCCAGAGGCAAGGTGTGTGTTACTCTGTGTTTATATGGGGTTCTTAATAGTGAGCTCAAGGCTACTCGCAGTCTTGTCTTTAAGGAATTCTTTGTCCTCGTCTGGGTGTAACGGTGAAAACAAGCACATGCACACACACATGCACAACTGACTAACTGGTATGTTGTCTGTGTTTCAGCTGTACGAGCTGGATGATGACGAGAAGCGTAAAGAGTTCCTGGATGATCTTTTCAGCTTCATGCAGAAACGAGGTGAGAGAATATTCATCCCACCCAACATCAGCCTCTGATCTGAGAAAACCTTTACACTCATCTTAATCTTCAGCTGTTGAGCCAGTTTACATTTAACATGAACCCCATTGTTTCCACCTTTTCCATGATGTTTGATTTCCTTACATTTATCATCTTCAGAAGATAAAACACATTAAAAGATGCCTGTCTACATAATCTTTTGCCTGTAAAACCAAGATAATAATCACACAATAAGACACCATCTAGAAAAGTTTACGATAGTCACTTCTACATGACGTTCAAAAACTCGATTGATTTCATCAGTCAGACTGAAGTCGTAACAAATTGACCTACTCACAGTTAGACTAACATCCCTAGATGATGTGGTTTCTCTTCCGTGTTTACACATAATTGTTCCGAAACTGGCTGAAGTGTTCTGCAGATGCTGCAGAGTTTGCACGCTGGGCTTTGACCCAGAAGTTGTGCAGCATAAATGTGCTACTGGGAAGCAGGATGGTAAACAAAACCTCAACAGAAGAAGAAAAGACGAGAAAGACACAGCTGTCGAATCATGGGTTAGAGAGGTACAGAGCTGTTTTTAGGTTTGACAAACATCCCTTTGGCCACTAAATAACAAGTGACAAAGTAGATCAACGAGGTAGTGAAAGGTATCCTGTCATCAACTACCTACTGTCAATAAATACTGTAGATTCTTGCCTGATGCTTACTAACTAGGACAAGGGCAGTCGTCCAATTAAACTACCTAATCAAACTATAACCATAGCTCAACTTAACTTTAGGTGACCAGACATACCTGAGGACAGTCTGAGGATAGTCCCAGTTTTGAATGACATGTTCTCGGCTAGACCAAAGCAACATTTATTACGTTAGCTGGGTAGGTAGGTAAAGCAAGTGAGCATGTAGCGCAACAGTTATTAAGAGGAGGAAGCGCTAGTAGCAAGTTGATGTCTGTGATTTCATTCCAGAAATCTGGTCACTTTAACCTAACTGTTCATGTAAACCTACATACTGTGTTACTGAAAATATCTCTCCATCAGTCTGTCATGGTCGTATCTCGACCATGGTATAACTAGAGAAGCAAGCGGTCGGCAACATTCATCTCTCGAGGGAGTGTCTATCTCAGTGTTACGGCGTGTTTGACCCTAAATTAATTTTACGCCGGAATATCCCTTTAACATTGTTACAATGAAAGTCAAAGGCATATATATTTATGGCTCTGCTAACTGCAGTTAAAAGAGGACAGAGCTCCTGAACACTCAGTAAGAAGAAGTCTAGATTTTACTCATAAACATAGAGGTATGTTGGATGAGAACAGTCACACTGTAAAAAAAAAAGACAGTAAACTTTATTTATAGACTGTCTTCATAAACCAAGGCCATAGGGTGTACGCTGAAAACTTAACAACAGGAAAGGACCATAAAAGCAGCACATATCACATGTATACATTGACACACAACTCAGGTCAGCTTTTCAAGGCTCCTCACCTTTCTCTGGACAATCTGCTTTGTATAAATGAGGACTTTTTCAGAGGGGGACTGCAGGCTTAGGAACTTCTGGTTATAATTTGGTTCTTAAATCTGGTTATAATGCTGAATAAGAGAAGTACTTTATCTGGACACCTCAGTGACGCCAGTGTGTTGGAATTTGTGGGTTGTTTTGAAAGGCACAGTCAATCAAATGCAAAACTTGAGCTGACAGCACGAGAAGCAAAGTGAGGACTCTGTTTGATCTCCTCTGGTTATTCCCTCTGAGCATTTTTTGGTCTAAAAGAAGCCTAATAGACGACTAAATGTAGACTAGATAACTGGTCTAAAATCAGGCTACCACAGGTCTAGAAATGAAAGTTTTTTAGACGTCTTGATTTAGACTAGCCGGCTATATCTATACTACACTGTATATTGCTCAACGGCTATCATAATTATTTTGGTTTAGTACTTGGAGATCAGTTATGCAACTCACAGTTGCTTTTTGAAATAAATAGTTATGGAATAACGGGTTTAAGTGCAACGTCTAATTTCCGTCTAAAGGTATACAGAATCTAGACGGTTGAAATTAGGTCTAAAAAAAAAGCTAGACGTCAAATAGCCGTCTCGTTGGGTTGTTTTGAATGAAATTATCCTTTTTTTTGACAGCCTTAGCACACCCCCAAAACTCATTATGTTTGCCTCATACATCAGAGATGAAAAATAAACAGGGCATTTGTGCTCTCTCAACATATAAAAAAACAGCCCCTCGAGTAGGTTTCATATAAATGTACGAAATTTGTTGAAATTTGGTTGCTAAAAACCGACAAGAAGTCTGTTGTTTTCATAGAAACACAAAAGGGAGTCTAACATTTAAGCTTAATTTTTACAGTATGGCCTATATCCCAAGAGCTACAGGATCCATATTTGAAAGACCTCATACTTGGTGTTTTGTTCAATCATCCCTAAATTTAGTCTGACTACTGACAATTTACATTCAGTCATGAAAAAAAACCTCCTCTGGGACAAACCTTTTTTTTCCAGCTCAAAAGTTATGTAAAAAAAAGTAAAGTAACTCTGACATAAAAAGTTCAATCTTTCACGTGCTTGATCAGTAAACATACCATATTATCAAAAGGTTTGGCAACCATTTAACCTTTTTTGGGACTAATTTTTTGAAAAGCAATTCTTCAAGACCAAATCTGAACAAATAGAATAAAAAATCGAAGATGACAGCTCTGCATTTCATTCAGGTCACATTCAGATACATGCTCACGCTGAAATCGACTTTAGTTTTAGCTTTAGGCAGGCGTGAAGTCATGGTTAGCCAACAGTACATCAGTGGGTCTTTGCTGCTGCTCTTTCTATCTCTGCCTTTATACACTCTGCTGCCTCAGCCTTTTCATTCCACAACATGGAAGGAAAGACAAGAGCAAGGAGAGACATAACTGGGGTAAATAAATGTATTCATGTTTTTTGGAAAGGATTAGAGGAACAGTTTAGATCTCATACAAAAACCTGAAAATGAAGTTCAAATACACCAGTCTGTCTTTCTGTTTGTCTGTCTGTGTCTATGACCAGCGTCTGTAATTGTTTTGCAGATTCAAAAGAGGGTTCTTCCCAGCATAAATCCTGTGGGGTTTTTATATCTGTATTTTAATCCCGTATAAGCCCCTGTCTGAGGTGTGATACATTTCCCAGTGTGCCAGTGGGCAGCAGCTGCAGTTTTAGAAGCAGGTCAGTGTTTAAGGTCCATAATGAGAGGAAGTGAACCCCTCAGCACAGAATAAAAAACTCTGACTCTCACAATGAGGTTATTTATAGAGACAAGGTCAGCCTGAATGTTTGTGTTTTTGTGAATTCTTTGTTCTGCTCTTTAACATGTCTGCAGATAAAACTGGTTTATGTTCTCACCTTCACGCCCCTCTAGACAAAAACAGACTTTTCCTTAATTCCTGTTTCAAGACTTAAGAGGGAAAACTGGAATAAGAATCTACAGCAGGGTCAAGATATTCATGTCTAGTTTTTCATAAACTCATAGTCTCTTTAATACTAATTATGATTATTATTACTGACTAAGCCATATATGTATATATACACAATTTATGTTTATATATTAATTCAGATTAGGATCTTTGGACAACATCATATGAATGAACACAACAGATTTCACCGTTTTTTTAGAGCGTACAGAAATAAAAATGACTTCCTTTTAGGCTTAAATTTCTATATTTTTTAAATTCTATAGATGTTTTCACACCACAAAGAGTAACAATCTATTAAAGGACTTGATGAGGACTGATTCAGAAAATGAAACAAGACACAAAAACAAGAAATAAACAATGTTTTTGAGCTGTTTTAGATTAATTATTTGTAAATAAAACCCTTTTTTCGATCAATGCTTAATGTCAAGTTAAGAAGACATATAACAAGCAGGATAATGTAAAGTTTGCAGGTGGTTATGCAAAAGAGAAAGGACAAGACCAGGTGTGAGGACCTCTGGATCTGAAGTTTGGACCTCCTTTAAATATGATTTCTTACAGTATATTTACTTCACTGTTTTGATCATGACATGTCACACTGACTCCTGTGTGACTGTTAATCCTGACACATGACTGGATATGGACACGAAAAAAACCTATGTGTGTATGTGTTGGTGTGTGTGTGTGTGTGTGTGTGTGTGTGTGTGTGTGTGTGTGTGTGTGCACAGGTGTATAGATTCTTGTTGGGTCACAGATTGATTTTGGACTTAGAGACAGATTCAGAGAAATCAGCTGATCTGCAGCTCTGACAGCCCTGATCAGAGAGGTCCTCTCCAAATATCTGATCAATACTTCTAGAAACATGCCAGTGTCTGTCCTCATCTAAACATCAGTTTCCCCGTCTCCTTATCATTTATTCTTTTCTGCCATTCTCCTATTTTTATTTTTCTCTTTGCCTCATATGATAAAATAAACTCTACTCCTACAATAACCATCTAAATAATGTGTAAAGGTGGTTTATAAACCACTCGTTTATCATTTACAAAGTATTACAAACATCAGTTGCAACTTTACAATAACCATCTAAGTAATGTTGATAGATGGTTTAAAAACTAAATATTAACAAAGTGCTACTGACACACATTTTAATCTAGATGTTTAACATTCATAAACTATTTGCCATTTATAATTGCTCTATATTCAGTTTTTAAATGATGATTAAACATTAATAAACTGTCTGTTTTTAATCATGGTTATTGTAAAGTGTTTCCTCAATCTTTTATCTTTATGCTGTAAAGGTTTATGCTGATACTTCTTTATGCTTAACTTGAAAGTCGTCATGTTATTACTTCTTAACACTTGTGAACCTGTATCCCTTCGTGCTCATTTTCACCTCTACTTTACTAACACACAAACATGCCCGCTCTTCTCTGTACATCTTTGCCAGAGGCTTTATGATGGTTTGTACTTCTGAGATAAGCTCAAATCTGAATTCAAAAATGCACAGATATAGAGATGGACATGTTTTTATGATTATGGGAAACAAAATTTGAAGCTGAAATTTAGTCTTCATTTGCTGACTCCATGAGTGTTCTTGGTCTTCACCTCACTGTGCTCACAGAAAGTTGGGGTCAGCTTTATGATATGAATCAAATGTCTCAGATACAATAGGGGGTCGGACTCAAACGATGTACGGACCCAAAAATAAGTGTGTCCATGAGACAGGATGGAGTGTCGTCTCTAGAAACCTAAACTGTCTGTCTGTGTTTAGGATTCTTCATGTTTCCTTTTCCATATCATAGTCTCTAACAGTCTGAAGTGTGTGTGTGTCTGCATGTGTGTGTGTGTGTGTGAGTGTCTGTCTGTGTGTGTGTCCTGCAGTCCTCAGAGCAGACAAAGCAGTGATGGTTCCTTTGTGCTCTGATGAATCCACAGTGTGATTTACCGACTCTCTTTATTAAACGATGATTATCTCTCAGAGCTCCGTCAGCTCTTCTCCTCACACACCCACACACACTCGCTGTTGGTCCTCACACACTCACTTTTTGTCCTGTCCTCATTATTTCACACCTGGAGTGGATGAAGAAAAGACAACTGCAGAGTGAGCTTAAAAAATGTCTGAGAGTTCGATCCCTGCGACCATAAATACTCCTCTTTATGTCCCCGTCCTTTATTTTCTCTTCTCTTTTTCAAAAACAGAAAAAAGGGTTAGTGTTTGAGCTGCTGCAGGAAACTGTTCACTTTATGCCATTGTGAAAATACTCAATTATCTTATTTCACATTTATTTTTATTACTCCACAGTTGAAGTTTTCAAATACTTTGTGTAATCTAATAGTTTGTGATAGAGGACAGGCATCCTTAACTTATATATTCATTTTAAAGAGTTTTTAGATCTCTCCACATAAAAGACTAAACAAAGAAGCCAGTGTATTACAATTTCTCAAAAGCAATTCATTGGACCAGTCTTTGGATGTGATCTGGAGCAGACTATTGTTCTCCACAATGTTAACCAGAATGTATTTATGGATTTAACCAACGTCTCTCTACATCAAACTGTGACTGTTCCCAGCACGAACCACATGATAATGATAAATGTCAAACCCTCCGAATGTGTCATGTTGTCAGCAAACTTTCCTGTATACTTTGATAACTAACCTCACAGCACAGCCCTGCATGTGTCAAACTGACGGTGGTTTAAACGGTGTTATACTGTCGAGAGACTTTCACAGTGATGCGTGCAAAAGAAGGACACAATGCTCAGAAACACAGTTTGATTTAATGAAAGTATTTAGTCATTTTAGAGTCTCTATATTCCAAATAAGTGGAACAAGAGACTATATGAATGAATGAATTAATGCTCTATTTCGAAAATGCAATAAATGAGCAAAACAGAATATAGGTAGTACCCAAACACATGCATACCATAAATCAAAGAAAAACAAGGATTGCTGGCAACAACCTGAATGTGTAGCCGATCTACATGATCGAAAAGGAGTAGGAAGAAGTTTACATTTATTTAGTCCTACCCCTTTAATCTACAGCAGTGGATCAATCCACATTATCTTGCTGGTGAGTGGCTGGACTCTATAGGGTTCAAAAGTCACCCAGGTTAGAAGTCATCTTTTAACGTTAGATCTTTTATTTAGGGGCCTTTCTCACCCAAAGTCCGCTTAGAAGGTCCGGATCAGGGACCAAATGTTTACATTGTTGCATTTTGCATTTGGTCCTGTTAGCGTTCACATGGGACTTAAGTTAAGGGAACCAAATGGTTTAAAAAAAGAGGGAAAATCACTGTCTGTCACTAGCTCATTAGGGGCACAATCTTCATTGTCCCACAATGCACAGAACAATGGGCATCTTGATTCATGCAATTCAACAGAGGTGGTGGAGACGTTGTGGGCATTAATGCAAAGGAATGCCTATAACTTATTGTCAGCATGTTTGTTGAACAGAAGATCACCCAGGTATGTATTTAATATTTATCACCCGACCATTGTATTAGACCACAAACCCTCTGTCATTTGTTTAGTTTTACGGAAAGACTGGTGTTTTGTCTGGCTGTTCTCCATCTGCTGCAATCTCTGGCCGGGCATAATTTCCAGCCTTTATTACAGTGTAAATATGTTATTGGTTTATATTGACATATAACAAGTTTGGCTGCACCATGGTTTGTTTGGAAGGGGACCAAGTTCTGCATTTTCAAGAGGACCATGGTCCATTTGTTTGATCCGGACCACGGTTCACTTGCGTGTTTATACCGCCACCAAAAAAAGTAAGGGGACCATGGTCCTTTTAAAACGAACCAAACAGTCCTGGTGTGAATGCGCCTGTAGACCCTAATTCCTGTGGTCAAAATGCAGAGTTCCTGGTAAAAGTTCCTGCTGTCAAAAAGCACCTTTAGTCCAGTGGTTATAATAACAAGGATGTTTCCATTGATGCATTTTCATTAAAAAGGATATTAAGTTTTTTTTTAATCAGTGTGAAAATATATGGGATATAATTATGAATTGACTATAAACTAAACCAAATCAAACTGAACTGAATTACTCATTTTTTAAACTGAATCATTGCCAAGGATTTAAGGATCGAATCAACTCAGATAAAATCGAATTTGTTTGTTAAAGAGAGATTCACACCCCAAGTTTTGTCTCTCACTATCTGTCAAAGCAGTTTTTCAGCTGTTTAAATAAATCTCTTTTCTTTTTATATCTGTTTTGATCGGCTTTTATCCAATTCCAGCTGTAATAATCATCGATATTCTGTGTTAGAGAGTAAATGAGTAGAAGTAATCTTTACGCTGTTATTGGCATAGAGGTGCAAAGTGAACACATCGGGGTGAAACCAAGCGCGATGATCAGTGATACAGCTCCCACTCCTCCTCCTCCTCCTCCTCTGGGTAATCTGCCACCTCCTTTTTAACTTCCTCTCCCTCCTCCTCTTTCTTCTCCTCCTCCTCCTCCTCCTCATTGTTGTCATTATGATCCATGAGCTGATGGGACAGTTAGTGCTGACAAAAGGCTGCACTCCTCTCTTTATTCTTCTATCTCTTTTACGAACTCTCTCACTCTCTCTCTCTCTGTATCATACGCACACACACTCACTCCCTCTCTCTCTCTCTCTCTCACTTTCTCACACACACAGTATTGAAAGCACATCTGTCTTGTTTTTAGAGGACGTCTGTGCCGCACAAAGGCTGCAGACTGTATCTGTCACTGCTGAATGTGTCCAAACTGAAATAATAGTTTTATAGATCAGCAGCAGTCTGTTTATCAGAGAGACTGATTCAGTGTGAAACTCTGCTCTCACACACAGTCACTGTGTCAGATTGAAGGAAGAATTACTGTGTAGGTCTCTGACTCTTGGCTATGGTGATCAGTGTTGTGTGTTGCATCAGGTTAGGTTCATAGCTGGACTACTCAACCTTTTCTGAACCAAATAAAAACAACAACAAAAACAGAGGATGTGTAAAGCACCCATATATTAATAGTTAGGTATGTCAGCACTGGAGGTAATGTGTGGTGGTTATAATAAATTTCTTCATGGAAATCCAATCAGACTGGCAGAAGAACTACCTGACTGCAGTGCAAAATGATTGATATGGTGATTATTACTTTAAGGAAATGATAAAGAAATGATCATAAATGTTCTTCCTTGAGCTGCGTCACCCCACTGCTAATGGACTAGCCTGAGGTCTCGCTACAAACAAGCGGCTGCTGGAAGGGAGTAGGTGAGTTGTGTTTAGTCTCTTTGCCAAAGGAATTAGGCAAAGTTAAAAAGATGTTTGGTGGCTAGCACCCTTTATATACTGTTGATTAAGTTAGGTGCAGTTCTGAGCATTATTTGTGGCTATAGAGTGGTGTTTTGGTTGAGGTTTGTTTATGGCTCCTCAGACTGCTGTGTATTGCTATTTTGCGGTTGTTGCTAAAGTTGGTATAACTAGAGAAGCAAGTAGTCGGCAACATTCATCTCTTGAGGGGGTGTCAAACTTGGTGTCACGGTGTGTTTGACCCTAAATTAATTTTATGCCGGAATATCCCTTTAAGTTCACATGTTTTAAAGCAAGAGAAGCATAAATGAACAATCTCTGCATGGAAATAACCAACCATGATTACCTCATGGCCATCCATTATTGGCCACACATCACCACTTAACTACCCTGTCATCACAACTCAATCTTCTGTTCATGCATTTACTTTATTTTATCATGATCCTAAAAATGGCTATAAACTAAGGTTTTGAACCCATTTGCAGACAGTTTATCAATTGTACACATCAATTCACTCTAAAACATTTTTGTTTCCTACAATTTTTAGAGTTTCAAAATTTTGTACAAGGGACCGAACTATACTTTTATTCAGTCAGGACCAATTTTGAGAAAAACAATTATTTTCAGACGATAAGTTTGCCCTTCCATGTGCATATGTGGAGTGCCATAGCTCGAGGCAGTGAGAATCCACCACCCCTCTTTTTCATCTGCATACATGGAAAACCAAGCCAGGTAGAGCAGCAGTAAAAACCCATGGGTACAAGACAGAGCCAGTGTCAGTGACAATACAAATGACCATGGTAAAAGGCAAAAGAAAAAAGGAGTGTTACAGCCCTCGGTGTCGATAAAACACGGCGTTTTGTTCAACTGGTACAGTCTTTATTTCTTTATTCCTACACAGCAAAAATACAAATCATGTTTCAACATAACAAATTCATAAAAAACAGGACTGAAATATTTGCATTTTTAAACACAACTTCACTATTAAAACAACCACAATGATAACCTTTGGAACAGTTTCCCCCTCGACATTATCAAGACCAAACACAATCGCAAACAATAACACGCCACTCAAATTATTTTCACGCTACCTACCTCTCTTCGCCTACCAAGGGTGCAAACTGGATCCAAAACCCTCTTGTACTCAACCCCCGAGACCAACTGCACCCAATGAAAAGAAAGAATTCAACTTTCCTTTAATTACACTTACTTTTAATCTTGAGGGTTTTGAGGGGCACTCTTTTGTTGTTGCCTTGCACTCTCCGACGTGAACCTTGACCCGGCGAACCAATCTGTCAGGCCCTTCTGTGGCTTCCACCACCCGTCCCAAGTGCCACTGATTTCTTGGAACAGTGTCCTCCTTAATAATGACAACATCATTTACTTTTCAAGTTCTGAGGGGCATGCCAATGAGGAGAGTTTGAGAGTGGTTTGCAGAGGAAGCAGGAAGGGTAGGCCGGTAAAAAAAAAATATATATATATATATATTGATGTTCAAAGGTGAAAGAGCTTATGAAGACAGATTTCAAAATCACTCCTGTCAGACCTAGATTATTACACTTTCACACTCACATCACAAACTGATGTTTTTATATCATTTGTCTTGATAGGTCATCGCCCCAAAAATGAACCCTGACATGATAATTTCATAAATCTAAAGCGCCAATAACCACTGTGAGTTTAAAGTTATGAGAATCAGCTCCTGCTCTTCTCCTACTTTCCTCTCCTCTTTTTATCCTCCTTCTCTCCCCCTCCTCCTCCTCCCTCCTCCTGTCTTCATTGTTTCTCCTCAGCAGCAGTTTTCTCTCTGTCTCTTGTAGACGTGAGGATCAATCTTTAGTTTTAATAGTGTCTCATCTGTTCTGGTGCCAGTGCAGCAGAATGAAGCCGTAATTACTGCCTTTAATTGATGACTTTTTACCTCCTCAGACCGTACCTCACACCCCCCTCACTGTATAGGCCCTCTGCTGCTGTTTGCACTATATTTCTACACATATTGATCTCTATTATGGTAAATCCAATGGGCACAATGGAACTCTATCAGCAAAATGCAGGTTAATTATCTCAGGGTCAAAGACGTTTTCACAAAGAGGCGCTTTAAACAGACAGGAGGAGGAGGCGCTAATCAGAGAAGAGGTGTTATTCTGCTAATCAGAGGGAAGCTGACCATCACTCAAGATAGTTTGAAACACACTGACTGTTTTATTCTAAGCTTTAATGATCACTCTCTTAAAACCACCATTTCAAAAAGTTGGGACCCAGTGTAAAATATTGATATCAGGATTTATGGTTTGCTTACCTCTTAAAGCCTAAATCTTTGTTTCAACATGTCATATGTTGAAACTGAAATATTAAAAGTTTTAAGAAAAAATGTTTGCTCATTTAGAGCAATTTTTGATTCATCAGACCACAGGACAGTTTTTCCATTTTTGCCTCAGTCCATCTGAAATGGGATTGGGCCTAGCGAAGTTGCAAGCACTTCTGGACTTTGATCAGTCTCTGTTTAATGACAATGATCATTTTTGGAAAAATTTTCAGATTATAATGGGTGTGAATTGAGTGGAATAATGCCAGAGTGGGTGTCATCATCGGCTAGAGTGAGAGAAGTTGCATGAAATTGCTTAAAACTTTTCTCTTTCCACTCTCCTCCCAGCCACAAACTACACTCTACATGTGTGTTTTTTTCCACAGTTGTAGACACATTTGTTCTGTCTTTAAGGATGTGTTCATCTTAGCAGAGAGACTTACACAATTTAAACACTGAGCTTCTAAGTGCGACAATGTCTCTCTCTGCTTCTCACTGACACTAATACAAAGATTTTCTGAGGGAAGCAGAAGAGACTCCTGTTTTTAACTTGCAAGTGTGTCTAAACTATTTACTGTTGAAACACCAAAATCAGATCAAACTGTTCAGGGAGTCCTAACAATAACCACTGTCTAAATTTTTTTTGAAAGAAGCTACGGTTTTGTCAGAATAAGCCTCTTTTTCTGGACGTTTTGTCTGCCTCAGCCTGCAGTGCATCTATCGCCGTGGCAACCTGTGAGCCTCAGGCCAGGCCCACAGCTGATACTAATTTACTAATCAGGGACTGCTCTGATATCACTGCATCATTGAATCACTTTTAGAGCAACTTGATTAACGATAAAATGCTGACTCTCGATCAAAATCCTTATTAGGGCCAATGCACAAAATTACTAACGTTATTGTGTGGATTTTGATTTGTTACTAGTCCTACAGCTTGAAGAGTTGTAGGACAAATTATAGATCAAAACATGCAGTTTGATCTGGATCAGTGTGCTATTACTTTTCTATATTGTATACTTTTTTTGGGGGGGATGTAAGTTGTGAAAAACTTCTGAAAAAAAATTCCATTGAAGTCAATGGGACATGCCAAAAAAGAGCATTTATTGGAGTTCTACTATCCCTGGCTATGTTTGTTTTTTTTTTTTTTTTTTTTGTATAAATAGAATTCTGAAAAACAGATGTTTGTTGTAGGTGTGCTCCTTGTCAATACAGTAATATAAATATGCTGCTAGTATTAATTATTTGAAATCTCTGTAGAATCCCTGTGGCCCTCAAAAAAATTTCTCAGAGGGAGTTTTCTAGTTTTGATCAAACTATTTTCTCACACATTCTCTCAGTGTTGAACCTCTTTGTATACCTGGACCTGTTATTCACCTGTTGCAAATTAACTTCATTAGTGATGAGATGTTTCTCCAGATCTTATTAGCATCACACAACTTTTTTAGTATTTTGTTTCCTGACCCAAACTTTTCTTTGCAGTTGGGGTGTATTTCACACAGCTGTGAACTTTATCTCCACTTACGATTTTTTTTTCTATTCATTTATTTTTTGTTACACTCAGATACTGTGTATGTGTGTGTGTTTAGCAGCAGCTTTAAAGTTTGCCTGCACACACCCTGTCAGTGTTTTTACATTAAACTCTGATCCTGTGTGTCAGAGCTGTCAGAGCTGTCAGACGTCTGCGTCGTGCAGATAAATGGTGTGTATAAGAAGCAGCAGCAGAGGTGTATTGATGGAGGAACACAGTTAATGGGATTGATTGTGGATATTGTGTTTGCTTTCTGCAGGGACTCCAGTGAATCGGATTCCTATCATGGCCAAGCAGGTGCTGGATCTGTACACGCTCTACAAGCTGGTGACTGAAAAAGGAGGCTTAGTGGAAGTCATCAATAAGAAAATATGGAGAGAGATCACCAAAGGCCTCCGCCTGCCCACCTCCATCACCAGCGCCGCCTTCACCCTCAGAACACAGTAAGACTACATTTAAATATACACACTCCCCAATATCATAGTTCAGAGCTGTGCTGTGATCAAACTTCGATGTTTTTCTATCAGAGGAAGATTTAGTGTGCAGAGAACAGTCATTGGGTATCTCTGTGATTCATATAATTACAGTTTCTGCGCTCTGTGTGTAATTCAGACTCTCACTGATGAGTGTTGGCAAAGTTATTTCTGACCCAACCTCACTCTTTAAAGGGATAGTCCAGATTGTTCACAGCATGGTTGTATGAGGTACTTGTCAGTAACTGTTTCACCTAGTTAGCTTGGCCGCTTATGTTGAGAAACCAGCCAGATTACTAGAACAGAAGATAGACAGTCAACTTCTGCAGATGTGGTCAGCTCCACAGGCTATTTAGCTCATTTTAGCAAACTCCGACTGAAGCACTGGTTCTCTTGCTCCAACACAGTTACCACTCCTTTGACTTTCTAGGCCTGAACAAAGCAACCATGATCTGCAGACTTTAATTCTAACAGTAGGTAGGATGTAGCCCTCATTATTTACCACAGTCACCATACCTGTATGGTAATATCCTTAGTCATTGCAGGCATTTTAAGTTCCTGTGCTTGTATTCATGATGTGCTCTCTCCCTACAGGTATATGAAGTACCTGTACCCTTATGAATGTGAGAAACGGGGGTTGTCCTCTCCAGGTGAGCTTCAGGCAGCTATCGACAGTAACCGCCGCGAAGGCCGCCGGCAGAGCTACGGGTCGGCCATCTTTAATTACTCTCCTGTAGGCACCCCCACCCTGCTGTCCTCGCCAAAGCTACACCTGTCACACCTGTCCATGCCCCACCACAACAGCAACCACATCGCCCAGGTGCCTGTCATCAAGAAAGGTAACACAGTATGACTAATAACACAGTATCAGTATACAGTCTGTTAATTTGATTACCTTTTACTGTTTTTGGGATTAAACCAGAGAAGAACTGTTATGTTTGTTTTAGTTTGTTGTCAAATCTTTTTTCACCATATTTATTTCCACAAGCATTTAAACATCTCTCCAGTTCTCCAGCGACACTCCTCTGACTCACACTATCAGGTGTTCACTTAAACTTAAAGAAACTGTCACTTTAATTGGATCGCAGCTTTCATACAAGGACTGATCTCTTTTACACACAAACATTGAGCATTAAGAGACTTTAAGCAGTGAAAATTAGTATTTTACTGAGACAACGTTGAAGATGCTAGTGTTTTTCCCTTGTCTCCATACATCAGGACACTATTTTTAATCCCATCCAGGGATGCCAGAAAACAAGGACACCATCACTGCAGTCTCATCATTCAGCCACCTCACTTCAGCCCTCCATGGGTCAGTCTCGATACACACTGAGCCGATTTTTGATGAAGCTGGTGCCCACCACGCTTCAAGACAGTAGTTTTCATTTTCCATAACTTCATGTGTGATGGTCCAAAACTGAGGATTATTAAACTCTTCAAATTTTTGGTTCTGATTTTTCATGTACCCAGGTTTTCTTGTCTTTTAAACAGACTGTTTGCGCTTATCACATATTAACATTGCTAAACTTATTTCCTGCAAAGATGTTGAATTAGTTGGTAGTTCTCAATTTATTATCTGTAGAAGGAGGTAGCTTGAGTGATGTAGCTGAATTCCTCCATTGTATGAAACACTAAGTGCATAAAAAAGTGCTGGTGTAGTTCAGTGGTTGAAGTTTAAATGCTGAGGCTACAGTCCTCATTGAAGCAGTCTCAAGTTCGACTCTTGGCCTCAAAATCTTTGCTGCATGTCATCTTTCTATCTCAACTCTCCATATAAAAACAACTGTGATTGATCTCTGTTAAACAGCCAATGAGATATTCCAGTGTCAAACAGTATTTGTCATTATTTCTCTGTTTTTGTAAACTGAAATGTTAATAAGTGAGTCGTTTCATTTTGAGAAAGAGGAGCTGATTTGCGTGAACTAATCCTCTAACAGACTCTTAGGTTGCAGTTTGGATCTGTCCAAAAATTAACAGTGTTTATTTTTGTATCTGATGATGAATCTTAGCCTGCTGAGGGGATAAAAATACCACCGGAGTATATTTTAGTTCTGATGTGATCAGCTGAACAGATTCTAAATAAATCAAGTTCATCTTTATGGTGGAAACATCTCACGTTATGTGTCTCTGAGGAAACATTTTGTCATCACTTTACCACAATTGTGGAAGTTAGCGTGATAGCATCAACGAAGCAGATTTCCCAACAAGAGCCACATTTGAATCATTCTTCTAGATGAAATATGTGGACAAAACGCTCATCACCACAGAGAGGAACTATCCACACTTCCTCATTCCTGTTCACCAGCACCAGCCTGTGGTTGCATGTCTGACACACACTGAAGACAGCCTGCAGTTTTTAGTCAAAGTTTCAGTATTCAATAAATTTATTTCAATGAACAAACTGAATAGAGCTCAGCCTGCCTGTCACATCCATGCTGGGCTCTTTGAGCTCCTAATCAGCTCTTTGAAGGACCATTTTTGACTCTAATAGGCCAGCTCTTTAAACCAAGTGTTTTATGACTGACACATGCTCCCCACCTCAGGTTTTAGCACACATAGTAGCAGCTAAGCTTATGTCTGGGGTGACACAGCGCAAGGAAGAACATTTATGATCATTTCTTCATGGAAATGCAATCAGAGGCAGAAGAACTACCACGTCTGCAGTGCAAAATGATTAATACTGTGATTATTACATCAAGGTAATGATAAAGAAATGATCATAAATGTTCTTCCTTGAGCTGCGTCACCCCGCTGTAGTCCATAATGGGCTGGCCTGAGGTCTCGCTACAAACAAGCGCCTGCTGGAACAGAGTAGGTGAGTTGTGTTTAGTCTCTTTGCTAAAGAAATCAGGCAAAGCTAAAAAGATGTTTGGTGGCTAGTGCTATGGCTAGGACCCCGTATGTACTGTTGATGAAGTTAGGTGCTGTTCTGAGCATTATTTGTGGCTATAGAGTGGCGTTTTGGTTGAGGTTTGTTTATGGCTCCTCAGACCACTGTGTATTGCTATCGTGCGGTTGTTACTAAAGGTGGTATAACTAGATAAGCAAGCGGTCAGCAACATTCATCTCTCGAGAGGGTGTCTAACTTGGTGTTAAGGTGTGTTTGACCCTAAATAATTTTAAGCCAGAATATCCCTTTAACACACCAGCCTTGCTCTTCAACTGAATTCGACACCAAGGCTTCTGTCTGTCTGTCTGTTTGTTCTACCTTTGATGGTAAATTGGCTGTAATCCTAAAACCTTGTGGGAATGAAATCTTTGTTTAAAGAGCTAGCAGAGCATTACAGAGACCATGAAAGTAGGCGCACAGATCAGACTGGTACACTCAGCCTATTTCAGTGACAGATATCTCCCCTCCCACAGAAGAACCCATGATGTCTGGCTGTCTGCCAGGTCGGGTCACCCTCCCCGTGTCACCTGGTGATCACCGAGCAGCGGCAGCAGCTCAGGCAGCAGCAGCAGTGCAGGCGGCAGCTCTGGAGCAGCTGAGGGAGAAGCTGGAGGGCGGAGAACCACCACAGAAGAAGATGATGATGATGGAGGAGCAGCAGAGGTTGATGCAGCATGCTTTGCAGCAGAACTTGCTGGCCATGGCATCCACATTGCCCCTGAACATCAAAGTACACAACAGAGGTCAGAGGTCAAATGCAAACACACACACACAGACCCACACACACTTACAGACAGGATGGGCGGGGGGAAGTTGATTTCACATACTTTATATATGATCAGTGTTTACAGGTTAGTTCTCACTCTGTGTCAACAGCCTGATAATCAATATCTCCAGTTTTGTCAACAGATCCAATCCAAAGACCTGAACCAACAGATCTACCAACACAACTGTGTGTGTGTGTCTCTGTGTGTGTGTGTGTGTGTGTGTGTGTGTTTCTGTAGATGTGTGTGTGTGGGTCTGTGTGTGTTTGTGTAAGTGTAGGTGTGTGTGCAGAATCTTTACCATAAAAGTAGGAATGTAAAAAACCTGGAAATGTCTCCCAAAAAAGACGTAAAAATCTGTGTTCACACACGCTGTAATGCAGTGTTCCCTCTGTGACTTTAACTGTATCATATTATTGACATTGACTGTAAATAACTATTTATTATCGTAATCTATCTTGATTTATGTTTTCTACCGCACAGTCAGTCATGTGAACATTCTCTCATCTACATTTACTCATGCACTCTTAAAACTGTAAAAATTTTACACACACAGCTTTAATTCATTCAAATTCAAAGCCTTAATTCTGGTAACTACATCTTTGTGTATCTTTTTATATATTCATCATCTTTTGCACTCCTGACCCTTGCACTACTGTCTTTTGCAGTCTTGTATGTATAAGTTAGATTGTTTAATGTGAAATATAGCCTTGTACAAATTAGTGTAAGATTCATGTTTAATATTGCAGGAAGAGAGTAATGTTCACCAAAGTCAGGTCCCTAGTACAAGCACACATACCTAGCCATTGGGCTGTTGCAATATACCATCAATCACCATCCTTTTTTAAACAAAAAACAAAACAAAAACCGTATTTATATCTAAAAGGGATATGTTAATACCATGTTTGTGGAGGTGGTCTTTCACGTTAGTTGCCCTCTTTAATTTAACTCAGTGTAGTGTTTTATTTTCAGGTTTTTCATATATCATCACAATATTATCATTATAGATATAGTATCATAAGGGCCATGATGGTGAAAATTTGAGATCCTGACAGCCTTACTGGCTGACCTTACTCAAATCTGGTTCTGATATGACTTTATCTTCTCATGACATATCAGAAATGGCTCACCGCAGTCACATATGGAAAAACAACTTGACTTTAATTTGTATGATGACTGGACCTGTTACATCTAACATTCAGTTTAACTTAATGTTTAAAGAGTGTAAAAAATATCATCTAAGAGCAGATCACCCTCTTACCACCTGTGTTGCAAATTTCATCTGCCTTCAGCATCGACTGACGCACGGATTAGTTTGCTGACTGGGGCGCATATTTCCCTATCAAGGTTGCTTTTCTAAAGAGCACAGATTAACATGAAATGTGGCGTAGCTTATTTCCAGGTCCTGTCTCTTGCATACACCATATGCTTGTGAATGAGACCCCTGGCCTTTGCCTGATACCCACCTGTATTTCTTCCATGTGTCATCACTCCAATCGGGTCATTCTCAAACCTGGTCACATTGAAAGCATGACTTAAAGACAGTCTTCAAATTATTTTAGACATTGATCTCACCTCTCCATTTATTCAAGGGATGAATTATGTTTCTTGTAGCGTAAGAGGACACACGTGTTTTGTCAAATAATAGTTGAAAACACAAATGAGCTTTTTGACAATGAAGTGAAGCACCAAAAAATTGAGGAAACTTTAAAGTAAAATACTGAGAATCTAGAGTTACTGACTAACACACTGTTGTTTTTGTCTTTTTCTAAAGAAATGATTAAATATAGAAAAACTTTTAACTTTCTAACTAATATGTAGACCTGAATGTGATATAACACTGTGATATGTGTGTTTATCAGTCATGTGTGAGTGTAACAATGTGTCTGCCTGTTATCAGACATAATGACAGTGTGTGCGTATATGTGTATGTGTGTATATGTGTGTGTGTGTTTGAACCACTAATAGTCACATAGTTCATCATATCCCTGGTGTCATTTAAAGCTCACAGATGTTATAAAGCAGGCTGCGGCTCATCATGAGTAAAAATGTGTGTGTGTGTGTGTAGCCGGGACAGTGATGACACGCCATCAGTCACATGACTCTTAATGATGGTGGCTAAAGAAGAGTGAGAGGGCTCTGAGCTGAGTCTGATATCACTCTGTCTGCATCACCGCACACTCAGATTAGTCCTAATAACAGCTCTGACTCCTGGTGGAAACACACACACACACACACACACACACATGCACACAAATACAGAAGATGACTGTTTTCTACATCTGTGTGATCACCTGTAATTACGGTCTCAGAGGAAAATATATACGTCATATTTTAATCACAGCAAAGAGTGATAGTTAGATAAAAACTCTGCTCTCAGCGTAGTGTGGTTCAGTCACAGAGAGAGAGAGAGGACCAATGAGCAGACTAATGATAGATTCATTTATAAAGCCTTACAGTGTTGAGTCCAGGGAATTTATTATCCTGAGACAAAATTACAGGGTCCAAAAAAACAGATAAACAAACAGTAACCTTAGGTGTAGGAAAATAAAACCTATTGTGAAGACCCCAAAACTGCAGTTTTTGCAGTGCCCACTAGGGGCTTTCTCCTGAAGTGAGTCAGTCCCCATAGAGCCCCATTTTAAAATCTTTAAGTTTACTGCAAAAATTAGAGTATTTACAACCTGCTGCAAGGACCAATTTTGTTTCTCTGTAACTATGACAACTGTCCAGGTTTAATCACCTCTTTTGTGCATTAGATTAAGGATTAAAGTTAGGTATGGATAGACATAGTTGTAGGGATGTGGCCTTGAAATTGCATTTAACCAACAATGAAGCAATTCGATATGGTGGCACTTGAACCAGGCAGCAACCTCAGGGATTGGGAAAAGACATGAAAAACTGCAGAGTTCATATTTCCCATGTTTAAATGTCCAACTTTACTGCAGAGATAATTGTTTACTGCCTGATACAAAAAAAAGGGTTTTGAACCACTATGAAATATTCATTAGTTTGTTTGAATTAGTATATATTGGCCAAAAAATTGCTGTTAGTGCCTTGTATATCTACACAGAAGTTGCCCCTATCATGTAGGTTGCCAACTACACTGCTATTTTTTGCCCGTTGCGTAGAGCAGACAAACCAGTAGCACTTGCATTTTTGTACTTAGTGAGTGTCAGTGTCAATTGCACCAGTTAAAAAAAAGAAGAAGAAGGAAGCGGTTGTTGTTATATACAGAAAAAAAATGTGCTGATAGACATTTTAATGTTGAATTCACACTTATCATGCATCACAAGAGCTTCTTGTCCTTTTAAGGCCACCATTGCTTTACCAATAGGAGGGGTGAGCATGACCTCTAGATATCACCAACATTCACATTTCTACAGTTAGGTACAGTGCTGAATCCTTTACAGCCCAATTACCAACTTAAGAAGGGACTATGTATTCAGATCAAAGATGAGGAGAAATTCACCCCTCCAAGATTAAGATAAGAGAAGATACTCCTGTATTAGTCCCACGAGAGAAAATTCCCTTTGTCTTTAAAATAACCACAATGGGTTAAGCTTAAAATTTAATGTAAGGCTATAGTCATGTAAATAGGTTGTGGTCTGTTCAGCTAAGGTTCAACTGCATACTCTCTCTTTTTAGTTACCCACTGTATCCCCTAAACTATCCCTATAAACAAAGGTATAAAAGCCAAAAACTTAAATTCTGAAATTTAACTTTTGTCAGGCCATCAAGAGTAGAAGAAAAAACTTTAAAATATTTGTGGAATGGAGGTCAGATCAGTGATTTCTGATGCATTACAGCAAGTCAGGAAATCTAAATGTGGATTGAGTGACACAGAAACAAGCAGATTTGTGTCTGTTGTTTGCTAACTTTGCATGCAGATATCTATTTATGGAGACAGATAAATGGCTTAACACTTAAACACTGATGGAAGATGGGATCTCATTGTGGTCCACGTGCTCTCCACACACAGTTTTTCTGCACTCACCAAAGTCTGCTGATACCTGTTTGGTGGATTTATACCACCACCAGACGACAAATACGAACCAGAACAACTGTTACATGAAAACTTTTGGGACTTGCAAAGTGTATTAAAAGAGTATGTTTTCTGTCACTGTTGCGCTGATGATACTGTGATTTATTTCTCTGCAAAGCCTCCAAAACTATCATTTAAAGATTACATAGAAGTGTTACTGCTCCTGAGATGATAAATGTGTGTCAGACAGTGTGATACGTGTGCAAGTGTGTGCCGTGTGTGCCGTGTGTGCCTGTACCATCACTTTTATTCTCCGTGGTTCTCCAGCTGTGCAGTATTCATGTACAAGTGACCTGTTTGTGTGTAACATCTTTGACAGCTCTTTCTCCTCGTCCCGTCGTTCTGTGCGTGTGTGTCCGTGTGTGTCTGACAGCTCTTTCTCCTCGTCCTGTCACTCTGCAGACTCTCACCGATCCTGGTCCTTGTGTTCCCGCTCTAAATGCTCATATCGAGTTTTCCTCTCTGCTCCTCTCCTGACAGATGATAGACAAGAGGCCGCATTGAACCTGTCTACCAGCGGCATTAGCAGCATCAACATGTCAATAGAAATAAATGGAGTTGTCTACACAGGTAAATAGAGGGGCCGTTTGCTGATGTAATTGCAGGCAGGAAATTCAATAAGTTATAGCAGCACCCCGGTGCTTAGTCCTCCTCGCAATTTGATGTCTTTGCTATAAAATCCATCGTAATGAAGTGGCAGTCCAATAGAGTTAAAAAAGTTAAATATCTCAAAATTGGGCCTGTGGAGCCCAGGTCGATGAGGCTTATTGTCTTATATGTGTGCGTGTGCGTGTGTGTGGTTGTAGGGAGGTAATTACTGCCTCAGCTTTAACACAGACCTTTGTGTCGGGGTGTAAGCCTGCTGACCATCACTTCACATCACAGTCCGTCTGAGAGAGTTGATCCAGTTCATCCTGAGACGCACTCGCTTTAACCTGTCCGATATACAATACATACACACACCCTGAGGAGGACTGTTTATTATCTTTTTTTGTTGTATTTTACATGATTCAAGAGTGATTTTATTTGCTTGTCCTACAGTCAGTCTCATTTTGTTGGCGAATTTAACCTTCTTCCTGTGTTAGCTTTTAATATGTACCCACCATGTTAAGGGTCGGTTTTGACCTGTGTCTTAAATCAGCTGGAGGTTACACTAAAAACAATTCTCTATCATCCAATTTGGTTCTCATCTCTATGTTACCGTGTTAAGCTTCATTATCCATGAAAATGTTGCTTATAATAGTTTTTGTAGTGGGCTTCTGGGCCTTTCTTTGGCTGTGTCTGAAATGGATCCCTAACCCCTAAATAGGCGACTATATGGGGGTTAGCGCCATTTTGAGGGGTGTTCGAAACCTGAGTGATCAATTCCAATGCCCCATATAGAGGACTCAAAATTTCCCATAGAGCATTGCAAAATGTAGTGACTATCTGATGGTCACTCACCGGTGGTGGGCATCCTGTCATGCATTGCGTCTTCAGCAGCAACGTCACAACGGTAGTGTCCGAAACCTCCGGTGATTGAGCTCACTATTTAGTTAGCTCTTTAGTGAAACCCCATATGGAGGTTGGGGATTGAGTGATTCATTTCGGACACAGCCTTTGTTACTATACCCATCATACAGACATCCATACTGAACTGATCTCACATGTCTGGACATGCCCGATGTTGTTTTTCGTGTAGGAAAAAACAGGCAAAATGAGAATTTCCTAAATCTTACATGATTGGAAGAGGATCTGACTGTCAGTGTGGTGCCTTATGAGTGCACTTGTGATTTCAGTTTTTGCTCAAATTATTAAATATTGATCCAACCGGGTCAACAGCAACCCTAACACGACAAGTGCCATAATTTGAATAAGAGCATTTTGTATTTAGTCAATTTAGTCTTTTTTATTTTTATTTTGTTGAAATAGAGGTTCCTGACAAGGTCAAAAAGTCTTGATTTTAAAAACTTATTTAAGTGGTTCTTTTAAGTTTTTAAAATCAAAAACGGGTCGGTGCAGACCCTAACACAGGAGGAGGGTTAACACGATAATAAACATGTCCCTGTCCCAACTTTTTGTGGAACATTTTGCAGCCATCTAATTTAAAATGGGCATAATTTTTAATAAATTAATTAATGCTTCAGTTTCAGCATTTAAAATGTTGGCTTTGATGTATTTTCAACTATATTTAGTCTCTGAGTGATTTGCAAACCATTAAAAATTGTATCTACAGCATTTTACTGCATCCCAGCTTATCAAACTTGATGTTAATGTTTTAAATTAATTCAAATACATGTTTATGCATCCAGTTAAATATAAACTGAAAGATCTCTCTGCTCACTGTTTCCACCCTCTAAACTCTGACCTCTGATCTCCTCAGGTGTGCTGTTCTCCGGGCAGGCAGCGATGATGGGACACCGTGGGAGACATGGCAGCTTTCACACTCAGGAAAAAAGCAGTCCCTCTCAGTTCCAGCCCTCCTCCTCTTCATCATCCTCCTCCTCCTCACTCCATGGCCACAGAAACTCCTCCCCTTGAGCCTCCTGCCTCCTCCCCATCACCTCCTCCCCTTGTCCAAGCAGGAAGGAGAACTGCAGCTGGTTTTCTCTCTCCATCCATTCATATCACTGTAGCTGTAAACTTACTCTGATATAGAGTCCCCGCCGCCCCACAGTCCGCTCTGCGTTTGAGGATGTTTGTGTGTTCATGTTGTGTTTCAGCCCAAAACACATCTGTTTGAAGCAAGTTCACACAGTAATGTCATGTGAAGAAGACAAATGAAGACTCACTCTGTGTTTGATCCAAAGACAAGTCTGCTGAGGCTGACCTCAGACTCAAACAGCTCACACCAAAGAAGAAGAAGAAGAAGAAGAATCCAGCTTTAACACTGAACCACCAAATCAGAGCCAGAATACAAAGAGACAAAGCACATCCAAAGAAATCATCTTTATGAAGCTGTGTGAAGCCTTACAGTTTCACCTCTGACTTTTTTTTTTTTATTAAGTCTCTCACCTCCATCAGATTTTGCTTGGGTTCATCATTTCTTGACGTTTAACACAAAACAAATGCATTTATTCTTATTTGAGGTTTTGTGTCTTTAACTTTAACAGGCACAGACAGAGTAACAAATCAAGCCCCACGGTTAACCAAAACTTTATTTACTTTGATTTAGAACAGGCCACGACATAAGGTTAAAAAGCCAGAGCTTCTTAGGGCGCGTTCACACCACCATCGTTTAGTGCGGTTGAACCGAACCCTGGAGCGTTTACCCCCTTTGGTGCGGTTCGTTTGGGTTGGTGTGAACGCTGACCTCGAACTCTGGTGCGGACCAAATAAACGAACTCTGGTCCGCCTGAAGAGGTGGTCTCGGACCGCTATCAAGTGAACTCTGGAGCGGTTCATTTGTGGTGTGAACGTCATCCACACCAATCACAGGAAACGCACCACACACATCATGGTAGGCTCTCATTAATGCCTGTCGCCGTCTCGTCTTTATCCGTCTGTTGTTTGCAGCACATCTACTCCGGAATGTTAATTAATGCCGCAGTTCACGCTCGCTGGCTAACGAGCCGTTCATATGTGGGATCGACTAGCGTCTTTTAATACGCGCTCCAGATGAGTAGCAAAAGCAAAATCAGCCTACGATGCTCCATGACAGGCGACGACAGCAGAGCGGGGTTGTATTCCCGCATAAACTAATGACCAATAACCGAACGATATCTGCGGTCACGTGACCTCCGGTTCCTTTTTCTGGAGCGATTGAGTTTGTCCTTTGTGAACGCAAACCGGACCAGTTAAACAATCAAAACAAATGTATCGTCTTGCCTTGGATTCGAATCAGGAAACAGACCTTTAGGTGTAAACACGAACTTAAATAGAGCAGGAGGAGAGCAAACTAAATATTCAACATCCAAAGATCAAGACAGGCCATTTTTTTTTATTCCTGTTGATGAAGCCTGCCTCGTGAATACTTGTCCCTGTACATGCTGTTTATTAAAGGAGACCTATTGTTCTTATTTTCATATTAAGTTATGTTAGTTGGGGACACCTAGAGCAGCATCTCAAAAAAGTCCAGACTTCTCATACTGACACCCTTGAAAACCTTTATTTCAGCACAATTTACTCCCTTCATTTAGCTGTTTTTCTAGTGATATAAAGTTAGACACAGATTGAGGGTGTTACTTTTTACACAGCTTTGAAGTCACAACCCTTATAAACTTACTTAGGGCTTGTGTTTGTGAGTCTTCATGGAAAGTTAAGAAGACATACTTCAGCAACTCTGTTAGTAACCACAGGGGTCTTCTAGACCAGTGGTTTTCACGTCCAGTCCTCGAGGCCCACTGTCTTGCATGTTTTGGATGTTTCCCTGCTCCAACACACCTGATTCAAATGATCAGCTCATTATCAAGATCTGTAATGGCTTTATAACGAGCTAATCATTTGAATCAGGTGTGTTGGAGCAGGGAAACATCCAAAACATGCAGGACAGGGGGCCTCGAGGACTGGACTTGAGAACCACTGTTCTACACTAACCTCTTGTCCCCCTTGAACATAATTAAATCTGTCTTAATGTTGAGTTAGTTACCCCGAAGTCATGGCACAGATTCAGACAAAAAGTTCATGTATCCTGACCTTGGCATTACAGGGATATCAGCTGTTAGTATGAGAGGACTCTGGCAGCCTCTTAATCTGATGTCAGGTTACTTTATCTGTGATCACAAACACATACTTTAGTTTATGAACTGAATTAAAGCTCTTATGAGACTGTCCTGTTAGTGAAGATAACGCTTTAAGAGACACATGCTATCGTCTGCCTCTGTTAGTGAGGGTTCAAACCAGTGTGGTGACAGCGGTCCTGGGCTTTCTTCACTTGTTGGCGTAAATATCGCAATCAGCAGCATTGCTCCATTGGTTGTTGTGGTTGGAATCATTTACACAATCTGTGATGAGGCTGTGGCAGGTCACGCTCGTCCTTGCAGAAACACACTCAATCCGTATAGGGTCATTATGTCAGGAAATCTCATCTTGTAGTTTTTGTTTACCTTAATTTTAATGAATGCATTTGTGTCCAAAAGTCAGAGGGTTTCTCTTTTTTTTTCTTTAATTTCTCTGTTTGAATATATACTGTATTTCTTTTATTTTTTAGGGTAATGGAAAAGCATAAAGATGCTGGGCTTTTTATTATGTCTTTTAATATCAGATTTAATTTATTATATTTTAAATGTGATCCTGCAAACATTTAGCTTCACCCTGTGTTTGCAGAGAGCAAATACCTCAGCAGTCCACCTGTAAATAATCACAGTGAAGTATGAATACTAAATATACCTCATTATAAATTCATTATTTTTATTGTACAGTCATGTTAAAATCAATGTATTTCCTTCAACAGATCACTGGATGTTTCTGTTTTTTCATATTTTGTATGATTATACCAAAGAAGGTGATATTTGATTGACACATCTACCTCATTTGTTACAGACTGTGCCAACAAGCATGTCCTCCACCTTAAAGCCAGAGTACTCATGGTGTTTCACATCCACCTGTTTGTGTCAAACCTGAATGCTTAAAAACAAAGAACACTCTAGGTCATTCTAGAAACTTTTCATCATGTTAAGTGCTTTTTTTTTTTTTAAACGTTTGATGTTGTGCCAGCACAACAGAGCAGCCATCAGAGGGCGGACAGCTGAAATGTACAAGAAAACGCAGACACCTGGAGGAGACAGCAGCTCAATGATTTAGTCATAGGTTTCATATGAGGACGATAGGGGGCGCTGTTAGAGAGTTGGTGTATGATACGAAGAACTTAAAAGTGACGAACAAGCAAACTGACTAAACTTAGTTCCAATTTTTCATGCAGGAAGGATTTTTTGATATGTTTTATTTCGCCACCCTATTTAAGTAATGGCTTCATCATTTCTTGATGAAAATTAAATCTCTTGAGATGATTTACAGATGATTTAGGCCAAAAACTCATTTTCGTCAAAAAATGACTTAGATAACTCAACAAGATAAGCATTTCTTGACCTGTAGGAAGCTGTGTCCTTTGCACCCCTTCTTTCTTGAGCAACAAGAACTCACAGCTTTATTTACCAACTCCCAAACATTAAACTGTTGCTAGCCTAAAAAATCCGTCCGTGTTTAGTCTGCTGCAATCATGACCACTGTAGTCCAAGAGAATCTTTTATTTGCATGCAAAAACTCATATTTATTAGTATGACTCTGCTCTGAGAGCCCCCTTTAATGTGCGTACGTAAAAAGCCAAGGCAGGCAGAGCGGCAGCAAAGACGCTTGAGGTCAGAAAAGTGACTCTATATAAAGCGCAGTTAAAATCAGATGCAGTAGCGACAAAATAGTGCGAAGGACGTCTTTGCACTTTGGGTAATGAACACTGATTTTGCTGAACTGCAATTGGGTTAAATAAAAAGTGCTACCACAGAAGTGAACACAGCCCCCACAGCTATGGTAGACAAGAACAGCAATGGATTTTTCTTTTTTTATGCACTTTTATCTTGTGATAATGACTTATTATCTCATTAACTCTACATGACAAAGATCATTTTTTGTGACAATGGAAATGTTGTCTTAGCCGACCTAAAACGGTAACTATTAATATTTCTAAAACACTGCTGCCACCATTGCCAACAGAAAATCTGGGTTTTCAATGAAAATGCCGACGTCATGCTCCACTTTGTGCATACGCATTACACTTTTAACATGGGAACATCTAACTGCCTCAAGATAATGAGATAATAAGTTGCTAATAAGTGCACAAAAAAAGGAAAATCCATTCTCGTCTTCTGTATACAGCAGACATAAAGAAGGCAAAACTGGAAAATAAATCAAGACAGTAGGCATCAGTTGTTTTAATTTATTTCTACGACCGTGCTTGCGAGAATTGATTACGCAAACTCATAAACATATTGACACATAGGAGCACGCTGTCAATTATTCTTGAACTTAAATACATTTAAGCTGTAAAACACCGTTGAGATACAAACATACTACTACTTACAATTTCATATTAAAGACGTTCATGGTCCACTGAGGGTGAATCTGAGGGTGAAGCTGATTTACTGAGTTTGTTGAACACCAACAGGTGGTGGTCGTTGGCCAGCCAAAGTTTACAAAATCATCATCACTAATCAAAAATTCACCAGGAATGTTCTTGTTGATACACAAAGCATATGCTTGGTCTTCAGAGGTTGAACCTGTTTCAGCGCAGCGCCCCCTCCAGGATAACATTTAACCATCATTTATAATCATCTTTCAGAGCTGCCGTCTCCTCCCTGTTCAGTTTTTTTTCTGCAGCTTGTTCTCAGCTGATGGTTTAAAGCTGTGATCAGCTCAGTGTCATCAGACAGTGTCACTCTCCAGAGGATATACCTGTGATCAGAAGAATAATGATAGTATATTGTTTGACTGTATCTTTAGATGGTGGTGTTAAACTTGTGCAAACACAATCGTGCAACAGAGGACAATCCTCGGCCAATCAGATGAGCTGTTGAAGGTGGTTTGTGTTATGTGATTCTGTGTTTACTTGAATTGTGTTTTAGTGATCAGACAGTCTGCAGGTAGAAAATCAATGATATCTAATCAATAATAAGAGACAGGTGGACTGAACAGAGCTCCTGATCTGAGAAACCTGATGTGTTCATATTATCACCTCAGACAGAAGATAACTTAAATAAAATCTGTCTCAGAGAGGCACACGGACACGAACAGGGAGATGATCTTCATGTTGATATCAGTGGCTCGTAGTTTGACTTTGAGAGTTGAATACATTTCAAATTAACTACTCAAGAAAAATATAACATTGTTAAAGGTAAAAATCTCATTCACACAACAGAGGATATTAAAAACTAAGCAAATCATTAGCGTTTCAGGCAGGGCGTAGCTACTTCTCCTTTAGGGGGTCTTTGCTGTTGCTCTCCCTGCCTGGGCTCTCCATATATGTACATGGGCAGGGGGAGATGTGTTCTTGGGTATTCCTCATAGACACAAGAAACTAATATTTATATTTGACTTAAATGGCCGTGGCTGCAACAGACTTAACAGCCAGAGAGAGAAGAGAAGTGAAAGTGAAAGAAGATATGTAAACTACAACTCCCATGATGCTTTTAAGTAGAATCCTTTAGGAAAAGTGACTGGGACTATCAGAACCAACTTTTGGAAGTGCTGATGAAGGCTCACTTATTCGACCTCCAATCCGACACCACAGAGAGAGTATATTTTTCAGACCACACAGTTCAGCATCTTGTAGCCCTGTATGGGACAAGCCTGCAGACTAACCAAGCTTAAATCACAGAAATAACTAAATCAAAAGGTGACACACAAACACTGAAATAACGTGATCAGATCCACCAAAATCTCGTAAAATTGCTCATCAGCTCAAACAGGTTGATCCTAAAAAGGGTAAACAGAAGATTTAAATATTGATAAAGTGGCTGTTCATGACTCTGTAGATGATTTTATGAA